ATTTTCACGTACAAGTGGAAGACGGGCATACACGCACGGGTGGACATCTCACAGACGGGACGACGATGACGACCAACATCTATCCGTCTGTCTGTCCCTCCAGTAGCACAGCCTCTCACCAGTGAACCCGACGGTATTCGCTCCTGGTCTGTTTCTTCTTCTTCTTCTTCTTCTTCTTCTTCTTCTTCTTCCTTTCTATTTCCGGCCATCGGTCCTCGCGTGGAACAGGGAAAGCCATCGTCACGACGCGTGTGTCTCGCGCGTGCTACACGTTACCGCGACTCCACGGATCCGGCCGTCCGACAGTCGCGACCGGGTCATCATCATCATGATGGTGGTGGTGGTGGTCATGGCTACATCGGTATCGATCTCCGTTGATGACCTTCTCGTCCATGGGTCGGGCAGAAGGCGACATGGCTCGAAAGCAGATCTCTGTAATATGTAGGTGTTGTGCATTCATGTTCATGGTATAGAGGTGCCTCAGGCATTCAGACCAGGGAGCCTGAGGTCCTCACACCAAGCACCGTAGGTCCTTTTGAGCAGGTGGATACTGTGTGTGACACTGTGATCCATCTGAATACGACGACCCAAACTGTAATAATAATAATAATAATAATAACGATGATCATGAAAACAAAAATCCTCATCATTCATTCATTGCAGTGCTGGAACCCAGCCGTCAACGCAATATATTGACCCAGCGTGTTCATCATCTCACGGAACACGCAAACCTCACAACGACCGCCCGCTCAGAAACCAAAGCCACCGTGATGGCGACCATGCTACGGACGACGCTCGGCTAATAAAAAAAATCGCCCTTGACGTGGGGCGTGAGAGTGACCACGTCAGCTGTACCTTTGCCCTTCTTCGTCACTCCGCCGATGCGGAAAACGCTGCATCCAAAAATCGCCTGTTTCACCACGTAGGAAAGAAGATACAGGGGTTTCCCGTTCTGCACCAACAGCCTCAGCTCGTGACCGAGAATCTGTCGAAAGGCGCGCAGGAGATTGTCGCGAACGCTAACATCGACGGCGATGCGAGCGTTGGTGAAGTCCTGAAGTATGCCCAACTCGTACTTCCTCAAGGCTTTGTCGGCCGTAACCGCGGAGCGCAGCTCGGTCGGCCTGCACGAGGCACATGTGATGTATCCCATGCTGGCGATGGTCCTCTCCGCTTGCTTCACGACGGTGACGTTTGGCATGGCTGACGTGTCGCATGCGATGAGGGCTGCGCGATCACAGCGGTAGCATATCAGCACCATATGATGCCGACCGGGCCTGAGCCCCAATCGCGCTCCGCCGTCGACGGGGCCTGCCGCACTGGGCAGAACCCCGATGGCTTTGCCATTACTTTTCGTCGTCGTAGAGTTGAGACCACTCTGGCCGGCGACTGCAGCACTCGAGCCATTCCCCTGAACGCGGGTTTGCGCTTTAGATGTCGAAGATGCTTGCACCGCTGGACCTGCAGGCTGGACCTTCGAGACATGGACGACGTCGGACTTTACATCCTTCGAGCGGATCGGCTGGCCGACATCCTTCTCGCCTACTTTGCTAGGAATCGCCCCGGCACGACCTTGGACCGGCAAGGAAGCCGAATTTGGGGTTGGCACCTTTAAATTCGACCGTTCGATGGTCGTTAACACGCCCGGATTGTCGTTCTTTTTGGACTCCACCTTCACAATCTGTGATGGTCCCTGCACGTGAGTCAACGGTTCCGGCGTCCTCTTGATGGGATCCGATGTGAGCACACTCATTCCCCCGTCACTGCTGAGCCTCGTGCGGGTCTTCATGCAGAGGGCCACTCGCCCTAGTTTGCTTGGTCCACTATCCGATCCGACACCAAGAAAGGCCGACGGGGCGAAAACCAAGCTCTCCCCGACGGATAGATCGACGATATGCTGGAACATGTCCCGGCCGTGCCATTGCGACACACATGCTTCCGTGGCCGCGCTCAAATGCCCTCGCAACGCCGTGAACCAGCTCGGCGATGTGAAGCGATGGATGATCGACACCGAGCACAGATCCAGAAGTGTCGGCGACACGGTCGGCTCTTGGGTCGCGATTATGACCCGCGTCGCGTTGTGGCGCTGCATCCGGATCGTGTCCAACAGCTTGGCCGTGAAATTGGACGATGTGAGCGATGTCGTCAGATACCGGTGGGCCTCATCCAACGCGACGACCAGGCCGCCGGAGGTTCTCTGCTCCTCTGCAAGACCTAGACAGATGTTGAACAGGATACATGCGGTGGTAGGATCCACGAATGGATCCGTGAGATCGACAATGGTCAGGCTGCCAGCTTTGATCTCCCAGATGCTGTCCTTGGTCTGGTTTCCGCTCCCCCCGGAGAGATCGAGATAGCTCTCGAGAAGTTCAAGTCGGAGACCGAGCGGTCCTCGTTGTTGCGGGGTGAAATCCGCCGCCGAGAGAAATTTCTTGAACGCGAAGTAGTCGAATCCCTGACCATTCGAGGCGATGGCCATCTGCCGGAGGATCTTCTCGACCGTCGCCATGTACAGCGGTTGCCCTTCTTTGCCCTCATCCGAGAACGCCATCAGCTGCTTCATGCGTCCGATGCTGAGGTCCTTTGGCTGGAACACAAGCGGTCGGACGTCGAGATTGTCCTGTGCACCGGGTATCCTCCCATATGCCGTCCGCAGAGCGTACTCGTTACTTCGAGAAACGAGCACGTTGACGTGGATCCCCATAGAACAGAGGTGTGCAGTCTCTGCCACGCCCCCAGCGGCATCCCGGTCGAAATGGAAAGCCAGACCAGCGAGGGGCTGGCGGACTGACCCGATCCTCTCGTCGACGGTCAGGCAATTCTCGAGCATACAGTTGAGGGTGTAGCTCTTGCCGCTGCCTTGCGACCCACAGATGAAGGCCGAGTTTGGCGCATCGACGTTCATCAAGATCGGCTCGTCCGGTTCGATCATAGGATGCATCCCGTTGTGGAACCCGAGCACCGCGTACTGATCGAAGATCTTGACCTCGCTGGAGCCTCCGTATACCCCTTCGACGGCGTCTTTCACCCTGAGGCTGAACAGAGGCGTCGTGCGCAAATCTTCCTGGACCCCACTCCTCGGGCCAGCCACCAGGTTCGACAGGCGGGAAAACCGCTCGACTTCCGACCCCGCGAGGCCATCGCCTGGCGGTTGTGCGATCCGCATGGCCATCTCGTTCACGAGAAACATCTCGAGGAACCGGTCAATCTCCTTTCAAAAGGCAAAGAAGAGGGGTGCGTGAACGCTCGTGGTCGAAGGCGAACAGATGGAGTTATAAAAACATCCTCGTTCCTCGCGGATGTGACAGACGATGACCTTCACCGCATTTTGTCTTCGCCGATCACCCACAGCACGTGCACGGGTGTCGTAGGTTCGCCACGTCGGACTTGCAGGACAATCGGCCTCCAAATTAAGCGAAATTGGCGAGGTCGACGGGTCGGATAACGAACCTCTTACCCGGTCGCTTCACCTCGATTGTTAAAAGGAGTCTCGTTCCCGGTGAGAGAGGCTCCCTCTTGTTTTATGCAATGGCTTGTGCGGTCGGACTCCTGGTGTGTTTGTAGTTTTGTAGGGAAGGATTACACCCTTGATGACTGATGCAATACAACTCTTTGCATGCGGGCTAGTGATAGTTGAGAGAAGAGGGTCGGGGTCAGGGTCAGGGTCAGAGTCATGCTGGACACGAGGAACAGCACAGTGATGGAGGAATCGGCTGCAGGCGGAGGGACATGAGCCTATTGGCATGACATACATATGCAAAGACCCGGTAGTGAAATAATCCATCAATCATGCAAATATTCCTTTCCTCGACCAAGACCACCGCAACCACCTCGAAACCGATGCTGGCCATATCGGGGGAGTTACGAGGTGAGGCTCGCGACTGGACGTTCCGCAGCCGTTGTACTCGGCACGTGCTCGGGAGGGTAAGGGTATCAGGTCGGCGCCAGCATCGAGCGGCTTCCGCAACGGGAAAGGGCACGATCGGGGATTCCTTGCGCTGCATCGGCACACCCCCAACGGCAGAACCCATGTGCAGGATTAGCTGCATGAGACATGGACGGGATACATGTCTTCTGCGCGGCATACGCAGCAGCAGCAGCAGCAGGGATGCGCGCAGCAGACGCACATGCACGCCTCTGAAGCACAGTACGTGCAGCGCCCATGGCCACTAAACCAGCCGTGGGAGAGTTAGTGCGAAACAGCTCATCCGGGCATTCTGAAGAAGATGGAGTGGCAACAGACGGCGAGGGAGGTGGGAAGGCGACGAGAGACATTTCGGCTGTGACTTAACCCCCGGCCTCCTCTCCTCCTCTCCCTTCCCTTCCCATCGGCCGTCCGTACCAGAACCCAACCCCATCCGATTCCCTTGGTGCCAGGCCCATCGTCTCCGATCATCATCATTGAACCCATCCAGCGAACCAGTTGGCCTGGCACCAACATGGCTTCCTCGGTCGACGCCCGGAAAGACAATATCAGGAAGAAGGCAAGTCCTCCACCGCCGCTCCGGCACGAAAACTGACCCGGTCAGCGCAATTTGTATCGCATGCTGGCATTCTGCCATGGTGAGTTGGAGAAACACCCAGAGTACTATTCAGACTGCCTCTACACCATGGTAGTGAAGTCGGCGAGCGAGAAAGCCCGCCGCGCCAGAATGCTCCAATACACCGGCCCCGACCCCGGCACGCTGCGACTTCTCCAGGACCAGCTGGATAACTGGACGCAGGACCCGGGGAGTTTCTGGTCCTACGGCGCCCCCGAGGCCCTTGATCAAGAGCCGCTCATCCACATGGCGATGCGCTACCGTCGTTTCAGGCAGTTTGGTCCTTAGACCCTGATGATCCGACGATGCCTGTGCATCGCCTTTGTGGAATGGCAGTCCCGTCACAAGGTCCACTCGGTGAGCCGCACCGCGGAGGCGCTGCACCGCCGACTGCAGATGTCCATGGAGGAAGCGTCGAGCATGCTCAAGCAGATGGTCGACGCCGGCGGACGCTTCGTCAACCTCGAAATGCACGCCGGCGAGGGCGTCTCCATCATCCTCGGCCAAGGATCAGAGTCCAGGTGATCGCCGACCTGCAAAGCCCTCTTCCCTCGGACATGGCTGACGCCGGCTCACAGGTGGATCAAACTCTTGCCGAAGAAGGGGGAGCAGTTCAAGAAGATGGTGCAACACCTGCGGGACCTTCAATTGCATGAGAGATATCCCCGCGAGTGCGAGCTTCGCGTCAAGGTCGTGAATTGGCTGCTCAGTCGTTTCGATGGAGGGATGAGCTCGCCGGCGGACAGTATATCGCCGGATCGTAGTTCTCCGCTTGACTTGGGGCTCGCAAAAGCGAATTTTCCCACGAACAACATGGTTGCCGCCCCTTGACAGTTGGGTTGAGCTCCAACACAAACCGGCGGGGCAGGGGTGATCGGAAGCTTAGCCAGACTCTACAGTATCAAAGTCTTTCAGTGCAAATTTCTCAATGGCTGCCCGGGTCTTTCGACCACCAGTATGATTCCAAGCAAGTTTTCTGATGCATGGGCTATCTACGGCAGCGTGACAGCATGACATGTGAAATTTATGGGGTCGTGCTTTGACGATGCAATTTTGTCACCCCGTTCGCTCAGGTCGCAACTCAAGACGGGGCTCTACCGCTTGTGAACGGACCTGATGCACAGACAATGCTAGTACTCCAAACGAGAATCCCGGCCACCATCACGAATACCACTGTGATATTGGCAGTGATACCTGCAGGAGAGCCCCACTCCATGCAGATGGCAGCAGAGCCAGAAGCATAACCTTATTTGGTGGACCGGTGAGCACGATAACTCATGGCACATCGGTCTCGGGCTGGTGCTGCTGCTGAGGATGATCCCGCCATCTTGCTCACACCATCGGGGATGCGTGCTAGATCATAGCAGACGCCATGTCGATAAGAGTCCCTTGGTTCCTGTGTGATATCCTGCCAGGTCCGCCTCCGAAGTATCATCCTTCCACCACCACCACCACCACCAGCCCATTAGAATTTCACCTCAATCATGTCAACCCCTCAAGCCTTTGACACAATGCAACTCATGGGCCTTCAGCCTACCAAACATCTCGAGCTTCTCGATGTCGTGGACAAACTGCGAGCTCAAGGTTTGAACGAGCATGTTGATCTTCCTCAGCTCATCGTGTGCGGAGATCAATCCAGCGGCAAGAGTTCCGTCCTGTCAGCGATCTCCGGGGTGCCGTTTCCGAAGAAGGAGAACCTGTGCACCCGCTTCGCGACCGAGGTGGTCCTCCGTCGCGATGACACGATGCGCGAAAACAAGATTTGCGTCACCATCACCCCGAGCAGCACGCGGCCACGCACCGATCGACGCGCCCTCGACAGCTTTACGAGGGAGCTGAACTCCATGGACGACCTGCCGAGCACCATCGATGATGCAACGATCGCCATGGGTCTCGACATGACCGGCAGCGCGTTCTCGGCGGACATTCTCAGACTCGAGGTGAGAGGCCCACAGATGCCTCAGCTGACGATCGTGGACCTTCCCGGACTGGTCCACACGGAGAGCAAGTACCAAAGCGCCGACGACATCGCGCTGGTGAACTCGCTCGTCAGCGAATACATGTCCCAAGAGCGGAGCATCATCCTCGCCGTCGTATCCGCCAAGAACGACTACGTGAATCAAATCGTCCTCACCAAGACGAGGCAGGTCGACCCGAGGGGACTCCGCACTCTCGGGATCATAACCAAGCCGGACGCCCTGCACCCCGATTCGGCCGGGGAGAGGTCGTTCATCGAACTTGCCCAGAACGTCGACATCACCTTCTCTCTGGGATGGCACGTCGTACGCAACAAGGACTCGAACGAGCCGGCGGACTGGGACCGAGATACCCTGGAAGCAGAGTTCTTCCAGGGATCGCAGTTCGGCCGACTCGATCCCAAGTCCCGCGGCATCGTAGCCCTGCGGGAGCGCCTCAGCGAGGTCCTCTTCCAGCAGATCCAACGGGAGCTACCGGGTCTGATCTCCGAGATCCTGGATGCCACGGAGGAGACGCGCGTGCGCCTCAATCGCATGGGTCGCAGCCGGGCCACGGCTCTGGAAAAGCAAATGTTCGTCATGGAGCTCGGGAGCAAATTCAGTCACATTTGCTCCGCGGCTTGTGAAGGCCTCTACGAATCCCCCTTCTTCGATGAGTTCAACTCCAGCACCGTCGACCGGCGGCTTCGAGCCGTGGTACAAAACGCCAACATCGGCTTTGCTGCTTCGATGCTGGACGCTCCTCCTACGCTTCCTATCGACAGGTCCAAGAACGCGGCCCCTTCGCTTGCCCAACGGGCGAAAGAGCTCGTCCGATCTTACCGTGGGAAGGAACTCCCCGGGACGTTCAATCCGAATCTGGTGGGGCAGCTGTTCCGCGAGCTCAGTCGGTCGTGGTTCGACCACGCTCGGGGGCACATCACCGCCGTCTGGATCCACGCCAGGACGACGGTGGTGGCGATCCTGAACGAAGTGGCCGAGCAGGACGTCCGCGACATCTGCCTGAAAAAGATCGCCGATCCGGACCTGGTGCTCATGCAGGAAGAGATGACCACGCGGCTTGACGACTACATGCTTGAATTCCGCCGGCAGCCCATCACGTACAACCACTACCTCACCGAGACCGTTCAGAAGGTCAAGTACGAACGCGAATACGCCGAGGCACGTGTTAGATGCATGACCCTCTTCGCCAACGGGGCACTACGCTCGAGTGATGACGTTGACTCGATCACGAGGACGATTATCAAAAAGCCCACTGAACCTGACATGGATGCCATAGCAGCGCAGGAGTTGACGGACTACACCGAAGCTTACTACAAGGTAAATCTCTCCCTGCTCCAGCGCCAGTCACGCCAATGTTTCATTTTATTTCGTCTCGCAACTTCCGAGCCACTACTGATATCTTGTCTGTTTAGGTAGCCTTGAAGCGGGTCATCGACGAGGTGCCCTCGCACGTCATCGAACCTGCGATCATGACTCACCTCCCGCGCATCTTCGACCCTTCGAAGATACTCCAGATGCCCGAGGACCTCATCGAAGCCATTGGGGGCGAATCGGACGCGCGGAAAGCATTGCGGGAGACGCTGCAAGCCAAACTCGACGTCTTCACGCGGAGCAGCAGGATCTGCAAGATCTACTCCGATGGCACTGCTCAGAGTCATCCAACCTTGGGCTTGTCGGCCCCGAAGACCTCGCCAGAGAAGGTCGCGACCAGGTCGCCCGATGACGGAGAAATGGAAGATGCACCTGCCACTCCTGAGTCCGCAGTGGAGGTTCCCGCCGCGATTGAGGAATTTGGGTGGACTATACCCTCTTTATCCACAAAGAAAGATAAGAAAAGTAAAGTAGCCCGCGCGAAGGGCATATTTGAGTAAGAGAATTCGATCGAGATTGAGTGTGCTAGAAATGAAGTTTCTCTTGAACGTGTTAGCCATATGACTACAATGCCATCTGATCTCTCACGAAGACGCTGGCAATTGCAACGATAGGCCATAGAGTCGATGTCCCTGACATTGTTCCGGATCGGTAGGCTGTGACGTATGCCAGCCTCCAGAACTGCGTGATTGTGGCAGATTTACAAATCGTGAGTATGCGAACGGCCGAGACCATTCTCGTGCATGCTTCCGGCGTGGATCGTTTCCTTCGTGATCGTGCAAGCGAATCACTTGGAGACCCTGCTTCTCAGCAGAAATGTCTAGCAGAGCTTCAATTTCGAAAATTGGTCCACTTTGGGCGCCGACCTACCATTTCCAGAAGTGCAGCGCCTGGTCGCAACACACCGTCCTATGCATCACGACTTCCGTGCCTCGTGCATAGCGATAATGAAAATGCTACTGCACTGTGCACTGCAGAAATGACGACGTCGCGAAAGTCTGTAGAGTGAGTAGGCCAGGACAATGACCGCCACGGGTAGTGACGCGATCATGCATCCCTGCCCAAGGTGTGATATGATGGTGGTCGTGGTGGTCTGCCACCATGAAATCAATATTGCCTCTTTGCACTCACGGCCAGCAAGATGGCCAGGAATGATCGTCCCTTCCCGGACACGTCATAGCGGTGACCGGTGATGGAGATTGCCGTCGAGGATGGTGTGGGGATGTGGCAGGAGTGCGGCCTCAAATTCCGAACTTGAAGCCCCGGCGATGCAAGAGGAGCGTGCGTGAGTAGCGTTCGAAAGGACGGGAGCTCCAGATGGATTGATCACAAGGTTTTGAATACTCGACGCTGCAGAGTTCATGACGATGTTTTGCACGAATCCAGTCCTCTTCCTCCAGGCGTTATGACAATGAGAGGAATCCCATTGATTGTTTTTAAGCAGGCGATCAAGGCAGACTCGGATGAATTCTTCACCGACCAGTGTCGAGAAGCCTCAAACGGTCAGATCACGACAAGCCCATCCGAAAAGTGCATCGCAAGCCGACGCGCTCTCCTGCCTTTACGCTGGTGCCGTGACGCCACATTGTAGATGTATGCAGATGTATCCAGACTCGAAGTCGAACGCGCGCGACGGTGCTGTCATGGCGATCTCATCGCGACGCTTCGGCTGCGGTGATCGTATCGGCACAGATGTCCGTCGTGAGGACGATCCTCAGCTGGCGGCCTGGTTGACGTGCTTGTTGCCAGACTTCGGCGACTCGCTTGCAGGATCACAGGTAGCGCAGCATTGGTCGATGATAAGGTTCCGGCCACCGCATCCACTCATGCGCGTCTTGCGGCGCAGAGCTCGGGAAGAACTATACCTTTCAGGAGCGAGCATTCTGACGTGGCGGTACGTGTGTACATAGGTGTTGTCCAGAAGGAGATATCCAAGTGGGGGTAAGGGTGCATGGAGTGGTTTGTCCATCTCCCGACAGAGACGAGCTAATCGCTTATTGGGAAGGTCAGAGCGTTACAAGTGTATGGCGCTAAAATGCTCTGGAGATTTTAGTGCAGACAGCGCAGACAGTGCCTTTCATCCACGATCCTCTCTGCCGCACGCAGCACACCTGAGTGAGCGTCTAAAAAGGGTCCGCTCGCGATCGCGCCTGAGCTCGTCACGTCACGTCACGTCGCATATACGGGCGAGCCACGACGAACACCGCTGCCCACGCGTATCGGAGCGTGTGAGTTGGTGCGCAAGCTTCAATCGACCTCAAGTTCAGGGATGCTGAATGCGCAACGTCTACGAGGTGTTGTCGATGTTGTGCATGGCTTCAATGTCAGAGGCGATCGCGAATAAAACCCGGATGAGGACAGCGACCCCTATGACCAGCTCAAACGACGTCTGTCCGTCCTAACGTCACTCGTGTAAAGATGGGGCGATATGCCTTCGCCACCGTAGCTCGCGGATATTTCAACAGTCTCGTCGCCATGCCACGAGCCAGTTTAGCGCTCGCGACACAGTCCAACAAGCCCTTCACAGCTCAACAACGCCTTAGACCACGATACCATGTCGATGTCTAGCTTGGGAAGCAGTTCTATGGGAGATTCGTCCAACGATGAAGAAGTGTCTGAGCTCCGCGACTGGGCTGCGACAGACTTCTGCTTGGGGAAAAAATACTTTGAGTTTACACTTCTCAGAGTCATCGTGAAGGATCACTCCGTCTGTGATCCCACAATGCTTGATGTAAGAATATCGCTCCTGTGGGGAATCGGACACTTACTATGTGCAGTCTCTCCTATTCGAAAGAGAGCACCACTATCCTTTTGATCAGAATGTCAAATACCTCCAGGACCAACTTCGCCGTGAGCTCTGGCGTGACACCTGTACAGAGTATGACGATCTGATGGTCACTATCGGTCGCATTCAACGACTGGGAACTGCGGAAGACAAGACCCGTCTCAAAAAGAGTTTGAATCGTTTCGGGGGCGACCCCGCCAGCGGTGTCCAGCGCGATAGAGAAACGAGCCCTCCCACTCCCTCACCACCAATGCCTTCTTCTCCAACCCACGCTTTCACACAGCAGCCGAATGGCGCGCGGAGGAGATCTCCAGACATGACTACGTCTGGGCCTCCCACCGACGCGACCGCGAGCCCCTTGCACATATCAACGCTGCAGGAGTACGGGAATGCTATCGGAGAGGTCCCGAACTACACACGTGAAACCCACGATGGGCCTCCACCGCAGACAGACGTGACAGTGACGTTTCTTGGGCGTACTCTGTCGTCTAGAGCAAGGACCGCTAGGAAAGCGAAGCAGCAGGTGGCGAAAGCGGCTTGTGCAGAATTAGGTCTGCATGTTGCGCCCCAATGACTTCATCTTGCGTCTCGGCTTGGATATGCGAGAGGCCGCTCAATTGCCTGCTGAGTAGCCTAGTTATTAACTGTACAGAGAAGCATTTGTTTACGACGTTTGATCGATTGTATTGTTTTTGTGACACAAATAGTGTTTAGGCACTGGTCTCTCATGGAACCACAACATTCTGAAGTCCGCGGGGTGACCGATGCCTCTCTTGGCCATGATGCAACTCTGTTTGCCCCATCCCCCGATGAAATTCGACTCTTTTACGAACGACTGCTCCTGTGGAGCGTCCTTCGCCCGAATGGCGTTCGACGAGCGATGCCGGTGCGCACTCGCTGGCAGCGCTACCTTGACTCGCTCGCCTTCCTGTGCGACACGCAAGGTGGAGGCAACACGGTCTCGGCGCTTGTCGTACAAGATCGCTCGACTGAACTTCGCTACTGGGTCGCTCGCAACAGCAGAACAGAGGTCGCGGTCAGCCGGCTCAGCTGGCTGCTGGGACAGCTGCATCCCTTGCGGTCGCCAGCCCTCGTTCTCCTTGCAGAAGATCGTATCCTTGGAGAGATTGTGGGAGATTGCGAGCGTAGGATAGACGATTATCACAGACGTCTTACTATTGTGATGAAGGAAGCTCTCGTTTCGACGAAGGATGAGGGTCAGCATCGCTCATACATATCGGGACACATCGAGCTCTGTCTGACCGTTTGCAGAAGAAAAATCCTTTTTGGGACAACTTCAAGAGATGTTTTCGAAGGTGAACGGTCCGGCTGCTTTATGTAAGAAGGCCTATTCTTTCAGGTCGGACGTCATGCACCAAAGGATCAAAGGCATAATCGTCCAGAACGCGAAAGTGAAAGTGTGGCGTAAGATCCGACACTATCTGGGTCGATTAGGTGCGTGGCCCCGAGCGGTCAAAATTATTCTCCAGTACTGGCCTACGAATCCGGTATTGAGAAGGAAATTCGATGTCATCGCGATTCCCGACCCGCAGGCGCTGTACTGGCCACACGGAAAAGACCTCGACCTCGTCAACGTATTGTGCGAAGCGATTCCAGCGTTGGATGCAAATGTCGACCGTCGACAGATTGAAGCACGGTTTCCGGTATTACAACCGACCCCAGCCAGGACAACCGATAAATTGATATCTTCACGAGTAGCGCATGCCGAGTCCGCGTTGGCAGACCACATCTCCCAGATCGAAGGCTTCCGGTTCCTGGGTGGCGATCGATACGTCGGGGTGAGCAAGCCTTCTTGCTACTGCTGCTGCAAGTACCTGGCGTACCACCCACTCAACCTCACGCCCCGACAAGCCCACAACAAAATTTATGTCAAGTGGTCTCCCACGGCTTTTGGCAACGCGGAGAACAGCGTACTCTCTGTGACATCTGCCTTCATGGCGCTGGGAGAACACCTGCGGAGTGAAATTGAAAGGGCCGTCTCCGATGACGGCGGCAGCGTTGGGCAGAGTTCGCGTCCGGACTCCGTCACAGACATGACCAGCAGCCGCGTGCCGGGTTCCGTTCGAGAATGAACGTCGTCGAATGCAGCATCGCTGGACGCAAACGATTGGTCGAAGGTAATGACACAGATGAAGTCTGAGGATGAGGGATATGTTGTCGTGGCCAAGAGATGGAGCGGTGGGGTCCGATTGCATACTAGGTACGCTCCTCTCGGGCGAATCCTGGTCCCAAGAAACATGCGGTACCGCGCCTTTTCACTTGATCATGAGTGATTGACCACTTAGCGTCTGCACTTCCCTGCATACGCTGGACGCGCTTCCCACCCATGCGCTATGCAGGTCATCCCTTTTTGAAAGTACAAAGCAACAATAAGATAGGACGTTCCCGCCTAACAATATTGTAAATCGAACCTCTCTCCCCCTCTCTCCACTTCTTGTTCAATCTCTTTCTATTTGGGAAAATCTTGCTCTTCGTGGACGAATCTTGTGAAATTTGATCGTACAAAGAGTACCCGTGGCCGAAATATCCATTTGTCGATGTCTGCCATGGCTGGAGATTTGTCTACAGGCGACGCACTTGTTATCTTATCGCTTCAGTTGGAAGATCTGGAATCGGTCAGTAAGAAAGACAAAGGCAAGTATGCATCAGGCAACCTTCCAGATCAAGTCGTTGCCGTCGACGAATATCGGGCAGAAATCGACCGACATAGGCAATTCCTTGAAGACTTGCAGCTTGCCAAAAGCATCGCTCAAGCCGTTTACACCGATGCTACACTATTGAACGAGCTCGCCGCACAAGACATCCAAGCATATGAAGATCGCAATTATGCGTTACAAATCAGTAGTGAAGATGCTGAATTTCAGGATCCTCCGGGCCAGGACCGCTACGAAACAGAATCAATCAAGGACTGGGTGTCAATCGTCACCGATTCGTTTCAGGCCTGCTCCTTGGCGGACATTGAGTCCACCGATAACGAGAATGACAAAGCTGGTCCATCCACGACATACGCCGAACGGCAAGCAAAGATCTTGGACAAGTTGTCAGAGCAGTTCATGTGCAACACGTGCCTAGAGCGTCACCATGCCACCGTCATGATCAAACTTCCCTGCGAGCATCGCTTCTGCGCCGAATGCCTGAAGGGATTGTTTCTCAGATCGATCAAAGACGAGACGCTTTTCCCCCCACGTTGCTGTCAGCAGGGAATCCCGTTGAGCCTGGTCAAGAAGCACATGTCGTCTCATGAAATTGAAGCTTTCGAGGATGCAAGTATAGAGTTCACGACCATCGACAAGACATACTGCAGTAATGGCGCATGCAACAAATTCATTCCTCCAACAACAGGCACGATCTTCCCTAACACGGCAAGATGCAAGAGTTGCGCAGCGCTCACCTGTACCATGTGCAAGGGGGGATACCATCATGACAGCGAGTGTCCGAAGGACGAGTCCGTTGAACAGACGAAGGTGCTCGCACGCGAGTTGGGCTGGCAAGAGTGTCCTCGATGTCGCTCCTTCGTGGAGCTTCGAAGCGGCTGCTATCATATGACGTAAGTTGGAACCCCATGTCCACATCTGATTCTGACATCCATACGCTATTCGGATCACGCTGACCACGACCTAGCTGCCGTTGCAAGGCTGAATTCTGCTACCTCTGCGGTGTCACCTGGCCGGGCTGCAACTGTGTCCGCGCCGACGAAGGTCGCATCGAAGAGCGAGCGGCGGAGATCGTCGACCGGGACGCCGAGCATGTCATCGCCCCTGCTCGACGAGCGCGGATGATCAATCAAGTCCGAGACCACTTGCTGGAGCATCATGAATGCACGCATTCACGCCATTTCGAACGCATCACAACATTCAGGCGCCGCGGCTATCAGTGCGAGATCTGCGACGCGCGCCACTGGAACTACATCCTACAGTGCCGCCGCTGTTACATGAATGTTTGCGAGGACTGTAGACGCCACCGAGTCTGAATGCTGGCCGCCACGTACTGCGATGTGAAGGTTGACGTCGCGGGCACACCGGTCGCTCGCTGGGTCAGAAGGCTGTCGAGGATATGCATTTTCGTTTCTTTCATCCCCAGGATATGCAATTCGTTTCTTTCATCGCCCGCACGTTCGTCCGGAGAAGCCCATTGTAGGGAATCCGCATATGCTATCAGTGGATACCACAGAGATTGAGATGGTACTGAATGTTACGGAGCTCGTTCCCACCTGACGGTTATCGTCTGCAGTACAGTACACTTCGAATGAACACGTCGGGCTGCACACGGGCCTGCTACGGGGCACGTCGCGATGCGGCCACGATACCCTAAGACTGACCGTTACCTACCTACCTGGGTACAGTTTCTTGGTCATTATTCTGTTTTGAGGCACTGACTGCGGCTGAGATTTAGCTTTCGTAGTGTCACAACGCGTCAAACGCCGCGCGCTTTGGATGAGGAGTTGTAGAGTATTAGCTGTCTGCCTCTTGTTGGGAAATGCCTTCTCATGATTCTATGTGGGCGACGAGAGTGCGGCCCTGGAAGAAATGTCTCGGGATTGTCTGAGAGCGCATGGGAATGGCGTTTCGGTAGTGCCAGTCCAGTAGTAAGCACTCCCGCTTCCCGCCCGCCCGCTGGTGTTGACGATGCTTTGCTCTCTCTTTGGACTGTACTGCAGCAGCGTGTGAAGAGAGAAGCGAGTGTTGGTCGTCGCGTGGGAATTCTTTCGCAGCGTCGCGCTTTCAGCCATCCGCCGCCCAATCGATATCATCATTCGTCCATCCATTCGCCCATTCAGAGAAGAGGTATGTATGTCTGCTTTACGTCGCCGTCTGCGTCTCTGCGCCCGCCTCCACCTCACCGTCGCGCCCTTTGCGCTCTCCCCTTCCGCTCCACTACCGTCTCTCCCATCGACCTAGTCCATCCTCACCACCACCCTTCCATCCGGCCTTTGCGCTCGCGCGCCTCAACCACTGCTCCATTGGCGCGCGACGGGCACCCGAACCATGACAGCTCTTCTCCTTCTCCCCTCATCACCTATGGCTTCACCTCGACAGATCCACAATCACCGTCTCTCTTGCGCTTTCGCTCCATACCCTCGTTGGTGAGAGACACGCGTTGACTGACCTACCCATCGCGCCAGCTCTATCTCTCAACCGAATCCATATGGGACGCGATCAGCATTAATCTCGGTCCGCCCGTCATCAAATCCATTGACTCCGACTTCACCATTCTCACGCCTTCATGTCCGTCCCTCAGCTCACCCACGGCCAAGATTGGTCCAATCACAACTTCAATTCAAATTTGCCGGTGGGAGGACACGGCGCCGATAACGATTATCGCGCTGTCGATGGCTCAGATTCCATCCGAGAAGGGAAACAAAAGGCTCGCGAGGCCATGGTCGCGGCAGGCGTAGATCCGGGCGCATCGCCAATCGGACGACAACAATCTTCCACCCCTAATGGCCTCACACCCACCAATGGCCATCCGCCTCTGGGCCGGAAACGATCACGCGATGGGACGCGACTACCATTGAGCCAGGGAAAGACGAGTGATGATGGGACCGGCGCAGCGCAAAGCCCTCACGATGAGGTTCTATTAGATCGCTACATTCAACGCGACCTTTTGGCGGCCGCGGCGGCCAATGATCAGGCGCAAAGGTCGCGGGACTTGCTGCACGCCATGGAACAGCGCAAGGCGGAAGCCGTCATGGAGTTTGAGGAGCGAAGGAGAAACATGCCACAACAACCACCACCTATCATGTACGCGATGAATCGACCACGACCTAACAAGCGGAGACATCCCGAACTTGTGGTGAGGCGCAAGGACAACCTCAAACAAGCCGAATTGCACGAGGAGCTGGTCCCGGTGCGCCTCGACTTGGAATTGGATAAGCTACGGATACGCGACACATTCACCTGGAACCTCCACGAGAAAATCATCTCGCAGGATCAATTCGTGGACTTTCTTTTGGAGGACCTCAAGGTACCGCAGGAATCGCTGGCCGAGGTGGGACGACAGATCCGCGCGGAGATGCAGGAGCAGATCCACAATTATTACCCGCATATCATCGTCGAAGACCAACCGCTCGAGCCGACGCGCCCATATTTCGAGTACAAGGACGATGAAATGCGGATTCAAATCAAGATCAACATCACCATCGGCCGGATCACGCTCATCGATCAATTCGAATGGGATATCAACAATCCGGAAAACTCCCCGGAGGAATTCGCACGGCAGATGGCTGGGGAGAATGCGCTCAGTGGTGAATTTACCACGGCCATTGCGCATTCGATCCGGGAACAGAGCCAACTTTACACCAAGAGCCTCTTCCTCACCAATCATCCCTTTGACGGCCGACCGGTCGAAGATCCTGAACTCAAGGATGGTTTCCTCCCCGCACCATTACACTCCGCCTTCCGACCGTCACAAACCCAAAAGGATTTCCAACCGATCATGTGGGAGATGAGCGAGGCCGAACTGGATCGCATAGAAACGTCCATGCTGCGCGAGCATCGCGCGGCGAAACGTCAGCTCAACCGACGCGGCGGACCGGCTCTCCCTGATCTCAAGGATCGCCAACGGACGATTCGCTCCCTCATCGTACACTCGGTCATCCCTGGGGGTGTCGAGACTTTCGACACGACCGGAATCCTCAAAATTCGGAGGAGTGGTGTCGGACGAGGTCGCGGCCGGGGTGGTCCTCGCACAGAAGGCGCGGAGGGTGATTCCGATGATGTGGACAGCGATGATTCCGGTCCCGACTCACCGGCGCCCTCGGCAGGCATGGCGGGCACTGCACGGACCCGTGGTATGCGTGGCGCCGCGGTGGCTGCGCAGGCTTCCTTGCGAGCTGGCTATGGTCGCTCTCAAACGCCAGATCTGCAAGTGGAGACACCAAGAGGTCCCGGCGGTCGGCGCAGCATGCTCCGCGAGGAGAGTACCGTCGCCGAGGACCGGCCCGGCGACGGCGAGTCACTTGTCGTCAAGCTCAAGATCAACAAGGCACGCTACAAGGCCTGGCTGGATGCACACCGGGCGAAGAAACGCGCCAGCGAATTTCCTCTCTCGGGCTACGCCTCCCAACCTTACCCATCCTCATCCGCTCCGACGTCACATCCTCAATCACACCAGCAACAAAGCGTCGCCACGCCTGCCCGCTCTAATTCCGCCGCTGTAAACACTCCGGTGATGAAATCCCGCACTCTCCCCTCCGCGGCCAACGCACGCACTCCCCAACCTCCGAACAACCGCTCCTCCGTTCCACCTCGTTACGACCCCAACGGCGCCATCGACATTGACGTCTGGCCTGCCGCCGACGACGAAGCAGTACGTACATGACTTTGTTCTTCCATGGAATCAATCCAATGCTAACTCCCCATCCAGCCTCCACCCCCACCCTGGCTCGAAACCGACCTCCAAACCCTCCACGAGCGGTACCTCGACGACGACCTCACAGCACACATGCGCCCTTACCTCGTCGACCCAGCACAACCGACCCGCGCATTGACCGTGCTCCCAGGCACGACCACCCGTCTGGAACCGGGCATGCGCGCACCCCCCTCCCTTTCCCTCCCCGGCGAGACCTGCAAAATCCAATACCAGCCCCGCATCCGCTGCAACGACTGCACCGGCAAGTGGTACAACGTCCGCAGGGGCAAGGTCGTCGAGGACTTCGAGGTCCATCTGAGAAACCGGGGGCACATGGAGAACGTCAAGGCGCGGTTGGCCGCGACGGCCGCGAACCCGGCGGGGGGGAACGCTCGGGCGGTGTAGATTGCGGTTCAGAAGTGGAGGGTCCGCGTGGCCGTGGCGAGCGGGGAAGAGGTGGAGGGAGAATGAAGGGGAGGGAGAGATCGAAAAGGCCCCATGGGAGGGGGGGTCCGTCCCTCTTTCTCGAACGGGAAATCTTCATCGTTACTCGTCGTTCTGCCCCGTTTTTCGTTCTTTCCACTTTCTCGGGCGGGCCAGCGAACCCTTTTTGTGTATATATTCTGTATGACGATTGAATTGCCCGCCGCCGCCGCCCTCTCCCTTCGGGTATTGAAAGTGAGAGCGCAACCAGTGAGCGCACGAAAGATACCGAGAGCGAGAGAGAGAGAGAGAACGTAATTTCTTGACACAGCGTACGGTGGACACCCGGATTCGTCCTTCCAGCACCTTCGTCATCGTCGTCGCCAATCATTATAGTCGCCGGAGAGCCGTTTTCATATCCGAGGGCTCGCTCCTGGGCCTCTTTTGTTGTTGTTTTTGTTTCAAATGGTCGCATCTGCTCTCCGGCAAGCACGGCCGTGGGCGAAGTGGTGAGATGGCGATGTACAGACCGCCACACGCGGGCGGACGGAGAGACGGACCGAGGGCGCGGCAAAAGAAGGGAAGGATCGGCCTGTGGGAAAGGCCCAAACGGTCTTGGACAAGCAGTGTCGGTCCCAGATGACGCTGGGATTACGAGGATGGTGGTGGGAGTCCGAGGGACGAGGAACTAGAACCGAGGACTAGAAAAGAGTAGATAAAAGAGAGCAAGAATAAAAGGAACGGAGAATGGTTTCTGAATGATTTGTATTTCCTTTCCTATCCCCCCCCCCCCCCAAGGCTTACAAAGAATGGCGATGACTATAAGGGCGACGACCCTGCCTCCAATCGAGGTTGGTCACCGTGTGTATGTGTGCGGTATTGTGAAGAAGCGGAACGGCATCGACCCTGGCGCCCAGAATCTGCGTTGATCGGTCATCCTTGCTCGGGGCCGTCCGATCTCGAAAACAATGAAAGAGGGTGGAGGGTGTTCACGCTTGCCCCGTCGCCAACATCTTCCAAGAGGGGATGATGGAAGCGCCAGTGGGGTTGAGATCTGAGGATTTGTGATGTTTCGATGCTGGTGAGGGTTAATGATGATGATGATGATGATGATGACGATGACGATCATGTGACTGATGATGATAGGATGTTGCGGGTGAGCGTGTTGTGAGTGAGAAAGAGGCAAGAGCATCGGGAGCCAGGTTGGAGCATCCAACGTGTGAGTCCCTGGAGCTCGAAGTGACGTGCGTGCAGAAACGGGCCATCCGAGCTGCGGTCGTCTTTGTTATATTCGATGTTACGCGCTGCTTGTACGAGAAAAAAAAGACGCCGTTCGTGAGGATGCCGTAAAAGTGAGAAACAGTGTCCCTGTGCCTCTAATACGATGGTATGATCAACGATGTAAAAGATATCGTGTATTGCTTCGTTATCGGGCCTGGCCGAAGAAGGTCTGGCGTAGGTCTTGTAGAGACAGCGAAGCGCTCGCTCGGCTTGCAAAATGCCTGGTTTCGATCAACAGCAACGCTTCTGATGAGCTGCAGCTGGTGGTGATGATTTAGGAATTGGGAAAGAATGGCTTCAGGCGTGGGCTGTCTGCGAGCCAAGCATCCCACAACAACGGCGCCCGTCGACAGCAGCTCAGCACCATCACAGTAGAGCGTACAACAAAGCCTACAGCTACGCTCATGATAGGCCGCAATTCAATTTCCGACGGATGAGCTCCTGGAGCATCTCGAGCTCCTTGCGTTGGTCAGCGGATAATTGTTCGGCCTTCTTCTCCGACGACGGCGGCGACAATGGGACAGCAGACGTCACAGCCGAGCGAGGCGCTTCTTCATCTACAGCCTTCATCATCTGTGCGATGACCTCGGATGGAGCCTCGGCCTGTTCGCAAAATAAGATTAGTATTGGCTGACGTCATATTGTCATCTGCAGGGCAACGGGGAAAGGGGATGCGAAACCACTTAGCCGGGGAAACGTACGATGAGAGTTCCGACAAGAGTGGTGACCTTGTCGCGACCCAAGTCGAGATCATTCTGCTCACTTGCAAACTGTGCCAGATTGAGTGCCAATTGTTGCTCGATGAAAGGTCGTTTGGCGAAATTGGCCTGTTCAAGCGGACTTGGCGCGTGTTTCGTCGGCGTGGGAGTAGGCGTGGGGCGTTGGCGTCGCCTGTGCCGGTCATGCGCGCTTTGGTCGCGGATGGATTGCACGCGCGTCCTAAGACAAGCCATCGAGTCAGCACACTTTCGTCCATCGCGAGATTGCTGACCGTGTCGCAAAACGGCTCAAGCACCATCTGGGTGATGTTTCGGGAATACTCACGTTTTGACCTTGTCAATGAAATCCAACATGATGCCCTTCGCAGGCAATTTATATACTACCGGCGTGTCTTCGTGCTCGTAGAATTCCGAATCTGAGCTTTCCGATTCATCCTCCAGGATCTCGATGATTCCGTTGTTGCGAAAGCCACGCGTCAGACTCGACTCGACAAGTTTCGCGTTCTTGGGCTTGCGTTGATGGAATTGTCGACGATTTAGCACGGACGCGTCGACCTTGCGCAGCTCCTGGTCGGCGTGCAGTGGGCACATCCAGTCATGGACCTTGCGACCATTCTGACTCACGGCTGGCGGGTTGGCTAACGGCGGATCCAAGCAATCGAGATGCCATGGCTGTGCACAAAAGTCGCAGGTGACAATGGCGTTTTGCCGCCGTGAAGACAGCCCGCAATGATAGCAAAGTATCAGGTTGCCTTTATTGTCGCGTTCTCTCAAGTAGTCTGGTTGCTCATCTCCATAGCCGGGGCGATGCCTGTGAGAAAAGTGAATGTGTTAGAAAATCCTGTTGCCCAGTTCAGCCCCCACAATTTCCCATCACGAACCTAGTGGTTTTCGACAGCGATTCCACGAAATTGCCGTTCTTATCGGCGGCGACTCCCTCGAAATAATCACGCACTTCCAAAGGCAGCGTGAAATTGGTGGGATTCTTCTTCTTCAGTACGCCGAGCAGTGGCGCGAACAGCCCTCGCGTGGGCTTTTCCGGTGAGTCGGCAAACGGTCGCTTGGCCACGATGCAAACAAAACAATACCAAGGCTCATCGAGTTCTTTCGCGTCGTCGCTGATGGGTGGATCGAGGCATGAGAAGTGGAATGAACGGTCGCAGCCGTCGCAGCAAAGGAGATAACCGGTTCCGCCACACGCCGAGCAAAAGTCGTTGTTCTCAGAAGCCTTGTGATGACACGTTAGATCATGTTGTTCAAATTCATCTTGCAGCATGTATGAAGATGGTGGCGACGATGTTCGGAAATGTGGGAGATGCATGTTAATGTGTAAAAGACTGAACGGAAGAACCTCGTATGTGGGAGTTGGGAAGGGGATTTAGCGCGCGTTGTGGCTTGCCTTACCTCTTCATTGTCATCATCCCCGATCGGGCTTCCCTTCTCCGTGGCACCGGCGACAGGTAATCCGCCAAATGCTGATGTCTGTTTTTTCTCTGGTCTAAAGAAATCAGATTGTGTCAGTAATTCCATCACCCTCTCTTCACGTAGTTGGTTCGCACGATCTTCCGGCTTGCCCCGCGCCACGTATTCGGATGTGACAAGCGACGATGGAAACCCGCACACAGTCACGTAGCGAACGCAATCAGAGCAGGCGACGAAGTGTTTATCGGTGGTAGAGGCGGGAAGTGTACTTACGACTTCTTCGTCTTTGCGCGCTTTCCGAGGTTTTTGGGTGGATTTGCCCACTGTGGTGTACTGTGTCCTGAAAGGACTGGCGAAAGGTCAGATAGCGGTGAACCATCAATCATCATGGAAGATGCTCGACTGTTATGGTCAGTTGTATTGTGCGTAGATAGCCCATTAGCTGTCGGGACAGCTTGTGCACTGTGTCGTGTTCGATGCGAGCGCGAGGCAGTCACGGTTGGCTCTCGCGCTGGCCGCAGATTGCTCTCTTCAAAATCATAATCCCGTATCACTGCAGCACCTAATTCGTGCTTAAGGCGTGCGATGCCATCTGCCTGACCGTTTTCGATGGTTCTCTTGTCACTTGGTAGGGCAGGTGGCGCGCTCTCGAGTTTTATCGGCTGTGCTTCAGCCTTGGATTTCTTGCTGCTAGACTTGGGCTGCCCGAGCTCCTCATTGTCTGAAAATGCTTCCGCAGAAGAACGCTTGCCTATCCGTCCTGGTGAACGTAAGCCGGCATCATTCGGCGAAAGAGCATTTTGTGCTTGAAGGTTGACTGTGAGTAAGTTTCGAGTCCGACCTTTGAGCTCATCAGTGCTGCCATTTGCTTTTGATGCAGGCTTTTTGGCAGACTCGGGACGATCCTCGTCAGACGTAAATTGTGTGAGCGAAGAGTCACTGCCAGCACTGCCAGGTCTTTTCTTGGGCGATTCTTTGCGACTTGCGTGGGCTCCATTTTGCGTCTCCGCGTGCTTGGCGGGGTTTCGCACTTTCAGAGAAATCCGGGGCCTGGGCAATGTCGGAGTCTGCGACGCAACCACAGTGGTAGGTTCGCTCGTTCCACTGCTCGTTGTTCGCGTCGCATCTGAGGGTGTTGTGGAATTAACGACAACTTCTGGGATCGGTCGGGAAGGCTTGTGTGATCTGGCACCTTTCGTCTGCTTTTGTATCTTGCGCACGTAGCCCTGGAAAATCTTTCTCTCTTCAGTGGATGCTACTTCAGTCAAGACCTTGCGTAGAAGCTCCTTCAGGTTGTCGTCGGTGTGGCTAAGTTTGTAAATCTCATCCACAGTCACGGCGAGATCAGGCCTGTTCGCGGCATGGGCGCGTTGTTTGGCCGAGTCGATGACTTCCTGTAATTTCTCGGCGCTGTACCAAGCACCTCGAGGTCTGGCAGGCTCGCTCGAGGCAGCCTGCTTTTCGCTCTTTTGGGGCGTGACAACTGCTGCCGATTCTGTTTTCCGAACTGATGGCTTGGTCACCCTTGATCGTGTTTTCCGCTCCCCACGCTTTCCAGACTGCGGTGCATAGTCCTCATCTTTCTCGTCCTCTTTAATCATGATCGGTAGACCCTCTGCATTCTCCATCAGGGGCAACCGCGAAGGTACTGGTGACCCTTCAGGGGTATCCTGAGCTTCGGTGCCCAAATTCGCTGCATTTCGCCCCAGGAGAGACTTGCGAGTACCCTCGCCCTTCACCCGTGCTTTGACCTTCGCGCTCGGCGCCTCGCCAAGAGGCTGCATGTGCTCGAGGACGCCGTAGGGCAGACCGCCATGATCCTGATAACTCGCCTTCGGGGCGGCAAGGGTGGGTTCGACCCATCGGTCCATGAACGTCTTCTCTCGAGCCTTGTCTTTGCTGTTGACTACGGGAGTCGTGTCGCGTACACGACTGGTGTCGAGTCCGCGGCTGTCCGTGGATTCTCGAAGTTTGCGTTTGCTTTCCCGATTCTCCGGCATCCTGTCGCTGCCGCGCCCACTGTGGCAGAAGTTAGCAGACGGTCATTTGATCTTCTCCAGCGCGTCATAATCACCGAGGGCAAAGCTAGATAAATTTTGCGAACAGAGTCGTGCCCGATCGCGTGAGCGATGCGGCAGCGCGCGATATGTTCGGATGGGAAGGTAGCAAAGTGCGGAAGAGAAGCCGACGACTTCCACAGAGCCCGAAGCGGACCGTCCGCTGTGATTACCGGATTTATCAAGATGATTCACACAAACCATGCATGATAGTCCATGAATTTTCCGACCGTGATGTTTACGGTGTATGAGTGGTAAGAGAAGAAGGTGTTCTAGTGAAATCGTATGTAAAGTGGTGAGTGTGATGCACGACGATGGTCACTTCTTTGCGATGTGAATATTTGCTTCAACCTCCTGACCAACGTTCACCGGACCATGGAATGTACGTTTGTCACATAGCGGCCAGATTGCATGTGAATGACAATTATTCAAAGGCTAACGAGAGACATGCTGCGAGGGATCATGATTTGCTACAAATTGTATGCTCCTACAAGCGGAATGCCAGCCGGCGAAACAAATCAACCATCGTGGCCTTCCAGGAAATGCCACGACAAGACAGATATCATGCAGAAGTGAAAGACTTGTACTTCTTCATCCCAATATGCTATTCATCACAGCATCGCAGAAGTTGAAGCCGGGCGATATTACTCGTCGTCTTCATCATCGTCATCGTCCTCGTCATCGTCTTCCTCCTCTGCCTCCTTTGGCGCGGCCTTCTTCGCAGCCTTCTTCTTCTTTTTCTTGTTCTTAGGCTTTGAAGTAGTGGCCTTGGCCAATGGTAATTCCAAAAGCTTCAAGATCTCCTCATCGGTGATCTTCTTGTCCGACTTCCATAACGAAGTGTCAGGAGCTGCTGGGGCTGAGATTTTTTGGACGCCATTCTTGGTGATCGCTATTGCCACAAGTCAGCAAATTTTGTTTTCCCATGCAAAGATGTGTTGGCCGGAAAGATAGGTGTCGACGTGGAGAAATTTCACTTACCAACTGTGGTGAAAAGTCTGCTCACGGGCTGCTCATCGGCAGATCCGATGACCTCGTATTGGCGCACAACACCACCTCGGACACACTCTACGATACCGACTTTACCAGCCCGCTCATCCTCGAGCTGCCGTAAGCTGAAGGGGAAAGTACCAAACTTCTTTTGAATCTCGGACAGAGTGGCGCGAGAGCTGGGTCGCTTGAGACCGTACGTGATGGCGGTTCGTCGATGAAGAGTGGCTCTCTTGGGCAAGGTCTTGACCTTTCCGGTACCGAGACTGACACCGACTTCCACACCCCATACATCGCCCACCTCGGGAAGGCCCTCGCCCTTGACGCCTTCTCCGGGTGCCAAAATAATCTTCTTCTTGCTCTCAATTTCATTCCTCTCGAACAACCAGCAAGTTGTGTTCTCCACCAAGTTGCAGTCGAAGCTCTTCACCACCTTTTCCAGCAGCTGTGTGATCTTAGACTGGCTGTATGGCTTCACCGCTTGCGCCTTCTTCTTCTCCTCGTCTGTTCCCTGAGCCAAAAGACCTGGCGGCAAAAGTAGACGCAACAGAAGCTCATTGGCGTAGTATGTCGCGAGCAAAAGATCTGCCTCTCGTCCGGATAGCGACTTCTCCGAGTCATCCTTGGCGCGGACGACGACTGTGTCACAGACGATGGCGCCAAAGCCATCAATCTGTGCACCCAGCTGGATCTTGACTGCCTCGTTGGCGGACAGCGCAACCTCTGCCTCTTCGGCATCCGAAACCAGCGGAGTGTATGGCGTCACGTAAGTGCTCGGGGAAACGGTACACGGGTGAGAAATGCCCTTGGTGACATTCTTGCCCTTGTAGACCTTTGTGACCTCCTCGGCGAGAAGCTTGTCACCCCTTTGGCATATGTCCAGGATTTTCGCGCCTTCAACACACCATCCTACGGATTGTCAGTCATAGTTGTGTCGCTACGGAAAGCTCCGACCTTACCCGAGACGGTCTCGAGAACCTTTTGCGAGATCTGGGCGGCAGTCTTGTATTTGGTGAGGCTGCAGTCGTTGTCAACAAGGCGGTCAGTGGGGAACAAGGTGGGACAGTTGATGCTCACGTGTCCGGGTTCGCGAGCGTGTAATCTGAGATCAATAGTTAGTCGATGTCAACTGGAGAATAATGCAGAGCTTATTGATCGTACCGGCGGCGGCGGCTTGATCAGCCATGTTGGGCGAGATCAGGTGAATTGATGTGAGGTTATTGTTTCAATTGAGATGCCCACAAGTTTGAGGACTGAGCCAGAAGAGAGAGAGGGAATAATGACGGCAGCAGCAGTTGGTCCCAAGCAGCAGAAAAGTCACGGGTCTGCGGAGTAACGATCCCAGGCGTCGGGGCGAAAATGCAATGTGGATGGCGGGCGTGCATCCAGGCGTGCTGCTTTTGTGTGCGGCCGCCCAGTTGTGGGTGTTTTTGGTGGGGCAGAAACACGAGAGTGATGGGCACGAATAACCAATGGGCCATGACTGACCCCACCACCGTCACTCTGGATGTCATAAATGATAACGAACCAGCACAATGTCAATACGCAGCACTACACACTGGGATCACACTGTTGTTGTCCCATTATCCACCTGCATCTTTCAAAGCGCATACCTGCCTGATACTCTGGTGCAGGTGGACAAGAAAATACTGCATGGCACTGCTTCCATGTCACCGCTCTTTAAGCGACAAGAGCAGGTGGGTTTTACATCCTCCCTGATGATCGTCTCCCCACTGCAAAGGAGTATCAACACACAGCCATCAGATCGGCCTGATTTCTGGCTCTCCTTCCGGCGTAGGCAGGGAGAGAAAATGCCTCAAGATGCAACGATAGGACACGAGACGGCGAATGATCGATGTCTCCGACTACCAATGGATCTTTAAATTTGACGCCTCGAAGTACGCCCCGTGCATCCACGGACACTGTATCCGTGTTTCTGGTCGCGTGTCGTCTAATGGAAAGCGAGGCCTCGGGCTGAGTCCTTGAGCCCGTCGAGTGTCATGGTCTATGATGTGTCACGCGATCGTCGAGAAGTGAGCCAGCATGTACAGTATCCACCAAATTGCGTTCAGATAGCTGATTGGGATCTCGCTGGACTGGCATCTCACCGGGACAGGTACGATCGAGTTCTCCTGATCACCACCGGCTCACGTTTGTGAAGCTCGATCATCCACTTGTTCTGACGGCCGGATTTGTTCAAAATGTGTTATGCGTACACGAATGTTGCGGAAGTGTTCAATGCTGGAGGCCGGGGTGGTCGATTTTGGCTGTCGAGATTTATTATGGATGGGACATCATCGCGCAGGAGCTCTGTCATCGATCAGGTAGGGTAGGCCTCACCACTACCTGCCCCAATGCACGTGCTGCCAAGCTCACCGAAGATGAATTGAGTCCAGTGAAAGTAGACAGCAGTAAAGAACGTGAACAGGTGTATTCCCTGACTTCGCAATATGGAAGCTCGTAACAATGATACAGCCCGTCGCGGGCGGAAGTATTTTCTCGTCGTGTCCCATCAGTGACACTGAACGGACCCACCCGCTCCCGGCCAACGTCAATCGTTTGGCTAGCTGGGCGCTGGTGCGTGCTGGTGCGTGCCTGCGTGTCACTTGCGGCTCGAAATCAGCCTGATGCCCGTGGACTTCATGCCGATTGTCTTGCCCTCTTCCAAAAGCAAGCTCTCTGGGCATCAAGAGGAACGCCTGTATCATGGGTTCTAAGAAATGACTCGGCAACCAGGCGGAAGAACGAAGCTGAGACGTTCTCTGTGACGCTCACCTCGATCGCCCAAAGCCGGATTGGTAACTGGTCGTGAGACCATTCCCACAGCGTCATCGCCAAATTCCTAATAGTCGATCATTTCCTCAACCTCCTCCGATTTCGAAAACCTAAACTGGCCCGACATTTACACAATTGACCGTGTTCTCTGCAGCCCAAACCAAGCAGGCCTTCGCAGACCGAAATCTCCAGCACTTGATCACTCCAATCACTAATTTGTTGGAACATCATAGCCGCGGGACGCTCGGTATTTGACCCGAACCACATTAGCAAAGGACAAGCCACGTGCAAGTCCTGTCGGTCTTCACCATCATTTGCCGGTTTGAGGGCTACGAACCACTGTTACTCTCTTTCCAGCGTCTTCGAGATACTCGCTCCTTGTTTACTCCTTCCCATTGGCCAATGTCATCCCAGGATCAGCTCTCGCCCACTGATGGTGATGATTCAATAAGTGATTCCTCGCCACAAATCATCCCTGTAACCCCGACCATCAGCAATTCCGCCTATGCTGATCCGTCTCCATACTTTCGAACAGTACGCAGCCCTCCCGACTACATTCTGGACAGACTAGAGGCTGGGGCGACTTCTGCATCAACTGGTGCGGCTCGAGAGCTTTTGGCGGCTGTACAGGCCGACGCTCCAATCTCTCCAGCGGACCTGGCCGATAGCGCTCGATCTCCAGCAGGATTGCTACGGCGCCTAAGCATGGCAGATGCATCGAGCAAAGCCGCGGCTGCCGCCAGAGCATCCGACCCACGAACCACCCATCCTTCTCTGAACTTGAGCGGAAATGTGATCAGCGCGGCATTCTGCGTGCCGTTCAAAGTACATTATTGCCCAGATGGCAGCTGGCAGCTTGACTCGCGGCATGGTACTTCCGCCCTGTTCGAGTCGTTGTCCTATCTTTCGTCGGCGGAATCCCCGTGGGTACACACTTTAGTTGGCTGGACAGGCGAGATAGCGAAAGGCCATCGCCAAAAGGAGCCTCCGATCACATGTCAGGAGGATGGAGGCCCTTTCGAGCAAAATCCGAGGTCCACTCATGGTGCTGGCACATACGCGGAAGCAAAATCATCATCCTCGCACGAGCCGTGTCTTCAGATATCCAGCTCAAGTCGAGCGCAGCTTGCCAAAGATTTGACAGCTCAGCACGGAGGTAAAGTTACACCGGTTTGGCTTCCGGATGAGATCACAGACGACGACACTGCTATTCTTCGCGATCAAAGACGATGGCGAAAATATGGCGAGCACGAGCTCTTTACCTTATTCCACTACAAGCAGAACGAGCCGACAGATGGTCGCGCGGTCCGCAAGCAATGGGTTGATTATCACTGTTTAAACAAAGCATTTGCTGATGCCATCGTTGACGCCTACAAACCTGGAGACATTATTCTCATTCATGACTACCAGCTTTTGCTCCTGCCAAGCTTGATAAGACAACGCCTCCCTAATGCCTACATAGGCTTCTTCCTACACATCCCGTTTCCTAGCTCGGAATACTATCGCTGCCTTCCTCGGCGAAAGGAAATTATGGAGGGCGTCCTTGGGTCGAACATGATTGGCTTTCAGGCGTACAGCTACGCTCGTCATTTCTCTTCGTGCTGCTCTCGCATCCTAGGGTTTGACTCGTCTGCAGCAGGCGTGGATGCGTATGGTGCTCACGTACCTGTCGATGTCTTCCCAATCGGAATCAACGTCGATGCTACCATGCAGGCCGCTTTTGGCTCTTCGGGGATCGAGAAAAAGATGGGTATCCTTCGAGACGTCTACGCTGGGAAGAAGATTATTGTCGGACGTGACCGTCTTGACTCGATTCGAGGCGTGGCACAGAAGCTGCAGGCTTTTGAGATCTTCCTTACCCGCTATCCCCATTGGCAGGACAAAGTCGTACTGATTCAAGTGACTAGCCCGACAAGCTTGGAAGAACATGGTGACAAGAACGACAAGATGGCCAACAAAATATCGGAGTTGGTTGCGAGGATCAACGGCAAATTTGGATCCTTGAGCTTCACTCCCGTGCATCACTATCCACAGTATCTGTCGCAAGAAGAGTATTTTGCTCTGCTGAGGGTCGCAGATCTTGGATTGATCACGAGCGTTAGAGACGGAATGAATACAACCGCTCTCGAATATGTTCTCTGCCAGCGAGACAACTTCAGCCCACTCATCATCTCCGAGTTCTCGGGCACCGCTGGAAGCCTTGGCAATGCAATTCACATCAACCCCTGGGATCTTGGAGGCACTGCCGATGCAATCAACTCAGCTCTAATCATGCCTGATGAGGAGAAGCGCGCAAAGCATAGACTTCTCTACCAGCACGTCACCACCAACACCGTCCAGGCATGGACCGACAGCTATCTCAAGCGCCTCCTCACCAACCTCGCCTCTCACGACCAGGCGATAGCGACCCCTGCGCTCGATAGAGTCAAAATGCTCGCGCAATATCGCAATTCTACGCGCCGTCTATTCATGTTCGACTACGATGGCACCCTCACACCGATCGTACGCGATCCACAAGCCGCCATTCCGTCCGACCGAGTCATCCGTACCCTCAAATCTCTCGCCTCGGACCCGCGTAATCAGGTTTGGATCATCAGCGGCCGCGACCAGGCCTTCCTCGACGAATGGATGGGCCATATCTCCGAGCTGGGCCTCTCTGCCGAGCACGGCTCTTTCATGCGCATGCCGAACAGCACCGGCTGGGAGAACTTGACCGCCACTCTCGACATGTCCTGGCAAGACGAGGTCCTGCGCATCTACGACTTCTATACAGCACGCACGCCCGGCAGCTTCGTCGAGCGCAAAAAGATTGCGCTGACCTTGCACTACCGCCGTGCGGACCCTGAATACGGCGTGTATATGGCCCGTCAATGCCAAAAGCACCTCGAGAACACCGTCGTCAAGCAGTGGGATGTCGAAGTGATGACAGGAAAAGCGAACTTGGAAGTCCGCCCGCGCTTCGTCAACAAAGGCGAGATTGCGAAGCGGCTGGTGGCGGAATACGGCGAAGGGCACGGCAAAGCCCCTGATTTCGTCCTCTGTCTGGGTGACGATTTCACGGACGAAGGTATGTCCCCCCTTCTCCTCTGCGAAAGTGCCGATCTGGCGATTCTCTCTTATCCTGCTCTTGTCTTCTCTGAAAGTCCACATGACTGACTCATCCTATCACATAGACATGTTCCGCACCCTCCGCCACTCCCAACTCCCCGAAGATCACCGCTACGCCGTCACCGTCGGCGCCAAGACCAAGCAGACGCTCGCCTCCTGGCATCTCCTAGAGCCCGCCGATGTCATCTCCGCCATCGCGCTACTGAACGGGAACAAAGAGGGTGTCAACGCCGCGGTGGCAGCACAGGTGGATAGCGAGCAACAGCGACGTTGAAAGCTCGTTGGCAGTGCAGCCATGGCGCGGCTAGGGAATTGGGTTCTGAACCGTAGCATCCTCGAGCGTGTATTGCACCTGGGCGAGATTCCTATACATGGATCGCGTAGGACAGTGCGAGCGGCGACGCTGTCCCAGCTTCCTATCATTCACTGATTCAGGGCATCGGTGCGTTGTCTGTTCCTATCACGATGCATGCATTGGCGGCGATCGGGCCTGTCATGGCGTCAACCCCAAACAAACGGTAGCAAGTGAACCTAAGCACTCTCACGATGCGAAAAGAAGCCACACATTCCAACCCAAATGCGGCTCGTGGCCTTAGGTTCGCATGATCCTCGCCTTTGATGAATTCCGAGGTGAATTGCAGCAGTAGACTTTGTAGACGATGACAATATAAAAGTGGAAGGAGAGTGTGCTCTATTTTGACATGGCAAAAATGAAGCGAATTCCCCAAAAGCAACCCTCGTCCGTTCCCCGTTGTCTCAACCCGTAATCAAGATGTGGGCATGAGAGTAAATCTCCCGTGCGAGACCTGTCTTCCGAAGACTACTCTGGGGGCGGAGTCGCCTTGTCCTCGCTCGACTCGGATGCATTATTGTGATCTTCTGCCTCGTCTTTGTCAAACTCGTCGAATTCCGGCCCGGCGAGCAGGTCGAAGCGCGAAGCGTCGACGAGCGGGGCAGGTTTCGAGACAGGACTGGCGGGGGCTACCTCTTCTACATCAGGTGTGGGCTGGGTTTCTCGAGGCTGCGCATCGTTGGCGGTGGGCGACGAGGTCGCAGCATCCGGTGTGGTTTCCGGTGCCGCCGCTGCTGGGGTACTCAGCACTTTTTTCCCGTAGGCTTCGGCTCGCGCCCGCTGCGCTTGCACGCGTTCGTGGTAATTTCCGATCATCGGGAGCAGCAGCGAAGTGATGGGTTGCGGCTCGTGGTATACGTCGACTTCGTCGATTTTGCTCACAGTTGGGTGACTGCCGGCGGCCTTGTCCAGTGTAATCATTGATTTGATGAGGCGGAAGGCTTCGAGGCGTGCGGTTTTCTTGATATACACAAACGCGTAGGCTTTAGCGCCCAGGTCATTCTTTGGGTTGGCCGGGTCGATGATGGAGGGATTGTCGGTTAGGAGGGGCTCGAGGTCGTGGAGGCCGGTCTCGGGGTCGCGAGGCTTGAGAATGTTCTCGTTTTTTAATTCCTTGTGGCTATCGGCTGGCCCGTCCGGCCATCGTCGCGTATCGGCCATCGGCCCGATCGCAAGTCGCGTGCTCCTCTGCTCGATGGCTCCGAGGAACCATATCGCCTTGGTCAAGGGATGACACTCGCAGTATTTAGTGTATGATGCCTGCCGTTTGTGCCTGTATGCGAAGTCCAACAAGCAAGCGGTCATGCAGAAAAGGCCGTAAGAGCCCAGGCCTCCATGATAGACCTCTGCGAGGGATCTCGAGCCCAGCATAATTCGAAGAACTAAGTAGACGGATCGTAGGCGGTCAATTCGGGCAAGCAGGAGCGCTGTTGTGCGCTGTTGTTCCCTGGTCGAAGGGGACCAGCTCACTTGAATGTCGATTCCAGACTCGAGGTGCTGGCAATTGATGATGGGATGTCTCATGTCTTTCCGAAATGAGACAAGACCATATTTGCCGCTCGAGTCCAATGCTCTTGCAATCTTCTCCACATCCTGTCTAGTTCGAGTTAATAAAGGCAGCTGCGATTCGACGTCGGCTTTTGCGAACGCGCGAAAATCCAGGTCTGAGGTGGGCAGTGCAAGGCCTGTCACTTCGGAGCCAAACAGTTCAATTCCATAAGTACCATGCGTACTCCCGACAGCAGTGAATGATGCCATGAACTCCTTGGTCACTGCTGCGCGTGCCGCAGCTTCAGCATCTGAGAGTTTCAAGTACTCCTCTAAACGGCGAAGTTCTTCGTCCAGCAATTGCTTGCCTGTAAGTCCATTGTGGTCTTCCACGGCCCACGGCATTGGTGATGAAGGTGTGAGCTGAGTTGGAAGGAGCTCGATTGGTCGCCCTCTATATCGAAGGTAAGAAGCCAGTGAATGGAAATCCAAGGCCTCGAACTCATCATCCGGACAATCTCGTAGCTGATTGACTGCGTTTCTCACACTCATCAAATGTTTTCTGATTTCGACGCTGTCTGGGATCGGATTCATGTTGTTACGCAAATCATGCCTGGACTTGCCTTTGTCCAATTGTGCGCGCTTTTCCATCATCTCATGTTTGTCCTCTCGCATCTGCCACAGAGATGCGTAGATATCCGAATATGGAGATATCCCGAATACAGGCTTGCTTCTAGAAGACTCCCGACGTGGTCCCTCTGGAACGTCGCGCTTGTTTAGATTCGGGACACGCAAGATCTTTATCTGTCGGTCGTCACGATTCGGGACACGTAAGATCTTTATCTGTCGGTTGTTTCCGTGCCTGATTATGTTGATCTTGGTCTCTTGATGCGTTTGGGTGGGCTCTGGTGATTTACGCATAGTCGAGGCATGGTATGTTCGGCGGTCAAGACGATTCCGATCATGAGCTACAACGAAACGCATGGCCAGGCATGATGCAACGATTGCGTGCAGGGCCTGCTCGCTGTCGAAGGCATTGGGCGCTTCGCAGGCTCCGCGTAAAACTCGCCGGGTGCTCCACATGAAGACCGCAGGCTTTGGTGATCGCACATGTGATATATGAGTCTCGGTCGATGGTGGATAGACCTCGGAAGTCGTTTGATCGTGACTGACGATGCTGCTCGAACTCAATACAAACGGGCCTTGGAAGCTCTGCTGTATCATTGCTGTAACGCGGGCCACGTGAGCGCGGAACACACGGGGGCGCGGAACGCGACTTCTGAGGATATCGACACGTCAACTTCAACACGCGATGGCACCACCGAAACGCGTGCAATCAAGTCCAAATGAAGGAAGCATATTGCTTGCTATATCGGCTATTAGATCAGGCGAAATCAGTTCCATGAGTGCTGCAGCGAAAGCATTCAATGTCTCTAAAACAACACTTCATCGTAGACTTCAAGGAACCCCTTCACGAGAAGATTATATACCACAGAACATGAAGCTCAGCCTAATAGAAGAAGAGGCCCTTCTCCAAGGTATATTGAAGCTAGATTCTCAAGGATTGTCCCCAACTGCAAGCCTAGTACAATCAATGGCCAATGCCATCTGCCAAGCTAAAGGAATTTCACCAGTTGGCCGCAACTGGACCTACACATTTATTAAGCGTACTCCTATCTTGACAATCAAACTAGGAAGGACTTACGAGTGTCAAAGAAGATTGTGTGAGACTCCGGAAGTCATTGAAAGCTGGTTCGCCCTCGTACGCAACATAATCAACAAGCATGGCATCTTGCCTGGAGACATGTACAACTTCGATGAGACTGGCTTTCAACTAGGACAAATATCTACCTCCAAAGTAGTCACTTCTGTTGAGAAGCAAGGCCGGCCAAAGCGGATCAAACCTACAGGCATTGAATGGGTCACAGTGATCCAAGGAGCTTGTGCAGACGGATCAGCTATACCGCCATTTATTATCTTCAAAGGCAGAGAAGTCAACTATGGATGGCTTGATGAAGGCTTGCCTGCAACATGGATGTTCACAGCGAGTCCAAAAGGCTGGACAAGCGACCAAATTGGACTGCAATGGATCCACCACTTCGCTAAACACACAAAGTCGAAGACAATTGGCAGCAAGCGGCTGCTGATTTTAGACAACCATGGGAGCCACACGACACCAGAGTTTACTTCTTTTTGTGAAGATAACAACATTGTCCTTTTGTGGATGCCGCCTCATACGTCGCATATGCTGCAGCCGCTTGATGTTGGTTGTTTCGGCCCTTTGAAACAAGCCTTCTCAAAACGGACTCAAGGCTTGATTCGCAATCATATCTTCCATATCGATAAGAGCACCTTCATAGCAACGCTCTACGCAGCACATATCGATGCGATAACATCGAACAACATCCGAGCAGGCTTTAGGGGCTCTGGTTTGCACCCCTTCGACCCTAGTGTTGTGTTGTCCACGTTAGACCCGACATTTTCATCACCTTCGCGGCCTCTTTCACAAGGTTCATGGTACACAAAGACCCCAAAGACTACTCAAGAAGTTGATCAGCAAGCTACATTGATCAAACGGAGGCTTGAGAGGCATCAGAGCAGTTCACCAACTCCGATATTCGAAGCCTTAGACCAACTTTCCAAAGGAGCTCACATGATCGCTGCTTCAGCAGCTCTTCTTCAATTACGAGTTACAGATCTTGAAGCAGCTAACACAGCAATGCATGTACGCAAATCAAGAAAGAGGAAGTCGCTTCTAACAGAGGATGCTTTGTCAGTCCAAGCAATCCAACAATTAGTAGACAAAGATGAGGTAGAAGCGCAAATAATAGAGGAGATGCCAAGGCCTGCCAAGCGGACAGCGAGGTGTAGCAAATGCAGATCAACAGCTCATACAGCCAGAACTTGTATAGCATAAGAGATAGTATTAACGTATCATAATTCTCAATTTGAAGGCCTAAAGGTCATTGTTCATTAAGATATTAATTGTTGAATGCAGCGCATTGAAAAAGCGTGTTCCGCGCCCCCGTGTGTTCCGCGCTCACGTGGCCCGCGTTAGTGGGATTTTCCTTAGTCAGCACGCGGTCAATGAGCTCCCGAGCTCCCAATTAGGCAGGGGTCCGCGGAAGTGAGCTGCCACCTGACGTGATGCCCCAATTAAAAGTAAACACCATTTATTGACGGTGAAATATCACTAAGCATTCTTTCGAGAGAACAATACTCGACTGCACCGCACCTACAGGTTTCATCGGATCGTTAGAACAAATACTCGATTTTACATTTCCTTCGCTATGATGGTATCAAGGGGTCGAACTCGACTATAAACATTCAAACTAGGTCCACACTGTGTGAACCTTTTCCTTCCCAGGCACTTAAGGCGCACCCACAAGCTATGGTCCAGAGCTGTCTGTACCAATGGCACAGTTCGCTATTGTATCATCCTTCGCATGGAAAACGTGCGATCGAGTGACTGTTAAAGTGAATCCGGCAAAGTGGCTGCGAAAGACCTCTGTTTCGTGGAGCATGGTGGTGCCGGGTTTGACATCACAATTTGGAAGGCCATACAATCGTGGCTCCCGCCGCTCAGCCTGGTAGGTGATTCGAAACAATCTCATGTGTTGTATCGGAGACCGCGATGTCAACATCCAAGCCCTGGACTTCCTTACGAGCTTGTTCTAAGAGTATCTTGATGTCCTGTGGCTGTCATTCGTCCATGAAGATCTGAACGACGAGACACGTCTTCCCGTCCATGAGCTGTATGGCCCTCCTGTGGACTTGGCGCTGATTGGAGAATCGCCATAGACGTACTCGCCGTCGACATAGCGAGCGCCTGAGGTGAAAGTCGTGCGCTTCTCTCGTCGAGTGTAGCGTTGCTCCAGACGGTAAAGCTCGTATTTTGCGATGAGTTTGTCGACTAGACCCATTGTAACTGATTGAACGCGGATTGATCAAGGGATGTGCTTTGGACTGTCGATCAAGAGGCGTGGTTTGTTGCGCGTCAGGGTGAGAGCAAGGATGTAAGAGATGCGATACTGGTCTGCAATGCCCAGCTATAAGCCGTCGAGATATGCGGACTGCAGCGAGTGCAGATCGTTCAGAGTCTGGTACGGTAGAATGTAGCCGCCGAATCAATGGATCAACAATTGAAGTCTGGAGCGCTTCGCATGGCCCCGGTGTACCGCACCACGAAAATCAAGTTGGATTGATTGCTGTGGAACTGAACAGTGGTCGGCTCGATGTTGCGAAGAGGAATGGCTGAATCCGGTTCCTTTGATCGAGCATTCGGTCCAATGCAGGCTCCAGGATGATCCAGAATTAATATTATATTAAAACACACAAATAGCCCAAGGAAAGGAATGAATGTCAGAATGAGCGAATGAATGAATGAATGGTACCCAAAAGAACTGGGAGAGAGAGAAGAAACAACCAAAACGCAGTGCGCTCGTGAAACCGACGTGCAGATCGGGAGGTGTTGAAGTAAGGGTGGGCTGCATAATGTACGTTCGGTTTCATGCGCTGCGAGGGATCTAAAATAGCGCGGAAACCCACTCGCGTTGGGCGTTGAAGCCAATGGATCGCGCGATGTGCTCCGAAATGCGTGCTGCAGCAAGGAGCATCACCTGCACTTTCCTCGTCACTCGGAACCGGAAATCATCCTCGCTCGGTCTGTTTATATCGTCATCCAAACCTCATATCACTATCAGATCTGCAATATATACTGCTGTACCATCTTCTTATCGCCGTACACAACCACAGTATCTTCGGTGTGGTGGATTCCCTCCTGAGGCACCCCTTTTGTCCAAAGGATCGTAATATGATACTACTGCCAAGAAAAACCGCCGAAGATCGTTAGCTGGACGGAGAGGCTCTCAAAAACCTTCCTCCTGAACGCGCTTTGCTTCTATGCAAGCGATGGGAGTCAATCCCTTATTGTTACTTTAGCATGCATGTGAACGGTGAGACCTTGATATTGCCTTGTAGTTCCACGACGACGTCGCTTTGTACACAACGTTACATGGAAACTGTGAGAGCGAAATGTTTCCGCGTGCATACGCTCCCTTCCATTGTCCACCGCGTACTACTGTAGAGGCAATAGCACAATCCGAATTCCGATCCTACCTATTCTTGGAAATCTAGGTGATAGCCGACGCCTCATACCCGAACAAGTCTTTCTATAATTGAAACTCATGCCCCGTGGCGTTGCACATATCATGGCTACCATTCCGTCACTCCAACTACCGTGGCACATGTATGAATTTGATCGGGTTGACAAACCGCAGTCTACAGGCTTACGCCTTACCAAGTGGCTGAGAAGCATGGCCCTGCTGCCCTGTTACATTCGGCCTTCGAACATGTATCCGCAATAGAGGGATGGATATGATGTCCGTATAGACATGTTTCAGAATACAAGCATATGGCACAATGGTTCAATTCGGTATATACAGATGTATGCCATTGGCGATTCGTACATGGGAAATTGGAAGCTCGCTGAAAACCCCAAACCGAACAAAAAGAAAGATTTATATGCATATCCTGCAGTGAGGCTATCGCGCACTGCGTAGTCTTCCTGCCCATCCACCATCTTTCTCTGCTGTCTACCGGTATGGCGCATCCGCTCTCGCCACCGCTGCCAATTCCGGCTCCCACTTGTCGCCGTTTGACAAGAGCTTCTCCTTGTTGTAAAGCAACTCCTCTCGGGTCTCGGTGGCGTACTCGGCGTTGGGTCCCTCCACGATGGCGTCCACGGGGCAGGATTCCTGGCAGAAGCCACAGTAGATGCACTTCGTCATGTCAATGTCGTAGCGGGTCGTGCGACGGCTACCGTCCATGCGCTCCTCGGCCTCGATCGTGATGGCTTGAGCTGGGCAGATAGCTTCACAGAGCTTGCATGCGATGCAGCGCTCCTCGCCGGTCGGGTATCGGCGGAGAGCGTGTTCGCCACGAAATCGCGGTGAGATCGGACCCTTTTCGAATGGGTAGTAAATAGTGTATCTGTCGCCATATCAGTCATGTCGCCATTCGTAATTGCAGCCATGTGCTCATAATCCAAGGTTCAACTCACGGTGGCCGGAAGAATTGCTCCATCAACACCCACATGCCTCTCGCCATCTCGGTGAGAAGGAAGTATTTTCCCGCCTGGTCCCAAACGCTCTCCTTGTTCTCGTTCCATTTGTCGGGTGTGGGAAGTCGGAATCGCTCGGGCGCGCTGCCCTGAGCACCATTTTCGGCGAGGCGAAGTCTTTGCGAGCTGGTGGAGAAAGCCGACGCGAAAGTCGTCTGTCTGGCTGCGTGGAGGGCGATGGCCCGCATGGCCCGGGAACGCGCGAGGGCAGTCATGGTGCGCGGCGACGACATCGTGGAGTGATTGTGGTGGACAATGTCGAGCGCCGCCTGTGAATTGTGTTGAGCTCGGAATGTTTGCACTGAGCTGTGACCAATGAGGTCGTCATGAAAGTCAGCCCGCAATGGGTTTCATGCCAAGCCCTCAAGCTGGCTTTCCGACCGTCGAGTGGCACCGATTGGACGCTCTACAGGCCTACTGCTGCAAGCACTTTTCTATGCACAACAAACTGCAGTATATACTGTTCTTATTCTGCCACAGCACGGAGGCATAGCCGAATTGGTCTCATGATGCTATTTATGAGTTTCAACGTCATGTCCGTCAGATCTATTCCTCCGTAAAGGCATGGGGTACACTCTCCCAATAACATGCATTGTCTACCAAGCAAAGTCCTTCAACAAAATGCCCTGCGAAGGAATAATTAAGGCTACAAGATATCTATTGTACAAAAGCGCTCCTCATTGATGCTATCAAATGCTGCACTTCATGGCAGGACACCCAACATTAACTCATGTCGATGACTGTGTTGATCATAGTCGTTCATTCGGATCGAAAGATCGTCTCGATCGCTTCAACCTCGTCCTTCGCCATTCGAGAGATCGCACCCACCTCGGCTTTGGACCTAAGAAGAGGACCGCTATAAGCATTACTGGTGTCGCAATCCACCAGAACACTGCGTCGCTGTTGTCATTCACCCCCGGCATGTCGAAATTCATGCCAAAGTATCCCGTCAGGAAAGTGAGAGGGAGGAAAAAACTCGACAGTAAAGTTAGTTTCCGAACGCTCTCATTCTGGCTGGCGGCGATGGTGTTGAAGATTAGATTCGTCAGATTTTCGGTGGCGCGAATCTGCTCCCGGGTAGAGGTGAACAGTGCAGTAATATGATCCTGGACGTCCTGTAAATAGACTCTTGTGGTTGGGGATATTGCTGTGGCAGCAGAGTGAGGCTGGGTCTTTGTAGATTCCACCGCTGCTACATCGGAATTGTTGGGTCGTGGAGCAGCGCTATGGTGGTCGCATATTGTCCTAAGAAGACCACCAGTAGAGATCATGTTGTCGTTGAAATGCGTCAAGGCCGATCGGAGGATGTACAAGTGCTTCGATTGTGCTATGTTTGGTGACCTCAGCACTGCGAGTTCCAGTTCAGCAAACGTATCTGCCGCGGCTTGGGCAATGGGCATCGCCAGATCAACCACGGCATCTATGACAGCCTGTACGAGCATGGAAGGATCGTTACTCGTGCGGACAACGGACTGCGCCGACTCCAGTCGTTCGAGGATGGGGTTGAGTACATCATCGCCCGATCTCTCGAACAAGGTGATTACAGTATTATCGGCCGTGAGGAAGATGGACACTTGCTCGGTGGAAATGCCGAGCGTCTCGTGTGCAAGAGTGCGCCATGCATGACGCCGATTATGGTTATTCTCGCTTTGCGAATGTCCCATATTGTAAGGCGAGCACCAGAGAGGGTTTTCTGCTCTCTGATCTTCGGGTACCCGCTGATAGTCCTCATTATGGAGCAGTTTCTGCATGGGCATTACCATGAAACAATGGTCTTGATACCAATCCACTTTAGTTGGCGTACGTTGATCGAATACATCTTCAATCGCCAGCCGATGCAGGCGCTTGTGTCGGCCTAGAAGCTTAATAACATCCAGGTCTAAGCCATTGACATGTATCCATCGACATTTCGCCCACGCCGGCGTGGGCCGCTCGTCGAGGAATTGTTGAAGAGAACGTGGCGGAACGATGTCCTGCTCCATGTGCTCGTCGGAGAAATCCACGACGTTTATTCTACTGTCCACGCTAGCATTCACCATGTGTCGTTCAACGTGAGATCCATGGGCCGCACTGTCTATGCCAGGCTCAGCACCAATGCGACTCGAGTGTTGCTTGAGGGATGAGCTCGCATGATAGTGGTGCGTAGACAGGTGGATTCTGCTTGGTCGTGATTGCAAATGCGATGCTGAGGCTCCCGTAGACGTAGAGACAATGCTACGTCTACTCCATAGCCGCTCATTTGCAAGTTGGTGGGACCTCAATTGAGTATGCCCGCACAGTATTGACCGGGACACTGTGCGCGCAGATCCAGAGGAGTGGATGTTTCCCATAGTGTCAGACTGCTCTGCGCGAACCAGGCCAGTAGTCTATTCGCTGCTTGCACGCCGAATTGACGACGACGACGACGACGATTTAACTCCACGAGCTCAAGAATTTATGCCGGGCGTGGCAGAGATATTATCCAGTGAAATCGGTATGTCGTATATATACATTCCCATGCTCGACGATACGTGTGCAGGTGTCCTACGGTTGTTGGAATGCGATTTGAAAGCCGCTCTTGTTTCGCTATCCCCGGTCTTGAGAGCTGCAGTCGGATCTATTGGCTATTCATGCTGCGTAGTTTGGAACTCCCTAGACAACAACGCGAATATCTCGGCGAGCCTAAGGATCGCTAGACATGTCTGTGACTCAGCCTACTGTACAACTTGGACAACAGCACGTGTGGTCTTGTGACGTCACGTAAAAATGGTATATGCCAGATTCGAGATCAGTTCTCGTCAAATACATGTCGAAGGGCATGCGTCCCTTTTGTGCTTCAGTATCTCCAAGAATCACATTACAACAGCGCTTTGTCAGAGATTCACCCTATCGCACTGCATCTTTCGCGAGCTGACAATCTATTTCGTTTACATGAGTGAGAAGCGACGCCCTCCATATGCGCCAAAGGCTAACGCGCAGTGACGACAGAGCTGACTAGCATCAATATTGCATCTACCCAAGGAGTCTGTGGCTTCATCTCACTTTTCTATGTGCGCTTCCGTGCCACTGAGTGTATCGCATTGAACGTGCGATCCGATCGAGATTTGACCAGTGAAGGATATTTTGCAACTGCCCAGGTCCGCCAGAAGGTAAATGTAAATGGTGTATTGTCAGACGTTGGCCCGAGATCAATATCGGGCTACGGAAGGGTGTAAGCTCGACCGGGACGTCTCCACATCTGAGACATCCATCGGAGCTGCCACCCGGAACCGGGTCCAGATGGACAGCGCTTGGTCTGCTGTACCAGCAAAGGACGACCAATAGCACCTTCATGAATCTCCACCCAAGTCACCACCCGTGCGAGACAGCGCCGCTCGTTGCGCGACTGTCGAGTCTGTCTGATTCGACATGAGCACCAAAGCGATCGCAGCACGAAATTCGTGAGCCGACGATACAGGGCGGCAGTCCATCATGGCCTCATCTATCGCGCCTGCAACGCCGGACCAGACGCCCCGCAATGCGCAGACGGGTCTCAACCGATCCTTCACTCTCCCAACTCGCCTTGCCGCCTCTGCAACGCCTGCATCTCCTTCCGAAGCTGAGATTGGTGCCGCTGACGGCATCGAAACGCTGTATGTGCATCCGGCAGCCAAGGTCGTGAAATTCGCTGCTTCTGCCGGTCGATCGGGCAGCAGAAATACCGGGCCAGATCGTCCCGAGGCGGGCATCCTGCCTTGGGCGACATCTACAGAGAGAACAATTGCAAATGGACCTCTGGAGATCTATCGTGTTCCGGGGTCGGTTTCATTCATTCATTCAGGATCGCTGCTGCATGCTGTCATGCCGCGCAGTCAATGTTGGTGTGTGGATGGTAAGAGCAAGTTTGCGATGAGGGTTGCGCTACCCGACACGTATTATCGCATTGAGTTACCTGGCGAGACGGAAGAGGACATAGCGAAGGTTGCCGAATTTGAGGATATATTAAGGAAGGTGTTGTTCTATGAGCGCACAGCATGTCCTTTTGCACGAGGGTTCTCTGTAGATCTACCACCAGAAGAACCAGTTGTGAGACAGAGGAGAAGAAAAAGCCATGGTCCAGCAAAGAAGTGGAGACTTGCAAGGGCATACAGTTGGAAACCGGAGGACGGCGAGGAGCCACCCAGCCTGGGCGATGAGGAGGATTACACAAGCGATGTGGAAAGTGATGGAGAGCCGGCGCATAGCTATGATAGCTCTCTGGATGAGACGCAATCGGATGCTTCCGGTCCCTCAGAGGACGTTAGGGAATTTGTAAACCGGACTCCAACAAGGCCATCAGTTCGAGAGAGAATCGCCGGCCTTACAGCACTGCGTTCCGTCACCTCGCCGCCGCAGTTTGGAGCTCAAAGAACACCTCCAAGAAGGCTGCAAGCTGTCGCCGAAGTCAACGCGTCGCAAAGCGCGCTTGCGACTACAAGCTTTCAAGACATCCCTACTGCGATGCCCCCTTCTCCGCCAGATTCGAGCGCTGGTTTCGAATCAGCTGTGCCTCTTCATAGCGAGCACGAAGACCGAGGGCATGAGACCCTGCCTAAAGAACTTTCACATATGAACAGGGACTCGGATTCTTCACTTGTAGATCCTGACGGTCATGACACTGGGCTTGTCAGCTATGATAAGGTCGAAGTCGCAGAGCAGCCAATTGTCCCAGAAACGTCTGGACGCCACATCTTGGGAGAATCAACCCATAATGAGCCCTCTTCACAGGCTAATCCGTTGGCTATCGACATCGTCGAAACTGAATCTAAAAGTCCAGTCGCAACGATCACGACCGAGAAAGCTTTGGTACAAGATGATGATGCAAGCCCGATGGCATTGGCGCCGTCTCCTGGCATCGTCCAGAAGACCGCCAGCAGTGTATATCAAACTTCTGAAGACCCCTATGCGCAAATTCGAGCCCGAATCCAGGCTCGGAGATCGATCGGGGGCGGAAGCACCGTCAACTCGCCAGCCCGGATGCTCTCATCGATGTCCTCAAGGGCGTCGCTCGTGTCCACATCATCTCCTGCCTCACGGCACTCTCAAGCGCAACAGCAGGCTTTGACATCAGGGTTGATGCAGAAGGCCGTCACAAAATTCTTGGGTCCCCCGGCAGCGTTGGTCGCAATCATGCTGCGAATCGCAGATCGCTTTGCGAACGGGGCCTACGCTGTCGATTTCGGATTCTACCGCACCCCGGAAGGTGCCGCTCGTCGTGTTCCTGGAAGCTTCGATCTTGAAGGGAGCGACGTGGAAGACCTGGGCTTCAACAGCGACGATACTTGGAATGCAGGCGACGGATCGCAGGCCGCGACCCCTGAACCTGGCCCTCTGGCTATGCCGATTGAACCACGGCCTCGCGACGGCGTCACAGGAAATGTTAACGATCAGGGTTGAACGAAAGTATCGGATTTGGTTTTTCCTTCTATGAATATTTGCCTCGATTCGGTATGCTTCTGGGCGAAATTCGGCGTATAGGGGTTTCATGGTGGAGGTCAACCCGAGCGATTCGCAGAAACGAAGACCATGGCACTCACATTCCCTAACGTCATGGTGAGAGCTTCAGGCGTATCTGGTTATACTTGAGTAACACGATTTGTACAATATATTCATGGTATCTTTGCAAATTTCTAGTCGTCTCCAGGTATTTTTGTCGAATGTGGAAGCGGAGATAATCTATGACTCTTCCACAACACCGTCAAGGCCATCGACAACAACTCATCACTGACGTGATAGCGAACTCTCATTCTTCATTCGCCCACATCACCTCTATCATGAAGACATGTCACTGTCATTCAAATGTGATGCCCATCAGATGATTAGGGTTGGTGCTAAGTTAGGGTTGTTGTGGATTTGGGGTTGTGATTGACGAAAAGTACCCTGACGAGAGATTTTCAGTAATCTCGCTTGCAATCTGTAGTCCGACATATCAATAGATCCTTACTCGACTCATGATGATGACAAATTGATCAGATGATGAGCACCGGATCAAACATCCTTGCAATCAGATTTGTGAAATCTGCACAGAGTCAGCCTCACCATCCACAAATTTGCAGACCCTGAACTCGTGGTGAGAAGGCTCCTTCAAGATCCCACAACCGGCGGATGTAACCAGGGGGAGGCAAGGACCGAATACAAATAACGATCAATCTGCAATCACCATCAGCCCAACAGTCCTTTGGGAGGCCGAATGCCAAAAATAAATACCACGGCCAGGGTCCTTCCATCTTCGACAGACTACTCTATTCCAAACATTGCATAAGAGAGAGCATGGGTGTGGTGGAGATGGGTGTGTGCAAAGAGAGGATATAGGCAATAAAGATGCCGATCTTTGCTTATTCTTGCCTGAAGACACGAGAGAGGAATTCCATGATACCTCTACGCTCTCCTCTCCCGGTGGATTGGATGTTGGGACAGATAGCCTTGGAAATCTATAAGACCCGAATGCGGTAAGTATCATCTGCCGAAGCATTGCTGTTAAATGGCAACATGGCAATCTGGGAACAATCATCCCTGCAACTCATGCGACGCAGTGCACATCGTCGTCGGCTGTAATTCTAATCGTCCTCTTGCGACGTGCTGTCTGTCCAGGATGTTCGAGTACGGTTTGTGTGATGTTCTGATTGTTTGTCATCGAGCGGAGGAGCGGGCCGGGCTAAACCATAAGGGGAGGTATACCGCGCGGGATTCCGCCGGGCAAGGGACATCCACCACGAGATACCGAACATCCAGAGATCGCCCGTCGACCTTGCGATATGGAGGAAAAGATCGTCGTTCGCAATTGCAAGGATTATGCTCCCAAGACGAGGTACAGTACAGGATCCAATGACGAAGCTGGGCCCGGGAAATGCAACGCTGTGACAAATAGGCCCCTTTCTATATCTGGCAAATGCTCGGCTTCTTCGCTGCACGCGCGCTCGTGGATACACATGGCTGGGTCAAGCACGACTTCACATGGTCCACAATTGTTCCTTCGAAGGTCGCCAATGCGCGGGCGTTGGTCAGAGAAATCATGATCACTCAGGTGATTACATACTGCTCACGTGCTGCTCTCAGTTCAGATATGCATACGATGGGTCGAGGGACGAATTCCAGGTCAGCAGCAATGCTGTGACCGCTTCACATGCTCTATGTCCTACCGCTTCCTCCTCATCAGACGTGGGCAATATTTGATTCTCAAGCGAACTCGTGCCCTGTTCGCGCTAGAGCTGTTAACAGTTGCTGCACCATCCACGGCACGCTGCCATGACTGCTCTCTTCATCAACAAGCGGTGATGATGCCAAGTTATTGGATATTAGCAATGTCTGCTTACATCCTAGTCCACGTGATCAATGGTCTGTCTCGGCGGATGGCTCGTGGTTCACGGCAGACCGTGTTCGCCCTCGTTAGGACATTTCTCCGCATCGCGGCCAACGATCATTGATGATCGTGTTTTCCTCCTGCCGCAGCTAGTGTGTTGTGTAATGTATTATAGTGATTGATCGCAGGCTACGGATATTACCATGGCTTCCAGCCTCACGACTAGACCCGTCGGCAGCGTTCCACGACGCTGGTGGGCATAAATCTACGGCGTTCCGTCTTCCAATAGATCGCATGAACAACCATATGGCACTGCCTTTTCTGAGAAGTAGTGTCAGACGGCACGCAAGACGGAGGCTCCTCGGCTTCTCTACTACTCCCCGGGCGCCTCAGGGCAAGCTTCCAACTAGGCTGGCACTCCGATTCCAATACTCTGGTATGGGACGCCGCGTTCACCAATCCAAAATTGTGGCACGGACGAAGACAACAACCGACCACGCCCAAGGCGCTCTTCTCGCCCCCTCCCAGCGAACCGCCAATCTGCCCAGCGCGACTCATGTCGTGATAGTTGCATGGGGTTGTCTGCGTATTGTGGACGTGCAGGTGCGGGTTGCTCTTGGTGCGCGCTGTCACAAGATGCGCTGTTTGCAGGCCGGAGCGGTCGCAAGCGAAGGCAGGGCTTGCAGGACTTGCCCCTTCGACAGGGATTACATATGACGCCAAGGTATAGAAATTGATGGAGTCCACAGTGGCATCGGCCAATGACCGATGCGATCCTGCGTGCGAGAGAACCGCTTGGTCGGTCTGAGGTTTGGCGTGATCTAATAACAGGTCAGCGTCCGATGCATATGCACGACGATCTAAATGGTCAATTTGTGCAGATGCGACCATTCCCGCGAGGGAGAGGACATCGCGGATTTCCTGATCCCAGAGACGCGAGTGAACACACGAGAGGAGAGCGGGGTTGGGGCTCAAAGCCTTGCAGCTGATCGAGGTTCGAACGTTTGGTTCAATGCGGTGCATTCAGGTACACCCCAAAGCTATATGGAAAAATGAAGCTCAATGCACATCTGGGTGTCGAAGCCTGTGCTGTTTCTTGCTCGAAACCCGCCGATTCAGGTTACAGTGTTTCCTCGTCGATTCATAGCACATTTCCTACATGATGATCGGCATAGCTGTTGCTGCTGAGATGTCACCGGTGTCCAATCAGCTTCAATAAGGTTTCCAAGGCTTGATCCAACTTCCAAATACTCGGAGTTGACGGTCCAAGATGGGCGGTGGACCGTCTTCCTTGGTATCGATCGATGTGTGTGCTGCTCAATGGTTGAGATCGCCCCGCCGCGCAGGCCAAACGCCCTTTGCAGCAGGTGTATGTGCGGAACATGTGCCGCAAGCGAATTTTCCGCCAATCCACTATATTTCGGGGGTGTCCAACTGCACTACCACGAATCGACTTGGCCTCTGACGACGTTTTCCATCATATCTCTCACACAATAGTTTCAACGCCGTGGCGCCTGTCGATTCAATCGAACGAAGGGACACGAGGTGCACGCCGTCGATATCGTCATCAATTTCAACCGAGTCTTTAATCTCGTAACGAGCCCAATTGCTAGCAAAAACGCCGCAGCTCAGACCGGATGACGCCTCTGCCGTGGGACAGCGAAATGGTGTGACGGCCCGGCGCCTCGGCAGAAAGGTACCAGATACCATCTTACACCTCATCAAGATAGAGCAGAGGGAGAAACAAGGAAACTGTCCCATGAATTAAAATATTTTAGGTAAGCGGTTCATGTCTCGACCAACGGGACTACGGACAAGGCGAACTGAAAAAGATTTCCCCGACCATGAAGACAGGGTATTTCACGAAGCTGGCTCATTATGTCCCTCATTCGTAAGCTGACCCACGTCGAGGGTTCCATCTGCACGTTCGCGTAGATCATTGGTATCATCTGGCTCACGCATCGGTCGTGCAGCATTACGGCCATGCAGGCAATGCTCTCGAAGAGGCTTCAAGTGGGACGACTCGGGGGCACATTTTGCGTCATCTGTCGCGGAGGAGAAGAAGCTTCTCATCGTCAAACCGCTGCGTTGCAGCATGCCAGCGACAGCGACAGCAGCAGCAGGGTGCACCTGTAAAGGACGCGCACCAGCTATAGGGTATGCCCACACGTCCCTTAAATGGCTTGTGCTTGGATATGTGCTCGTCGACAACCTGCAGGACGCGGTGAGTTGGTGGTTGCACGCACGAGCATTACGATGATTGATGATTAGCATCATCAACATCATCTATCGTGTTGAATCGTTGCCAGCGCCTGACTCGTCGAAGAGTTCACCTTGGTCAAATGATCGCGCTAAGAAGTGTGTTTCGTACTGCACTGGTCGCATTGATGAACACGAGTCGGGAATGTCTGGAACATACGGTCTACCGTCCGATATTGATCCTATCGCGTGTAGATTGAATATACGAAGAACGCATGATGCTGGCGTTCATATAGATGTTGTTACATGGAGTTTGTGTACGAGTCCGCAGAGGAGGGCGAATGATTGCGAGGATGATCCAATTCGGTGGGCAATGTGCTGTAAAAATCATGAGCCGCCGAGATGGCTGGTGGGGTGGTGGACGATGCTGCGGTAGAATTCGGTGTGCCCTCCATGAGACCCAGCAATCGGAGTGTCGAGGTACAGCTAAACCGGAAGTGGCCATTACATCGCGAGATCTGGTTAATAATAATAAGGCAGGATGGGGCCTCTCCGGTCTAGCGGCTCGTCCCTGGTTGGTTCCCTTTTGCTTGCTTGCTTGCTCTTTCTCAGCCGCTTAATAAGTTCGGAAATAGGCCAAGATGTACATGTTACAGCACACACATCCGCGCGCACACATACATAGCATTTGTTTGGACTCGCAGCATCGGTTCGATGCATCCTTTCGTATGGTGAGCGCGATTCCGGGAATCGTACTGTCAGGTTGGTCTCGCATAAGTCCTCGCAGGGAATTGTGCTGGCTTGCGATCCCGGTTTCCTCCGTCGCGCAGGGCCAACGCGGTGATCGGCACAACCCACAGCAGCGGTTCCATTGCACATGTAGATCGACAACACGTTGCCCAGGCACATGTATATGAAACGACGGCCGCGCATAGTTGACTCGCTTCGGAATGCGTTTGGGTCATTTGGAATACCGCATGTTGTTCGCCTGCCAAGAGGGTCAGAACCGCCTGCCGTACTATCCTACGCTGCTCTTCGATAGTGACGATGCCGAGTCTCATCAAACTGACACAGAAATCCTTCCATCGTTTTCCAACGTAAAGGCTTCATCTATTGCCTGACGAGCCGTGTAGGAGGCCTTACATCTCCTCCTGTGGTGAGTGGCCCTGCCGCAATCTTACGTACTATGGGCAAATCCGCACATTGCCCCACTTCTCGCCTACGACTATGTTCGATACCTTGTCATACAACACCAGCACGGTACCGATATATACCCAGATCGCCAATATTGATGCCTCCAACGACTTGAGCAGATGAACGTTGCTTTTGCCGTATCGAGGAATCATGAACGCCTCTCGCGCCATGCCCACATAACGGCAATATCCCCTGGTAGATCCAGGGACCCGATGAAGCGGTATGGTTCGAATAGCAAGCGTGTGAGGAGTCGTACCCGTGGGACGGATGTGTTTAGCAGAAGATGAATACGCGGAATTGAAGAACCAATTGTGCCAATCACCTATATACTGGACATCGCACATGCACAATGCCGTACAATTGTTCAACTACTGCATGTTTCGTGTGCGCGCCCTCGCCGACGATGCATCGGTATGCATGACTCGTGTCGCCCAGCTGGCCAGCGTACATCGGTCCACATACCTTGCTGCACGACAGTGTAAGTGGGTGTGTGTCTTGTCCAACCTCACCTGCACTAAGAACGCCGCAAAGCTGACCCCTGTCAAGACCAGCTGCACCTGCACTCATTATACCAGGATAGCTCTCCTTCAGATCGGAAATCAGGATGGATCTTTGGAGACTATCGATATGTTTGGCGCAGCTTCCGTTACCGACCGGTCTGCGCCACAAGATAGGAATGGGTTGTTTTTGTTCTCTTTTAGATCTGGACTGGTGATGATGGGACGGCACGGAAGCCAAGGAATACGTGGTGGTAAAAGTGCGAGTTGTAGGTGGAGAACCGAAAGCAGACCTAGGTAGGTTTGCACGTCAGCGTGATTACTCTGCTGATCCAAGGAGGTTCAGGCCAATGGACGCCGCAATCAGTTAAATGTAGTGGATGCAAATTGTCAGAGCGAAGATTCCTGGTGCCGCCTGTTTGTGTGACACACAATCCAAGTGTAGTGACAACGGAGTGTATTGTACAGTATTGACATCTTGTGTTGAGTGCATATTGCACCATGCACATCCGATGGGCACCGTAGTAGCTGCAGCAGTGATGGCTCATGGTGCGCTTCCATGATCATTCCATTCGGCGTCAGTGCTGATTAGAGGAGCAGCGGGCGTTTATGTCTGTGCCCGGAGAATGGGCCCCTGTCACCGCTGCTTGCAGCTTGGCCATGTCTCCACTGCCGACGGATGAGATGCTTGTCGTTTTATAGGACGCTGCAAATTGTACTATAGGCGAACGCCATATCAAGCGGGCTGACCTCGATATTATCTTCGTATTCATCTAACAGGGGATCGAGAGACCGAGCCTACATGTCCATCATCGGCGACGACGGGGATGACGGTGACGACAATCATTGGCGAGGTTATAGATCTCCGTGATGATGCATTCGGTATTAATCATTATGATGATAGATGCTGATGGCAGAAGGTGGGAACTGTGTCTCGGAATTGACCATACGCGCAACGCGCCTGGCACACACGCTGTTTTGACTGCCGCACACACAGTCCACCGGAGCATCTGGGCACCCCCCCTACACCCACTTTTCTTATTACAAACCATCCATGCACCCGTCCATTCGGAGACAGGAAGAGAGAGAGAGAGGGACGCACCCACACACACTCTCTCGGGCTCTCTCTCCCTCAGATCGTGTATGCATCCACACCCACCCAGACGGGTGGACAGGTACTGCGCAGTGTACATGCACTTTTCCCGCTGCGGTTTATACTTTTCGTAACCTACCGTCATCATCGTCACCCCATTGCCATCATCACTACTACAACCAACGATCCTCTCGTACGCCTCGTTTCCCGCCTTGACACGCACGCGCGCGCGCACATCAAAATACCACCAGCCGACACACCGACACTACCGCCATAACCATCACCACCACCACCCTCCCGCTACCTGGACACCGTGATCCGAATCCCGGCTTGTATCCTGTCACCATAAAAGTCAGATCGCTAGGGCGGTCGTTTTCTTGACCCTGTCCGAGCCGATACGACGCGTCGGCATCGCTCTCCCTCGTCACAGTCGCTTCTGGCTGTTCCCTGCGCTGTGTCATCGTGAGAGTCCGTGATCTGCCATTTGCCGCTACCGTTTTACCGTCACAGAGGTGAAAGGGAACCTTGGAAGAGAAGAAAGCGCCAAAGCGTCTTCCCTCGGACGAGACTACTGCGACTGATGCCCGCGCGCGCGCAGCTTTGAGACGATCCGCCGCCAATTCCGACTGCGGACACAGGTTACAGCTCCAATCTTCCTCTTCCACCTCACTCCAAGGCGCATAAAACATCCCTATCCTACTTTGCCTTACCCACGTCGCCGGGCTCGATCGACTCGGCGCCGCTGTTCGATAGACGTCGGCTTGCCTGACTTCCCCGAGCCTAGTTGTGTTCCTCCCAGGCGCGCCACTCTCGGAAGCTGGGACCATGCTTCCTGCTCCCCTTGTGTCGACACAAGTAGAGTAGTACAGACAGTAGATCTGTGATTGACCTCATCAGCACATTGCCCAACTTCTGTCGTCGGCGTGGCCCTGCTCGACCGCATGGTACTGGTCCCTCCTGCTTGATGACTACTACGATGGATCCTCATGCAAGGAGACCTTCCTACCAGCACGCTCCTCAATTGTTACCACCACATCCACCTCCACCAGCAGGACATCACAACGGTCCTGTCTCTGCCTTTCCGCCTGGCCTCGACCATCGAGCACCTTCGCATCAACCGCACCATCCACCACCTCCTGCACCTCAGCAGCACCTGCATTACCAGCAATTGCATTCGCATCCTCAACTCCAGCAATCAGCGCAACCACCACCGCCGCCTCCTCCACCGCCTCCATCACAACAACAGCAACCACCGCCGGCGCCGCCACCACCTGCTCATCACCATCCGCAACAAGGACCGCCGCTTCCTCAGCGTCAACAGCATCAACAGCAACAACAGCAACAACAGCAACAACAACAACAGCAGCATCAACAGCAACAGCAGCAACAACATCCTCACTATCCCAGCCAGGCCCCGCCGCCGAAATCTGGCCCTTCGCTACCACCTATTCTCTCTCCCAGCGAGCAAGGCCACCTGCCACCATTCCGACATCCATCTGCGCAACCTCATGATCCTCGCGAGGGTGCGCAAGAATATCCGCAGCCGTACAACAATCACGCACGGTCCGGCCATGCCACGCCGAGCCTAGGCGGGCGGTCGTATTCACAACACGAGCGCACCCCAACTACACCTAGCGGCCCACCGCCATATCCACCACCGAGCCCAGACGGTGCTCAATCGTCACAGCCCCCCCCGATGATGGGTCATGGAGATCATCATACCATGTATGCGCCGCCGCCGCCGGTCCCACACGTCATACAGGCACCACCTCCGTCTCATCACGATTCTCATGGCGCGCCATACATCCAACCCATAATCGATCACCACGCACAATACCCTCCAAGCCAGATGTATCCAGGCCATGCGTATGGCCCATCGTCGGCTGCGCTGCCAAACCAGAAACGGAGGCATCTGCGCGCACAACAGGTAGGACCATGTTTCTCGCGGACACCGACATGAGTTTGAACGCTAATCGTTCCTGACAGGCCTGTGACCAATGCCGAGGGCGAAAACAGAAATGTGACGAAGGTCAGCCTTGTAGTTTTTGCAAAGACAACAACCTGTCATGTGTTTACCGCGATCCCCCGCTCGTAAAGTAAGAACTTTCTTCAGCTAAAACTTACGCCGCGTTGGCTAATCCAAATTCCCTCAGGACGGATAAGAACATGGAAAAGTTGCTGGCGTATATGGAAGCACATACACAAAGTTTCGAAGAACTGAAAGAACAGATTAGCAGTTTCGAAACCAGGCTCCGGCAAGTAGAGCAAGGACAGTCCAGCTCAATCGGCGCTCAAGGAACACACCTGAAAGGGATGCCAAACGTTCCTGGCTACAACGTAAACAGTCCGCAGCCGGCTGAGACCCAGCAAGATCGCGCAGCAATCCTCGGCGACCATCGCACCGCTCCGCACAAGCTCCTGCTAATTTGGCCTAGTGTTAAGCCTTTGCTCAGCGAGGCTGGGATCGATTTCAACGACGGTTATGTCATGGAGGCTGAGGACCGCGGCATGCTCCGGCTGTATACTGCAGGTGAAGCAGCTGACGAACCCGACGGAACTCAGAGCGGAATTATTGCCAGTCCCACCAACGGCGAACCCAGTCCTGAAGCACAGCATGCGCCCACGCCCACCAACGATGGGGTCTGGGGCAGCGCTGCCTTTTGCGGGCCTCCAGATGATCGCAGAATGGATTTTTCCGCCAGCCCAGGTGGTCGCCGACCCACGGGTGACCTCGACCTTGATGTGAACACGATCCAGGCATTGTTGGAAAGCTATTTGCAAAATATTCACGTCATGCACCCCATCCTGAACGAAAAGCGACTCCGTAAAATGATCGATGCATTCAGCCGACGATATGGCACCGGTCAATTCAGAGGGGCACATGGCACCCCTACCACCATGAGCGACCCTGATAATCGGCCGATGAAGCGACAACGATCGAACGGCTCAACTGCCATTTCCATCATGACTGTAAATGAAGCCGACATGCGTCGCGAGCCAAGGGAGGCCATCGAGCATTCACCTGCAAGTGCCGTTGTATTGCTCGTGCTTGCCCTGGGCAAGATCTGTTTGCACAAGGATCCGTTACCCGGCTTCGTTCCCAACTCAAGGTTACAGACAAACTCTGCTGTTGCGCATTCGGCAGGAATTCGCGGTGCGCCGAATGATGTCAACACCTCCTTCGCCAGCATGAGTTCTCCAGGTTCAGCAATCATGAGGTCGGCGCACATGTCACCCCAATCCCCTCTAGCGACACCCCACAACCAGCCTACACCGCCGACCGAACAGGGATATCGTCATGAGGTGCGCACTTCCGGACCACCGACGAACGGCGTGACTTCGAATCGTTTCCGCAAGAACATAGATGCTCTGCCTGGCTTGTCATATTATGCAAAGGCGTCAGAGATCATCGGAGAGCAAGCAGATGGAAACGACCTCATCCACGCACAGATTTTCATTCTTGCAGGTCTCTTCAAAGGGCAGTTGGCACGTGTCAAAGAGAGTATGAGTTGGTTCCAAATGGCTGGTCGCGCCGTTTTGAGCTTGCTGGATCGTTACAAACTCTACAATGACAGCTACTGGGTCAATTATGGAGAAAAGCCGCAGGGCCAAGAAAGTGGTCAAGCTAGGATCAAGGACTCTCGACACGTTCTTCTCGTCATCGCCGCCTGGTCATGCCTCCAACTAGAAACGGATATCCTCGCAGAGATGAAATTCCCACCCAGCGGTATACAGGAGAAGGAGCCCCTCTTGCTTTTCCCGTTGAAGACACCTCAACATGAGCATGAGATGGAAACCCTTCAAGGATCCGGAGGCTGGGATGGTACTGATCGGATTCTCATGTACTTTGTCTCCCTGCTCTTTCTTCGGAGAAGATTGAACAAAGTGCACGCCGAGATTTACGGACCTGACAGTCTGGGTCAAACGCTCAAAGCTGTCCAAGTAATGCTTGCTGGCCACGATGATGTACTGAACGCCTGGCGAAAAGGCCTCCCGGAACAATTGAAATGGGATGACAATGATCCACCAGCCACCGAGATCCTGGATGCTCGTCTGCGAGGTAAATATTATGGTGCGGTATACGTCATCAACCGGCCGTTCCTCGACTACGCACTGCATATCATGCCGCACCTCGTTAACGACAAATGTACGCTCGAGGAGGCCGCCATAGATGCTTATGGAAATCCTCGAGACAAAGCCGACATTCACCTGTTCAGGGCGATACAGCAGATGGGTGACAGTGCGATCTGGCGAGCTGCGAAGCGATGTATTGACGCAGCCATGCACAGTACTGTCGCTTTCGATGGTATGGACGGTCGACTCATCGTCACTAACATCCACGGAACAGCACATGCGTAAGTTTCAGACACCTCAATTCAAAATCTTTCACCCTGCTGACTGCCGTTCAGACAATTCGGCAACATGTTGGTGCTGTCCGCCACATACAGCAGCCCCTATTTGAACAGGCTTGTTCCCCACGACAGGTTCAAAACTCTCCTCCTACGTACCATCAAGTTCCTCCGCCGACTATCGCCCATCTCACCCACATGTCGGGCGGACTGCCTCATCCTCGAGAAATTCGAGAAAACCCTATTTCCGCTCGCCGACACCGAATCCACCACCTATCGCGACGAAGGCGTCGACCGCGAGACTCTGATGCAAGATGCAGCGCCTCCAGTCTAAAGTCTGATCTCGGAATGATCGACTTCCAATCCCTCTCATGCGGCACGTCCACCAGCGAACAACCGGCAATCGAGCTCATCCTCGTTAGCTTAAGCCTCTGGCTCCATCGACCAATCTATCTGCTTACATCGCGCGTCATTTCTGGGCGGCCTGAATTGCTAAACCTGCATGCATTAGAGAGCGGGACTTGAATGCACTGAATGCGCTGAATGCACCGTCCCCCCATACGCGCATCATCCATCATCGTTTCCGGCATTTTCCTTCTCACTCGCACTCTCGCTTATTTCCGCAATGATACCAGGCTCCAAGATATCAGCCACGGGTGGTCAATTTGATTTATTTGTTTCGAAAGAAAACATATGCTTTGTGATTTATTTTTTTGTTTATTGATTTTTGCTTCGCTGGCTCATCAACCTCTTTACCCTCGTCCCGGAAGGAACGGACAAGGGAGGAAAAAGTGGACTACAAAGGCATGAAGACGAGAGGGGATGAAGAAAAACGTTGTGGGATGGAGCTCGTCTGGTGGAAGGGCTGGAGGGAAATTATGTTGGGAACGAAGGGGTCTGCTGGCATGAGCGGAGAAGAGAGGGATGGTGGAAGAGTTGGGAGCAGAACGCACAGCTGCTTATGTCGTCCGCACTCGGGAGCAATCCCTCTCCGCGTTGCGCCGGGCGCGGCCGTACAAGACATCGTGGAGGGAGGCAGCAAGACATTCGCTACTCCTCCCTATGGCCCCCGAACTGCCTCCCGACGACATCCCTGTCTAATCGGGAACGCTTGATGCGGACATATGGATCTGTAAATTTATGCACGGAGAAAAAACGAAGGGCGGCCGATTTCTTTCTTTCTCCCCGGTTCACACACCCGCCGCTGGGCCGGTAGCTTTTGGCGGCCGCGGCCGGCGGTGGGAAGGAGGGATTTTGTATTTATGATACCCACCAAGACAAGAAGAATATAATTTCTTATTACGCGTTTGGTTCCATGTATCAGTGGAAAGTGTGCAATGTGGTGAGAGCGGTGTTCCATAAACGCTTGAGGACCTAGCGGCCTGCCCCGGAGGCGTTTTCTAATTGTCATCTATGTATATAATTCTAGAGCATGTGGATAGAGGGTGACCATCTTATTCTCCTTATGTCGCGAATACATCGCCTCTGATCGCAGGGACTCCTGCTTCCCGATCGACCAGGCCTATGGCTAGAGGCATAAACGCTAACCGAAAGACGTTTTCGTAAATTCGTGATCACATCGCCGAGAACGGCAATGGAATGGTTCGTGTCGTGTGTCGTCCACGGCTTCGCGGAAGCCAGGGTGGAGGTGCTTGGGAGGCTGCCAGAGCTCAAAGCCGTATTTGATTATGTTCGTGAAAAGTCGTATGTGAAAGGTGTGTCTGACAGATGTTGTATTTATTATGAGCCGCTATCGTTTCGGTAGCCAGAGATTGACTGTGTTGTCGTAGAACAGGCTACGAGCCATGCTCTTCCGCTTCACGTTGGCCGCCAACCTTGCCGGGTCCGCCGGGACTTCCCAGACGCGCTCGGGTAGCATGAGTTCGACCGAACTGTCGCTGCACATGAAGGGATTTTCGGGTGGGTTCTGGTGGCATTGCGAGTATTGTCGGCCATATGAGGCATCAATCTCGCGCTGCATCATCGAGATCCGGGTGGCGTAGTGGGCTTTGCGGCTCCGCTGCACAGCGACTTTGGCCTCGCGGCGTCGTCGATGGTCCCGGATTATGTACATGGCGAGAGCCGCCCATGAAATGAGGATGGTGAGGGCGCAGACGACGATTGTTGCTATGAAGCCAGCTCGTGAAACGACGAAGTCGCCGGGTCGGAGGTTCATGCAGACATTGGTCTCGTCGGACGCGGCGGTTCGGGCGACCAAACTTTCAATTGAGCTTGGTCCTGGGAAGGGTCGAGGGATGCTTTTTTCAAGTCGCGTGTATGAATCCATGGCAAATCAATTGCACAAGCAAAAATGGGGTATCGCTAAACAGGAGGAATGTGAAACAGAAATTGAAGAGATTCATCACAACCTACTTCTTTGCCGGCACGACAAGATCATATAATGTTGTCTTCGTTGCTGGATATCAATAGAGATGCAATATTGCGGCGTAGACAACATCGTGAAACAAAGCCGCTATGAATACACACGCTTGCAAAGCTTATCGGGACACTTCGAGTCCTGTTCGAGTTCACGCACTGCCAGATCGAGACTTACCGAGATGTCTTTGGTCTGATGATGTTCGGGACGCGGCCGGCTGGGCTGGTCTGGCGCCTGATAAGCGCCCGGGAGGAGCCGCAAAGTCCATCCGGCATTGCCTCGGTGCTTGTAAAAATAAAACGCCCTTTGCAGGAAAACCGTCACGGAAACATTACCAAAAAGTCCAAGCTCTTCGGCGGCGCGCTTCGCATCGCCCTTGGATGTGAAACCAACGCAACGTCGGCATTCGCTCATGGTCACGTGAGGGGTCGGATCACTTGGGTTTCGCAGCCCTGCGTCCCTCGAGGACGCGCATGATATCGTCCATGTTATTAACGTCACCTTTCCTTTTCTTCGGCTTGCGCTTCCTCGCCGAGATATCCTTGCCCCTTTTTGAATCGCCGCCGCTTGGGCCAGACTCCTTCCACTCGGAAAGGCGCGACTTTGTGCTCTCTTCGCCATCCTCAAAGTCGTCGAACCTGCTGTCACCGAACCCGAGATCCATGTCGTCCAGATCACGGTCGCGAGCGAGTAGTTTAGCTCGTTTTTCATCCCGAAGCTTTTCCTCGTCCGTCGTTTCAACAGCGCGCGCAAGTCCGACATTGGCCGCCTTTTTGATAATGTTCTCGATCATCTCGAGGCGGGGGGCTTCCCGTTCCTCAGGTATGTCATTGCGATCTCCAAAATAGTTGCGTTGAATCGTCGTTTGCGTGTCATCGTGCGCTGCTGCAGGTGTCTCTTGTTCGGAGGGCTCACGTGCTGCCGGCTGTTGTAGTGATGTAGGTGAGGCCTCGTCATCACTACTCGCATCGTCGTCTACCTCTTCACCGAGGGGATTGTAGTCGGTCCCTGCACCAGCAAAGATATCATCGTCATCCTCACTATCAGTAGTATTTTTCGTAGTGACCGGCATCCTATCTCGTATGACAAAATCCGCACCAAGCACAGGCTTGGTCTTGTCCACAACGTCCGTATCTTCGCCCTGTGCAGTTGCTGGCTTCTTTCTGACCATGCGCTTTACGATACCATCCTCGTCCACGGTCACGAGAACTTCTCTTCCTTTTTTATCAATTTCGATCCGCGGCTTTGCCTGCTCGCCCACCTTGCGCCATCGGTGATCAAACGTGGGTTTGTCTCTTGCCTTTTCTTCTGCAATTGCTTGCCGCTTGGCTTTGAGCTCGGCCATGATCTCGTCTCGAGAGCGTTTGACGCCAGCGACCTGGATTGGCGCTCGAATGCCTACTTTCTCACTGTTCACTCGTTCTGGTGCTACCACATCAGCTTCGCCAAGTTTGTCAAGCTCGGCATCAACGTCCAGAATAGCTGGTGTTTGATCCTCGCCTGCTCTGTCGACAAGTTCTGATTCCCCTCTTCTAGCGCGCGCCAGCAGCTCCTTATCTAGGCCTTTGACTGGCACCTTCTGCGACGAATCGATGCCCATTATTTTCTCGCTGAGTGATTCGAAATCCTGGCGACTTAAGCTGCCTAGCTTGACTTGCTTTTCCAATGCTTTGACCCGCGCGATCTTCTCTTCTTCATCGCGCCTCTCAGCTTCGGCTCGGATTTTGGCACGGTCAGTGTAGCCAGCCGCTATTTTGCTGCCCATGGGCACCGACGACTTGAACTTTTTGGACGGCTGCAGGCCAGCGTGTCGTTCTCGCACTTGTCGCGCAAACTCTGTGCTATTCAAACTCGTTTGAGCGGTTCGTGATGTTGTGGGAACGAGTGTCGTCTTTTTGGTGCCCAAGGCAGATGCTGGTGCGCCAGAGGATTGCGCATCTTTGTTGAGCAAATCGCGGAAAGATTGGTTATTCATGGCGTCTTTGGCGGTTTGATATCCAGATCAAAAGCTTGGGCGAACGAATGCCTCAGCACTGGATGCTGCTACGCGTGTCGCGTGGGAGCTCATCTAATTAGCACTCACGACTGCTGTGTCGAGCGACTGCGCGTAGCCTTTGATGGAACAACTCCAGAAACCCTGAGGGCTGTAGTGTCGAATTACATCATGGCAGTCGCGCTCGGCCAACTTGCCAACACCGTTGTAATCAACCACATCAGGTGGAGTTGTGTTAGAGGCGTTCGTAGGATCACAGGCTCACGAAGAATACAAAAACGGGTCGAAGATTGAATTCAGTCCATGAGTGCATACATGCCTGATCGCCGAGGCCGCATTCAAGCATAACGGATCGCGATCTTTGGGCCGCTTCAGGCTGGCGGTGGTCACGCGAGTATTCGAGCAGCCGAAGCAGGTCAAACACGAGAACTACCCAGGTAGGCATTCGCAAGCGGTGGAAATCTCTGCGCAACTCGCGCGTAGACATTCCCAAACCATGCCCAGTGTCGCCTATGATCGAGTCCCTTGACCAAAATTAATTTTCCATCGTGATTGTATGACAATCTCAAACTTGTCAACATCAGGACATCGTTTTCTATTCCCGAGTTTACGTATCTGTGTATTGACAACCTTGACATCCAAGCAGCGAATACTACTCGCTCACCTCAAACATGGCCTTGACGCTTTTGCCGTACAAGGCCGAATACCTACGGGCCATTACGGACATGGGCTCCAATGGTATTCGATTCTCCATATCAAGTCTGCAACCACCTACTCAAAGGGTCATGCCTACCTTGTACCAGCATCGAGTGGGTATCTCTTTGTACGATGCACAATACTCCACATCGGGCGAGAGGGTGCCTATAGACGACAAGACCATCTCGGCTGTCGTGGTGGCCTATAAGCAATTCAAGCGGACATGTATCGATTATGGCGTACCGGATGAAAATGTGACTGTGCTTGCCACAGAGGCCACTAGGACCGCCCTCAATTCAGTCGAGTTCCGCCAACGGATCAAGGACGAGGTAGGCTGGACTGTCACGATGCTTTCGAAGGAAGAAGAAGGCCGCATCGGGGCACTGGGAGTCGCTAGCTCCTTGCCTGAAGTCAGTGGACTTGTCATGGATCTTGGTGGCGGATCGACTCAACTAAGCTGGCTAGTCAAAGGATCAAAAAACGCCGGGATTCAAATGCCGGATAGAGGATCGGTGAGTATGCCTTATGGTGCAGCTGCTCTTTCAAGACGCCTGGCAGAGGCAGAAAGCAAGGGCACAGTAGCAGAGCTCGAACATGAGATTAAGGGAGCGCTCACAACTGCGTACTCCGAACTAAAGGTTCCCCCCGAGCTCGAGGCTTCCGCTTTCGAGGATGGTGGAATTACACTTTACCTTTCAGGCGGAGGATTTCGAGGCTGGGGTTATGTGCTTATGGGTCGACACAGCATCGACCCCTACCCAATCCCAGTCATCAATGGATACAGAGCTAGCAGGCGCGATTTTCTCAGCATCGAACAAGTAAAAGCAGCTGCTGAAACCTCGCTATCATCCCAAGATGAAGAGGAGTCGATATTCAGGGTATCCGACAGGAGGGCCGGCCAAGTTCCTGCTGTCGCACTGCTTGTCAATGTTCTCGCAGAAGTTCTTACCCAAGTCAAAGACGTGCGTTTCTGTCAAGGTGGCGTACGAGAGGGATATTTATTCGCCTCACTTTCGAATGAGATCAGAGCCCAAAATCCGCTGGTTGTCGCAACTCAGCCATTCGACGTTAGCGGCATGTCCGAGGCGCTGGCAAGCTTATTGGAGGATGCATTACCAGCCGGTTCTACCAAGGAGGCTACTGATGACTATAAATCGGTATTGACCACAGACTTGTTCGACACGTTAGCAAATATGATGTACTATCATTCAAGTCATTCGAAAGAACTACAAGCGACGGCCGCCCTCAGAAGCACAACATCAGGCATCCTAGCAGGCGTGCACGGTGTACTGCATGAATCGCGGACACTCATCGCCCTACTTCTGTGCGCGAGATGGGGCGGGAGTGTACCACCCAACGATGAAAAGTTCAAACAGAGCCTCGAACGCTTGGTGCCGTCCCCCTGGATACTCTGGTGGGTTAATTACATCGGCGCAGTCGCTGCTCTCATAGGAAGTGTATATCCCTCCGGATATGTCTCTCAGCAACACAAACGCCTTGCACTGAGAGCAATATGGACTGCCGATGAAAAACAGCGACCGGTCCTCACACTACAGGTCACACTGTCGGCAGACATCGATCCGGCACTGTTTGATGCTGAGGCTAGAGATATTGAAAAGGTGGGTAAGAGGAAACGTTGGATTGGTGGTAGAGACGGCGCCGGCCACAGAGTTGCGGTGAATATCAATCCATGACCCCTGGTCGCGCGTCAGCGATTTACGTTTCGACGAAGGCATCGGCTACTGTGATGCCGTGACTCAGTAGCATAAAATTAGAACGGTCGTCGGCAATGAGTGCACACGTCGATGCCTGTGAAGACGCCGGAGAAGGTTTGCCGAGTCACTGAGTCATGCGAGCTTATCCACGTCACGAGCAACGCCGCGTTAGCTACCTAGGTATAGATGTAGGAATGTCGCATGTTCAAGACAATTTGTATTCGCCGAAAACAACTAGCAATACCTTCGTCAGCCACGCGATGAAGTGACAGCCATATGCGGCGAATCCGGAAATGCGACCTACATTGTCAATCTGCTCTTAGTGAGACTGCATAAGTTTACGCTTCTCGTCCGAACAAAGTTCATATCAATCTGCAGCATTGCGAAATTTAAATCTACGACAAAGTCAAAATGGCTGGTCGTCTAAATTTCCTCACGCAAAAGGCACCCGAGAACTATGTCGCAGGTTTAGGTCGAGGTGCCACCGGCTTCACCACACGCTCTGACCTTGGACCTGCTCGTGATGGACCGAGTGACGAACAAATCAAGGAGCTTCTCGCGAAGCGCGCAGCCGCCACTGGCCTCGCCGTACCGACTGCATACGGTGGAGGGAAGAAGAAAGAAGATGAGGAAGATGAGAACTTTGCGGACGCGGACAACGATGAAGCAGGTCTGTTCTCGGGGGGTAATTTCGATCGCGACGATGATGAGGCGGACAGAATCTACCAGGCGGTGGACGAGAGAATGGGAAAACGTCGCCAAGCTGCAAGGTGAGTCTACTTTTCGTTCACAAATGTTGTTCGCACGCCGAAGACCATGTTGTTCATTCTCTTTGCAGTACAGAACCAGAAGACAGCATGCCGACATGATATTTCTATAGGGAAGAACGAGACAGAAAAGCCGCCGAGGAACTCGAACGAAAGAATCCGAAGATATCTGCGCAATTCAACGACCTCAAACGTGCACTTGGCACAATAGCAGACGAGGAATGGGCCAATATTCCGGACGTTGGGGACCTCACGGGCAAGAACAAGCGCGCTAAGAAAGACCTAAAACAACGTTTCTATGCCGTTCCGGACTCGGTGTTGGCAGGTGCCAGAGATGGCATGGAGCTAGGGACCGAGATACAGGAAGATGGCAGTGCGGCCAACCCAGCAGATCAACCAGATGGAACCACCACAAACTTGGCGGGAATAAGTACTGCCAGAGATCGAGCTCTGCAGTCTCGCCTTGACCAAGCTGCGCAGTCGCAGGCGTCGGGTGCGGACTCGGTCTCTGGGACGAGCACAACGATAGATCCCAAGGGTTATCTCACCAGCTTGGCCAATTCCGAGATCGGCTCTGCAGAGACCCAAGTGGGGGACGTGAATCGCGCTCGACTTTTGATGGGATCAGTCACAAAGACAAACCCGCGCCATGGTCCCGGCTGGATTGCTGCGGCACGACTCGAAGAGTATGCTGGGAAGCATGTGGCAGCTCGCAAGACTATCCGTCAAGGGTGCGAGATGTGTCCGAAAAACGAAGATGTCTGGCTAGAATCGCTGCGTATGCACAAGACACACGATATACACGATGCGAAGATCGTAGCAAAGCATGCTTTGGATAAGAACAACCGGTCCGTTCGATTGTGGCTCGAGGCGTTCCAGCTTGAATCGACTCCGAATGAAAAGAAAAGAGTCCTGATGCGCGCTCTTGACTACAACCCACAATCCGTGGCGCTTTGGAAGGAACTTGTAAATCTATCAGAGGACCCCAAGGATGCCCGACTGTTGCTTCACGCCGCCACCGAGAAAATCCCGCTATCGGTGGAACTCTGGCTTGCATTGGCTCGACTAGAGACCCCGGATCAAGCTCAAGTTGTGTTGAACAAGGCGCGTCAGGCTGTGCCGGGTAGCCCCGACATTTGGATCGCAGCAGCCAGACTTCAAGAGCAAAGAGGACAAGACAATTTGGTGGTGTCGGTTATGAAGCGTGCGGTGAAAAGTCTCACAAAGGAATCCGCAATGCTGAAGCGTGAGGATTGGATTGGCCAAGCGGAAATTTGCGAGTCTGAGGGTGCGCTGCTGACATGTCGCGCAATCATTCAGGAGACGCTCGGGTGGGGTCTAGACGAAGACGACGAGCGGAAGAAGATTTGGTTGGCCGACGCTAAATCTTCGACGGCGAGAGGGCGTTTCGAGACTGCGCGAGCTATCTATGCGTACGCCCTCCAAATCTTCTACAACCGCAACAGCGTCTGGCTGTCAGCCGCGGATCTCGAGAGAAATCATGGAACGAAAGATCAGCTTTCAAAGGTCTTGGAAGACGGCACTAAGGCTCTTCCTGGTACGGCTGAATTGTGGATGCAGCTTGCCAAGCTGAAACAGCAAGCAGGCGACCTTGATGGCGCCCGAGATGTGTTAAAGGATGCTTTCCACAAGAACCCAGAAAGCGAACCCATCTACCTTGCAGCAGTACAGCTTGCAGCAGAAACTGGTGAAACGGAGCGTGCTCGAGACCTGTTCGACCGGGCCCGCAAAGCTTCTGGAACTGACAGAGTTTGGATCAAGAGTGCCGCGTACGAGCGTCAGCTAGGAAATCTTGACAGGGCACTCGAGCTGGTGAATGAAGCATTGAATTTACCTTCTGCTTCGTTCGACACACGCGCACCTAAACTCTGGATGCTGAAAGGTCAAATATACGAAGCCAAGGAGATGTTACCACAGGCGCGCGAGGCATACAACGCCGGCACTCGGAAATGCAGTCAGAGCGTTCCATTATGGCTTTTGGCAAGCCGACTTGAGGAGCGCATGCATGTTATCGTCAGGGCAAGATCTATCTTAGATCGAGCTCGATTGGCAATACCAAACAATCCACAACTATGGACAGAATCTGTACGGCTCGAAGTGCGAGCGAAAAATATGGCAGCCGCCAACCAGAAAATGGCCCAGGCACTTCAAGCGTGTCCCAAGTCGGGTCTGATTTGGAGTGAGCGCATCTGGAGTTTGGAGTCCCGGACACACAGGAAGCCGCGTATTCTTGAGGCCATCCAGCAATCCGACAGCGATCCAATCCTTTTCGTGACTGCCGCACGCATCTTCTGGTCGGAAAGAAAATTGGATAAAGCGGACAACTGGTTCCAAAAAGCGATTATTTTGGACCCCGATCAGGGTGACACCTGGGCATGGTATTACAAGTTCGCTCTGATGCACGGCACGGAACAGAAGGTGAAGGAAATTGTCGGTCGATGTACAGATAATGCACCGAAGCACGGAGAGATTTGGCAGGCCGTCAACAAGGCACCCGACAACGTTGGCAAAAGCGTTGAGGATATCTTGAAGAAGGTCGCGAAAGTTTTGGATGCTGTGCAAAGGGAAGTCTAGCGGTAACGGTACGCTTCGCACGTTTGTAGTTGTATACTTGCTCGATCTTGATTCCTTACGATGCTCGATGCGATGTTACAAAATCCTGCCTGAGGCATTCAGCCAACGTATCAAGCAAGTCATCGGGACACCACGTTGCATGATCTCAGGGTTTCCATGAGGCAGTAAATAATGATGAACGCACTTGGCACAACTCCAGATCAATAGTACTTTAATACTCGCTGCCTGCCTAACTTTAAAAAACACATAAATATCTCAAGAAGTGATTGTCTGCCATAAATTAGATTTGTCTTGCACGCGAACTGCTGTTCATTACCAACCCGCCAAACCAGACTTGTGGTCGTAATATCGTGTCATTGGAAGATTATCGGTGATTTCTATCTTGCAGTATTGGAAATTCCCAAGTCCGCTGGCCGCAAGTTGAACAGGCGTCGGACCCCACACCAACGTCGCACTCCACAGGTCTGTAGCTTCCCAGTCTACAGTACACGGACAGTCGCATTCGAAGCCAATAGTCTCGGCAATCGTTAAGTATAACGATTCATTAACTTCACTCGTACGTCAATTCGGGCTTATCACTCACAAGTGGACAAGCACAGTTGCACTCACGGCGTCAAGGAGAAGCCATTGTGCTTCACGACGAGGACCGCCTAAATCTGCGAGCACTCACCGCGATTGACCTCGACAACACGAACTTCCCACTGGCTTCCGCCGACGACGACAAAATGGCGAGCCAACAACCATATCAAACCGACCCCGCTCTCAACGATCCGTCTCAATCACAGAATGCTTCTGCCGCAGGCGGTGCCAAGAAGAAGAGAGATCGTTATGCTGGACAGGCATATGAATTTGGTGCTGGAGGCAATGCTGCAGGAGCGGGTGCCGCAGCAGGACAATACTCAGCGCAGCCGACAGCGCAACAGCAGCAAGCTGCTGGTGGATATGGATATCCTGCGCAACAACCATCTTATGGCATTCCCGCACAGCCTGCGTATGGTGATGCGAACGCTGCCAGCCAGAGTGGCTACCAGCAGCCGGCATATGGTGGACAAGGAGGCTATGATCCACCACAGCAGAGCAACCTTGCTCCTGCGCAAGGCGCTTCCAGCATGCTCCAGGGTGTGCAAGGCGTTACACAGCAATTCGCGCAGATGGGCATGGGAGGCCAACCTGCACAACCCGCGCAACCACCCGGCGCACAGTTACGACTCAATCCGCTACAGCCAGTGGACATCAGCCTACAAGGCCAGCCCTTCCATGTCACGGACCTTGACCAGCCGCCACCACCGATCATCCTTCCCGCAAATGTAAGCATATCGTATTCTCTTCATTGATCACGCTAACAGTGATGGAAAGTCTTCTGTGACACCGTCGCCGCATGCCAACGTCAGTCCGAAATATATCCGCTCGACCTTGAATGCTATGCCTGCAACTGCTTCGCTCTTAAAGAAGAGTAAGCTGCCATTCGCACTGGTCATCCAGCCATACGCCGCGCTGCACGATGCCGAGGACAACATTCCAGTACAATACGATAGCGTCATTTCCCGTTGCCGGAGATGTCGTACCTATATCAACCCTTTCGCGAGCTTTCTGGACCACTCTCATCGATGGCGCTGCAACATGTGCAACCTCACCAATGATGTCCCGCAGCCTTTCGATTGGGATAGTGTCAAACAGCAGGCTGTGGACAGATGGCAACGACCAGAACTGAACTATGCTGTCTGCGAATTTGTTGCTCCTCAAGAATATATGGTCCGACCACCTCAGCCTCTAATCTACCTCTTCCTGTTTGACGTCAGTTACGCTGGTGTGACAAGTGGACTTTTGGCTACCGCAGCACGATGCATTCTCGAGAGTCTCGACCGGTTACCTAATACTGACCGGCGAACACGATTGGGTTTCATGGCGGTGGATAGCTCTCTGCATTACTTCAGTGTGCCCCGTGATGGCAGTGATAGCAACGAAGCGAAGATGTTGGTGGTGAGCGATCTCGACGAGCCGTTTTTGCCCACACCCGAGGATCTCCTCGTCAATTTGTCTGAATGCCGCGCCAACATCGAGTCCTTCTTGAGCAAGCTTCAAGGCATGTTTGCCAACACTACCGTGAACAGCTCGGCCATGGGATCTGCTCTCCGGGCTGGTCACACATTGGTCGGCCCATACGGCGGCAAGATCGTAGTGCTGTCAGCGAGTTTGCCAAACGTTGGCCATGGCAAGTTGGAAATGCGAGAAGACAAGAAGATTCTCGGCACAGCTCGGGAGGGAAGCCTGCTTCAGACCCAGAATGGTTTCTTCAAAAGTTTTGCGATCGAATGCAGCAAATCTCAGGTCTCAATCGACATGTTCTTGTTCAGCGCCCAATACCAGGATGTGGCCAGTCTAAGCCATCTCCCACGATACACAGGTGGTCAGACATATTTCTACCCTGCATGGAACGCAGCGCGCACAGAAGACGCCGTCAAGTTCGCTACTGAATTCAGCGACTACCTCTCGACCGAGATTGGTTTGGAGGCTGTATTGCGTGTCCGCACGACCACTGGCCTTCGACCAAGCGCATTTTACGGCAATTTCTTCAACCGTTCGAGCGATCTGTGTGCATTCTCAGCCATGCCCAGAGATCAAGCATACGTTGTGGAGATGGCTATCGACGAGACCGTGACCAAATCCTTCGCATGCTTGCAGGTCGGTGTCCTGCACACGACATGCAATGGCGAGCGTCGTATCCGAGTTCTCACCCTGAGCATTCCTGTCACGCAAAACATGTCCGACGTCTATGCCTCAGCTGACCAGAATGCCATCGCAGCCTACTATTCGCACAAGGCTGTGGAGCGTGCTCTGAGCAGCGGACTTGACGCCGCTAGGGATGCCGTTCAAGCTAAGATGATCGAATTGCTACAAACATACAAGAAGGAACTCGGCGGAGGTAATTTGGGCGGTGGGGGTTTACAGTTCCCTGCCAATCTTCGAGCATTGCCCATGCTTTTCCTGGGTCTGATGAAGAATGTAAGTGATCACTCATCCAAACAGTACAGTTCCTCTATCAGCGTAAATCGCTAACACAGTTGACAGATTGGTCTCCGTAAATCGGCACAAATCCCCAGCGATCTCCGGTCAGCTGCGTTGTGCCTGCTCTCAACTCTTCCACTTCCATTGTTGATCCAGTACATCTACCCACGGATGTATTCGCTCCACGACATGCCAGATGATGCCGGTCTGCCTCACCCCGAGACCGGCGCCATCGTTATGCCGCAGCCGCTGAACCTCACCTCTGGCAACATCGTGCCTTACGGTCTCTACCTGATCGACGATGGCCAGACGCAGTTCATCTGGCTCGGCCGCGACGCCGTTCCGGCGCTGATCAACGACGTCTTCGGCACTGAAGACAAGAACCAGCTCAAGCAAGGCAAGACTAGCCTGCCCGTCCTCGACTCCGACATGAACGAGCGCGTCCGCGCCGTTGTTGAGAAGTCTCGCGACCACAAAAGCTTGGGCTGCGCTAGTATCACTCTTCCGCCGCTCTACCTCATCCGCGAGGACGGCGAGCCGAGCTTGCGCCTGTGGGCGCAGACAATGCTGATCGAGGATCGTGCGGACCAGGGTGTCAGCGGAGCGATGTTTTTGGGCATGCTTCGGGAGAAGGTGGTCTCGTAGATGGTAGATAGCAGATGGCATCAGAAATGACGATGAATGGGGAAGAGGCGTTGTAGAGATGGAGAGGAGTTGGTGTCCCATCGAAATCGTTGTTCACGCAATGTTGGTCTACAGAAAATTTCACGTAGCGGTAAATGTGATCATAACTGATTGAACGAAAGTCTCTGTCTGTCTTTACGCAAGATGTCATAGGACCTATCGGGTCACTTGAGTATCGATCGAAGCAACTGTGGTTAAACTACAGTGTCTAGGCGATAAGGATATTTTAGGCACTTCACGATGCATTCGGCCGCACTCTACAAGCAATCGCCTACCAGTCCGATCAAAGTTCTGAGCGAGTCGCTACTCTCTGACGCACCGTAATGAAGCAGATTCGCTACATTTGGCTCGCAACAAGCTCGTATTCTGACGTTTCCCGCGATGCCAGCCAAGCTGTAGTCCACACCTGTGGCAAAGACTCCAGCGTGGACATGGAATCTCTGGACATCGAACACGCCACCACAACATACACGGAGGCGGATTGCCACGCATGATGGGAGTTCCAGATCGCCTTCGAGCCGGCCTGGATGCAGGATCTCCGCACTGTGAGAAACGCAAGTGTCCTCTTAGAGCATCGAGAATTTTGGACCAGCGCAGCTAGGTCAACCAGTCACAGATTTATCCCTGATCGGCCGCATCAACTAGCGAATAGGCTGTGGCGTGAGTCTGCCTTTACGGTCAGAAATGGTTGATGCCCAGCCCGGACAAGCAGATATCAGACGGAAGCCAGGGCCGGGATTACGACGTGCATTTGCCCTGTAATCCATGTGTTAGGACTGCGTACGCCATGTGTGCAGATGGCAAAGTTTTTCCGGTGCAGATGGTGGAAGCCGGGCGTCGTGCTATGCCTATTTTTTGATCCATATATTACCCTCTCGTCACATACAGCCGAGATCAAGTCTCGCGAGAATAGAGACCGCCAACAGGTTATGCGGGAAAAGCAGCCACCTCGGTGTGCGGTCAGCTCGTGGAACTCACGTCAGAACCCGAACGCGTGCTTCGTCAATGTCAGGTTCTGGTCTGTGGAGATAGCAGGAGGAACTTCGAGCTTGGCGTGAGGGAAATGCTCCCGCAGAGGCTGCAGGGACGTCTCCCACTTGTGATTGTAGAAATCAACCTTGATATTCACTTTCAGAGAGACACCGGGACTTTGCCCCCGTCGTCCACACTTGCTGACGTGGTCATCGCCGATTCTGCCGATAGCGAAAATCGAGCGCACCCGTATTAATAACCACAACTCACAATGGTCTTCTGACATCCATCTTCCTTTTGCAACCGGCACGAAGACCGAAGAGGAAAGTACCTGACATGCGAAGCCCGCCCTTGCAGCAGCCAGGAAGTCCTTCCAGGCCGCTATCTGCTCTAGCCGTACCTGGGGTGTACACCCGCTCGCGAAGATTTTGGAGCGACTGTCACCTCGCGAGCGTGCTTATTGGTGCGCACACAGCAGCGACAACCACCAAGAGCGTGGGCAATCGTGGGCACATGACCTAAAGAGCACGGCGTGACTGATCCACTCCAGCACATGTGCCCTCCCATTTGCCAACCAGCATGTACAGCTACTGTAGGCAGCTTGCGGAGTGCAACCTACGTGTGCTGTCCGTCGAATCAAGTCCATGGGCCCTGAGCTAGGTTTGACGCCCGGGCTGCCGTGTGCCAGATCGTGGGTCGCCTGCAGCGAGGCTGAATGACCGATGGATGTGTATCTTCTAGAGCGACGGGGGCGTCGACGGTCATCGCTAAAGGTTTTGCCGGCTTATGCAGTAAGCCAGTGGAGGTATCCTCAGGTGCAGCGTGCGATAATCATTGCACCCTTCGCTGGAGAAAGCTCTTAACCACACGTTTCGTGCTTAAACTGCCCGATTGTCAAGGCGAAGGAAAGCGGGAGCAGAGCGATGGCGTGCGTGCTATAATCCCGACGGATGGCGCGTATGCGACCCACTCCCTCATCTTGTGGTTGCGCTTCATCTAGATGCGTGGTCGAGTGCTGTGGTGCCGCCAACTGGAAGCGATGTGGTAGTGTAGCGGCGGTACGGCGGGATGGTCCAATCTACAGGTCGATGAGCGCGATAAATCTGCGGATCAGCGACATGCCGCGCGCGCCTTTGCTCCCGAACCAGAGGGGCCTGTGAAGTGTGCATCGATATGAGTTTAAGGAGGGACGACGTGTGTAGTTCCGCAGGAGTTCCCTGTTCGCTGCGATAGTGAGCGACGTGTGTGATGAGAAGCTTCGATGCCACTGCCGGGCAACTGGCTTGATACGGCGGGCGGGGTTCCAAGGTTGGCTCTGCCCGTCACCCGCACGCACACTCGCATCTCAGCGTGACTAGCTCATCAATCTCAAGCAAGCCCTGGAGCAAGCAGCCCTTCCCGTCCGCCATTCACCCCGCCTATCTGTGAGGTACCGTGGGTGTCCTCCCCAATTTGACCTCAAGGTTGTTTGATCATATAGTTACCCCGACTTTCAGCGTCATCAATTACCTGTGGCCTATATTAACAACAATGAAATTGGCCCGGGCCAGGAGATTCGTGTACAGTACCTGAAACAGACCTTGACGATCGGAAGGAGATCTCCAAGTCTTCAGCCAACCTGGGAAGTCTAACGTCTGAGCGGCGTGCACCTAACCGAACCCCGTTCACACAGGAAGGGAATGTCTGACAGCAATCCATCGGAATTTGCGCACAGCGATGACGGTCTTGTGCATGCTGGGGCCTGCGGTACCTGACTATGCGCCCTCTAGTCCACTGGAAGCCACGGCGTTGTTAGGCACATGTCCAGCGTTGGCGGGATCAGAAGCTACCGCTGATGTTGTTGTTTTTAGCGCACAATCTGGAGAAGCAAGCCACTGGCAGCGATCGTGAACAAGCGAATCACGAATCTGCGGGACCGTGAAGTTCTTTGTTAGCCCCTCCTTACCCTCCAGCGCTCATCGGCGAGGACTATGGCACCCAAGATCGTGGACAACGCCTCTCGCGCGATTTCGCCAGCAATGGCCCCAGACCCAGGAGCAATGATGATCAGGGAGTGCGTCTAGATGCAGTAGTCGGGAATTTGGCCAGCACCGGGATATGATGTTGCCTGCATTTGTGTGGAGGCATCCTGACGGTGCTTCCCTGACTATATAGCATCGCCATTGACGCCTGTGGGGTGAATGCTACCATGATCGGCGCGATACCCCTCCCATAGGCGATGGTTGTCATCGGTCAGCTTCGACAGAGGTCATCATCAGGATATGAGAACAGGTCGAAAAGCGCTTTTCCTGTGATAGCGCGAGTAGCAAAATGGTTCCGCTTCTTGCGAGCTTCATGCACCACTGATCGCAACCAAGCTGATATACAGCTTCTGTACCGCGCAGGGGACTGGTCTCCATGGGCGAGACATCAAGACAGCCTTGTGCGGTACTGTCACGAGTTCACGCAAATGTGGTGTGCGATTTATCATGCAGAGTGAGATGGTCTACAGAATACCCGCCGACATGTATCAATGGACTTCGATCCGCCAAAAGAGGTCTCCTGGTGGTGAATCGTACTTGAGTCCTTGAACCTGGTTTGAAGAGACAATACACGTGCCGTCCTGAATGAATTCTTGTCGTGCGAAACATTGCTCGAAACCCGGGCTTGCTTTTGCACGCTTTTGGAGTTTAGTACTGTATCTTAAGTATCGCATCGTCTTTGGTCATGGCTGCGGTTTTTTTCCCCGTAGTTACCCCACCATCGAACTTCTGTAGATGGTGTGCCTGGCATTTGGGGCTGTCGCGCTCATCACATCATCGTCGCAATGAAGATATGATACGAATCATCTTGCATGTCTCAAAGACGTGCTAACCAGAACAAGCAAGCAATAGCGACGAATTGTTCGTTACACTTCACCCCGATTATGGTCTCTCCAGCTGATGACGGAAGTTCTCATCGGCATTTGCTTCCTCATTCAACACTAAACGCATGTACGGAAAACCAGAGCCAGAGCAAAGCCGACAGTGCCCAGGTGGTGAGTGAGATACAGTACTGCCGCATCGACAACGATTGTGTTCGCGGTTCGCGATTTCAATTTCCCGATTTTGCAAGTGCCGTCATGACGCCATGACAAGAACTTTGCCTACTAGCTCCCGCGTTGGTTTGTCTGAAATTCCTCCAAATGTGTGGGGTTGCGGGTCCATAGGTGGTGCAAGTGCCTTTCGAAACACTCCAGGGCTTTCTCTCCAGATCTTGTGACTTCTGTCAAGGGCTGCTGCGGAGTTGGTATCTGATCATCATGCTCCTGCCCAATCTTAGGGACATCGTATGGTGTATCATGCCATCGCTCAGGGTAGCGTGGTGTGTGAGGTAGGGTACATCGCTGCGGGCACAATCGTCGGATGCTCGCCTGTTGTAGACCACTACCTTCAAAGTGCAGCTTCGAAGGCGGTGGGATTGTTGACTTCCAAGGTTGCTGAACAGCTTCTCAAGCCATATTCGAGGCAGCAGCGACCAGGTTGATAAGCAGATCGCACCAGTGACAACAGCGACGATGTTCCCCAGGCCCCTGATAGAAGGTCTTCCTGACTGCTCTGCCGGCGATAAAGGCCATGATGCGAGACAGCTTGGGCAAATCCTTCCGCTCACACACTTCGCAAGGTCACCGACCCCAATCCATGGATGTTGACACACGAGTGAGAGCGAGAGGAGTCAGTAAGCGGCGAGACATGAACAATACAAACTTCAGCACTATCGAATGTCAGGCGCGTTTGCGGTCGCTCCTGGGACATGGTGCCACAATATTGGAGATATTGAATCTCCACCCCAGCCCAGAGCCCATCAATCACGCTACCACCCAGGGCCGACCAGGGAGACGGATGAGATCATGATACAGATCACACTTGCCTGAAGCCAGCTCAGGTGTTGCTGATGAATATTCACAGGCTGCTGTCTGGTCGAGCATCCGTCGAGAAGAAAATCGGGGACCAGCGCACTGTGCCTGGAGGATTGTCACATGTCGTCCCGGGCGACGCGAAGCAATATTCATGTCGCAAATGTACTTACTATTGGAGGCGCGGTACGTATCGTTGCTGAATGGGCCCGTACCACCTGTTCGTGCAACAATCCCCACGTCAGCGATGGCACTGTCCAACGCCTGACCCTTTCCCCAATCGACGAGCCCTCACCCATTGCATCTCCACGAGCTGAAGGCCCCGGCAGCTTTCAATTATCATTACCTCACAAAAGAGACACAACATTGAGACGGTGGTACATAGCAGACTACTCGCATTTCACATCGAAATAGCCCGTTGTTATGAAGATGCCTGGAAGTGGAAGCTATCCCTGAACATCTGTCAATCTATGAAGTCGAGTCGTGGATGATGGAATGGTAAGATCGCCCGGCGAGGTTTTTGCAAACCCACAATGATAGCCATGACAGGTGGTATTTGCCCTCCATGCAAGCAGGTAGACCGGTCCCTCTCATTCACCGCTCGTAAGTCACCTCCTTCCTCGAGCGCGCGTTTCACCATCTCCATGCGCGCGTTCGTCCGCGTGCATTTCCGATGTACGGCCGCCGCCGCCGCCGCCCAGCCCAGTCATCAGATCAGCACCCCGGTCGCGATCCCCGTCGAGAGTACAGTACATGCAGATGAACCACTGGGTCAGCTCTTCACCCCATCGGAGCCTGTGCTCCACGGCACGATCAAGCCGACGACGACGACGAAGAAGAAGAAGACGATTTATTGATGACGATTCTGACGCTGACGGTAATGCCAGTATCCCATGGCGATGACTATGACATCTCTGGGTTCTGGTCCTCGCCTAACATGACCACTTAGTCCTGCTCCGGGCGGTGCGATATGTCATTACGACACTACGCCGATTCCGCAGTGCACGTCCTCTGCGCCTATGTAGGACGCACGCACGACATCGTAGCCGCGTGAGTTTGTTTGCAAGGGGCACGAATCAGCCACTAACATTCCATTGGTGCCGTGAATCTCGTCGTGTGGTTGCCCCAGGTGGGGATTTCCTGTTGATCCATGTCTCTTCGTACCTGAATTATAAACCAAATGCCAAATGCCTCCCGCTTCCAGACCCGGGCTTTGCTCCAAAATGCTGCTGGTCCCGGGGCTCATCAGGTGCTGATGATGAGTTTTGTTAGCATCGAGTCTAGCGCGGGCTCGTGACAGGCACAAATCCTGAATGCCCAGGCGAGTTTCATCACACACCCACTCTTCTTATCATTGATAATTCAATCATCTTCATCATCATCGTTTTGTTCTTGTCCACCATTGCGTAACGTCAATACAGTGGCCCACCCTCGCCAACCACCACCAGCAAAATTACCTTGGAATGTAAACATCTCGATCAAGAGTTGTAGGGCTCGACGCTGGGTTGACAAGCTGTATGCAGATTGGGTCGACATTACTGCCGCTGAGCTGCCAGCCACCAGGTGCGAACAAGTCCACCTGCATTATGGATATCGAGTGAGGCGGCGCCTGATCCCCCGTTCTTGGCCCGGGTCTTCCATTCATCATCAGGTACCGTATAGTGTGGTGATCTAGCAGCGGGTGTAATATGGATGTATTGTATATGTCAAGTAATATCGAACACTGTATGTGTGTGAGTGTGTGTACTTATTCTAGACATGAGTCCTTACCACTGTCCACGACGCGCACATACACACGCCCACACGGTATTCCAACATTCATATCCCGACTGGACATCCACCTGGGCACACAGCCTATGCGCGTACTCACCACAGACGGCGCCGGAGTACATGTATGCACACGGCCAGTACACTTCGCGGGCGTCATATCCTCCTGCCAACCATCCGCATTAACTTCCTAACCCTCCTCTGTAAGGATCTCTATCCCGCCAAACGTGCCCGCATGCGGAGCCGCATCGGTTCTTCCTTTCGTCATCTCCCTCCGTTCTCTTCGTTCGCGTCCAATTCATTCGCCCTTTATTGGTCAGTGAGAACCGTGGAAGAGCTCTGGAGGTCACTCAAGCCTACAGTATTACCTTGGGTCAGCAGGACCAGTTCCATCGCTCTTGCACTCTGGCGCAGCTCAGATCCTGACGCTGCCGTGTGAGCGCGCGCACTCTGTGCCTGGTCCTCTCCATCGCTTCCTGTCGTCCTTCCTCTCGCCTCCGGTTCTCGCCCTTGCGCCTGCCGTCAGAGCCGTATGATCGTCGCACCCGGCCTGTGCCTGCCGTTCTGTTCCTGTCCGCCATTGTTGTCACCTGAGCTCCAACTCTCATCCTCCTGGTAGATGCTTCGTCGTTCACACATCGCCTGCCAGTTCTGCGCAGCGTGCGCTTCGGTCGGCGATACTCGACCTCTCTCGTGCCTGCTGTAAGCTTTTCGGCTTGGCAACGTCACTTCGACCTTCGCACGCGACCACAGCAACGATCCGCGACCGCGCCGTGCATCACCGCACAGTCGCCGCGTCCTCCTCGCTTGAGACGCCGACACAAACCAGTCATTGTGACGTTCGCTGCGGTCGACACCGGTCCGGCGACGGCCGTCGCAAACCCAACTGTTGGGATGGACGCGACAATTGCCCACTCGATGCCCAGCAGTGTCCATCAAGAGGTGAGGCAGGCTGATGGCGCAACGGAGTCATCTGCAAATACTCCGACTAGGCAAACCTTCACCGGAATGCTAGCGCAACGTCCTCTGCCGAGCGAACCTCCATCATTACATGCCGCCATGGGAACCATCACACCCACGAACACCTCAACACCAAAGGATGAGCCCACACCATCGCAGACGAAAGATGCATCACAGGCGAGCGATGATGTTGAAATGGGGGAAGGCGATGAGGATGAGATCCCAGAGGAAGATGATGGATCTGACAACGAGAGCATGACGAGTGACTCGCAAAGACCATCAAAGAAGAAGAAAGGTCAACGCTTCTTCTGTACCGACTATCCCCCATGCCAACTCAGCTTTACACGCAGCGAGCATCTTGCTCGCCATATCAGGTCAGTCATGGAACGTGATTCCCGTATGTATCAGCTCACTAACTCGATCACAGGAAACATACTGGCGAGCGTCCGTTCCAATGTCATTGCTCTCGTCGTTTCTCTCGGCTGGACAATCTGCGTCAGCACGCGCAAACCGTCCATGTCAACGAAGATATCCCTGGCGACTCGCTTGCAGCGACCAGCACTAGGTTTCAGAGACAGATTCGGACCGATCGCATACGGCCACCGGGCAGCAGATCGCGCGCATCGACTTTTGGAAGTCAGGGCGGGCACTCGCGAGGGCATAGTCGCAACCTCTCTGCTTCAAGCGTAGCTTCGACGGTTTCAACCATGAGCATCTCGGAGGATGCCAGGCGACGGCCACAGCCTCTCGCCATGGCCGGAGACACGGGATCTCGGCTACGTCCTACCAGTGAATCCTTCGAGGGTGGTCGTCCTCCATCAAGTCATGGGCCTCCTCCATATGGCTACTACAATCAACCACTTCCCAGCGGGTTCAGCACACCGACGTCGAATAACTTCGCTCAGAACAACATCAGTCCTCAACACCCTTCGGAGAATGTGCCGACCTCGGCCGTTTCACGGCCTGCCACGTACAACGATGCGGTCTCGCACAGTCGACGACTGTCTGTGCCATCTTCACCTAATCCTTACCAGCCTCAGCCTACCTCATATCCACCTCCATACTACAGTCCGACCTCGTCGACGGCTTTTTCGCCAAATGGCAGTACCTTCGCCAGTCCCACAAGTTCTGTGTTCACCCACAATCGCCGAGAGTCAGAGAGTGAGATGGATTATCGCAGGCGGACCTGGCATGCAAGCACAAACCCACACCTTGTCGTCCGACCTGCTACTAGCGGCTTGACTTACCATCAGACACCCGATCAGCCAATGCCAGCTTTTTCTCAGCAGCCTGCTGCTAGCCAGGTGACTCGACTTCCAGGAATCGAAAGTTTCGACCACGTTCCACCACCTCCGCCGCCTCCCCCGCGCCAATATCCCAGTCCCATGACGGCCGAGAATGTTACGCGTCCGTCCAGCTCAGGTCGTCCGCTCGAATCATCGAATCTGCATCAGGGATTGACGAGACTCGACATAACTGCCGCCCACGCTGCAGCGGAGAATCACTGGCACCCGTCACATTTCCAACAGCAATCTCAACCTCAGCCACCACCAACCTCATACGGTCGCGCTCATCATATGTCGATGCCTGAGCCGACGGTCACACCTCGCAAGCTTAAGCGTAATGCTTGGTATGGCGGCCCAGTTTCGTCATCGCTGACTGTGAACGCTCTACCTGTACCTCATCGGCCTTCGCCTGAGGACTCGGGAAGCAGCGAAGGAGTGCAAACACCTTCGACATCGGCAGCGCATGAGCATCATCCGGTCATCTACAACCCTACCGGCGGCAATGGGAGCGAATACTATCCCCCGGCGCCTGTGGTTACTGGCGAAGAACAAAAGGTATATCATGTGGCACACGAGCCAAAGCCTGAACCGCTCCGGGCTGACTCGGGCTTCCAGTCGTATCCGCATGACGGGCGCGCACCGCATCCGCACGCCCTACCGAGCGGCCGCGATCACCGTATCGCCCTCCCTGATCCCCGATCCGCCTCCGACAACACTCGACTCGACGCTCTTGTGACAGCAGCGCTCGGCACCAGCGGCACCACCACATTGCAGCGTTGACCTTTTCGGTACAGGACTTCGTCCGACACACGGCCTCATTGCCATGCTCGTATTGGCAACGTAGTCTTTCATACGACATCCCGTGCGCATTCAATCTAGATACACACACCAGGATATCCAATGACTCTTACGAAAATGAAGGAACAGAGACGGAAGTAACCAGTCTTCGTTCTCTTACGATGATATGAACTTTACGAACGACGCATTCCGATCACGCCAAGTTGGCGATGTCATGATCGGACCCCCTTTCCATTCCACCTTGCAATTGCTTTCCAGCCTTACTCTGCTTGAGTCTGAGCCAGCCTCTTGAATGAAAACTTTTTGCAGAGCCGAGCTCATTTTGTCTTTCTCGGCTTCAATATACCCTCGTGGGCAAATTATACGGCGGGGATGAACCACGCGGCGCAATAGTTTGGACCTTTTCCTTCTCCTTGTGGCGACTTCCACGACAATTCCTGACATGCGGGAAAGTCACCGGTTCTCAAAATTCTTTGAGAGCAACCTTCTGAGGCCGACGACCACGGAATTCGTGTTCTTCAGCTTCGCGATCGACTCTTTGTCTATTTGCAGATGCTCATGCTGGCTCTTCGGTTGTTGCCCTCTCACACATCCTTAATTCCGCGCCACTCTGTGCATGGTTTCCCCGGCGGTTCATTTGAAGCGTTCACATTATTGGCGGTTTTTATTCATACTAGCGACTGAGGGTTTCACTCGAGGTCGTGCGCGTGTTGCGCTATGTCAGTCTCCATCCCTTCTCCGTTCGTACATAGCTTGGCAATCACGAATACATTTCCACAACTTCCGCGCGATGTGCGTGCATGTTTCCAATGTAGCATTGACCAATTCATTGACTCTTGGATGCACTTCGCCTGTTCACTACCAAATCGAATTTTCAATTCTAGATACTCTGAGAAGCGTAAAGCGAGATATCATCATATCATAGCCAAAACATCTCAGACAACGCCCGCTGCAAGTTTCAATCCGTAGTGATCCACTCGAAACCACTCGTGCAGGAGATCCCGTAGAACCTCGTCCGCACGCGCCTGCGCTTCATCCGCAGAGGCTGCCGTCGCCTCGATATAGAATTTGATCTTGGGCTCTGTGCCCGAGCCTCGCACCGTGAAGACTACGTCGCCCTCGAGTTCACACGTGATCATCTGTGCGCTTGGGTCAACGGGCAGGTTTGGACGATGATCCGGCGGGGCGGCGGCGCTGTCGAAGCCAAGCGTGAGGTCCCTCCAGCGCCGGATGCTCCGTGCTCCGACTCTTTCCGGGCGTCCGGTGCCATCAGGATGGGACTTCCGGATGGCGGTGAACACGGCGTCGGTGACGGCGGGCGATGGCGAGATCACGTATGTGTTGGCATCGGCAAAGTACCCGTATCGTCCATACAGCTGTTGGAGCTTCGACCGCGGCGTCAGACCCTGGGAATGCCAGCGTCGCCATGCGGTCAGGAAGACGGCGGCGGCGGCGATGCCGTCTTTGTCCCATACAACGGAGGAAAACATGTAGCCGATGGCCTCCTCGAATGCAAAGGCGGGATCCCAACCTTCCTGACGGAGATCCTGGGCGACGTTGCCGAGCCATTTGAAGCCGGTGAGCGTCTCGACGAAGTGGAAGCCTTCGGTCGATGCCATGTGTGCGAGCATGCGAGAGGAAACGGTCGATGATAGCATGGCGAGTCTCTTGATGTCGCCGGTGTAGGTTTCGAAGACGTGGGATGCGAGTAAGATGCCGAGCTGGTTGCCTGTGAATTGTTCAAAGTCCTTTCCGGAACTGGCGACCTGCTCAGCGGCGGAGAAGCGGTCGGCATCAGGATCATTCGCGATGATGACGGTCGTGCCTGAGCTTGCGGCATCGCGAAATGCAAGTTTGAGCGCGCCCTTTTCTTCGGGATTCGGGAAGGAGACAGTAGGGAACTCGGGGTCAGGGTGTGCTTGTTCGGCAACGACATGCATTACATGATCGGGTATGTTGAGAACCTTGACGCTATGGAAAGAAGTCCGAGTCAGTCATGCAAGCTCATGTTTTCGAGATCTGCAGCAGGGAGCTTTACGCTTGTTGCATGAAGGGCAGGCCAACGCCATGCATTGGTGTATACGTAAAGGGCAGGTCGCGCCTGTCGAAAATCAGTATATGTGGTCTCATCTGCTTGGAGGTTTGCTGAACCGCATACTCGCTGTCTGATACAGGTTGAGCAATAGCTCGGATCTGTTCAAAGTAGGCCTTGCTCGTATCGTCGTAGATTTTTCCGACTTGAGAATGCGTATCTACGAGAGATTCATCCCAGTTGGGTATGTCCTGCACAGCATCGATGGCTCCTGCAATACCAACATCATGCGGAGGAACGATCTGCGAACCGTTCGCCCAATAGACCTTGTAACCATTGTCGTTCTTGGGATTGTGGCTGGCAGTCACCATGACACCAGCAGCAGCACCGTAGTGACGGATGGCAAATGGGACGAGAGGAGTATGCACGAGGCGGTCAAACCACAGCACTTTGAGGCCGTTGTCGAGAAATGCAGTGGCTGCCAGGCGAGCAAATTTTCGTGACCGATATCTTCCATCATAGCCAATGACAACACTTCGGGTGCCCGATGTTGGTAAAGTCTCGCGAATGTAGTGTGCCAGTCCGATTGACGTGGTGAGAACGTTCAGTGAGTTCACATGGGCAAAGCCAGCTTTCATCGAGGACCGTAGGCCAGCAGTACCAAAAGCAATGCGTTTCCGCAGACGTTTCTCGAGCTCTTCGGCATCTTGTTTCGCCACGAGTTCGTTGATCTCACCTCTAGTCTCTTCATCGCGATCGAGTTGGAGCCAGCGATCAGCCAACGGTAAGACAGCCTCCATATCTTACGTAGGTATATGCTAATACTCGAGCTCGTTACTTCTTGTAGTTGGGCGTAAATATCAAATCCCGAGAATAGCAGCAGTCATGAGCTTTAATTCGGCGGATATTGTCTGTCAATCACATAGGATGGGCGAACCGCTTGCGTAAACTCCAGCTGCGAGGTGGGTCTCGTGAAGCCGGACGACATGTGCTCGAGCAACGCAATAATAATAAGCCCAATAAATTTAAGAAGCGAAATGAAGTCCAAATATTCGGAGTCCAACTCCAATTCATGAGATTAAACATGCTGAGCATCTTCAAAATCTCCTGCTTGATCATACACCTATCTATGTCCGTCACGACAAACATTTCGATTGACGGCCAAAGGTTTGCTGGTTGTGAGCCGGCGAAATGTCTTCGAATCGAAGGTTTCAATAGATCGACACTCACACACATCTCCACGGATTGGTTCGTAACCTGAAACGTTCTGATACGATGGGCTGTGCCATGTCGGCTACCTATAGCTATATCGTCCTTATTATGCATCGTGCTTGAGCGGAACTATCATATCTGTGCGATCAGAGGAAAGCGCATCTGCACCGGGCCACTTCCAAACGCCGTCGCATCCTGCCGATCACAAGACGTTCTTTACTTGTCGGACCCGAAGTCGTGCATATTCGGTAGCTTATTACATTATTGGGTATGTGACCAAAGAGCAGGAATTCTGCGTGCATTACGATACCGAGCATCTTGGCGCGCATTCATTTCCATGCATCGGACGTTGACGTGCGTGCCGATCACATTGCGCCGGCGCCCCTGTTATGTCACAAGCCTTTATCGGTCTCGTGCCGTTCGACCTTGTCACCATCAAACGATCTCGCCGTCGGTTCAAAGATGGAGATCATGATTCTACGCTCCAACAAGGAGAACAGGATGGCGCCGCCGATGGCATGTCGTTGTTCAGCCTCGACGACTCGGCTCCTCTCGAGACGATCACCTGGTTCCGTGGTTCCTTCATCATGCTGTCAACTTCCGTCGTCACTGGTTCAAACACGTTCCTCTATCTCATGACATACGTCCTTCTGCCGAATATCGACGACGATCTTGGGCTGTCAACGACTTGGGATGATGTATTAACGTTCCCAATACACGCTCTGATCACCGCGTCCCTCTTGCTCCTGACAGGGCGCATCACCACCGTATTGGGCCCTCGGACCATGTATCTCATTGGATTGACGCTTCAGACCATATCCATCATCACATGTGGGGCCACAGAAGATCGGGCCCTCTTCCTCTTCTGTCGAACGTTCCTGAGCGCAATTGCAATAGCCATGATCGTCCCAGCGGCGACGACTGTCATTACCAGGTCAATGGGCGGCCAACAGAGAAATGTCGCCTTTGCTATGCTCGCCATCGGGCAGACGATTGGCATGACCGCTGGCTATCCAGCTGGAGCATGGTTGGTTCAGGAAGCAGGCTACGACCATTGGAGGGTTGCATATATTCTCTTGGGCTTGCTGAACACCATCACGTTGGTCATTGCCATTGTAGCAGTCCCGCGTAGTATTGACGCGCCCGACGGTCTTCTGACTGGAAAATGGCAGTCGTGGAAAGAAAAGTTACATCGTTTGTCGCAAGAGATTGACTGGATTGGCTTTCTGCTACAGTTTGCAACAGCAGGCACGCTAGGATCTTCCGTAATCGGCATTTCCAAGTTTTCGGAAAGGCTCCGGCTAAGGTTGTGCATTGTGGGCCTGCTCACAACCATCGTGCTGGCCTCATGCTTCATTCTTTAGATGAGGAGACGCCAGAGACTCGGCAAACCAGCACTAATACCGAACGACATGTGGAAGCACCGGGAGTTTAGCGTGATTTGCGCCGTGGTCTTTCTTGTGTGGACTGCAACGAACGGGCTCGAGGTGTTGTTGTTCAAGTACTGGCGAGACCTCGAAGGCTACGAAGCCCGCGAATTCAGCCTCATGTACGCACCTTCGCCGATTGCGGGACTGCTCATAATTTTGGTTATGGGCTTCGTTACACATCGTGTGCCAGCATTAGCCATCACCACAACAGGACTCGTCCTCTCTCTTGCCGCGCCTCTATCGATCATCTGCACGAAAGCACAGTCTGTAGGCTCCACCTACTTCGCCTCGAGTTAGTACCTACGCGCTGTTGGGAAAGCCGAATAAGCTGACTGACAGGCAATAGCATTTCTCACGTGCATCTTCAATAACGCCGGTGCTGGCGGCTTGTTTGTAGCGGCAGCACCTCTGATGACATCCACTTTCGACCACCCAAATGCTGTCCTTGCAGACCACGTGATATACATGATCAGCGCCTTGAGCAGAGGTATAGGTATCAGCATGGCAACAGCCGTATACGATTTCTGTTCGCGCAAAATTGTTGATGCTGGAGCTGTGCGTGCTGAAGCTCCTTTGACAGCATACAAAATGGCTTCCGGTGTTTGGCTGGTCATGGAAGTAACAGCTTTAGGCCTAAGTCTATGGGGCTTCTGGTCAGTCGGTCGGCACCGTTCAAAAGCGATCTAGGCGCCGATAGAGCATCCGGTATTTATGCACATAACCGAGCAACATGAGGTGATGCTCTGTGCCAAACACAGCCCATCGCGGCGATGCTCGGCGTTTGTCTTGCGTTGCCGAATTCGAACGTTCTGCTGTTGCGAACATGAAATGACAGTGGCTCATGATTCGTCTGTAAATTAGCTATCCGGTAGCAAGCCAGAGTAGTCGCCATTAATTCGAGTTTGCTCATATCAGCTTGAGCGGCCGTTGAAAATTGCCTCGTGGGACATGCTGCATGTACCGACTCTTAATGTCAGGACGTTGTAAACGACGGAATGCTTCTTGGACATGCTTAGGTCCAACGGGTGTCCTCGCCTGTTATACAAGCTTAGTCAAAGTGTCATAACGGCGTTCGCATTACCAAGAGACATACCTCGTCCGGCGGGTCAAAGAGACCTGGCTCCCTTCTTCGCTTCCGTCCACGCTTTTCCTCATCGCCACCGCTCTCCCGCTTGAGAGCATCTTCGGCTGCCTTGACCTTAAGCGCCTCTTCGGTAAGCAACGTCACAATCTCGTAGGTCAAAAATCCAAGAATATCGACAATGTCATCGTTCGGCTTCGAGTCTGTGACAATGCCGAAGCCAGCCCATTCTCTGAAACGTTTGCCTTTACGGAATGTGAAGGAAGCCTGCCGGCATTCTGCGAATTGAAGATACTCACTCGCATCCATGCCTTTGGTACGCTCGTCAGCTTGTTTGAGGCGCTGAAGAGTTGCAGCGTTCATCTCCTCTTCTTCTTCGTCTTCCTCGTCTTCACGTTCCGGAACCTGTTCGCTGTAAAAACTCGAGACATCCCAGGGAAGCCCGACCTTGGCTCTCTTGTTCTTATTGTTGCGTGTACCAACGCTCGGTCCGGCTCCAAGAGTCGCATCGTTCGCTGCAAGATCAAAATCATCAACACCGCCCGCATCGCCACCTCCAGCACCCTTGTCGTCGCTGTCCTTTGCACTTTTCCTGACGTCTTTCCAGGAAAGGAAGTTTCGAAGACGGGACACTTTGGCTTTGTCATTGCGAATCAGAAAAATTAGATCATCAGTGCTGATGGTCTTTACTCCTCTTCTGGCTGCTAATTCCGTGCCCTGCCATAATCAGCTCGTCATCCACGGTACGCTTGACGGGAGGTACGCACTCGCTTGAGCATCTCCATAACCTGTTGCTGTACGATGCTCTCAATCATACTAGTGGTCTCTACAGAAGCGTCGCTAGTCTCACCACTGACGAACATCATCTGCGAACGACATGTCAGCCCTGATGTGTATAATGATGTTGTTGACAAATCCATCGCCGTACGATCACGCATCTGACAAGTAGGACAAAAAACATCGATTGCAGACGAGTCGATATTGAGCTCAGACGCAGAAGATCTCACGACCAATGTCTCCTGATTCTGTCCTTCAATCTGAAGAGACCTCGCTTACCTGCTGTATCTCGCCTCGGTATTTGGCGCGCTTGTCTTTATCCTCTTTGTCCGCCATCTTGGCATCACAAATTGAGTATTCAAACCCAGGACAATCTGACTCACACTACACAAGTGCGAATGAATATTGTAAATCGTTCTTGAAGCTCCAAATTGTACTCATATACGTGATGTAAGGCGGCTGCTCTAGTATGGTGCGGGTGATGTTGCTTCGTGAATAGTCGCGACTCAGCGCGCGGGCGTGTCAATGCAAGCGGCACGGCCCGTTGCTTCTGAATTTCAACCTCGTACTGTAGCGGGACCGTTCGCTGAGAGGAGCCCTGGAACATGACGCGGGCTCAAGAAATTACTACAGTACTGTACAATAGAAAATAATTTCTGAGCTGCTCAGATTTTCGAGAGTGCGTTGTAGGGATCTCACCGGTGCACGCTTCCCGATTCGAACAGCATATTCAAACAAAATGCTCTACATAATCGGTCTCGGTTTGGCCGACGAGAAAGATATCTCCGTCAAAGGTCTTGAGATCGTACGCCGTGCCGAACGTGTCTATCTTGAAGCATACACGGCTGTCCTGCTGGTAGAAAAGAGTCAATTGGTACAAGCAGACTTACATTCTACACGCCATGCAAATCACCAGACTGATGTGTATTTATGTAGTAGGAATCTTATTATGGTCGATCTGTAATCGTGGCCGACCGTGAAATGGTCGAGTCACAATCCGATGACATTCTAGCTGAAGCAGACACCAAGGACGTTGCATTTCTGGTCGTCGGTGATCCTTTCAGCGCAACGACGCATACGGATCTTGCCTTACGCTGCCAGCAACACAATCCCCCTATCCCGACTCGCACACTCCCCAATGCGAGTATTCTGACGGCAGTCGGAGCTACCGGGCTGAGCCTCTACAACTTCGGGCAAACCGTTTCGATGGTCTTCTTTACCGATTCGTGGAAGCCTGACAGTTTCTACGATCGCGTCGCGGAAAACTCGACTCTGGGACTGCACACATTAGTGCTGCTTGATATCAAGGTCAAAGAGCCGAATCTGGAGGCGCTGGCAAGAGGTAAAATCGTCTACGAGGCGCCCAGGTTCATGACTGTGGCGCAGTGTGCTAGTCAGATGATCGAGGTCGAGGAAACCCGCAAGCAGGGCGTGTGTGGCAACGATCAGTTGGCAATCGGCGTCGCCAGGCTCGGCAGTGACGATGAAAAGATCCTGGCCGGCACCCTAGAGGAACTGTCGCAGGCTGACTTTGGGCGACCATTACACAGCCTGGTGCTGTGTGGAAGTACCATGCACGAGATGGAATGGGAGTATGCCAGAACATTTGCGATTGACCAGGAGAAGTTCGATGGCATCTGGAAGAAGAATTATGGCACAAAGAAGTGAGCCGAGATCATTTTCGCTTTGTGCTCCACGACTGGCGTTCAATGAAGTTGGCGAGCACGTCGGATGCCGTCTTCATTGACAGTCTGAATCCAGGGGATTGGTTGGCCTTAGACGAAGATAGATATCGGCTTATTCAGGTAGCAAACCAAGCCTATCAGTCAGTCGAACTCGTCGCGACGTATCCAGCGATAGCGTGAAGACTCTCGGGTGCTCAGAATCGCCGAACCCTGATCTTGCAATACAGCAGCGCAAGGTGATGAGATTGCCATGCCTCGCCATTGTCTGGGAAGAATCATGAGATTGAAACTGTTGTAGCTGTGTTGCCGCGAGCAAGTCTGTGTTCAAGGATCGGCAAATGCAATGTACGGGCCTCAGTTGTAGCTGCGCAGCTGGGCTGTAACTCGCGAATACAAGTCTTTCGTCAAGTGTATGCATCTTTCATTCTTGTGTCCTCGTCGGATGGCCTTGGTACGTTTGAGATAGTTGCTCCGAAGTCGCGGTCGTCATTTGAATGTTTCGGAAGAGACGCTCTCTTCCAGACCTTGATAGTACCATCGATCCCACAAGTGGCTATTGTCTGATCCTCAAGGCCAACATCAACTCCAAGCACGACCCCATCGTGGCCCTGCAATGTCTGTAACACCTCCTTGGAGTTCACATCCCACAATACCACAGTTCCGTCCTCGCTTCCGCATATGACAAAAGCCCATTGGCGAGATTGTTCGTCGGTCTGATCCTTGCGCGTGCCATTAGAGCTGTCGGGTAGCACACCGTATGTACCGAATGTTGCATTTATGCTGTACTTTTGGTTCTGGTGACCTTGATATGTCTTCAAACATCGCCCGTTTACGTAGTCCCAAAGTCGAATCGAAGAATCCAGCGTTGCAGCCAGCACCATCTTTCCGTTGGGGCTAAATCTGACGCTTGTAACAGCGGCGTTGTCCTCGTGCACGAGTGTCTTGAGACATTGACCAGTAATTGTGTCCCAGATTCGAATAAGCCCGTCGCTTGAACAAGATGCGATGAGTGTGCCATCTCGAACAAAGTCGGTTCCGGACACAGGATCTGAGTGTGCTGGCAAGCTGCGCATCAATCGAGCAGTCCGCACGTCCCATAGAAACACCGCCTCGTCGTAGGATCCCGATACTATCATGTTACCTTTCGGCGAGAAAGCTAAACTATAGACATAGTTGTGATGTCCGACTAGTGGTGTCGGCAGACTCTTTCCTGTTGAGATCACCCAAAGGCGAATGATCTTGTCGTCCGAACCGGACGCCAAATACTTGGAATCCGGGCTCCAAGATATGGTAGATATGCCAGCAAGATGTCCCTCGAGAGTTTGCGACAGTTCTCCGGTGCTGACATCCCATATTTTGATCGTGGCGTCGGCAGCTGGATTTCTGTGTCAGCGCTGCCTTCAAACGCGTTTGTCACAGAGGAGCTCACAGCAGCTTGCGATCCATTTTCCGTCGGGTGATATCTTTACCGCCGCTACTCCACCCTTGTGACCATGTAATGTGAACTTGAGAACGTAGTTCAATTTCACTGGTCTCTCGACCGTCCGTTCCTCTACCGTCTCATCTTCTTCATCGCTGCCCTGGCCGGGGGTGTGAAAAGAGCGACCAGCATCACTGGGCGAGTCACCATCGTAGGCGTACTGAAGTTGCGCATCTGGATCAGAGCCTTGTGAATCGGATCGCGGTCGGGCGCGGCGCTGTTGGTGCTCGTGAACCGAATTGAAGCTCATTGTCCCGGCAATGTCGTCTCGAAATTTCGAGTGTCCAATGCGCGTAGTTGGAGGAGACGCGACTGTGCGGGCTGTAGACGCGAGTGCTCAGCCCTAAAACATGACGGTCAAGGGCTCACTTCTTGGGTATCAATCAAATTGCGCCCCGTCAGGACTTCCAAGGGTAGAACAACCTTCCTCGTTACTGTCCCATCCCCGCCCGGCGCTGGAGAAGGGTGCGGGGCCATTGATATCACAGACATTGCCGCAAGGATTTCCGGACCAATTCACGACAATGTTATAGTGCGCAAGTGTACAGAGCTGCAGCCTGTGAGCATTGAATGACTCGCGTGCTTCGTCAGCCTTCTGACTGTCACCTGCCGGACGAAAATGAACGACGGAGAAGATGCAACAAACAGACAACCTACCACCATTCGCCTTCCGTCTCTGAAGATTAACATCACGAAGAAAAAGATCGGCAAGCATTCAATCTCTGATCAAACCGCTCATTGTCATAAGGAACCGTGCTCTTTGGGCACAGGCTGTCTGTAGTTTACTGCACATCAATCTTTTCTTCTCCATCACAAACTGGACAACGAAATGTTCGAGCCGCCGTTAGACGTGAAGACCCTGCATGCCCAGGTGACGTCGATAGGATACATCCGTATAGTGCCGTCGACACCTTCCTGCATGTTGCAGACTCCAGCTCTAGAGACCTCGTGCTTACCAATCACGTGCAAGTGCTTGTGATATGTTCCCTCAGGTCAAGCTTCGACATCGTTTTGTTAAATACCTAGGTACCTTTACGACTCCATAGCTCCCGCAGACTCTTGCTCTCATCTTCCACTACAACTATAGCCATTGCATCGCCAAAACGTTAAGTACAATGGCTACCATGAAGGCAATTGGTGCGACTGAACCACACACATCACGATTGAGACGAAGTTGACAATTGATGCATGGAAATAGACATACGAGAAGGCAAAGGGCCAGTCGAAAATCTGTTTCTGAACGAGATTCCTCGACCAAAGCCAACAAAAGCTCAGGCTCTCGTCAAGGTGAAAGCATTTGGTTTGAATCGGATGGACCTGCTTCAGCGAGAGGGCGTGTATCCCGTTCCGCCTCAAGCACCAAAGACTTTGGGAGTCGAGTTCAGTGGCACGATTGAAGAGCTCGCCGAAGACAGCGAGGCTGACTTCAAGAAGGGTGATGCTGTCTTTGGTCTTGCCTATGGAGGTGCATACGCGGAATATATCGCAGTCAGCACGCACATGCTTATCCATAAACCTGATGAATTGAGCTGGGAGCAATGTGCTGGGATCCCAGAGGTGAGTTCTGTCACGTTAGTTTCAGCCGAGTTGCAACGGACAAACTAACTCGACACGCAGACTTGGATCACAGCCCTCCAAGCGATGTACCTCATTGGCGAGTTCAAACCTGGAAAGTCGATCCTCTGGCACGCAGGCGCCTCATCGGTTTCAATCGCAGGTCAACAGCTGAGCGCTTTCAACGGAGCCTCAGAAGTTTATGCCACAACAAGGTACGTAAAAAGCTTGAACCTCCGAGTCTGCCTGGTATGATCGTGCTGAACAGTGACAGATCTGACGAGAAATGTGAGTTCTGCGTCAAGAAGCTCGGTGCCAAGGCAGCTTTCAACACGACAACGCAGAAGTGGGACGACGAAGTGTTGAAGGCGACCAACGGGAAAGGCGTAGACATCATTGTCGATTTCATCGGTCCCGCGGCATTCGGAGCTAACTTGAATGCTGCTGCGCGCGACGGACGCATTGTCAATCTTGCGACCCTGAGTGGTGTCAAACTCGAGAACTCGGATGTGAACTTTGCGAATTTCGTCGCAAAGCGACTGAGATTCGAAGGAAGCGGTCTGCGTAGCCGAGACGAGGCCTATCAAGGCAAACTACGTGACCAACTTGTCGAGCACGCGCTGCCCAAATTTCGAGATGGGTCATTTACTGTGCATATTGAAAAGGTGTATCCTTGGGAACAGATCCAGGAGGCCCATAGGCAGATGGAGGTAAGATGACTTTTCGCTACAAGCAGGACGATAACGTGCTAACTACTTGCAGGCCAATCAAACCAAGGGCAAGTTGATTTGCACAATCAACTAATTCGTGAAGTTGACGGGTTGTTCGAGCATTAGTTGCGGTGCAATTCTGCTGGTCACTGCTCGGTGGCCAGCGCTCATCGTCCAGTGTGACTACATAGGGCAGTATGATAACAAATAGCAATCACTAGCACGTGTTGAACCTTCGACGATCTGCGTAGCCAACACCACATTTAGCCGTGGGTACGGTCATTATGATTATGTATCCTTGTGAAGAGCGAAGGTATGATGCTTACTAAGGTATCGAACCATAGGACATGTACTACGCGAGAGCACTCATGTCCAAGGATTTGGAAAGATCAATCCATGGGATGTGGTTAGGGTTTGGGTAGAAATTCAGCGCGCGACGGGTTTTGCTGTCTGTCTACGTCATGCACAAGCTGGAACCACCTGAGAGCAAGATTTATTACGAATCGAACAGGAGACCTACGTGCAAACTGCAGACGCCGTACACCTTCCAAACATCTCATACTGCATTGGTTGAGAATTGGTTGCACGTTTTGATTGCCAGCCAGGTGTGCATGCAATGACATTGACATGAACTCGCAAAAGCAAGCATAACAGCAATCATGAGCAATTTCGGTACCTTCGGCAGCTTTGAGCTCAACTCTATTCTGCGTGGAGCACAGCTTACAGTTGTTGGCGCCCATCGCGCACTTCAGAATCCTGGCATTTTCACCAGTGATCACTATCGTCAGGCTGCAATAGCAGTAGCAGCCGGAATTGCAATCAGACTGGCCCTCTCAATTCCCGTACGTTGATCACTTGCCGGTCAGCGATTAGCCTGCTGACGTTGACAGACAATCGGCATTCGAGTTTTCATACAATTTCTCGGCCTGTTCACAGATCTCGAAGATGTGACATGGGATAACGATATCATCGATGGCGTACAGTTCATCGAGCATTCCGTGCTGCAGGTCCCTTTCTTTCTCATGAGCCTGATGAGATATCTGAGTCCAGCAATGGACGGCATGTTCATGGACTCTCTCAACTGGGTAGATTCTACCTACATCCGCAAGCATCAATCAGAGGACCCGACTCAGCTTCGTGCGATGTACTACCCCAACTTGCGCCTGTATAGCTCGGCTACAGAGAAGAAGGAGAAGAAGAATCCTCGTGGCGCCTTATTTGCCTTCCTTCAACGCTTTGGTAAAAGAGCTGCATTGTCACTCGGAGTCTACTTGCTCTCGTTCCTGCCCGTCGTTGGCAGATTTGTGCTGCCTGCTGCGAGTTTCTACACATTCCACAAGGCAGTCGGTCTTCCACCGGCTGTGCTCGTTTTCGGCAGCTCCCTGTTTCTTCCCAGAAAATACTTGGTCATGTTTCTGCAAAGCTATTTCTCAAGCCGCAGTCTCATGCGAGAATTGGTAAGGCAATACGTACTACTTTCCTGGTAACCATGCTGAATCATGTCTGGAATAATAGCTCGAGCCATACTTCTCACGCATTCGATACACGCCACAGCAGAAGAAAGCCTGGTTCCACGACCGAGAAGGTGTCCTCTACGGCTTCGCGCTGGCATTCTTCGTGTTCCTCAAGATCCCACTTCTCGGCGTTCTCATCTATGGTATTGCAGAAGCGTCGACGGCGTACTTGATCACCAAGATCACTGAGCCACCACCACCTCCAGCAGAAGCGGAAGAGTTCAAGAAGAAGGATGTCCGATGGGTGAACAAACACGAATTTCTGCAGCTGCCGTTGGATGGACTGGACAAATTCAATATCGCGGAGAAGTCCAATAGTTCAGCGGAACGCCTGAAGACGCCTCTGCGGCAGCAATTTACTTAAATTTGGGCATTACACAGTAGCAATTTTCTGTTCAAAGATTCAGGTGAGCTTGAACGAGGCTGTGGACGTTGACGCTTGTCAACGTGTGGTTTCAGCCCCAAATTATCCGGAAGGACTTGCGCTGTTGAGATGCTATCCTCCTCGGCTGTTGGACTGTGGTCAGCCGATGAGCTGCTCGTCTCGGCGGCCACGAGACTGGACCGTTGCAACAATTAATCATGCTTGCTGTGGCAGTGCAAATTTTCAATGTGAAGCTGTCCCTCGTCTTGGTCCTCCGCGCGTTCCACCAGGTGTGAATGTCGCTGCGGGCTTGGCAATACGGAGTACCTTCCCGGATATCTTGCGGCTCCAACAGGTAGATATCAGTGGGTCCTGCATTCGTGACTGCAGGCCTGATCCTGGAATATATTCATACCGCGTGATCCCATATATGCAAAGCTTGTTTATCGCGACGCCAGCTACCCGGTCGTATGGCCTTGAGATCCTTGAATTTGTGCAGCAAGTGCAGCAACTCTCTAAGCGAGCTCTGATCAGCGACATTCCCGCGAGTCCACACCTCGCTTGCGCGCCAGGCACTCCATCGTAACAGACCAACCGCAATTGGAAAGCCATCTACTTCGGAGTGTAGCCCGCGTGCATTATTGAGGTCCACCGTTCGCCTGCGAGTTTCCTGCCGAGGGAGCTTCTGTCCAATCTGATAATCTAACGGTCATCTAGATTCCCTTACGCGCTTTGCGGCCCACGGAATGAAATCTGCACCAACACGTATCGCATACGTAAGGCAACTGTATTGTGTATCGTGAATGACTCGCGGTTCGTCAGGTCATGGTCGATGTCAGCAGGACGGTTCGCTTAGCCAACTCCATGTCTGCCAATTCTTCATCTTTCTCATCACCCAACGCCCCACGCCTCGTGCTCTCGTTTCCCAACCGTATCCGTATCCGAGTCCAATTTTTGTCTTGTCCCGAATAGACTCGTAAAACGTACACTATCGCGGATACCGTACAGCCTCGGATGTCGTCCGCCTGTGGTCAGGTTGTTAGCGGTCCCTTTGGTTGCGGCGCAAGCACCAAGAACGAGTGTTATTGGCGCCCACAGCATTTGTCATGCGGCGGCGAACGACAGACTTTCCGAGGGCGTTTCAGATCTCTCATTCGCCGTTTCCCACACAACGTTCTCTTCCTGGATATCTTAACATGCCCTGTAAATGACGTTTGAGGGCTCGCTTACGCTGTGCTCCGAAGGACCCATAGACTTTAACATAGCTGACTCCAATAATGCCACAGTCACATCGTGACCGTCGATATTTCCCTTGGCCATGATTTTATTTGATAAGTAGGTCACCTGCATCATCATCTTTTCGCAGTCTGCTGTTCTTCAAGTGCTTTCCTTTTCCAGTCGGTGATAGTCAAGTGTTACTCTTCTCATCTCAAAACCGACATCATCCACCTCACGCCTTCGATCCTTCCAATGCTCTACGAACTGGAGAGCAATATCTCAACGATGTCCATTACGATCCCCGAACTACCCGAAGCCGGCAACAGCGATGATACAAGCCGTCGCAGCCCTCTCAAGCCCATGGTTGTTGAAATTCCTCATCACGAGAGCGATTGTTCGATGTCGTTCTATACATCATTCCTCAAAGCCCAATCGGACACCATCACAGAATATCTTTCCCTGCTAGATCGTCATGAAGACCTCTGCCCTCCAGCTGCTCAGCACTCTAGCACTACTTCTAGCGACCGTCTGGGCGGAGCCGAGCGATGACCTGCGGAACCTGACCAACTCATGCCTAAACGTGGCCGATTCATTGACCTTATCCCTGAACGACACTTCAGCCAAGGCATGCTTACACACTTCATTCTCGATTGATCTACCTACACATCAACCCGTTCTGACAAGCTCAACGAATAGAACACCTCGGATCTAGTGCAATATGTCATGTATGAGGTGGGCGCCTCTATGGCCAATCTAGGCTGCGACACCTCAACTCAACATGTGCCACGCATGAACATCACGAACACCACGTCTGTTGCAGAATTCGACGACACTTATCTCGATGTACGTCCCAACATTCTCTCCTTCGATTCTACAGCAGCCAACTGACACAGCTCATCACAGTACGCAGCTAGCCTGGGTGAACTCTCCCACGCCGTCATCGCCCGTGGACGCATCTTCCATCAAGAAATGAATCTGCCTGTCGTGGTCGCACTCCAGGGTCTCGCTTCTGCGGTCTACGTGCGTTGATGCAGCTCTCCATGCCTCTACAAAGTCGCACAATACCCTCAAGCCCCGAAACATTATTATCATCGATCGCGCGACAAGTTCAGAACGACATCATACGCCATTTCGCTGTTGTTCCTGACAATCTCTGCGGATGAGCAGTACTACGGTCGATGCTTACGCAATGGCAATTTCATCTCCCAAGGTGCCACGATCCGCACTTGGACTGCCGGCAGCGACATCGTTGAAGCACAGACTGCCTGGGACAAGAATTTGAACTATCCGGGTCGCCGACGCCGTGCCCGGCGAGCCAACGACCGGAAGTGATCTTTGCCGCGGAATGCATTCCTAAGTATCCTTCCCTTGGCCTTTGGGAACAAGACTGTCAAGCTATCTGAGTGTCGACGTAGCGCAGCGGAGACTGGAGCCATGAATCGACCAGAGCCTCTCTCTCTCCCCCTAAACTTAGATTGACAGATTGTTGCTATGAGAGATTCTCAGGGAGCACTCACATGCTGCCCTGCTTCACATAGCTACCTACGCATCCTGACCTATACGGCCAGAAGAAGGCACATCCAGGCCCGTTCATGCCCACAGCGCTTTGTTGTGTGTAAGATCACTGAAATATCGAGCACGTGCAGTGTATAGGCTGAATGGACCACGTTCAATACGAGTTCAATGGGCGGGAAGCATAAGGTACGCGACAAGTGATGTGAAAGTAGAGTCAAAAATCAAATCAAAAATCGGGAATCATATTCGCTACCAAAAGACACAACCGCACTCGCATTTTCATCTTCTCATTCCAGCTTGCCAAAAGATTTTTTTCGCAACTAGATTACGACTTAAATCGTCACCACAAAGTGCCAAAAGCGCACTCTCCGTGACGGTCGTAAGCCATAACTCGGAGAAGTCCGTAAGAAACAAACGTGATTCTATCCATTGGGGGTCCGTCAAGTATTCTGGCTGTATCTTTCTTGAAGGCAAAAATGTTCTGGACTTTGTGCAGACGAAAGGTTTTCCGCTCCAAAGGGTCGTTTCGGAGGCGTGTTCGTGATAAGGGTATTGTATGGAGAGGGTGTGAGGGAGAAGTCGGAACGCGTGGGATCGACATCGTTGACCATCACGTGTGATGGACAGGGATGCCGTCCAAGAATGGGTCGCTCTACTCGAAATGGCAAGCGAGCAGCTAGCGCACTCGGGGATGGCGGAAGGATGGAGGGAGAAGCTCGGCGAAAGCTCATGTGAGAACATATTCGGAGCCGCGTTTGAGACGTTTGTCCAGCAGCAAACCGAGGTCGGCCAGGACGAAGCGGCATATGTAGAAACTGAAGAATTCGGCCGCGTGGCGAATGCCCATCTCCAGACCCACGTGGGTTTGTGAGGAGTGTCTGAGGCCTGGGTCTTCGACTTGTCGGGCGATTTGATCTGCAGGGAACATTCAGGTCAGCACACGCGGCTCGGGATGAAAAATCGAATAGTCAACGGAGATGCAATTGTCACTTACCAAGGACTTGCGCGCCCTCGAACAGTCGAGCAAGGGAGTTGACGTATTCCTTATTCGCGCCCTCGAAAATGACGTTTCGTGATTCGCGCTTCTGCCCGCGGATATCGACGGGGACGAAACTAGTCATCGGAACGGAGGGAACATTGTGCTGATCTCGCTCTGCGGGTGACTTAACTTTGCTCGCACCGCTGTTGAGCGGAGTGCCTGAGCTCTTGTTGCGGAGCTTACGCCACGACGAGACGAAGCCCTTACCCGAATTGCTCTTGTGAGCCTTGTCAGTAGTGTGTTCGACGCCAGATGCACCGCCCTCAGAATTCGCGGGCATGGGCGCGGCATCCTTGAAAGAAGCCGCAGCACCATGGAGGCCAACGTCGTTGCCGAGCTTCTTGGCGAGCACCGGTTGTACGCGCTCCAACACTTCTTCGAAGCTCTGCAATTCAACCAGGATGGCGTCCGCGTCATAGGTATCAACGCCAGCAAGTCGGCCAAGCGCCGCCGTCAGCAAGTCACAGTTAGCCACCTTGTCTTCAACGAGCTTCAGCTTGACACCCTGGGTCTGCCACACCTCGCGCGCGACGAAGAGCTTGGTCGTAACAAAGCCGCCGCGAACATGTGTCATGCTCGTGGCAAGGTTTCGCATCAACCAAAACGGCCGGAGGAGGAATGATTCGGGACACGGCTCAAGGGCAGGAGGGTGGAGCACTTGGTTGGATGATTTTGGCGTTGTTGACAATGTCGTGTCAAATAAGTACATTCCACCATTGTGTTGTCCGTCGAAGCTTGGTCCGAAGGACGGCAAGGTGGCACGTTGGGAAGTCATGGGATTGGGTTGCCGCCTGGCTCCAACGTACGGGGCGAAAGTTGAACTCATAGGTGTGATGATGGGATGCGAGTCAGTGTCCGGAGACGCCAAAAGGAGCGTGTGACCGGTGTGTTCCTTGAGACTCGCTGAGGACATATTCTTCCTGATCAATGTGGGTCTCTCTGGAATCGAATGTTGAGGACTGTCGTAGACATGCGAGTACTCGATGGCTGGAGTGAGCATCGTTCTGCTCATATCGCTTCCGGCAGAACGCACTTCAAAGGGTGATGTTTGTGGAGCGTGCTCATATCTAGGGTCCAAGGACCCTGGCTGCAACGTATCGCCGAGCTGAGATGCTTGCTCGGGCATCGCCTGAAACTCATCCTCCTCAAGAAAAGGACTTCCTGGATGATGGAACGTAGAAGCTCTCTTCCTCAGCTCTAGCCGATTGGATGTTTCAATCTTGAGTTGTTTCGCATTCTGCCCAGATAACCTACGATTCCTCACACCCGAAGCGGAAGCTGAAGGTTCAGGCAATGATATCCTTGGAGTTCCGTTTGCGGCGGGCAGCGCAGTGCTATCAGGTCGAACGACTCCACCATTGACCAGGAAACGCGAGGAGAATTCGTCTTCCGCGACTGTAGAGAGGGAAGTTGCAGCTGTAGCCCGATCAGATGCCTGTGAACTCTGCCAAGTGCTTCGCGAATACCCACTGGAGTCAGATTGGCGAGGTACCGCAGACCTTGATTGGAGATCAAAATTGAATCCCTGCCCGTATTCATCTGTTGCGCCGTCATGGACTCGTCCTGGTTCTTCGACATCTCGCTGTTCAGGGCTCTGTTCACTATAGGAAGGCACAGCTTCGTGCGTCTGGTCACTTCCACCGCTGTGAATGGCCTGCTGTTCCAGCCGAGAAGCCGTTTCTCGTCTTCGACGAGCTTCTAAATCAGGCTCGAAGCCTTCATTGTATGCCGCTTCGACAGCGGCATCAAAAGCGGCATCGAAATCGGGATCAGTGTTGCCACTTGTGCCTCGGATGTGTCGTCTTCGAAGCCCTCGCTCCGAGGATACAGAATGCACAGATGATGCAGATGAGCCTGACTCGTCGATAGTGTCCAGCCATGACGTCGACTCATCACTGTTCGCTCGACTCCTAGCGGCGGCGTTTGAAGCCGGCAGTCGAGGGGCGACGGTGGTCTGTGACGTTCCAGTCTGTAACTGGCCTTCAGGCAGCCGGTCCGCAGCTGACGGCTTCTTTGGCGAGAGTGACAGCGGCATTGGTACAATCTGGCTCTGTTCGGGGAGATGGAGGTTGACCGGTTTTGATTTCAAAGGTTGAGGTTGGTCTACGAGTAGTAAAGGTGCGTCCGGGACCATAACCATGGATGTCATACCCGCACCCGTCGCGACCAACGGCTGCGCACGCACCGAGCCATGGTTGTCCGAACGTGCCAGAGTTCCAGAGGCCGAGCCCCCCGAGTTGCGAACACCTTGCGACGGAGACTGAGCTGCAACTCCCGATGAAAATAATCCAGTGGCAGCATCATCTCTCATATTCGCAAGCGATGAGCTATCTTGTCCTATTGTTGGACTCTGTGCTGCCCCATCAGCGAAAGATGGTCGGGGCGGCAGGCCTTTTCCATCCGCTGTGTCCGGGCGAGCATCCACGAGCTGCTCGAGCTCCTCAATCCTGTTGCTGTAAGCTGATCTGATCTCCTCGAGCTTCCTCTTGTCATCTTCTCCTGATGTACGTTCCATGACCAGGTGCAAGAGATGACAAGCATCGCCATAAGACTCTAGTGCGCCCTCATAATTTAGGGCATTGTCAAGGAGCACAGCAGTATTTGCCTGCTGCAGAGCCTTGGCAAGCATGGCTTTCTTGTCACTTTCAGCTTGACTGCGCTTCCGAGGCGCCCTTTGCGCCGACGCTGCTTCTGGCAGGGTCTGCTCAGCCCCGTATGATGGCCGTGATCGCGTCTCAGCCGTGCTTCCGTATACATCGGTCTCATATTGTCTCCCAGCGTTCAAATCTTCTCCCGCCCCACTTCGTGACAAGCTGTGCGCAGATGCAAACCCAGGTTCATTCTGTGAATAGACTTCCTGCGAAGTAGGACCATCACTCTGCGCGAATGCGCTTGTAAATGTAAGCCCGGCTGGGACATCATCTAATGCCTGTGCTCCATCCACGTTCGAGCCTGCGACGGTTGGTGCGGCACGAATGGGAGGCAAGGCAGTGAGTGACGAATTCGCTCGGTGGCGAGCTGGACTGATGGGCATCGATCCCAACTCTCGCCGCGCTTCTTTTCGAGGTGATGCGGTTTGTCGTGGGACTCTTGAGTCGGACAAGGATCGCGTGTCGATGAGTGAGGGAGAAGCGACATTGCTGTTTGACCTGTGCCTGTGCTGGCCTGAAGAGATATTCGAATTCATGGAGTGTGCGAATTGTGATGCATGGCTAAGCTCGCTGATATCCTGTGATGCCATTGTTGCTGATCCGTCTGCTATAACATTTTGTTTGTGCGGCAGGCCCTGCAGCGTCGATCCTGATGATAGCTCTCCTCTTCGGGAGGTACTCTCGCCTGTCGCGGTCCGCGGCCTCATAACAGAGCGCGGATCCTGTGCAACGGATGTCGTAACAGTGTCCGCCCGCATCCAAGAATCAGGTGCGCTGGGATCCGCATAGACGTCCGAAGCAAACGTCGTGATCGGTGCGACCTGCATGAAGGATAGGTCCCTTCCTCCGTGGTATCTTTTATGACAACGGATCGCCTCCCGCGTCAGAGTCCTTGTTCCAGGTTTAGTTCTGTTGCACCCTCTTGCGCAGTTGCGCAATCATATATGGCACTTGGTTTATCAAAAGGTTGCGTTGAGTATATTACGCTGTCCACGAGGACTCGGCAGTCCAATATTCTTGTCTCTTTGACACGTCGTCGAGGCAATCAAGACCCAACGCACAATATCTCAATGGCCAAGCCGAGTACGTCGCACTTGTCGCCAGATCGTTTCGTTTTCAAGCTGAAAGTGTCCAGTGTATGTCGCTGCAAGCAGGCCAGGCTAGAGCTCTTTCGATCTGATGCGCACTGTCGCGAGGTCGTATGCGCGTCAAACTGCCTGCAAAGACATGTCCTTGCAGCGATAGCGTTCGTGCGAGGAAAGAGAGCACGCGTGACCGGTTCAAAGGACTAATCGTATGCGATTCGAAAGGTCGCAGTGATTGTAGTGATCCCGGCCTGAGGCGACTGAACAGCGCACTTTGCCGATGAACCGAAAAATGGCAAGCTGGAGGCCGCCTGACAGATACCGGATGGCCGAGAGTCCGCTCTCGTGTGGCGTGGCGACGAGACTGTGGAGTTGCGGGCGAAAGAGGCCAGAGGTCACGAAGAGCAAGATGGTTGTGGTTATGCAAGACGAGATGCGCGACCAAAATCGTCGTCAGGGTCGTATGTATGAAAGTGCAGGGCAGTCCAGTACAGAAGCGGGAGTGGTGCAGCCGCGACGACGGCAAAGGCGGCGGTCTAGGAGTGAAAAGCAACCTTGGAACGTGGAGGAGGAGGCAGGGGTATTGACAGTAGACAGACTATCTACATAGCACGGTACTGTATCTTCTGGTTATTTTCAATAGCGCACTATGCCGCACTTCCCACTATGAACTGTCGCTATTAAAACTTTGCTACAGATATGAAAACCCCGTGAACTCATTGTCGTTCGCGGGATCTCGATGCTTTTGTCGAGGCGCTGTGCATCCGACACCCACACAAGCTCCACATCAAGGCTGCTGTGATCCCTCCTGAACTATCACGAGCGACAGCACTAGAAGACATGCATGCAGAATGGCGCAGGACGCTGCTTTATCTCCGACTGCTGCAGTAATAATAATGACACCTGACGCGCCGCCTTAATCCTGCACCGTATCATTTTTAGTACGAATTATGGATTGCTACCCACTTTTCAGGGGTATAGCTCCACGATATCGCAAGTGTGAACACGAGAAGAGTTACAAGTCGTAGACGGCGCAAGGCCACTCATCCATTGACGACCATGGTACCTCTCCCAACGTACCACCCGGAAAATGAGAACGGCGTGAGAATGTTTTATGTAGCCATCAAGCGAAACCGAACTCTGAATCGAATCGCACTTAAGGCTACTTGTACATTGTAGCGTATCTTCGGACTGCCCTTCCGCGCACTCCTCCTTGATCCTTCCATGCTGCAATATCGCTCAATGCGAGGAGCACAGGGCAACAGAGATTGATTTACGAGCGCGCCTACGCCTTTCAGGCTTGTCCCGTTTGGCCCAACACGTCGCCGATTGCGAACTGCGACCCTCCGAGCATTGCGATGTGGGTATCATTGGAGCTCGGCCTCTGTCGTAGATGCATGTGTACTAGTGTAGCAAATCCAGGTGTATGCGCACCTGCGTTTGTGCATCTGTACCGCCCCCCCAACAACAATCGGGAGAGTGGACACTTCCAAGCTTGGTCCTGCCCTAAGAACACGAACACTGTCCAGGTGCGCACATGCACACGATCGTCCCAACTTATGGACTCGCGGTGAGCACGATCATCCTGATATCAGACTCGCAGGCACGCTGCTGTGCATCATCACTGATGATCAACTTGGTGCCGCGCCAGTCGTGCGCTATTGACTGAGCAGTCTCTTAGCCTGTTGTCTCCTTTGCCCCTCTCGCAGTGATGAGGGAATTCGCGATGGGGCCAGGGGTTCCCACGAATCATCATACCGTAGAGGGGCGCTAGCTACCCACCAGACCGGAAACATCCCGCAGAACGCGCACAGTATTCGTGCAACCAGGAAACAAGTTGACACGCCCGCCAGTGTATAGAACCCAGCATGACTTTTGCTATCAAGAAGTTGGAAATGAATAGAGATATGATCAATGCCATGCTGGAGTCGACTTTGTTGCGCCAGGTCGCCGCGTAGATCTATGCTGCTTTCTACGGCTGTCCGACACCAGACGTGCCGGAGAGCACTGACATCAATATTTAGTGATCATCGTATAGCCACGAGGAAATGAGTTCGATGAAAAGGCGTGTTGCGTGTGCAATCCGGTCCATGTGCTTGTAACGGACAATAGTGGGATTGATGAGACGATCGGATAGGAGCAACGGCGTTTGGGACCGCGCAAGCGACCGACCAGAAGACGCACGTACACATTGCGAATGGCGCCAGGCCGATCATGGGATATTTATGGGCCGGGAGGTGATCCATGATTGCGAGTTGAGACTTGCACATATCAACACGCCGTGTCCTCTTCTCGGCGGAAGCGGGTATAGTTGAGCCAGTATTATCGCAAACTATCGCAGAACCCTGTCGCCAGAGGTGCAGGAAATACAGTTACAAAATCGAGTTTCGACTAGTTTCAGATGCATGGTCTGTTCTGTGCGTGTCCGTGCTTAAACCATCCAGTGCATGAGTGCAAAACAACATGGTGAGAAAGTAACGAAGAGTCACAATGTAAGCTAATGCAGATTTCGATGCATTCGATTATCCTCATTCTTACCATTGAAGCCGCCTAAAAATGTACATAGCTTGAAAAACTCGACCAAAAATCACCTGCAGTCGTGTATTCGACATGACTAGGTAGGTATCCATAGGCACGCCTGCATATGCTAGCGAATGTGGTGAACAATGTGGTTAGGAAAGTCTCTCAGACATAGCCCAGATCCAAATAGGCGGCATAGACGTAAGACGGAAGCGAGCTGACATGTCTGATCTCGTGAAATGAAAGCGATATCAAGGTGGGGTCTCAATAATAACTCTCACTCTCCGAGAACCTGAAAATGAATGATCACAGCGTCTCCCATCCTCCATAGTTGTGGTCAGCCTCGAGCTTACGAGCAATGACCGTGGGAATGAGGTGATTTAGCCAAACTTCACGGAAAAGCTTGTCATAGCGGCGCTGATTCAAGAATAGTTGATGATGTCTGCGCAAAGTCGGATCAGGCTCGCCATGTTTGTCCAAGTATGGCGCCTGATGGAAGCCCCCCTGTCCAGGACCGTGGGCAAAGAGGACGTAACATTTGCGAATGTTGATGAAAATGCCGACCTTCTCGCCGTGCTTTTCGAGGTGCTGGAACACGCCGCCTACCTTGCACACCTTGCCGTTGATGCTACGCCGCACTGTACAGCATACGGCCTGCGAGCAAAAGATCTCGCCGCACATCAAGCAGACCGCCGGATCAGAGATCTCTTTGCCGGTGGTCGGACATTTTCGTCGTGCAACTTCTTCAGTCAGCGTGTCATAGTTCTTAGGGAGGCCGACGAGTTCAAGGATTGTGGGATGCGCAAGCGAAATGACCCGCCGATCATCTTGGTTGAGGCTCTTGAGAATTTGAGCATGTGAAAGCCATGTGCTTGTGATATTCTGTAGTCGCTCTCCAGCGGTGGATGAGATGTAAATGCCGCAGAGGTCGTCGATTGTGGCGATGTGCAACAGCTTGGTCAAGCGATATAGCTCCGAGGCTTCTGGATCAATGTCGTAAGGGCACTTGAACTCCAGTCCGTATCGAATGTACATCAGGATGAGGCTTTTCCGGAGAAACGGCAGTGCGTATTTCTCGACCAGGTGATAGAGTGTGCTGACTTGTTCATCAATCCATGGGATGTTTTCGAACCGCCTGTCCTCAAAGTCCATGCCCAGCAATGCGAGGCGGAAGTTTTCTCGATTTTTGGAAGTCTTACCTCTCAGCGAGGCAAAGAGTGGATCTGTCATGCTTGTCGTTTTCACAATCTCCTTGCACACAAATATCGTTTTGACGATTTCTGCCCAATAACATAACTGAATCATCAAGCTTGCTTGAGCGACATTCGGTGCCTTGATAGACATCCACTGTACCATGAAGAGAAATATGTCTTCCTGCAGAAGCGGCACGTAATCTTCTTGGCTGATATCTTCGAGGCCAAATATCTGGCAATGCATCAGCACGCGGCTGGCATATGTCTCCTTAACAACTGCGCTCGAGCCCGGACGAACAACGTGCATCGAGAGGTATGACTCGATGGTCTCAGAGAGGACGCGGAGGTGAATCACCGATTGCTCCGACAAGTCCGAAATCATGCATGTGGACAGCTGAGCACCCGCAACACCACGGCTGGCGATCTCTAAAGCGGAAATCGACATGCCAAAGGTCCGGCATAGGGCTGGAAGAGGATTGCTTCCTGTTGCATTAGGGTCCTGGATGCCTCCAATAACGTGAGAAATGTTCTTCTCCATTCGTTCATAGGCAATCCAGAGCTCTTTCGCTTTCCCTTGCTCAGCGGTCATCTCCAGATCCGCGGCTGTGCTCGAAGCTGGGGTGGTGACGGCGCTGGTCCCGAACAGACGAGACCATGTAAGGGCCATGCGACTTGTCGGCTGAATCCGCAAAGCACCGAAAGCCTCTGTGTTGAGTGCTTGCATACTTCCAAATAAGGACGTGGAGAACATGCTTTGGAGGTACTCCTGGTATTTTTGGGATTCGTCCAACTCTCGTGAGTTAGGTGCAAAAGTGCTGGCACTCTGGAAAAGTCCCCCTGTCTCGTGGAAAAACGGGACCTTATCTCGATGTAATTGACCTTCGTCGTCGCTGTCGCTGGACATTTCAGCTAGCCATGCACCAAATTCCTGCGCGGCGTGGAGCTCATGTTCGTGAGCGCATTCCTTCGTCCTCCACGCGATGGGCAAGAACATGTTTCCCAAAGCTTTACACAGCGGGCAGACGAACTCATAGGGCTCTTCGGGTCGCTCGGGATGGTTTCGAGATATCTGCTGCTGATGACGGCGTGATGTGGCTGCGCTGTAAAGCTCAAAGCAGTGGAAATGCATCATGTGCCCACAGCTTGTACCAACTGGATTGGGGGAACTGGATTCATGAGGAAACCCTTTGGACAGATCCTGCCGCTCGTAGACAGACATTGTTCCATCGGATGCAATTTTGTGAACTTCTTTTCGATTCTCGCCGGAGACGCCAAATGGGCGGATGCTCTCAGCAGATCGATCGAGACTCACTGGTGTTTCGATCACCTCTTTTACAAAGTCATGATCGTGGAGCGGAGTCGACCGCAGAATGCTGCTCTGACCAATATGCTCGAAAACACCGTAGAGGCGTTGATCATCCGTTTCCTCCTGACATAGTATGCAGGTTCCGGTAGGAAAATTCCATGTTCTACGTTCATCGGTAGCGTCTGCGCCCATAGCATCATTCATGTCATCGTCGTAATCGGCGGACTCCTCTTCGAAGCCCGCAAGACCCTGATGTTGCAGGAAGCTTTCCTGTTGCTGTTTCATTTGCGCCATTATTCGAGCTTGGCGTGCCTTGGCTTCCATCCTTTTCTTTTCCTTGTCCTCGCCGGAAGGCATTGACGGTGAAGAAGTCTCGCCACGATCGAGTTTAGCGGCAAGGTTTGCTAACGCTGGGTCGCTGCTCGGCTCAAGTTGCATTTTCCGAAGTACATGTAAGATCGCTGGCTGACATGACGGGAATTGTGCACTTGCATTAAGATCAAATAGTAACTTCATGAGCGACGGCGCAGTTGGCCTTTCAAGAGTGGCAAAATGCGTAAAGCTTCCTTCTGGTTCCTCTCGGTCCTCCATCAGTGCTACGTGGAGCAGATGTAAGGTGGTGTGCAGAAATGTTTCGATCCGAGTCGAAGGTACTTTGTCTGTGCCCTTCACGGCATCTCGAGCGAAGGTAATGGCAGCCGCAATTATTTGACAGAAAAGCGGCGTCCGTGTAAAGGCCGAGAGATGTGAGAAAATGCCGGTTTCGATACGCGCCAGTTTGGGTTCGTAAACCACGTTATCGACATTCTTTCCGGTTTTGCGAGCCATGTGTTTCTTGTAAATCATCTCAGCCTCTTCTCTCTGATTTCGCGAATAATGAGCATAATAGGGGTCGACGAGCTCGACGTGATCAGCAATGAGCTCAAATGTGCCAGTGTCAGAAAGGCCCTCTGGGGCACGATATTTGGTCATGCTCTCGAGCACGCGGTTAAAGTCATCTGATTCGCCGACCTTCTCCGTCACTCTGCTCCCTAGTTCGCTGAACGACAGCGGCTTGAAGCACAGTGCATGAGCGATGTCGTGCTGTAGAATTCGATCATGAAGTGCACGCTCGTCGAGGCCAGTCAAAAGATTACCACGCTCACTCAATGCGATCACAAGCAAATGCAGAAAGTCCTCCACCACATCAAGTTGCTGTTGTTCCTCGAAGCCTGGAACAAGACTGAAATCCTCGCTGAACCAAGCGGTCATTTGGAAGCGATCGATCATCTGAGCAAGAAAGCGTTCTCCGATTCGCTCTCCCTTGCTTCCGCAAAGGACTAGACCAGTCTGGATCATGATAATGTCCCGCTGGAAGCCCACGTCCCGTTGCGTGACACTCCGATATTGATGAGCCTGGTGGCGAAGAGTGATTCCGTTTCTGACCCACATTGAAGTCTTCATTTGTGCAAGCCATACACAAACACGAAGCGGTGGGTCAAAAACGGCGCTTAAAAGCTCGTCGAACGATAGCGATATGGCAGGAGCTGGTACTCGAGTCGAATTCCAGGGGTCGACAAGATCCGAAGTCGAGAATTGTAGTAGGCTCCGCATGTCCCCTCGTGAGAGTGTCCTGGCGTCTTCGATCAGCCACGATAGTAAGTAGTGCAAAGGGTGATGAAAGCTCATGGGTTCGGATTGCACGACATATTTCGGGACTTTGTAAATATGGTCTGCGCGTGGAAATGGCCCGATTGAGTGCCAGGTCAGATCATGCTTCAACTCGGCGCTAGTAAAGCGCGTGCGCTCACAGCCATACGCATTGATCAGAGTCACTTGCGCCACGGTGCGAATCGCTCTTTGCAAATCTGCCATATTATCATCACCATACCGTCCAGGCTCGAAAGAGGCAGCCACTTGCTTGCAAAGTTTGTTCATGTGTTGCACTATGGCACTCGTGTTAATCCATGCTTCGGACTCATATTCGACATGCTCGCCCATAGCTCGCACATTCGGACATGCGCCTTGATGAAGCTTCACCAAGTCCAGAAATTGAAGGAGATAGCTTTGCTCTTCGCGAAGTTTTCGGTGGATGAAATCGGACTGGAACATGAAGCGCAGATCGGCTAAAAAATGGAACATGCGACGATTAGTCACGACACCGGACTCAAGCGCCAAAGTTGCGTTGGGGTTGACTTTTTCGGGGAAACCGACTTGTCTAGTAGTCAGGAATGTGTACAATATGGCCATGAGGTTAGTTAAGAAGTTACCGCGTTCCACGACATCGGCTGTGATGGTAGGCGTGGTCAATATCTGTAGGCTCAGGTTGATGATAGAGTGGTCAGGCTCCCTATCTGCAATCAGATAGAGTTGTGCGAGCGCTGTGTACAGCCCGGCGAATCGAATCCCAAGGACTGCCTTGTATTTCGGGATGGTCACCACGGTTGTGATGTACAGATGGCGTAAATCAATGCGCAAATTTTTCCACATTCTGAGATCATAGAAGACCAGATAATCCAGCCGCACACGCTGCCAGATATCTTCATATGGCTCTTTTGATTCTATGCGCCGATAGCCTTCTGGGATTTCAAGCCAATGCTCGCTCGGAACCGTCTCGTCGGCCACTTTGATGTTAGGCGTTGCTGGAATGCCGGGAAATGGGTGATCAACCGTCCGACGAGAGATTTGTGCCTCGGCCGCCCATGCACCTGCAGAGCGTAGGCCTCTTGTCTGCTGAGTTTGCGGCTCGCGTTGAGCATGAGTTGGTGGCGGCGGTGGTGGCGGCGGTGGTGCAAGATTGAAGTTCGTCATGGTAGGCTGCAGCGCCTCATCATCGCCATCAACAAAATCAATATCGAGTTCCATATCAGTGTCAACGATAGGCATCATTATGGGCATTTGTTGGGCTTCGTCGTCAACGTCCATGGGCATCATCATCTCTGAAACGTCAACGTCGTCTAAGCCTGTCATCTCGGTTTCTTGCTCTCCAATCACTTCGACTTCAATTTCGACTTCGTCACCGTTCTCGGTGTCGACGGGGACTGTTTGACCCTGCCGTTCTCTCAATTCAATAAGTCCACCCTGCTGTTGAAAAATGGCACGGAGCTCTGCCGCTCGTGCTCGGACTTGAGCTCGTTCTTCGTCTTCATGATCAAAAAGTCCAGCCTCACCGACGAGTTTATGTTCGGCACTGCTGCCAGCATTCCACGGACGTAATAGCTCCTCACACACGAGATTTCTGAGTAGATGCGGTTCATTGCCGATGGCGCAACCGGCGATATCCGCGATCCAATCAATGATCGTGGCACACATTTGTTCTCGAAACGTATCGCGCGATGACCGTATAGTGACAGTGACTTTGATCTGTTCGATGATCGCGGCCATGTCCAAAAGCGTCTTGAGGTCCCTCGAATAGTGGATAATGGAGCGTCCGACACCATCGACCTCCCTGGCCTTCATCAATCCCGCCTTTCTGGTGACTTTGCACGCCTTCGCGACTTGGTCCATAACCTCGTCCATGGTATGTTTCTCATCATTCCAGAGTATCAAGGCAAACTCAGGCTCCTCTTCGATCTCTTCTTCGCCATAGATTGCCTGGGACAGGCGAGCGTTAAGCTCATCTTTTCGTATACTTGCTTCAGTTTTTGGGTCTCTCATCTGCTCTGGCGAGCATGAGAAGACATCACATAAGTAGTCTATGCATCTTGATAATGTGGCCTGCATCGCTTGGACCAGATCATCTGGAAGACGTGGCCCTGCCAAGGCTTCATTCTGCTTGCCGTGGCCATTGTTTCCAACATGTGCATCGTCGTGCCCATAACCCAATGTATGTATCGAACAACGAACTTCTCTTTTCCAGGCTTCCTTGTCTCCACAGTCGCAGCACCCGCTATTCCCCGGCGAGACCTGAATCAGGACCATGTGCCCATCGTGATCACTGCTATCGAAACATCGCGCGCATAAGACACACGTGTCGTCGGCTGCACATGTTTTACAGACATAGCTGCTCTCGCCATTTTTGAAGATGTGTCCGCAGGCTGTCCCTCGAGCGCCCTCGGAATATTCAGCGCCGTCCGTCGCTCCCTGCACTTCGCGAAGAGACCATGGTTTTGAGTTGTCGCTTGGTGGGCCGGTGGGAAAGAAGAACTTCAGGTAGTCGTCACGATTTGCGGCGAGCGATCTGAAAAGTACTCGACGTAGATAGCAGTCCGCGGCATGATTAAAGCGATTCTCGAATGCAGCAGGTTGGAGAAGAAGCTCGCGATTCAGTTGCTCACTAGGTTGCATCAGCATATCGCAGACCGGACTGTGAATCTCTATGGCGAAACAGTTTCGTGTATAGAATGATAATTCGCATTCACGTTGACTGATGCTCGGTTGTGCGTCATCTGCCTTTTGCTGTGGCGATTACTACGGGCAGGCACTTCTGTGACTTTACAGGTGTGCTGGTTGCAGGCACGATTGCCTTTGACAACAATAATGCTCGAAATCAATATGTCATTGCGATGATCAATAGCAACCCAGTCTAAACTGCCTAGTAGGCTGGTTCGAAGCAAGATAATGCCCAGTACATGCCTACAGGTAGGCCCAGCGTGGGAACGCCCGCGCTTATCGTGCATCCCGTTGTTGTACTGTAGTAAATTTGGCAGCTGTGTCCACCGTAGATATTATCCTTCTCTACGACCTTCTCTTATACAAACGAAGCTTCAATCCGACACGACGCGACGAATCTGCCATGATTTGCGATTGTTCTATGTATCCGTATATCACATATGGATGGCAAATCTTTTAGTACACATCGTCTTCACACTCGTACTAATTCCAAATTTGCCTGACATCCAGCCTTCTTCTGGAACAACTCCCCGTTGAGAAACAGAGGATTGGCGTCATTTAGCTGTAGAGAGAATTCCACAACATATACTGAGCCAAGGGTCACAGTAACATTTGCGAAGGTCAGTCAGTGAGGTGGCACTTGGGACGATATGGACAAGGAAATTGTAACTTGAAAGTTGTCGGTATGTTTCTGAATGCGTTTTATCTCATGTTTGTACATGCTGCAAGCGGCCAGCAATCTCGAGCAGTTGGCTGCAAGAAAATGTCTGTGACATGTTCCTTGATTGCGGCATCGGCTATGCCTGCGCGTGAAGATCCTGCTCTTTCTTCAAACCCCCAAACAAATATGTCCCCCTTATCAAGACAATTCCAAGTCTACTCGTCGTCCTCGGATGCCTCCAGGTACCGCTGCTTGATGTCTTTCCATTGTCGCTACGGTCGCGTTAGTTACGTTCTCCTGACAACTTTTGTCGCTTCACATACGCCCTTATTGGCTTGGTCCCAGATGTAGTTTGCGCCGGTATCAAACGCACTGCAAAGATGTTAGTAAGAACGATGCGTGTTGAAAGGCTGCGAGCGTACATCTCAGTCGCGAATGCGCCGACGAAGATCGTGCCTAGGAAGACAGCGTTCCTTCGGATAAAGGTTCTGTGTCGTCGGTAAGTTGTGGGCCCCGCGCGTGGTTTCAGAGACGCCAGGTAACTAACGAGTAGATGCCAGAGAGTATTCCCGCCATGTCTGCTGTCCTAGGGTGTTCTTGCTGTTCGGCAATCGGTGAATGACACGAGTACGGCAGAGGTGATGGCGGATGTTCGTCCTGGGCAAGGCCGCGGCGTTGTGCAAAAGCTCGCACGGACCTCGTCCTCCAAGCTGTCCAGTGGACCACGAGATTTTGGTAATGCCGAGCGAGCAGCCTACGAGATCTTGCCCTCGCTTGTCACCGAAATTTAGCCCTCCTTTTCAATGCTTCCAAGGTTGTTCATCACTCTGTGAATAGCGATCGTTTTCAAGTTGTGCAGAGAGCATTGGAGTTTTGCATGGTTATTGGAAAAGCGCCATGACGACTCCAATTTCACCGGACACTGCGGCACCGTCTCGATCAGGGATACGAAGGTTGCAGGATGGCAATTCTATAATCCCTGCCTCGATACGCCCGGACGGCTCTGTTCGTAAAGAGATTCGCGTGAAGGCAGGTTACAGACCACCTGAAGATGTAGAAGTCTACAAGAATCGAACCGCACATGCGTGGAAGAATAGAGACGCCGGTGTGCCTGGTGCAGAGGATGCCCACAACGACTCTTCTGCGAGCCAAACCGCCGCGGCGACTGCCTCTGCTGCCAAAAATGCGAAACGGAGGGAAGCTCGAAAACGAGCAGCTGCAACGTCGACAGAGAATACGCCTGGCGTACCCGCTGGACTGGAGACCGAAAAAGGAGTGAAGACTTATGATCCCAATGTGGCGTCATCATCGGAAGCTCAGCCAAAGGACGACCCCGAAAGTGAGCGACTCAAGGAGGCCCGCAAGCTAGCCAAGAAACTCCGACAAGCGCGAGATCTCAAATCTAAAAAGGATGAAGGTAACAGCTTATTACCTGAGCAAATTCATAAGGTTATCAAAATCAACGAGCTTCTTCGCCAATTGGATCAACTTGGCTTCGATGAAAATGGCGATGCCAAACCTAGCGATTGATACAAGCATGGATTGTTCATTGATAATGCTACACATTGATCATGCTACAAGATCATCCAAGAGTCATCCGAGTTATGCCACGGTATTTGACTCAGCCTAACTCTACAGTTGTAAGGATGGCTCGTGCTCTTGTCGTCTCATAAAGGCCATAATCGTTCGCGGTTCGAAAGTGCACTTCTTTGAGTTGGACGTCTACGCTCACTGGAGGCTTGGCTGGAGCGGCGACCGGTATCTGATCGATCGTTGAACTAGATTTTCGCCCAAACCAGGAACTCCGTGGAGGCTTCTTCGGCAACGATGGTCGTTGCTCAACCGGTTGAACAGGGGCTTCGCCGGCAATTGCAAAATATAATAGCTTTTGCAACTCTTCCAGCGCTTCAGGCTGTGTCCAAAATTGGTTACTGTCGATACGGCCCTCGAGTTGAACAAGCACGACCTCTTCATCGAATCCGACCAATTCGCCTTTGCTGAGCGATACTGCAAAATCGTTAGCAAAAGAATATTACATCACTCGGGCAGTGAGACAAGTTGGAATGCAGTAATACGCGATACCAAGGTTGTTCGATGATGTTCCAGGCAGAGCTGCTCATACGTCGGTTCACCACACGCCGATTACATTGACCACAGGACCTCATGCAATTAGGTAGCCCGGCGAAAGAACCTCGGCCGCTGTGCTGGATAGCTATACATACCTTGATCGGAAGGCAGAATTAGCAGCGGAGACTTCGAAAGTCCCATGCTCGCCCTTTCTCTGAGTCGTGGTACCAATTTGTCAACCAGAGCCGCCACATGTTGTCGCCTCGATATGCCAAGTTCGTCTCTGATCATCAAGCAATGCACTGTTCTTTTGCCATCTGTGCGTGTTGTGATTTCATCGTATGAGGGTGGATCCATGGTCGTCCCTTGGGTCCAATGAAGTTTTGCGCCGCACAGATCAGTTTGTATATCGGTATGTGTGTTTAGGGCACTGTTCGGATACCTCGCAGTCTGATCGGTATACACAATGGGATGCATAGATCAGACCTGTAGCCTATCTGCATCAACATATGTGTATGGGAGTGCGCGAATCGAAACGATGATAGGCCACGCATGTGACGACCATCTGACGCTTCTTTTTGCCTGAGGCATTCTGGCTATCGTGCACTGCCACTTCCTAAGTACTAAAGTACCTGCCACGCCGCCCGGAATCCCGGCACCGCCTTACATTAACGGCCCAATCGTATGCTCTGTTAGGAAAAGAAATGAGGCTCGAGAGGAACATTGCTGTCAAGTGGACCCATCTCACGACTACATCCGTATATTCGAGGCGAAGATCTCCGCTTATGGACGTCTGTCAGCAGCCTGAGAGGGATTTACACGAGGTCCTGCCGACTTCCGCGATCACATGCCCTCAGCAGTTCGGGCGGCCTCCGGCACCGTTCTTTGGACTGACCTCATTACGATTGTTCTCGAGATGCGACAGGATGTGGTTGGCTGCAAGGCTGGCAAGGCTGAATGGCCGCCAAGATCGTCCGCAGTGACGTGCCTTTCGGTGCATTATTGCGGCTATGCTCCACTTTGCTCGGCTCTTGCGAGCTATGTTCATCGACATTGCGCGTGATGAATTGCAAGACTTGCCCGATGTATTACTGTCATCACTGGTAGTGGAGATGGATGTTCGTTGCTCGCATCGGTTATGGCGGCATTGCAACCCCTAGTCCGACTGCGCCTCTGTCAGATGGAGGTCAATATTGCCTCAGTTGACAAAATATAAGACTTCACCATGCCACAGGTTCTCTCGTGTTATCGTACGTTGAACGATTGAAGAATCACTCCAATTGCTCTGCTACTCTCTTTAGCCGGGCATAACGATTTGAGAAACCGATACCACTTAACCCCGACACTCTAGATCCTATCCTCACGATGTGGTTCCATATCTCCGATCCCAATGGCTACCTCGTCAAGACGGGTTTGGGCATCGAGAAGGTTGACATTCAGAAGAAGGCATTCGTTTGGCCTTTTCAAAAAGTCACCAAGCTCAGCATCACGCCCTTTGACTTCAGCATGTCCCTTCAAGCCATGACAAGCGAAAAGCTCCAATTTTCACTTCCGGCAGTCTTCACGATCGGTCCAGATGACAACGTCGAAGCCTTGACACGGTATGCGGTTCTATTGACCGGCGATTCTGACGGGCAAGTCAAAGCTAGGAGCGGTGCAGTGGCCACTGGTCGCAACCATGTCCAGGAGATCGTCAAAGGCATCATTGAGGGCGAAACCAGATCGATCGTATCGAACATGACGATGGAGGAGCTTTTTGCTCAACGGAAAATGTTCAAGGATCAGGTATTTCATCTCTCAAAAAATCCGCGTTGAAGGAATACTGACTGACTTACCTCAACAGGTCATTGAATGCGTGCAAAAGGAACTGGACCAATTCGGCCTTCGCATCTACAATGCTAACGTCAAGGAACTCCAAGACTTGGGAGACTCCAAGTATTTCGAAAGTCTTTCCCGCAAGGCTCACCAGGGAGCGCAGTCTCAAGCTGAGGTCGATGTGGCTCTGGCGCAGGGACGGAGCAAGCAAGAGATTGCAAAGATCAATGCCAACACCAGTGTAGCTGCGACCGAACGGACCATCGAAAAGAGCAATGCGGAGCAGAAGCTGCGTCAACGAGAAATCATCATCGCGCGGGAGCTGAAGCTCGAGCAGATCGCCGCCGATCGCGCTGCGGAGCAGAAGGATGCAGAGCTTCAACGCGTGGTCGAGGAGAAGCGTGCGGCTATGGAACTAGAAAAGCAGCGTGCCACTCAAGTCACGCGAGCCAAAATTGCGAGGGAATCGGCACAGGAGCAGGCGGATGCTGAATACTACTCGGCTCAACAACGCAGTAACGCACTGCAGTACGACCAGAAGGCCGATGCCGAAGCCGCGTTCTATCGGACAGCGAAGGCCGCCGACGCACACTACTACCAACTGACTAAAGAGGCCGATGCACTTCTTGCGGCTAAGGAGAAGGAAGCTGAGGCGCTTTTCATTCAGAAGAAAAGGGAAGCCGACGGTATCACCGAGATGGCAAAGGCGTACGGACACCTCGCCGATGTGCTCGGCGGTCCTCAAGGCTTGATGCAATACCTCATGGTGAAGGAAGGCACTTTGGAGAAGCTGGCGGAAGCCAACGGCCGGGCACTCAATGGGCTGCAACCGAAAATCAATGTCTGGACAACTGGCAATTCGGATAGCAGTTCGGAACCACTCGCTCCGATCCAGAACCTGTTTCGCGCTCTGCCACCTCTATTCGCTGGTATCCAAGACCAGACCGGCATGACCCCTCCTAATTGGATGATCAACATGCCGCCGGAGCAACAGCGGAGTGCAGCCGAGACAGGTGCGCTTTCGAAGCAGCACGCGGTCGCTTAGCCTATCACGTGCCTATCTTTTTCCTTTCGCGGAGCCAGGTCCACACTCGTCCATCTTTTGGGAACTGCCACTTTTGGCACGGCAAACCCACCCTACATGACTTCAATGGTGCCTTCGAAATTTCTTCATATACCTACTTGACTTCCGGCAGTGTTCATTAATAGTGAGCGTACTTGAAAATTGAACTTTCAATCATGAGTAATAGTCTCGATTCAATCGCTCCGACCGAGTTATGTCATTCTCACTTGTGTGCGCATTTTTCTGGCGATTGCCAACATGAAAAGCCGCCAAACAGGTAATGATCTGAGCGCTCCCCACCGCTCCATCATTCATGCCACTAGCCTCCAACGTAGTGCACATTAGTGCGGGCGGGCAATCGCGCGCAAAGTTCGGCAAAGAGGCCATCGACGGGGGATCACGATTCTGAAGGACAGCCACTTCTCATGCTTCGATGCAGCGCACTGTGCGCGGTACGAAGCCTCCGGGGTTTCGCCACGGCGTTGCCACTCCAGGCCAGGTAAGAAAGCCATCACCCTTCCAAATGCGGAGGCTAGCTGGTCAGAGACTTTTGGGACAAGCAAACTCGTTAGCCGCAGACCAGCACACGCGTTGGGTGGAAAAGGGCCTGCATGAAGTGCGGCGCTGATCGGACGGGGTTGTGTCCGAGACCAGGATCAGCCAAGCTCGTACCCTCGTACCGCACGGCGACTGGTCGCCAGATGACACATGGAAAACCACCTGTCTGACGAAACGAGTAGAAGTAGCCATAGCAATAGCGGTAGTAATATAGCAACGAAGAAAGACGGATCACTGCGGGCGCCCGAGCGGGCAATGATTTGTCAAGTGCAGAAAGGTTTTCTAGAAAAGAAACAGCGCGTGGTAGTCCAGTCCGCATCTGAGGGCTAAGAGTGATGGCAGGATGACGATGGGGAGACGAAGCGGACTCTGGCTGACGGTCCACAGGGGATGACGAGGAAATCTAGGCCGATATGGGACGAAACAAAAGGTTTGCCAGACTAAGGCTTGGCGGTGGAGTGATGCCCGAGAGTCCGAGACTGCTCCGCCGCGGGTGACGACAGCCTATCCAATAGACGAGATGACATGCAAAGGGCAATGCGCGTGGTCCGTCCTTTGCGCACATGATGCCGAGTCCAGCCAGGAAATCGCCGCCGGAGCTTTTTAGCTGATGATCGGAGCAGATGCTGCGGGCTTGCATAGTGCATATCTCCCTTCTAGTCCACGAAGTCATGTCTCTTATTCATTAGCGTACCGACCCCTGTGCAGTAGCTGACGAGTGTTATATATTAGTCCCAATCTTTCACTGGGTTCCAAGGTTCTGATTGCTGGAACTCGACTGCGGCTACGGATGTCTACTGACCCTCAGATTGCTGCTGCCGAACCTGGTAGGCGTTTTGTTATAACTAGATACCTAGGTATGCTTGCTATGCACGCACAATGTGACAATGGCGGACCACCACCTGCATAATCCGGAGAAACCTTGGAAGCGGACTGCATAGGCAATCGTCAGTCGTCGAGTCCGTGATTGTGGCATCGTATCCTCCTACGCTCCTGGTGGAGACAGTATCTCATCATCAATGTATGTACGAGAGATGATGGATCACGTCTCGGCCGCTCAGTTCCACCGCCATCATGATCGTATTGCGTGGGCATACCCCTCTATCTCCCCATCCCCACCCCCCTACTGCTCCTCTTCGTATCGCTCCGGCATGGATGGACTCGACTTAATCATGCACCATGCGAAAATCATGTTGCATAAGCTCACCGCGATGATGCCGGCGGAACATCCGTGCACACGCACGCATGGAGGTCTGCTCCGGTGCGCCCGCCCGATACATGACCACCACATTCGATCGAGCACGACCTTGGAATGGCTATATTGTGTGGAGTACAGAATCTCCCACGGTGTCTAACCTTTGGGGCCAGATTGGCGGGAAATGAGCGAGTGCGGAGCCCAGCTCCATCCTGGATGGCCCCGTTTCGGACTCGGGTTGCATCAGGTGTGTGATCATCGTCGTTGTGGTCATGTCCTACGGCGTCATCTGGACTATTCGGTCCATGTACTGTACGTATCATCCCATCGCATAGTTGTCCTCCATATGGGCAGTATGGTAGATACGGTAGCCAGAAACATCATCGCACTACTGGAATATCATGGGCCGCTTGTCTGCCGAACGTTCGTTTTTGCTCTCGTCATCGGAGGGCTTTGTTCGCCTCTCCTCGCCGAATTTGTTCGCCCGTCTGCTCCTCGTCCCTTCGTTTCGCCCATTGTCCCTGTCCACGATTGATATACTGTACATTAGTCGCGGAGTCAGTGCGCCGTCATCAGGGAAAGGACGACTTTCGCCGCGGGGTACTTTTCGCCCCGATAGCCGGTTAACAGGCCGGACGGGCAGTAATAATGTCACGAATGAGGACGCAAAGACGGGGCGGGAGGAGGGAAAAAATCGATCTTCAATGCTGTTGCCGTGATCGTGACCAGCTGGACACTAATGATGCTCATGGTTGACGCCGACGTTGCTGCCGCGATTATTGTCATCATTGCCGTCGTCTTCTCTTCAAAGGTTGCTACTCGCTAGTATTACGACCGCGACTATCGCCGTTTCCTACTGCTGCTGCTGCTGTCGTTTCAGTAGTACTACCGCCATTATTATTATTACTCGCCACGACCACCAGCACCACCTGCACCTCCCGCTGCGACCACCACTGTCCATCATCGCCGCTGCACCTCCGCTGCTGACTACGACATACATACTTGACTGCGCTCCTCCGCAGCCGATGCGTGTGTGCGGACCAAATCTCCGTTTTGCGTGATGCCCTCATGACCGATTGATTTCTTTTCTTCGCTTATCGTACATCACCTCGACTTTCCTCTACAAGAACGACAGACTTCCTGGGAGACCGATCGACGTTACTGTGCTGTCGAGGAAGGATTTCACTACTGTACGTGGAGTAATCACCTCACAGTAGCGACAACACCACGAAACGACGACAAACGGTTACAGTGGACTCGGGCCGTCAACCGCAAGCAACAATCTTCCCCAGCAGCATCCGACCGCCATCGCGCCCCCTCTTCCGCCCTCTCTGCCCATCAGCAGCACCCGTGGGAAAACTTCCACAATTGCCCTCACCACCCAAGCCCGCATCCCGAGAACGGCAAGTCTGCGCAACTCGAATTTGGCACACCACATTGGTCTGTGCTCTATGCGCGATCGGAGCATATTCCGGTATTTCCTCGTCACCAATGAATACCACTGGCGGGGCCGATATTCTTCTGGAATCAATTCAGAGGACCAAACGAGAGACCGTCGTCGTCGCCTGTCAGTCTTGTCGACGTCGCAAACAAAAGGTATGTCACTGTCTCTGCCAATCCCGACGCTGACGCCGACGACAATCACATGATCATTGTCGTCGTGAGCGTTGCGTTCCTTGCAGCATGGCACCAAAGTTGATAGCAACCGTGTGTTAACCACAATATCGCTCTGCGTTTTTTTCCATTCTACAGTGCAATGGACAGCGACCGTGTGAACGATGCAGTCAGGCCGGGCAGGTCTGCGTCTTCGAGTCCGCCGAGAATGAGACTCCACGCCAGACTCAAAAGCGGAAATTCGAGCAGATGGAAGCAGAGTTGAATGTTCTGAGGGAATTGATCAGGTCAATGGTCGACGCTGGGGAGAAGGACGCATTGCTCATCGTGAAACGATTATGCGAAGGACAAAGCCCGTCTACCATCTGCTCCGCACTGCAAAGTTCAACCAACATTGAGCCCAACACCAACATTGCACCCGAGAGACGCGACCTGCTTTTGACACTGATACAGTCCGTGGGCTCGCTAGACTCGGTCTTGGCCTATGTCAATCGCATCGCCGATTCCCGACTTCAGATGGTTCTTCCTTCGAACACTGCTCATCGACGGCTACGCAGTGGTCTTGTCAACCATGAAAAATTGGAACATCTATTCTCGGCCGCGGAGACCTCATTCTTTCCACTACAGGTCCCGACTACTCTCTACGCCCCTGGACGCAGTTATAACGGACCACCAGCATGGGTGCGTAGCAGTATTTGGTTGACAAACCCTGCTAGTGATGATGTCGTGTCGCATCTCATCTCTCTGTTTTTGAGTTTTTTCAATCCTTACTGGAGATTCGTCGAAGAAGACGAATTTCTGCGCGGCCTACGAGGGCCCAACGATCGGACGGGCCCATGCTCGTCGCTACTTGTGCTTTCCATGCTTTCATGTGCATCGGTATCTCCACCAGATCATTGCGAAACCTCTAGCTGAATCGCCATCGCTGACCACTCGTCTCTAGTTATACTCGGAGCATGGAGAGGTCTTCACTTCTTCTCATGACTGCGCTCGCCGCGGTATCCATTTCTACCAAGAAGCTCTCCGATTGTGGAGCGAAGAAAGCGAAGTCGCCACGATATCGAACACGCAAGCCGCCATGATACTATCCCTAGCAGCTCAATTGCGTGGCCAAGATCGTATAGGAAGGGATTTTGTTCTCAGCGCGGTTCACCTCAACCACATGGTTCAAATGAACACCTCGAGAGGAGCTGCCGCTGCAACGGGAGATGAAGCGGCGAGGAGGTCGTTCCTGGACACGGCAGTGTCTCATTTGCATATGTATGTGCGAATTTCTACTAATCTGCTCTCACGGATTGTCTGACAAAATAATTTAGATCGTACAGTAATGCCATGTTACAGCCCTGCAGCGGCGCAGCATCCCGACCACGAGGATTCGACAACATTCATGAAATCATGTCACGACCACCAGTCTACTGGATTCCTTATCCCATTCAGCGCGAGCCTGCTCCGTTCTATCCGAATTTACTTTTGCATCATCGCTGCAGCCTGACGCAACTCGCATACGACTTGAACGCGTTGATGCTCTCCGGTCCCGAGCCTGAAAATGCCGAACATTTCTGGCATGCGTCCAAGGATCTTTTCCGCCGTCTTCAACACTGGTACTACAGTCTGCCGGGCGACCTCCGCTATATGAAGGAAATGCCCGCCAGCATATTCGAACTTCAGTAAGTAACGTTTTGCTTCGAACAAATCAACGAAGCCGCGACATCTGTTTCTGACAATTTTGATAGCTGTCACTACTATTGCCTGCAGATGCAGCTGTCTGATTTGACATTCAAGAAATTACCGCGAGGGCATCCGCACAGCAGCGAGACGAGCCCGATCGAGGTCCCACGCGAGGTCCAGGCCGAACTCAACAAGAACGGCTTGCTCTATGCCCTGTCAGCCGGGCAAGCAGCATGCGACTATCGCGAGATGTACGGCCTGACAGTAGCGGTCCCCTTCGTCCAGCAAGCCGCTGCACATGCCATGTTCACCTTCCTCCGCTTCATGCAAGCCGGACCCCAAGAAACCAAAGCCACCGATAACATCCGCGACATCGAGGTTGCCTTCACAAACTGCTACCGCTTGCTCTCCGCCGGCGGCATCATGAGCATGCAGACCCGCGGCATCATGCGCATGATCCTCGGCACCGCCGGAGCCATCCACGCCGTCCTCCCGACCGCCGTCGAACACGCCCGCGTGGTCCTCGACGTCACACCGTGGCAGTCGGCGGACGCCCTGAAACTCAGCTCCATGTATCCCAACTGGGCGTGTGCCCGCGAACCGGGCAACATCCCGCCACAGTACGAGATGGACCAACTCCTGCAGGCATGGTACCACCGCGAAGCCTCGCCACGTTCCCCGGACGAGTCGATGCAGGAGGACTGATTGAAAGACATAAATTTGGGGCAAATTCCCCCAACGAGACCTGGGTCGCAGTCTGACTCGGCGAGAGCGCAGAAAGCAAAACAGTGTACTGTATAGAAATCAGTCAATCGTAGCAAAAAGGATGGCATTTGTTTCGGGGGCGGGGCGGACGGCGAGAGTTTCTTGCGTTCAGCGTGCATTTTGTGACGGAGTCATGCGAGTGAAACGCAAAAAGAGTTTCGGGTTTGTCAGTTTCTTTTTTCTGTCATACATCCGTACATTTCGTATCTGAGAGCGAGCCGTAGTTGCGGCAGATGCAAGTCCTTCTTCCCACAGTGAACACTTCAGCTTTTTGGGGTCATGATCGGTCGAGCTTTCCTCAGCGGAGGATTCCATGACAACCACTCCCCCCAGGACTATGCCGTTCACGATTATGGTCGTCCAAGAACAGCGACGACGATGAAATTTCTCCGTCATCGTTTCCGGCTTTTCCGACCATCACCACACAGCGAGGGGAGGATCGAGTGGCATTAAAACAGAAGGATTTCATATCGAGACCATGCCTTCCATCACCGACACCGCCCCGCCGCTCAACTCCACCCGCTCCACCGCCCCGCCGTCCTCGCGCACCCGCACCGCTACCCCGATCTCGCTCCGCCGACCCATCTCCACGCCCTGCGTGATGCGCAGGAACAGGGCCCGCTTCTCCCGCAGCGCCAGATAGCCGGCCAGCGCACACGCCGCGCTGCCCGTCGCCGGATCCTCCATCGAGCCCTCCATCATCCGCGCGCGGATCTCGTAGCCCTTCGGAGCGGGACCGGCGGCGTCGCGGCCGCCCTCCCTCGGCCCCACCACGTGGTAGAAGTACGATCCCACGAAGCCCACGTCCCACTCCGCATCCAGCCGCACGGCGTCCCGCGGCGCCGCGGCGCCCCCGCCGACTCGCACGCGCGCCAGCGCCTCCAGGCTGGACAGCCGGATCAACGCGAAGCTCATGCCCCGCACGGGACTGACCACCGCCAGGCCGCCGTCGTCGTCCGCGGAAACGATGTCCTCGGGTTTGAGCCCGGCGGGTTGAAGGCGGGTGAGGACGGCATCGGGTGTCAGCGGGTGCTGCGTGTGGAGGTGGATGTTGTGGGGGATCGAGGCGACGGCTGTGGTGGGAGCCCCTGAGCCGCTGTCGAGGAGTTCCACGTCGATGGGGCCCGCGGGGCAGAGGAGGCGGCCGCGGGTTTGGGGGAGGACCCCCTTGGGACCGAAGTGCTGGAGGGCGTAGCAGGTGGCGCCGATTATGGGGTGGCCTGGATTTGGTTTGCACAATCGTGAGTTTTTGCTCTGACGAGAGAAGGGGTGAGGATGAGATGGAGGGGTGATGATGGTGGTGGCTGGATGACAGGGAGATGCCCGGTGTCATTGAGACAGGGAATAGGATGGAATCCACATGGTCATTCATATGTAGAAAATACGAGTGTACCCAGCCCGATGCAAGCCCGTGATCGTAACTATCGTATAAGTGTGAAATGAAAGCTGGCTCTCAGGCTCGAGGGAACATGCTCGTCTCGAGTGGACTAGGGAGGGCATGGCGGGGATGATCGAGGATGTTGGCATTCACCAAGAAAGAATCATCACTACTCACCTGCAAAAGTGATCTCCACGGTCGTCAAGAAGATCCGGACCCGCCACTCCCACACGCCATCCTCCTGGTTGACGTGAGCGGGATACACGAAGACGGTCTCGGAGAGGTTGAATTCCCGCGCCACGCGTTGCAGGGTGTCTGTGTCGGGTTCGCCGGCGGTGGCAGCGCCGACGACACTCATGTCCTTGTCCTGGCCATTTTCACCGGCGGAGTCGCCGAGGAGGACGACGGCCAGGGGATTCCCGGCGTAGCGGTCATGGGTGAAGACGTCGAGGGTGACGAACCGAAGTTGTTGGACCATGCTTGCTTGCTTGCTTGCTTGCTTGCTTGCTTGCTTGCTTGCTTGCTTGCTTGCTTGCTTGCTTGCTTGCTTGCTTGAATGAATGAATGATCGAATGATCGAATAACCGATTGACGCTTGCTTGGTATAGCCGTGTGACGAGTCACAACCCGTGACTCATCAATGGGAGACTTTTGTTGTTGTTTTTTTCCCTCACCTTCCCAGCTGACGTAAGGGCCGCGATACCATCCATCGACCCAGCTGTGCAGCTACAGTATTGCCCGAGGAGAAGCCGCACATTGGCCGGCCGCGAGCCACAGGTCGGTCCATCAGAGACAGACCGACCGACCGACCGGGATTCCTCCGAGCACGCGCGTAGTTGTTGTTGTTGTTGTTGCCGGGCAGGGGCTCCGACACGTGAGGAACTGTACAGTCGGCGACACGCTCATCCCGTATGCGTTGAAAGTGTGGGGGGACGAGGGAGACTGTGGGAGGGACGAGACACGAACGAAAACCCCGCGAGACTACATACTACCATCCGACCAACATCCAAGGAACGTGGAATTGGAATGATGCACTGTAAGCGCACCTCGGAGATACCTCAACGCGATCCTTCCAGGGCCATTAACCGGACTGGACTGGAATGGACTGTACCTTGTGCCTGAGCATGCCATGCACGTGCTTGCGAGCGTGCGTGCGTGCTGACGAAGGATTCACATGGAAAAGCACAACAGGAACAACAACAACGCCTGCATAGGCACATAAGCGGTACCTGAGCTTACCGTAAAATACGATGTGATACAGCAGGAGAGAAGGGAGAAAGGCGCACAAAAGTCTCGGTTGGGTCCCAGGCCATGAGATAATAATAAGCAAGTACTATACATCTGACTGCAGGGAAGTGTTGGCTTCTCAGCCTCGCCTCGTGTCTTGTGTGTGTGCAGGTGTGTGCAGGTGTGCGTAGACCCTCGCAGGAGCAGCAGCAGCAGCCAGGCCAGCCAGGCGAGAGCATTGAAATCGTTTTCCGGGCTTATACCATGTGTGTGTGTTTGTATGTCTGTATGCATAGCAGCACACACAGGCGCGCGTGTTGATACTGTACATATACATATACATGTACGTGCCGCGACAGACGAAGGATGATCGAGGACGGGATGTCCGTATGTAGGTATGCATGTATGTGTGACGGGGGACGGTGGACCACGGCTCGAGCTGGACGGAACTACCTATGCACTGGGACTGTCGACGCCGCACGCCCACGTCAGATATGTAGATTCATCACACGCGTATGTGTCTGCAGCCGCACCCACGCACGCGCCGCGGCGACTTGGAGCCCGCTCTTCCTACGAGTGTGGATGTGAGGGTGTGTGAATGTGTGTGAGTGTGTGTGTGTGTGTGTGGCGTAGTGAGACGAGATTAGCAGGAGGAAGAGGATTCAGGCGGGCAGGGACAGTGCCGAATCGGTATACAGTACAAAGAAATGAAAGGAAGCTTTCGGGAGGGTATTCGCTTTTGGGCCAGAATCCTTCACACAAGCCGCGGGAAGTACTGTTGACGAGAGGTAGAGAGAGAGATCCACCCTGCATTGCCGAGAAGCCATTGGGGGAAAAAGAGCTCAACAGGAGGAATGAAAGGGAACACAAGACGAACGTGGAGTGTGTGTACAGCAGGACTATGGTATAGCACTCTTCCGTGGGGGGGATTTGTTTGGTTGGTCTGTCTCATTTCGACATCATTTCATAGTTTCATTATTCACACAACGTGTGTTTTGTCTTGCGCCGGACGCCTTCGCTATCGCATTTTTCCAGAAACGAAACCCGCGCGCTGTGTATCTACAATTGTTGTTGTTTGTGACCTTCGTTGTTCCGTCAAGCCATGGCCGAGGCCAAAATTGCAGGGCGCTCGAATTCAAATGCGCTCACGCAGGAGGCCGTTCTTCAAAGTGTCCAAACCATGAGTTCTGCACTTGCTTTTTGTGCAAAGGGGAGGGGTCTCGGTCACATGTAACGTGATGTTTGCTTCGTTTCCGTATCATGAAACAGAACTTTCGAAGTGTGCTGGGGGGTGGGGGCATGCCCGACGAGTGGGCTGCAAAAGGGAATGGGTTTCATTAGAATCGTAAGAAAAGTTGGTGCGTACATCACTTGGCGGTGATGTTGAAATTACGCTGCAGGTGTCCCTGCTTCGTATCTTTGTCGCTGGCGTCGCATCGCTTCAGCATCGTAATGTGGTGTTTCGGAAGTCTGACGGCTTCGTGTGTCCATGGACCCGAAGCTGCGCATCTTACGCAGCATCCTGTTCGGCCTTTCAGACGTTTGTTGGACCGCTTCGTCATCGTTGGTGATGATCTCAGTCGCGTCCGTCTTGCCACGGCCTATTGACATGAGACCACGAGCAATCTTCTCCAGGGCGGTCCCGTGAGCGCTCGTGGAGGGCATTCTTGGACGGGACGATTTCTCGGTCCCTTCCGAGGCCCATATGGATCCACGAGTTGATGGACGGCGATCAGAACCAGCTGATAAACTCACGGCGGAATCTGCCTTGGGCCTCCGTCGTGGTTCCTTTGCGTCTTTGGCCTGTTTCGACTTCGAGACATCGTGACGGTCCGTTACCTCGAGGCACTCGGTGATCATACTTGTGGCCACCTGAAGGTAGTGTTCCATGACGCGAACGATCGATGGCCAGGCGTTATCATCATCTGGCGCTTTCCCTTGCATGATCAACGCACTGAGCACACCCGTGCCGCATTTCTCGACCGTGGTGATGTACTTGAAGTAACCTTCGCGCTGCTGTTTGAGCACGTGCTGAGTCAAGCGATTTGATGGTGGGGCAGAAATGACGGGAGGATATAGTGTGTTGAGCATGGCGACACAGTTGTGCTTGTTGAATGGGAGCAGAGAGAGTTCGTTGAGCAGGATCCATCGTCGAAGACCGATGTAAATTTGAGTGTAGAGGGCGTCCACAACGGCTTCGCGCTCCTCGATCGATTTGAGCCATTGCGATACGCCCGGATAGGAATTCGACAACCCAGCGGTGTCGTTGTAGAGCATTTCATTGTCGATCCCAAGCCTTTCAATGGCCGCGGCGATCTCACGTCGGCGACGCGTTTCCAGGTCTTTGAGATAATCTAGACCTGTCAATGCTTGCGGAAAGTCGACGTAGTGAAGTTGCGGAGGGAAACATCGTTGGAGGAATTGTACGATGAAGCTCGGAGGCAATGAGAGAGGTTGGTTTGATGCGGCATTGATCTGAGCCATGAGGTTCTCGGAAAACGAAGGTGCCCTCTGCGCGTCAGTAAACGCGCCTTGAGGGCAGTCGGGCGTGCTGGCATTGCTTGATGGATGTGACGGATGTGCCCGGGCGGTGCAATTCAAATTATACATAGTCCGGAGAGGGAGCTCGTAGCTTCCTGGATAGTTCATGACGTGGTCGAGAATCAATCGATACGCTGAGCCGTTCGACGAATTTGATGAGGACGCGGACGAGCGCGAATATTTATGTGACGCCATGATGGCGATGATGTGAGCCCTGAGTCGCGAGAGCAAGAGATTGATGAATTCAAAATGGATGGCCGAGTCGACAGGGAGTGAAGCTTTTGTCGAACGAAGAAGATATCAATCCGTGTCAAGGGATTGGATTCTGATAGCAATGCCCGGATGGTTGTGTGAGCCGAAAGAGTTGGCAGACGACGTAGGTAAGAACAGCAAGAGTGACTATCTCATCGACGGGTGGGTTCCGGAAGGTTTGCAGCGCGATAACAGCAGAAATGAAAGTATCGTTGGATGGCCCCAGGTTTCTCGGATGGAGGAGCGGGCTTCCGACTTTATGATTGAGAGATCGTTCAAGGTGTGGGACAGCAACGGAAGATGAAAAGGACAACGGGATAACGGGCAGGTTTATGATGGAAAATAACAATGCAATGATTGAACGTGGACAAGAGGCACGTTGAAGGAGCCGTGGTTTGACCAGCGGCGTAGGCGTTATCGAGCTTCCACACGCGCGTGGCGGTCCAGCGAGGGATGCGAGAGATGGTGGTGACGGTCGTCGTTGGAAAAGTCGATCGTTATGTGTGCGTGAGTGAGTGAGTGAGAGAGTGTGTGTGTGGTGGTGGTGTGGGTGTGCCTTTTCGACAAATGTTTGGTCTGGGGCTGGATGGCCTGGCGTGAACGGCGGCGGGCGGGCTCTGATCCCCTCAGGACCCTCCCTCACGGTTCCTTCCTGGTGACGATAATTATAGCAGAGTATTCGATGTGTGTTTGCAGGGCAGCGAGTACCATTAGTGTGTCAATTCCCGCCCGTTTGTTGGACAAGGGATGGCAGAGCAAGCAAGGATTGTGGACAGCCGACCAACTGATGGCCTTTGTCCCTGTTCCCGCGGTGTCCGCCTCGTCACCTTGACCTTTTTCTGGGATCTCAAGTCCCGAGCGTCAATGTCGTGCCTTCGCGTGAGTCCTCGCGTGAGCGATGTTGCCAAGCCACGCTTCCACCGTTGAGCCCGTTTCGAACACACGGATGCACACACAGGCTGTCGGTAGCAATTGCGGCGTGTTGTGGTGGAAGGAGTAGGATTGCGGGAGGTGGTGGTCAAACCGCCGTAATGAAAGGAAACACCAACAACGTGCGCAAGGACAGCAACACCAAATCGCGCGGCTGCGGGGAGCGTTCGGATGAGAGTGCGAGAGCGATCAACAACGACGTTGGTGGCAACGCTCGAGTGCACAGCAACAGAGCGCAAAAGGTGGTGGGCGTGATAAAATGAATCAAACGAGTGCAGCTCCAGCAAACCGAGTCACACCCTCTTTCCAAATTGAGTCCAGTCAGGCAAGGGATGAGGGAAAGATGATCATCAATTGAGTCCGAAAACAGTAGCAGCAGCAGCAAACGAGAGAGCAATGTGTAAACAAATATGTGGAGACAATGTGAGGAAGAGGAAACACGCGACAGACAGACGGAATGAAAGAAAGATGATGACGATGGTAAGGCTGGTGTTGATGCTACTGGCGGTGGTGGTGGTGATGATGCTGCAGGCTAAGGCTAAGGCCAATGGTGGATTATCGACCAAGAGACGAGAGAAGTCTTGGTGTGATTGAGCCGAGCGAGACTTTTCGCGCATCGGAATGAGTTCAGAGCCTATGTACGCCTGGTCACTTTTTCTTTGAATTTCATCATCACTAGTGACAAAGTTGACAGGAGACGGCGAAGGTGGGAGGCAGCGAGCGCAACGACCCGTCCGTGAGGAAGCCGAGTCTGTCGCCCGTGTATCTTTACATGTGAACCTGCAGTAGTTCCAAAGTCAAGCCTCGACATTCGGCAGTCCAATGATGTTTATTAGATTGATGGATGCACAAGCGCTACGGCGGCCATTTCATCGTACAGTGCTACTGTCTCGCACACGGATTGTCATGCGAAGAGTGTAGACTCGGTGAGAGAGAGAAGAGACTGTAATCGGCCGACAAAAGAAACGATGCTGAAAGGATGGGCACATGGCATGCTCTAGGACCATTTCGCTCTCTATAGATTTTTCTGCAGCCTTGGAAGAGAAGGGAAAGAGATACATGCTGAAGAAACAGGAGGATTGGCAGGCAGAATGGAGGGATTCGGCAACCCTCGACAAACCAATCACTGCTCTGAAATGATCTGCTCTGCAATCCTGCGGGATGTCTGAGAGTCTACGTTGCTTACTCGCAGCTCACCACCCGAGACTCGCTTCTCTCCTGATGCTCATGGTGATTATCGCTGTCAGCCAACGCTCGACCCACTCATGTATTGGATATGTATGTGCGATGCCCGGTGGGGAACACAAGTGGATCTTTTGCTCGGCTGCCATACGACCAACGAACGAGAGGACAGCTGCATGGAAACAGCCGGGATGAAGCACTCGGACGCGAGAACGGTTGTCAATCGCATGGCACAGCACATGAATCGTGCTGCACGGATACAAGTGCTATTATTGAAAGGATCATCGCAACCTCGGGAACTCAGGACAGTCGATAATAACCTGTTGGGAACAACTCTGGAACCTTGGATGACTTGATGTATACCTATAACAACTGATGAGCATTGGAAAGCACGTCCTCCTCCAGGGATGTCCCATGCACCGCCATGCCCTGTTTTTTGGACTGTGCTGGCGAACTGCGCCCTCCGACGGCAGTCAAGCATGGAGCCAGGTCCTCGTTCGCCCCACTTCCCATGCCCGTTTCTGTGATGGGGCACAACGATTTTGATTCATTTTGGTTTCCTAAGCCGCAATTGCCTATCGAATCGCGGGAGGGCCATTGGAAAGTAGAAACGCAGCAGTGCTTTATTCTCTGCAACCGCATAGAGCGATGATCAACAGAGAGTCGTGGTACTAACAAATACGCAGGATACGAGGCAGACGACAACGATATGTGTACCAAGGATTACCGGTCGCTTGGGACGAGAGAAGATCTGCCCAAGGGTTCAATCGTGCAAAGTAAAATGATGAAATCCACGCGCCGTCGTTCAATCAACACCTGCGACAATAAATGATTTAGACGATAATAATAATAAATAATTCTTTTCCCCCAAGTGCGTGCAGATCGTGGGGAATTTCCCGACCCCCCAAACGGTGCTTGCAGGTGTGTCTCGGTGGTTTGGGGCAGTGTGGTGGACCTCCAGTGGTGGCCTTGGGAAATCTCGGTCCACGCTCGCCGCTCACTGGCTGGCCCATTTTTCCATCCTCGCGCGCTGATTGCCCCGCTCGCTTTCTTTTCCTCTCCAGCCAGCTCTCTCTCTCTCTCTTTCTGTCGCGTTCGCTTTTTTTGGTGTGCATGGTGGTGGTCCCTCATCGACTACTGCCGGACCTCCTCCTTTCGGCATGGCTCAAGTGCCGTCGGACCGTTTTCTTGCTGCAGTCATCATCGCGACGCGGCGGCCGAGCGAGCGAGCGAGCGAGAAACCTCCGCTGGATAATGCATCCATCCATCCGTACGTTCTGCAGTGCCGGTACATGAATCACATGCGGTCACGACTTGTTATTCGACGATGGCAGGTGAATGAGACATGCGTCCCCACGTCCAGCATCCGCTTAAATATCCGTCGAAGAGGCCAATTCAACCTCTATCCTCGTGCGGCTTCATGTACGTGGTCTGCTGGTCATCACAGCCCGTCTGCACCGTGATCACGACCAACCGCGCGCGGTCCATATGTACCCATCACCCACGCATGTCCTATCACCCACGCATGTGTCGATCAATGCAAAGACACATGGGAAATTCTCCGACCGCCTCGAGAGTCTAATTACGAGATCGTCGCGGCGAGGCACCATTGGAATCATGTACTGTAACTTCCGTAGAGCCAAAGACTACTCCCGTGGGGAAGGTTTTCGTTATTGATGATGATCAATGGGCTGTTGTGAATGAGGGCCTCATGCGCGGTGTGGCCCGCCTTCCTGCGGCCGGCGGGTTTGGTGGTGGTGCTGCCGTGGAGATGCACACCCTGGCACACACCCACCAGCTGAGCTCATCGGACACGCAAAGACACTTGACAGGGCCACGACGGCGATGATGGGCGTGGTGACTGAATATGCTCGCATTGTTGACAGCAGCTATGAGGAGTACAACCACCGGGCCAACACCAGACCAAATCACCCTTTCCTGTCATTTCCACGCTATGGGGCCAATTGATGATGATGCCAACACTGCCACATAATATGCCTGGACTGTCCTGAGTGAGGCACGGGGCAGCATATCCACAGCAAGCTTCTTCCACTCCGATCCTTCGGGTTGTGCTTTCCGCCATCTCGTTCTAGCCTCTTTCAGCTCTTCCTCACACCATCAAACTCCGGAGGACCACAGCACGGCGTGCACAAACTGCCACACTGTCACGACTGCCCAGGTCCAGGTGTGCAAGTTAGCTATGTGGTGGTCACGCCTATTGTACCCGTACCTAGTAGGTACACTGTAGCCCTCGCATCAGCAGCCATCGCCAAGTGATGCTGACTGGGATTTGATATTGACAATGCATATTGACCCATGAGACATGCTGCTCTCCTACTTTGACCATTTGTCCTTCTCTTCTCATCAACACAACTACTGGACGATATTCCATAGCAACCGTCTCAATCTATACGCGAAACCAACAAGTTGGTCCAAGATTCACGACTGCAGCGGAAACTAGTCCGCGCACGTCCACCTCCTGAGTGGTTTCCGCGAGCTTGCAAAAGATCCCATCGAGGACAGACCCATTTCCATGGCTGCAGGTGTCCTCCCCGAGCGCAATCGAGTCATGGCCTATTCTGAGCCGTCGCTTCCGATCTTGAACGCGCTGTGGCATATCGCAATAGTCGAACATGAAATAAATGTACAGTATTTTTGGCTTCCTTCAAATCGAAAGAAAATCCTACGTTCGTCCGACGCCGCACGGTGCGAGATAAAGCCTACCATTGGACACAACTCGTCACTTTGCCCTGTCGTCCCGAATTGATTATTGCTCTGGGAGCAATCTTGCGGAAAACCTGGCCAAAGCCACAGGATATGGCTTATCTAGATAATCTATCCCAGAAATCACATATCCCTCTCCCCGTTGGAAGCGCGCGCGGCTGCGAACACGCGATCATGCCATCCCTTTCTGGCAACAGCATGCTGTGCCGCACCACCCATCTCCATGTGTCTCCAAAATTGACTTCGCTGCAAAACCATCGCACTGCCAGCTTTTCCCATCGATAGCAGTGTTGATAGATTCGTAATCCCTCATTCGACGATGCTCTACTCGGCTGCTGGCCGCCTCAGGCTGGTGCTAATCACGACTACGATCGCGCTGCTCCTCGCACTCTACGCCATCTACAGCCGACCCGCACAAATACAAGCGCTGTATAATTCTCGAAGCACGACGTATGATATCCTAGACGACATTGCAAATCGCACTTTAGGGGTAAGATCTCCATGTGGCCCACAGCCGTGTCATCGCGATTAACCGTCATACTCGACAGTTTCAGAAAATCTTCGTCATCAATCTGCCCCACAGGACCGACCTACGCGATGCCGTCTCTCTCGCCGCCGCATTCACGGAGCTCGATGTCGAGTTCGTCGATGGCGTAGTCGGCAAAGAGATCTCCCTCAAGGCCCTCCCACCAGGCGGCATTAAAGCCAATCTGAGCTATGGCGGACTTGGGAATTGGCGCGCGCATATGAATGTCGCTCGCATGTAAGTTTCGTCTCAAAGCCACGGAAATGGATGATATTCTCATGCATGCGCGATACAGGATCGTAGAACAGAATCTACAGTCGGCACTTGTTCTGGAAAACGATGCCGACTGGGATCTCCGTATCAAATCACAAATGAGGCAGTTTGCGAAAGCTTCGCGATTACTCGTCCAGCCCTTGCAGGGCACCAACGGCACATTCCTCGATCCGACGAATCCACGTCCCCAGCCGACTGATAGGCCGACCACCTTCGACATCAGAGACGAGACGCTCGGCCCAACCGTGAAGCCGACCACCTCTCCTTACGGAGATCTCGACCGATGGGACTTCCTCTGGCTCGGGCACTGCGGATGTCGATTTCCGTGGGCCAGGGACAAAAACGCTCCTCTCGCACGCGCGGCGATCTTCGACGACGAGACCGTGCCGGAACTCCGCCATGTCAACATCGAGCTCGGAGACGAGCAGCTGCGGGAGCAATACCCCGCCCACACGCGCGTGGTCAGCCGAGCCCGGGTCAACTCCTGCACGCTCGGCCACGCCTTCTCGCAGAAGGGCGCGCGCCTGTTCCTCCACGAGCTCGCCCTGCGCGAGCTGAGCGACTACACCGACATGGGCTTCCGATACATGTGCGACGGCGTGGGCGGCCGGCCGCTCGCGACCTGCCTGACGGTGCAGCCCCAGCTCTTCCAACACCATCGTCCGCGAGGCTTGAAGTCCAGTCAGAGCGACATTGACGACCACGGCACGGAGTTCAACGAGCATGCGGAGACGATGAACGTGCGATGGAGCACGAGGATCAATTTCAAGCGGCTGGTGGCCGGTCGGACGGACTACATCGATTTATACCCTGATGGAGCGGAGGAGCCACAGTGGGCGGAAGATCAGCCGTGAAACCCCTTGACAATGTTGCGGGCGGCTCGACTGCCGCAGCTCATGCACGATGATAGTCGCGGATTCCTCAGCACGCAGGCTATCTTTATTGACCTTAGATTTGTCTTGTTATTAACTCTGTAGATCTATAGAAGAACATAAATCATTCCCGTTTCGAAAAAGGAATTCGCCGATAGGGCCAACTCTATCCGCGTGACGATTGTTAGTAGCCCCAGTTCCACTCTTCTCAACACTGCCATCTACTCCTCGGACATTGCCAAAAACAAAAGGTCAAAAGGGCAGATTTGTCTCATGTGATGCCATAGGGAAAAGTCCCTCATGATACCGTCGCAGCTCCGCCGCCGCTGCAGCAGCTGCAAGACTACAATCGACCAAACCCAAAAAGTTCGACCGACAGTTCTGAACGAACAGAAACAAGGTTTCGGCTGCATTCGCCCGCTTATTTTCGCCCATGGTTCGAGGTTCGAGCGGGATCCTGCTGCCGCACCGCTCTCCCGATTCGCCGCGACGATCCCCGTCACTTCCCTCGCCTCATGGGGCGGGAGAAATTCATGACACTCGCGGCCTGGGCAAGGCGAGGGACTCGTCGTCGCCTCGATTCTGGAGAAAGCGCAATATACAGTAGTTGAGGCGGAACAGTATCGTGATTCATGCTTTGTGGGATTTCAGGATGCAGAACTATGTCTTTTTTTTGCCATTTCGCTGGCGGAGTAAGTGCGCAAGACCCGCTCGCCGCCCTCGCGGGTCGAATTGCTCCGCCTTCTGGGCATTGAGACGGACTCGATTCTCCTTTCGCCCACTCCGAAAGTCTGACTACGACGGTTTTCGTCTCCAAGGGAAGTCGTTACGTTGGAGTTACATCGTGAACAATACTACACCGCCGGAGCTGCCGCTAGCTTTTCCTCATCACTCCAGGGCTCCCGTCTGTCTGGATTTTGCTAGTCCCGAATCGGCAAACAGAGAAACTATGGGGACTGACTGCAGCTTGCTAATGATGAACTGACTGTGCCGTCGACCAACATAACAAGTCCCCGATAGCAGGATGCACACTTGTTGTGTGCTGACCACGCCAACCCAACGATATTTTGGCCTTGATCCGGCCTTTTTCCACGCCGGCGTCCAATGGGAACCTCTCGCGCAGGTCCCATTTCTGCAGCTTTGCCGGGAGAGGTTTCGCTGATGACCCGCATTTCTTCGGAAAGCGTGCAGAACCAAGGACATACGATTGTTTCCTCTCTCCTTCTCTCTCGTTAATGGATGGTGCCGACGATATCTCCAAGGCTTACCGAACATCGTCTCTGCCAAGTCATCATTCATCGGGAATTACTATGAGGCATCACCTCGCAACGTGTTACACGCCGAGATCATGGCCATACATTCCCCTCGGAGCCCGTCACCCCGTCTGCATCTTTGGGAGGGCGTAAATGGACGAGTGATCTCGACTGCTCGTTGTAGAACAGCAGTGAACAGTAGGTACATTATTAGTGTAAGTAACCAGCCCGAGAAAACTCAAAGGAGGGTACGTACCTGGCACCGCCAATAAACACAAACGCCTTCAACAACAGGCGGAAATGGTCCTTCCGCCCATATCCAGGACCTACCGTATTCACAATGAACTTGTACGATTTGCTGATATCCGCACTCCAACGTTCTTCTTCACCGCGCGGCTTCAAGCAATATCATATCACAATCACAATCATACATCCGAGCAGTAGTCCCGAAGCCCAGACATGCAGGCTAGGAAACTTCCTCCAAAGCGCCAGATAAACAAATCGATAAAATCGACCTATCACACGACGGTTAAACTTTTCAATAGCGCTCCCGCAGCAGGCCTGCGAAAACACATTGATGATTATTTTTTCTCTGGTTTCTGACTGGTTGCGAATAACATCATCCTTCTCGGTCTTGTTCATCCGCCTTGCATGTAAGAACCACCTGCATCAATCCCGTACTTGACATTCCAAAGGCCTGCATCCGCTTGCTTCTACTGCCGCGAGAAGGGCAGGCTTCTTTGAGACGACATGTCATTATGTCCTATTACCGCCCTTCCTTCCCCTTGCATCGACCCGATGGCATGCATGCATGCATGATGATGCTTTGGCAAAAACTCGCGGCGAGCCCGCCAAGGTTTTATTACTTGTTTCACTTGGGTGTGCGAACTTTTGATCTACATCATATTCCTTTCGCGGCCTGGACTCCCATGATGATGATGATAATGAACGATAATGAATGCTCGTAGCTTGCAGACGTTTTGGGATGCAGTTTTCGTCGTGATGACAGTGCGGCAGAAGTGTGAACCACAGCTTATTTGCTTTCCACTCTGGAGATTGGAGAGGAAAGGGGAGGATGAATTTGAGAAAAGGGATTTTCCTGGATCACGGTTGAATCGGCCCGGATCGAGCGCAATTCGCGACGACGACATCACTTCGAAATGGGAGTTTGTCCTCCGGCACTGCACCAGTCGTAGCTATCCGGAAATGTGCATAGGACCAAACCCCTTGCGTGTGTGTTCTGAAGAATCATCATCACCATCACCACCACCACACACGCAAATCTCTGCAGCCCGATCATCCCTGTCGGCGAGATTTTCCTTCCTTTCAAAATCTGGCGATAGAAGTGGAGGAGAAACATCCCTGGCGAGAGAGGGCGGTAATAGCAGTGGCCAAGGCCGAGAGGGAGGGGAAGGGGAAGGAAAGGGCAGGGGATGGGTTTCGTGGGAGATCTCCACAGTTCACATCGCCACCGGAGCTGCGTCCGACGACTTGGGAGAGGCGCCCCGATCTCCCCCCCTCCCTTTCTCTCTCTCTCTTTCTCTCCCCCTCCCCCCATATCGAGACAGCAGTTCACCTACAAGAGCGAGAAAAAACCGGGGGCCGGTGTCGCTGCTTTCTTTTTCTCCACTGGGGTTTTCCAGAGGGGGAGAATCGGAGGAGGAGAGGGCTGACTGATGATGATGATGAGCCGAGTGAGTGACGGATGGACTCGCTTATTGCTTTTTGCTTTTTGCTTTTACTTTGTGCTTTTGCATGGCCGTTCACATCCTCGAGGGAAAGAGAGAGAGAGAATAGGAACCCTTTTTTGATTCACGTACACCATCGAGTCGAGTCACGGGAGCAAATATACGTGTATGATAAATCGTGGGGAGAGTGAATTCCGCATGTCCCGCGGAGAAAAGGCCGAGAAAGAAAGAAGGCGAGGCCTCAAGGGGAAGTTTCTTTTGAAATCAATTTCTTCGAAATTTTAGATGGAAAGAACAATACTACATGGTCTATTTCCGGAAGGCGACGTGCACGCCCTGCGCCGGCGCGAGGACGATGTCGCTCTGGAAGCCGGGGTGGTCGGCGTTCTTGGGCTCGACCCGGGAGTACGTCTGGAGGATGCGGACGATGGTGTAGCCCATCTCCGTGAGCGCGAATTGTTGACCCAGGCACAATCTGAAGGGAAAAAGGACTTCTATCAGCATGATGATCTGGAATGCTAGAGTTTTGTGGTGGTGGTGGAAAGAGAGACTTACCGTGGTCCGCCGTTGAAGGGCACGTATGTCCAGATCTTGGGGGACCAGTTTTCGAATCGCTCGGGTTCGAATTGGGTCGGGTCCGGGAACCCGGAGGCTGTGCTGGGGTAGATGTCGGGTCTTCTTTGCATGATGAGCTAGAGATCGGGGCGGTCAGTTTTCTCTCAGGTTCACATTTGAGGGCCATCGCGGGAGGAGGCCTTACTGTGCTGTATCCGATGGGAGTTCCCTCTGTGATGCCAACTTTCTCGCTTCCTGTGAGGAAAATTCCCGTCAGCTTTTCTGATTCTGAAGGTAGCTCGTCGAGCAGGACTACATACCGTCAGGACCACCTCCGCGCGGCAGGGTGGTGTCCTTGAGGGCAACGCGCACATTGTAAGGGACCGCCGGGTACAGACGCATGATCTCGTTGAGCGTGTGCTGGAGATATCTCATCGATTTGAGGTCGTCATACGTCGGCTCACGCTCCAGACCGACGTGTTTGATGATCTCGGCGCGGAGTTTCTCCACCACATGCGGGTGTGTGGAAAGCTCGTAGAACAGCCAGGACATGGTGATGGCGGTCGTGTCTCTTCCGGCGAGGAGCACCGCAACCAGCTGGTCGCGCAGGACCTGGCGGTCTCGGGTGTAGCCGGCCAGGGCGTGGAGGAAGGTGTAGCCTTCGTCCGACTTGCCTTTCTCCTCGAGCTCCTTCTCGGAGAGCGCGAGGGCGCGGTCGATGTAGGTACCGACGAATTCGTTGAGCACGGCCAGGGCCTCGTGGAACTTCTTCTTGGGCACCAGGACCGCCATGGGTCCCGCTCGGGCGATGCTCCCTTGGATGTTCTGCACGGTCGAGAAGGCGGAGGCGAATGCGGTTTGGCCATGAGTCAGGCTGTCCACGCTGTGGCCGAGCAAAAAGTCGGTGATGGCATCGAGGGTGTATCGGTAGAGGAGATCGTCGAATCGCACGGTCGCGCCATCGTGGTCGCCGCCGAGAAGCGGGAGCAATTTCTGAACGTGGTGTTCGAAAGTTTGGAGGTCGGAAACACGGTCTTTGATGAATTGGGGCCGGAGAAGCGTGCGCGAGTTGTGCCACATGTCTCCATCGGTGGTGAAAATGCCTTTGGAGAATCTCGTCAGCAAATTTGGATGTTCTTCACATATTTCCCAGATGCGAACAGCACATACTCAGACCCAAAAAGTCCTTCCATTCCTTCCGGAATTGCGGTCCCTTGCCATAATCGGCGAATTGGGTCGCGAGGATGGCCTTGACGTTATCTTCGTCCGCGGTGAGGATGAGTCGCTGGCCGGCCATGACGGTCTCAACGGTCCACGGGCGGGTCTTGTTGCCATGGTTGTTGAAGAACTCCCACCACAGCTCGTGGTTGCGGTGCTTGGAGAAATACCATAGGGTCCTGATCAGGTTGCCGAGATTGAACGGCGTCGGAGATCGCAACACGGGCGCACGCAGGCCCTGGGCATCGATCCGGGCCTCGGTGGCGACGTGGTGGATGATCGAGTTGACATACCAGAATGTGATGAGGGCGATGGCGGCGTAGGAGACGATGAGCTGGATGTGTCGTCCCTGCCAGGCGAGGGTTGTGACGAGGCCCCAGACGAGGGTTGGGGAGGCAAGACGGTCTCGCAGCAGAGGATACAGCATTGTTTGCGGTGTTGGGAGGGAATTTGATATGTGTGATTGGGGACAATGATCAGAAGGAAGACGATGGTCCCATCATTATGATATATATAAAGTACATGAGTAGAGGCTCGCTGTCTAGATCTTAGTGCAGGTCATGATGGATGACCCATGTCAAGGCGTGTGGTGGTAAGCCTGTTCCAGAACCATTTTGGCTGGAGTGGTGAACCGAGCATAAAAATCGTGCAGTAATAAATCGCCCTTCACCGGTCACCTGCCACCGCCGCCTACCACCTGCCACCCGGGCGTTGCTATCAATAATAAGTTTTTATGTGACGCAGTTCCAAAGCCTGTCGGTTCAAGATGCACGCATAAAAAACCAACCATACGACATGGCCGACGCGAGAAATGTTGTTTTTTTTTTCATAAAAATGAACGAACCCCGAATCCGCCGCACCCAATTTCCCCACATCATGGCACACAATCACATGTCAGACACCTGATCCCCTCCAGTGGGCGTTTTACAACTGATCGATGGTGATATTAAAGAAGAACCAGGTAACGATCAACCAAAGGTGCGACCAACCAGCCCCGGACAATCCGCAGCGGGCAGCGAGCGAGAACGACTGGGCCAATGAAGGGCACCTGAACACCTGCACGCGTCTCGAATGTGGGGAAAGAGAGGGCTTCTTGGCTTGGCTTTTTGGCTCCTGAAAGACAGCGACGACCGTCGGAATTCGAGTCAGTCAGTCATCAGTCGAAGAGACATCGTCGGGCGGGGAAGTGATGGCTCCGGTCACGATGTGTTCAATCTAAACTCAGTCCAATTGACATGATGACGACGTAATATTATTACCACTGAGGCGCATTTCACGTGTCAAGCAATTGAATATGTCACTGCCTTCCTACCTAGTAGTTGCGCACGGTGGTGGTGGTGGTGGTGATGTGGTATACTAGCTTTAGATCTATCGCTACATATCCCATCATCCTCATCGTCTGGTGGGTCCTTTGGTGATAGAAGAAGAAGAAGAAGAAGAAGAAGCTTTCGACTCGGAGATGAGAGCCACAATCCTCCAGGACTATGGTCGCAAAGCAAACACCCTCCTCCTACTCTGACTCTGACTCTGATCAATGCTTCACGAGAACGAACACGACTACTCCTTTCGACTCACCGTGGGGGAGGGATGGGCGACGACTACGACATTCCGACCCTCGGGCCCATTTCTCGAGAGAGAAACTCGACACAATTTACCATCACGGCCCATGCTCGCATAGGTCATCATCATCATCATCATGAACGAGGGAGGGTTATTCTCACGCAACTTTCTTCGGTGCTTTCCGTCTTTTGCTCGTTAGCTATCTTTTCATCAATAACAATTAAACATTTGTCGATCGTGCTCACATCAATCTCCCAAGTTTGACCACCTTTTCCATCATTCACTTCTTCGAGGCCTCTCGTGGCGCTGCTGTTTGTTCTCGATGCCGTCGTGCGCGCTTGAACAGCTTCTCTCTGGGAAGCCTAACCTCGTAGGTCACGTCAGCGTGTGCATCGTTCGCGTAATCGGTGGGAGACTGGTTCAAAAAGCACAAGGGTTTTCTTGAATGTGCGCAGCAGCGTAGATCGCAGGCCCCAGCTGGATGTGACGTGCACGATCGTTCACAGGTGAATGTTCCAATCCAAACACTGAACTGTGCTTTCATCCCAGCAATTTGAGATGTGATTTAGCAGCCGGCTTCTTCTCAATCCCAGCACCGGTCTTCGCCCTCAAAGGATCATGCGAAGCGGCAGATGTGCTCTCATTCTGAGCCTTGCCCTTTCCTTTGTTATTGTGGTTGTTGTGGTTGTTGTTCTTATGGTTGTACTTGTTGTTCTTATTCTTATCCTTGATCGGCACCGCCACGAGGTTGGTCTTGCTCCGTTGGATCGTGACCGGGTGACTCCCGATGTATTTCCCGACCATTTCCCGCGCCGCCTTGAAGCCCTGTTCGCCGTCGGTGAACGACACGAAGCCGTATCCTTTGGATTTGGTCGTCCGCTTCTCGCGGACCACGCGCGCCTTGGAGACGCCGTACGGCGCAAATGCCTTCGCCAACGAGTCGTCCGTGACCTCGCCGGCCAGGTTGCCGACCATAATGCGGAATTGTGTCGGGTCCCATTCCAGCAGCGTTTTGTCCTCCCAGGTCTCGCCGCCGCCTTTCCGGCGCACGGTGAAGTTGTTCTTTTTCTCCTCGCTCGCAGCGGCATCAGCGGGTTCCGGCACAGGTACGGCCGCGACGGCGCCTGCGGGGCGATGACCGAGAGGCGCGAAGTTGGCATTCTCCGGGCGATCGTTGCGACCCTTCTTGGCCTTTTCTGGCTGTTCGAGTTGAGGGGCGTATGCGGCGCTCCATGCCGCGGCTTGCTGTTCACCGTCTGGGTCGAAGCTGGCGTTCTGTTCGCTGTAGGTGGCTATGGGAGGTGCGAAGGGATTGCGGATCTGTGGTGCTGACGAGTCGTATTGGGATTGACCGTACTGGTTGTTGTAGTTTTGCTGGTAGCCATAGTTTGCGCCCTGTCCATTTGGCGCGCCATACCCACTCGCACCGTTCGGATGCTGATATGACCGATCCATGGTGCTGTATTGAGGGTCTTCGTCGAGGTGTGTCTGGAGAAAAAGTGGTGATCTGCAGTTGTGGATGATTCTCGAATGAAAAAAGTACTGGCGCGCTGCGAGCTGGTGTTGCCCTCGTGATACATCCGGGCAAGTATCCCAGGATGATGATGACTAATAATGACGCCTCTAACGTACCCTATAGGCTTGTGGGCTACTATAGGCCTGTGGGCCACTCTTCGACACCAGCTGTATTGAATACTCAATATTTCTACTAATAATTGAAATGAAGCTATATGATTAGGAATTCTATGGGACAGGATGTCTATACTACAGTAGGACACGTCTTACACGTATGTCCTTCCAAATTGCAAGTGCTACACCGTGGTTTACGACGTGTCTGCTGGCTAGAGCCTACTTCAGCTTGGCCTTATTCTTCCGATAACAACGTGTTTACAGCCTTTGCAATAAGAAGAGCCTCGAATCCTTCTTTGTCAACACTTCCTTGAACCTTATAACGCGTTCTTGGACGTTGTTTACGCGCGCTCAGCGTCTGTACAGTCTGGCGGAGGTCGGACACTTCAGCTTGCAGAAGGGCCAGCTGAGCAGCTGCTTTATGATAGCCCTTAGCATTCTGTCGCAAAGCAGCAACTATTTCTGACGGTGAAGTGCTTGAACGCTGCAGCTTGTTCTCAATATATGCTGTCTGAGAATCAACCTCTCGAGGGTTTGACGGCGTAACTGTAGTCCATTGTACTAGTGTTTGTAATGGAGGTGTTACTGTTCTTAATGTCAGCTTCTCTAGTACTGCTTCAGGATTGAATGGCACAAGGCCAGCACCGCGGAAGCCAGCTTGTATATTTGAAGCTGTAAATGCAGCAGCTATCGCGTGTGGGATCTCGGCAAGGAAGTCGTCCTTTGTTATGATATAATAAGACGCTCGGAAGAGCCGTTCAAGCCTTGCTGTATATGCTGTCTTCAAAGGACCGAAACAGCTAACATCGAGAGGCTGTAGACGATACGAAGAATGAGGTGGTAAGCAGAGAGTGACAATGTTATGATCTTTGCAGTATTGATCGAATTCAGGCGTTAAATGGCTACCATGTCCATCAAGGACAAGAAGCCTTTTAACACCCTTTGTCGCTTGCTGCGTATGTCCATGGAAGTGCTCTATCCAACGCAGACCAAGAGCATTGCTTGTCCAGCCATTCTCGCTGCAGGCTAGAGTCCAGCGTGGTGGTAGTCCTTCAAAATAAGTCTTATTTAGCGTTACGCCTTTGAAGATCACGAATGGAGGGACCTGCCAGCCTCGAGCGTTGACGCAGGCAATAATAGTTACCCATTCAGAAGAATCCGATCCAATCAATGTTGGTCTTCCTTTCCGATCAGCTGTAGTTACAACATGGTGGTTGCCAGCTTGCCCAAGGCGGAATCCAGTCTCATCAAAGTTGTAGATATCGTCTTCAAGGATACCATGGAAATTGATCATGTTCTTCACCAATTCAAACCATTGAATATACGCGTCTTTCTGCTCGTTACGTGCACGCTGCCAATCCAGCCTTCGCGACAACTTTGTCTTAAGCCGTGGTGTCCTTTTAATAAAGTTATGTCGCCATAATTTACCAACAGGTTCAAGGCCCTTCTGCGTTGCAAGGATGTTCGCAATTTCCTCAACATGAGCAAGCGTTGGTGGCCATCCACGCGAGTCCATATCCAATATCCTTTCAATTATAACCTCCTCTTCAGCGACAGTGAATTTCCTTGAATTGACACCTTGCTGTTGTCTGGAAGGTCTGCTGTCAAGGCGGCGTTGGAGGGTGGTCCTTGAGACGTTATACGCGCGCGCAGTTGCTCGGATCGACTTGAATTGACCGGATCTGAATGCAGCGATAGCAGGAGCGTAGGAATCACGCGTCAATCGCGTATCCATTGTATGACGTGGATAATTATCGCGTGTTGAAGGAAAGAATACGTAGTGAGAATAGGAAGTGGCCCACAAGCCTATAGTGGCCCACAAGCCTATAGTGGCCCACAAGCCTATAGGGTACGTTAGATGGCGATCCGCTTCCGACTTCCCTCTAGGGTTGTCGATGTCTCATTACCCCAAGTCGACATCCATCAGTTTGATCTCATTACAATAACAATGGATTGTAAAGGAACTGTACATATTGACATCGTAAAATATAGCCTTGCAAACTTCTCATCCATGCTATCGTGTCGTCAATCCCCCAAGATTCTTGAAAGTTATCTATTGTGTCCATCAATGATTTCGCACAGTGTCTCGTCAGATCTGTCAGCATGATAACCTGGATGTTTCCGTGAGGCTCCGTTTCACTTCGCAGTTAATCCTACGTCACTACTTCGACTTGTGCCTAACGAGTGATAAATAAATTGCGCTCAAATGAATCCCCAATACTATAAAGTTTTGACTCTGGACATACATAAATCACAAGATCACTGCATCTGTACCTAAGTTAATCAATAGATAGTCCCCTCACCTAAACAGAGCTATCCCGCCTAAGCGACATAGTCACCACAATGTCCGAAGTTCCAGCCCCAGCAGCGGCGACGACAACAGCAACCGCCTCCTTCCCGCCCAGCGAACTCCACGACATCCTATCCCAAGTAACCGCACTCCTCAAGCAACGCCAAGAGACCGTATCCGTCGCCGAGACCGCCGCCGGCGGGCTCCTGAGCGCCAGCATCCTCTCGCAGCCCGGCGCATCGGAGATTTACAGAGGCGGGCTGACGCTCTACACGCTGCCCTCACGGGTCGCCTACGCGGGGTGGACGGCGGAGGACACCGCGAACTACCGGGGCCCTTCGACGGCCATCGTCGCGGGCCTGGCGAGGCATGTGCGGGGGGACCTGGGGAGTACGTATACGCTGGCCGAGAGCGGGACGGCGGGGCCGACGGGGGGAAACACGCCGAACCGGAGACCCGGGTATGTGGCGTTGGCGGTGGATTGTGAGAGAGGCACGTTTGTGAGGGAGGTGGAGACCGGGTTGGGCCCGGATCGGACAGGGAACATGGTGAGGTTTGCGGCGGAGGGGTTGGTTTTGTTGAGGGATGTGATTTCGGGGGAGGCGAAGTTGTGAAAGGAGTTCATGATATGCTAGTGTTATAAAGTACAGTATTGGCAACTGCCTCGTGTGAGACCAATTTTGAGAAAACCCGCAATTCGTAAGGGATGACCTTGCTGCGCCATTCGCCGACCCGGATGCCGCTGTCAAAAAAGACTTCAACAAGAATCGAGATGATCAAGCTTGTGCCACCTCCATCAATTCACAGACCGCATGAAACACGGCCCGCGCCCGCTCATCCTTCTGCAAGGCCGTGTTGGGACCGTCCGTCGAGCCACCGTTACGACGACCAAGACGATCCGAGTGCCAACGAACCTTTTCCTTTTTCAAAACGTCAATCAATTCGCGGATCTGCTGATCGCTAGCCTTGGCCTTGTCAAACGACGTCGTCAGCTTGCGAGAGGGGGAAGTCTCCGAGTACACTGGTGACAAGCCGACGGCGCCCAGGAAGAATGCTTGCACGTTGGCCTGGAGGACGTTCTCCTCGGACCACGTAGAGACTGCGGCAGAAATGTTCGGGGCGTATAGGCTGTCTCGCTTAGACAGAGACCGTGCATTCAGACCTCGACCTGGAAACGGCACGTTGGGATCAGTCGGACCAAGTGCTGCCCATTTCTCGGTGTAGGTTTTGTACAGGGACTTGGCTTCATCAGGTCGAAGCCACGTTGCAGGAGGCTGCGGTTTTGGTGGGCAGAACGATTGGAAAGCCGAGAAGTGCTCGGACGCCTTCGCACGGGGCGAGGTCTTCGCTGTGCGCTCATCAGACCGATGCATACGTGGCAAGCCGAATAGCAGGTCAATGTAGCCATCTTCGAATCCGAAGAACGGCTTGTTGCCAAAGGGAGTGTGGAAGTGGGGGTCATTCGCATTTGGTCCTTCGCGAGCGCGTGTCTGCAAGAGAGGGTCATCAAAGCCATGGAGGCCACGTCCGAGGCCGTGTCCAAAGAATGATGCGAAAGTATAGTGCAGCGCCTCAGCACCGATGAAGCCGGACTCCCTGCCGCTAGAGTATCTTTGTGGTTTAGGTCGATCGTCACGACTTTGATGCGTGGGCTGATCCGGCTGTCGTGTAGTCTTTCTCCGGCGCGAGTCGTTTGTCGGTGAAGACTTGTCTCTGCTTGAGTTTCGCGAGGCATCCGACTTGTTTTGATCTCGACGCGAGCTGGGATCTTCATGTTCACCGTAACGACCAGAGCTTCGCCGGTCACGGGCTCTCTTCGCAGAGCGGAGATCTTCGTGAGCTGCATCTAGACGCTTCTCGTGTTTCTCCATTTCCTTGAGAACTTTATACACATCCTCCGACCGAATGCGGGATCGACCAGACAGCTGCGCAACTCGACGTTGGCAAGTCTCAATAGCGCGTTTCTCATTCCGAATAGTACTCCTCAGAGCCTCAATTTGACTTGACAAGTCACTCGCTATATCTGCGGTAGAGGCACCACGTGTGCGCGATTTAGAATCTTCAGGAGCTCGCTTCGCTTCCCTATCATTCTCCCATCCTCGTGGAGCTCGTGTTGTTTCCTGTCCTGTGGCACGGTCTGGCCCCGAGCGTTGATCAGACCTGTGTCGACCATCTCGAGAACGTCGACGACGGTGATCCGAGCCGACGCAATTATCGCTTGAGCTGCTTCTCCGATCATTGCTACTCGATCGATGTTGAGGCCGTGAGCGTCGGGGACGATCTGGTGATTTCGTGGGGAACGTGCCTTCGTCTTCACTTTCGAAATGCACTGCTGATCGTCTTGGCGGATCAGAGTTGCGTTTGGCGGCTCGCTCGCCATGGGCGGCAGCGATGCCTTCAAGAATCTCGAAGGCAGAACCCATTAGGCCTGTCGTGAAGGGTCGTGGAGTCTGGTGGTCCTGCAGAAAAGAGTCGCGGCAAGCACCGCTTGTGGCGGTCTTCTTGGTTGCATAGAAGAATCCATTCGGACCGTCATAATTGGTGGAATCAACCGTAAAGTCCGCATCATCCGTCGTCCATCTGTCTTTTGATCTGTAAAGGGGAGGTCGTGTTGAAGAAACACCAGGCGACAGGCCACTACTGCGCTGCTCACCACGCGGTGCAGCGAAGAAAGCGTCCATGGTCTGAAGGGAAGTACGTGTAGATTGGACAAGAAATGACGAGATCAAGAAATGGAAGGTGATTATAAGCTGGAGGACGCAATGAAAGAAGGATGAGTCAGTCGGTCGACGCCTTCACACATCAGAATGATAGCACAAAGGCGAACCGAGATCAGCATACTTGCCCGGGAGGTTTGTTGGAGGAGGGTTGTTTGCCAGTGACGATGCAAAGGACAAAGGATGGTGATGGAATGTGAGAGGGAGTTATTGATGTATCGCCCAGCGACTTTTGGCAAGGTTGAGTCCAGAGCTATACCTAAGTATTCCAAGGTTGTTCACTGTGAGGTTGAGCTGGGTCGTGACTGACCTCCCAAATACTTACCGAAGCGGGTGGGTTCCTGCCTAGATATCTACGGTGAGCCCATAATAACCTTGGAATGCATGCAATGTACCCTTCCTTGTACCAGACGGAAAACACAGCAGCCCTGGAGTGTTGTGCTCTGTCCAGCACACACATTGCTCTGCTGCCCGACCGAGACGGGGAAGAAAAGCACGATTGGTCCCGATGATCAGGCAAGAGGTTTCCGTGCGCGTTTCACATGAAGAAGCCAGGCCGCCCGCCTCGTCATCAAGACCAATTATCGTCCAGATCACGAAGGATAATGGGATGGATGCCGAACGCACGGCAAGGGGCACGTGAAATGGTACGTTACCACATACTTGAACCCCACCTAGCAGCTCTCAATGAAAACAATTGTCCAAATTCCAAGTTGGCATGTGAGTTGCTGAAATGTACCGTGAATGTAGGTGTACCGTGAAGACCGTCAAGGATTCCCAAGCTGAACCTCAAGTGGTGGCTCAGGCAGGCTGCCGCTCCAACCTGTAACCGCCAGCGCCAGCGCCACCAGCCCGCCCTCCCGCCCTCTGCCTCGCCCTGCTTTGCACTGCCTTTGCCTGGCTGACTGCCCAGGTGGGCATCTTCCGCCCTCTCAGCTGCCGTGGCCCAGCTTTTGTTGCTGGTGCAGGTGCAGGTGCGTGTGGTTTCGTGAAGACGCAACTGACTGAGCCCATAATCTCACGGGAGTAGATATGTAACAATCGAATGATATATCTCGGTATTCCTCACGACCGACTTCCTCGTTCATTCCAAGGTTACTTTAAATCCCAATACTGTTCTGAGCAGTTCTGCTCAAGACAGCGTGTAGTTCCACTTGTATCCATTGAGTAGTCTAGGCCGTTTTCCATATGCCCCATAGTGCTTGCATCAATGTACACCTGGGCATGTTTGTTCAACAAAGCTAAATGATCGTCATTGCGTCGGAAGCCAAATCATCCCTTCCGGTCTCACGTTCCAAGTCCTCATCATGATGAGTCATACAAGACAGACAAGATAAGTTAGAGCGTAGTTTCTACATACAGGCGTGATCGTATGTGCAAAAGACAGACTGGAAAGTCAAACAACACTTGCGAGTTGTAACCGGCCTCATCCTTCTCAGATCAAGCGGATCGCCAGGTCGGCACTTTCCATACGTTCGCCACCACGCTGCTTTGGTTCCGGCATTCGAAGGACGGAATTTGAAAGCTCATCCGGGCACACAGAAATTGATCACGATAACAATAAATTATAAACAAGCAACCATGCAGATTTCACGGCTTCTCACCTATCCGATCAAATCGCTCCGGGCGGTCGAACTGGAGAGCTCCGAGCTCACACAGCTAGGCTTCCCCTACGACCGGAGATTCATGCTCCTCGAAGTCACCAAAGACACCGACGACGGCAAGGTCAAATATGAGAACATTCACATTGCAATCTACTACAAAGCGGCCTTGTTCCGTCAGCGCCTGAGCCTGCCAGGTCCGGACCCCATCGCCGAGCCTGGCGAGATCACCGTCAGCTTCCATCCACCCGACGACGACGGCGATGGCCACACACCCCGGGAGATTGTGGTGCCGCTGACGCCCGGCAACACAGCCGATCTGGAGGTGATTGAAGTGGTGATGCACCAGAGTGCGACGCGAGCATACCTGATGGGGCAGAAATACACCGACTTCTTCTCGGCCTGTTTCGGGATGCCCGTGGTGCTGGCCTATCTGGGTGAGCATCAGCGGCCGGTGCGCATGTCGCACGACGTCCGAGATCCGACGACGAGCGGTCCCTGGCAAGAGCAGGAGAAGAATTCTTGGCTGGGTTCCTTGTCCAGCATGACCGCGTCGGCGTCAAGCTATATCCTGGGCGGAGGAGCGAAGTCCGAGCCGCGCATCACGTTCGCGGACTGCGCGCCTTATCTCGTCGCGAGCGAACGATCTCTGGAAGATTTGCATCGCCGATTGCCCGAGGGCGAGCTGATGGACATCACAAAGTTCCGGCCGAACATCGTCGTCTCCGGAGCAGACGAGCCGTGGGAGGAGGATTTCTGGACCGAACTGACCGTTGCGGGGACGACGCGGATCGCGTGCGTGCAGAATTGCGGACGCTGCCTGTCCATCAACGTGGACTATGCGACCGGCGCGGGAGGTGTGAGTGCAGCGGGCAAGATGCTCAAATTGATGCAGAAAGACCGTCGAGTAGATCCGGGTATGAAGTACTCGCCTATTTTTGGCCGCTATGCATTCATCGGCTCTGAAGCGCAGGGTCATAGCATCCGCGTTGGCGATGTGGTAAAAGTGTCCAAGCGGACCGAGCAGAGGACTGTATTCGGTATGTCTTCCCCATGGCCCGAGAGGGATATCACCATCGTTAATCTTGTAGATGCGCTAACGTTTGAGGTGCGTAGATTGGGACGGCCTTTGCACTCGTTGATTTCGACGTTTGTACCGTGTACAGGGTTTGGTTGACGACCGCCAAGTGCGATCGCCCCATTTGCTTTTCAATCCCAAGTTGGTGGAAGTATTGCGGATCCGCAAGCTCGGCAGCGTATCTGAGTGTATGCTTCTCAGATGCTTATGATTCGAGATGTCATGCTGAAGAACGCCGTCAGTTTGAACGTATCAGGAACTGGATCTCTGCAACGTACATCCTGATAACTATAATCCACTGAGGGAAACTCTTGGCAAGTCGGCCAAAATTCGTCGCCGCTAGACACTTTCCTGGTTCACGAATATTGAGAAATCCATTGATCTCTGGCGGAATGGGCATGTAGGGATCATATATTCGGGCGAGGAGCTTGTATGTCTCCATGAGATGGCGATATCACGGGATTAATTGTCGTGGTATTGGGACCCAAAATGTCCGAAAACGCCGAGAGAAACCGTGGAGCACTGGCTCAGAAGTCTTGATCCAATTCTCGATCATGATTTCATCAAGGTCGCCTTACGCTCGAGCCGTTACTGCTCACATCGCTGCGCCGCATGTACTGACTAGAGTTGGGTAATTGCGGACCCGCGTGCCAGATGCCCTCTTGGCGAGGGTTTCGCGAAAGGAGAGTGAAAGCCGCTTGCCTGATTGTGGGATTGCGACAGCGCGAAATGGCCATCCACAGCGGATCCGTCACCCATAAGGAGAAAGAGAGATATGGTGTTCCTGAGTTTGGTCCAGAGAGTGTTGGTAGAGGTGGGCAAGAGAAGGAGGCCAGGACCTCCCTCGCGAGATCCACAATGGCCCTGAATTCTGACTCGTAGGCATCGTAGGCCATGGCACCCGCGGATTGATCCACCGAGGCGAGCATTGTACCAACCAGATGATTAGCCTTGAGGACCATTGCTCGCTTGAGATCCACATTTGACATGAATTCGCGCTGACTGGAAAGGAAAGCTGTGAAAGCGGTTTCCCATTGCAGGAACCAGGGAGCATAGCGCACATATTTCTCGGTCATTGTAGAAGCGATATGTTCAGCTGAGCCGGTGGGGTGGAAGCCTTGCATGAAGCGCATCACGCTATTGAGAGCTGTGTGCAGAGTATTATGAGCGTGTTCTAGGCTGAATATGCGGTCGATAGGTGGGAGGGGTGGCGTCTCGGTAGTTGTGTCGATATCAGGTCGTCGTCCCTTGTCTAAGAGCGCGGTGGCCTGCACTTCTAAACGTTCAATCAGTGGCCGCATTTGTTCTATATCATCATCTTCGGCAGGCGCCATCGTCGTTACTGCAGATCGACCAGTAGCCTGGAGGAGACGTCTGCCTTGAAGCGCATGGTTGACAGCACTGTCGCAACGGCCTTGCATAGCCTCAAAACAAGTGAAAAGCACACATGTCGTGAGTGCCAATCTCGAACTTGGTATTCCTAGTTCTCCGTTACCATTCGAGGTGGAGTACTGCTCGTTCTGAGTGAGACAGGTGATGGCCTTGTTACATTGACTCAGCGCAAATTCCATGGCCTTCGCTTTCTGCTTCTCGTCGGCAAACGCGCGCTGCATTATACATTCATGGAGCGCGCCAATGGCGGTGATCGCGTGTCGGATCGCTGGCTCGTGGTATGAAGTCTGAATGACCATTCGTTGCCAGAAAGCCGAATCGAAGAAGCCAGCCATCTGGGGCGCACTGAAGTTGACGAAGAAATTGAGGCAATGTCGCTCGCGCCAACTGCGTCGCCATTGCAGATCTGGTCTGATTAACGACAGACTTGGAAGCCCAAGTGCAGATGCGTCGTCATCCTCGCCCATGGAGCCCTGGTTCAATACCCATTGATCTGACATGGCGCGTGTACAGTCGGGATTGTTGGCATCACAAGGTATGCCCTTCATCCTACAAGAACGTCAGACGCTGCCCGATTCGTTTCAGCTTATTCTTACGTACAAGCACGGTATACATCCTGTCTGCATCTTGGTCCTGGGGATCTCTTCTACGGCGCCATCGTACAGCGACAGCACTCCGTCTGTCCCACTCTCGGAAGATAGATCTGGTGTCAGGCTACCATAATCTGAGCCTGTGCTCACGACAGGATTGAATTTGTTCTCCCAGCCAGAACGACTCTTGACACCTGCATCCATTGACACATCCGTTTCTTCCCGTGAACGCTTTCGGCCGTGATTGAATTGCGCTGCAGGGTTTGGCCAACCCAGATCAAGCTCTGGGTACCATTCGTTCAAGTTTGTCCCTCCGACGGCCTCGATCATCTCTACGTCGTCAGACATGTCGGTGTAATGCGGCATCGCCAACGTGAGATTGATACAGGTAGATGCAAAATTGCCGAGGATTTGTCGCGATCATTCGCGATCGAGTCTTGCGTGAGATCTGGCGTCAGACATACGAAGGACTGCACGTTTGGAGAAATGCCACGCCGGTGATGTCGTCGGTTTGTGGAAATGGTTGGAGGCGGCGCGCCCGCAATGGATGGCAAATGTTCGACAAGCTAATTAGTGAAGTGTGTGTAGATAATTGAAGTGAGACGAAGAATAATCCAGAAACATATATTACAGCACTATCGATGTCGTATTGGTGTGCCTGCGACCACCTTTAGGAAGCTGACGTTTTGAGATCAGCAGCAATATGCACCTGGACAATAATCATAATAATGACAATGCGGACTGTATCTCACTGGAGGACTCCCCAAGCAGTACTAGACAGTGCAAACAGGGAAGCGCACAGACGCGAGGCTGTACCGGCTTTGTAATGATTGACGCTGCGGAACACACTCAGCCGCAACTATAATAACCATAATCATCGGTTTGCCCGTGCTGCCATCCATCTCTGTCCTGTCCAGTTCTGTACGAGAGAGTCATCACCCAGAAACCTTCGGCGGCGGTGGGAGCCCATCAGCACTTGGCAAAGATCGAATGTGACCACCGCGGTTTAAAGTTTGGCGTGGTGTCTGCTCGGTTGCATGCGGTGATACCGAAGTGGCAGGAGGGGTGGTGTACGAGAAGAAAGATCTGATATGCATGGCATACCACTGTATGATCTCCCTATGCATTATTATGCACAGTATGCTTGAGTGATGTCCAGGTGCTCTGTTATGTCCGATAGAGGACCATCAAGTCCAGAATGGATTTGTTGTGTTCACCAAGATCTGTTTTCCCCATCCCTCTTTGTCGCATTCGATCTGCTCTCTTTTCGACATACAGTACAGTTTTACCCGACAGACGAAACAGCCCCATCCACCTTATCCAACGGGCCAGTTACGAGACATGGCGTTGAAAGTTTACTCACGCAGAATGGCGGAGCTCTAGCGACGAGGTTTGGGTTGCGCCATGCAGGTGGGTACGGATCCAACTTAAAATCTTACTCATACAGCATACGCGATGTCAGATTCTTTGAGCAGCATATTATTCTTTCCTACTGCCGCACTTCGTATTCCAGATCATAACCCAGAATAGACCTGACAAACATATGGCGCGGGCGTGCGTGCGGCCGAGGTCGGAAGGAATGGAGCGGAGTGGTCTGTCCTCCGTGTATGCCTCGCGATTCGTCACAGCAGTCATGGACGCTAAATCCTTGGACCGCAACATTGCACTACCTAGTTGTATTGAGGATATTATAGTCATCACCATCATCACGGGAAAAGATCCGCGCTTCGCATGGCGATCCTGTAAGATCGTCATTCCATCTATTGGTAGGTAGCGATGTGCGACCGAAATGGATGTATCGGTAACGGGTGTAGTTGGGAACGTCGGCCAACGTTCTGACCATTCGGGCTGTACTTAGATCTCGAATTCTAATGAACCTTGGAAGTTGCCCTACTTCTCACGAACAAGATGATGCTTGCCAGCTGAATTGCTCGCTGTCGTAGCCAGGCATGTATTCTATATTACGGCAAAGAAGTCGTTCACATCACGCACAGTATAATATGCTACATTAAGTCATCTATGTCAGCTTTACGGACTGTACAGATAGAATTCCTGAGCTCGTCATAAGTCGAAAGGCCAGATTTCTCGCAGATCTGCTTCACTTCGTATCGGCTCTTCTGGGTCGTCATCTTCATTTTCCAAGACTGCTTGTAGCATTCCGCTAAACATCTGCTTTTCGGAGGCTTTGGCTTCCTCCCACTTATCACAGGGAACCCAGCCATCCGTCTCTGCATCTATCAATCTTGCTAGATCAACCCGTAGATTTTGTGCGGCCTCAAAGAAACGGTACTCCCTCAAATGGCTGACTAAGTCGTCAGAGCTCGGTAGTGGATAAGGGCACGGATTGGAAAAGCCAAGCTCGTCCCAAAGGCGAGCGGTCTCTATCAGTTCGTGGCGGAACGCAACAGCACCATCTTTCCATGTTCGGTGACAATAACGAAACGGCCGAAAGAAAGATTCGTCCATGGAACGCGGGAGGTCAAGCCGAGGGACGTGATAGCGAAAGCATGCTTCGAAAGCTTTTGCGCAGAGACGGCTGGCAGGATCGGAATCACCGTCACGTATCTGTGCAAAGTCGGGCACTCGATCCGTGTACCAGAACGCCGGTTCTATACTCGCTGACTGCCAATCGATGATACTTGTGACCTCGGCTGGGTCATTCTCAGACACGAATATGTTTCGTTTGTGGAAGTCCGGGTGAAAGAGTGTCGGACTTGAGGCGAGTTTCACCCGATGGTCGCTCGCGATCTGCCTGAGAACATCGCGGCCGTTCTGAAGAAGCTGGAAATGTGTGCTGGCATCTCCTTGATACCTCAAAAGCTTCTTATCATTCGGTGTTATTATTGGGACCCGAGAGATGCCGGCGTCGATAAGGCCATCAGCGTATGCCTCGAGGTCGCGCCCTGCATGCAGAATGAGCATGTCATAGTAGGATTACAGAGATAGTTTGTACTTACATGGTCCACGGCTCGGGCTCGGTGTCGAGGCATGCTGGTGATGAGGTCGTCCAGCACAATCCTTCCAAAACATGGCTCCGCAATGGGGACCTATGTAGAACTCATCTTCGAGGTGAATGTAAGAACTGGTATCGATACGACTACTCTTCGAATAAAGACTCCCGTAAGCTGGAAATTCGAGCTCCGTCAACTCCTTGCAAAGCTGGGAAATAGCATTGATCAGATTGATCTTGTCCTGAGCACTTATATTCGGCCAGCGTTGGTGTAGTTGAATGCCTTTGGCGTGCTCCATAATGATGTATTCACTACCGACGACGTTCAATGGGTCATCGTTCCAATCAAGCACCGCGGGAATAGGAAGTATCGTTCTCGATCGAACTAAGAAGTGAAATGTGTCAATGGCGTGAGCCATGATCAGCATGAGAGCAGCTTGCACGTACGGTATTTGAGGGTGGCAACTTCGGAGTTGGTGGTGAGCGACGGTGGTCCCGCCACAGAAAATGGCAGCTTGGCCGCAACATTCTTGTCGTTATCGAGCACAAATAAAAACACTCGGTTGAACCCTCCTTCCCTCTTGCTGCATGACTTGATGGAAGAAGCACCAGCGCAAAGTTGTATTACACGGCGGGAGAGCGCGTCAAAATCAAACTGAATCTGACGTGCTTCAAATTCCCGTGCCTCACGAACGAGCCATCGTCCACTTGTATATTCGTAGGGATCGAGATTTGTCGACTGGTGAAATTCGACATTAGCTTGTCTTTGGTCGATGATGACTGTCTGCTTGGATGCCGCATAGTAGCGCGCATATCCTGCTTACGGAACAAGAGCCAGCGCGAGTACGAGGCTTCGCGTAAGAGAATCGTCGAGGCCCGGATTCATGTTGAGATGCAGCCGATATTCTCGCCAAAAGAGGGTTTAGGCGGGCTTTGTATCTTAATGATAACATTGTACCCAATTTCAACCATAGATGTTCAATGGCCAGTGGAAGTGCTGTACGAAGCGCCTTGCGACCAGCGAGTCGCTCGGCATATTCTAAACTGTGAAACTTCTAGAATTTCGCAGAGACAATGTACAGATAGCGGGAGGTCTGATGGGCCATTTTGACATCGTAGACATTAAACGGGCATTGCAGATGGTGATGATGCTTTCGTGTTCGATGATGAATGATGCGTATAGGACGGCACGGAGGTCCGCTCGGAGCGCAAATCTCGGAGGTAGTGCTGTTGGTGCCATTGATCCTTCCCGCTTGCACCTTGTCAACATGCTGCTGATGTGCCTGCAGTGAATAGACGTGTGACTGGCAATGCAGTTATGCTTCTTCGCCATAGCTGCCATGGGTTCACACCAGTTGCTCGGAAGCAACTGTTGCGTCCTCACACGCCTCAATGGCCTCGAGTGCTAGTCGATCGCATCGGACCTCGACTTTACAGCACGCACAGCGATCGAAATCCGGATATCGCAATCCTCGGCGCGGGAATCAGTGGTCTTGCGAGCGCCTACTATCTTCTCCGTGATCATCCAAATGCAAAAATCACCGTCTACGAGGCTTCCGACCGCCTCGGAGGATGGCTTCAGTCACATCGGGCTCCTGTTCGAGATGGATCTGTTCTTTTCGAAGGCGCATTGAGGACTATCCGCCCCGCGGTCAATGGTGCTTTGACCTTGCAACTCGTATGTCACACGACCGGTGCCATACATACACATACGGGGTGCTGATTGTACTTTCTCAGATTGAAGATCTGGATCTTGCCACAGATACAATCTTCACTAAAAGCACTGCGCCTGCTGCGAGGAATCGCTACATATACTACCCTGACCATCTTGTGCGGCTGCCGCACCCTTCATTCGGCATTTTCAACATCCTCTACACGATCGCCACGGAAAAAGCTTTGGCGGGAGTGATTCCAGGAGTTCTAGGAGAACCTTTTAGAGACCCTCGAGATGAGAAGATGTCGGACGAGAGTATTGGCGAGTTCTTCTCACGACGCTTCAACAAGTCTATCGTGGATCGTCTGGCCAGCGCTGTAATTCATGGTATCTATGCTGGTGACATCTGGCAATTGTCTGCAAAGAGCCTGTTTCCACGACTATGGCGGGACGAAGCTGTAGAGAGTAGCATTGTCACCGGGATGGTGAGAGGTCGCGCGGAAGGCATCCCAATGACGGAGCAAGATGCGGACTTCTACATGAACCTGAAGAAAATGCAGTGGGATCCAGCAATGAAACGGGTCATCGACATGACATCCGTGTTCACGTTCAAGGACGGATCGCAAATGCTCGCCGACAGGCTCGCGGAACATCTGATGGGCTCCGGACAGGTGACATTCGCCATGGAATCACCGGTGCATGCAATATCGGCACTGAAAGGACAGGACCTCGTCGAGGTGCGGACAAAATCTGCCGCTGGGCCAAGCCGAACCCACACTCATGTGGTGTCGGCTCTCTCGCCAGCACATCTGAATAAGGTCTGGGCTGGCTCAAACGCACTCGTTCCACACATTCCTACAGTCAACGTCATGACGGTCAATCTTTACTTTCGAACTCCAAATCTTCACCCTGATGGCTTTGGCTACCTTATCCCACAAGCGACACCTTTCGAACAGAATCCTGAGCGCGCATTGGGGGTTGTTTTCGACACCGCCTACGCCCCGGACCCGGCTGAAGCCCAATCCGCACTTAGTCTAGACACGAGCGGTTTCGGAGATAGTCGCTATTCACATCTTTCAAGTACGAGCGACTTCGCCTGGCTGAACGCAGCTGATAAACCGAACGTCCAAGATCTGGTGCAGACCAGAGGAACGAAGCTGACGGTAATGCTTGGTGGCCACTGGTGGGATGGATGGTCGTCGTTCCCAGACGAACAAGAAGGCCTTGCACTCGCGAAGTCTTTGCTTGAGCGCCATCTCGGTATTAAAGAGGAGCCTGAGGCTTGGCGTGTCAACATGCAGAAGGACTGCATCCCTCAATACGTCGTTGGCCATAGCGCAAAGCTCAAGGAGGCCCAAAACAACATCTCGAGGGAGTTTTCTGGGAGATTGAAAGTCACTGGCAATTGGATAGCAGGGGTCGGCGTAAATGACTGTATCCGCAATGCCTACGAGTTGTCGCGTTCGTTCAACAAAGGTGGCACTGGACTTGAGCAGGTCGATGCGCCATTCACCTCACGCATCAGACCGGTACGAGCCGGCGAAAAGCATGGGTCGGAATCATGATCGAGTGTTCTGTATTATAGAATGATCAAAACATTATGTATCTAGAGGACATTGTGTAAGGCATATTGAGTATATATCTTCATCCAGCAGTGTTGTGTCCTTTTGTGATCCAGATATCTCATCGTTTCAGTATACCGATCGCATGTGGACTCCGCGACGATCACGCTACAGTGAAACCCACGCAGTTGGAGGTTTCCAGGAATTCACAACGTACCCATTGTTTGGGGATGTGCGAAGTCATCTATGGGTCGAAGATCGTTCAAGTTGTCATCATTGAGAAGGTCCGTGGCTCTCTAACCAGCAGGACGGATGAAATCCAGGGCTGGGGTAAAAGTACAATAGTCTCGACACAGCCCTGCCCGCCGCACGCTTTATAGTATCGCCTGCGTTCATCATTTCATACTAGCCCTCTCTCTGTGCCCGGGCGGACACAAGGCGCTACCGCCACTCTAGGCTGGGGCCGGGGCGTCGGCCACATGGTAAAGATCAACCTATCCATGGATCCTAATCAAGTGTGCATGAATGTACGTCGCCGTCTGTGTGCGTGCGTGTGTATCACTGAACAATCGTTCCCACATCCTGGATGTATGGTAATCCCGTCATTCGCGATTACGATCAGCTTGACTTCTACAACGGCCAGCAGGCTCACTTCACACCCCAACGACAAATACAATACCGACATCATTACGTTCCGTGTATAATAGCAGTTTATACCACCACTGCCGTGTCACCCTGCCGCGCGGTCAATCGCGACCAAACTCGCCAGTTTCCCTACTTCGACAGAGCTGCACACCTGTTCGACCCTCAAACACGTGCCGCGAATCAAACCCGAGAAGCACCTCCGAGCAGCTATGAACCACTGACTTTCAGAGAGGACTGCATTTTTGTCCTTCTCACACATAAGCGCAAACCGGGTGTGCACATCGACCGCTGCAACGACGCCTGCGAGTCGCACGCTCTTACAAATCCGTGCGCGCCTGGACCCAGGATCGGCTTCTGCCCACTACATACTCTTTCCATGGATTGAAGCTTATCGAGGCTAGAGGATGACACTCCGAGGCAATGCTGGTACGGATGGCAAGCGCCATGGCTCGTCGAGCGCTGATTCGCAGCACTCGGTGGATACGATCAGGGGACCATTCACGTCATTTTTGCCTGGAAGAAGTGCGGTAGCTGTAAAGGTACAGCCGAGGAAACAGTACGTCTGCGCATTTCCTAATTTATTCTGAAGAAATGGAATTAAATGGACACGAAAGAGGTCTAAGATGTTTGACGGCGCGGCGCACATGTGACACTTGAAGCATAAGACCAGGCGATGCAGCTTCGAGACGAGCGGAGTATGCGGTAGAAATACAAAGGAGCGCGGATGTTCAAGGATTGGGACATGTCCGGCACGAATGGTGTCTTGGACGTCCGCCAATGCGCGCAATATCGTTTTATGTCCGATATTGCTCAGAGATTCTGACAGGGTTTTACAGGGTCGATCGGACGGAACCAGAGGTATCGCCAGGCACGATGTATTTTCGATCACCGCCTGCGAGTTCACGACAGGACATTGCGCCTTGGGAGGCGACTGATGCCCCAGACAGCCAACGGAATGATTCCTCCATCGACACACCCACGGCTCTATCTCATACCAGTACTCAATGGCCCGAGAATCTCCGACCCTCGCAAATGCCATCCTCAATTTTCGACAATGATTTTTACAACGATTCGAGCGAAAATCTGGATCAAGTTTCCCCCGGCTTCGCGCCGGATCGCGGCATGACATTCCCTGGCGAGGCTGATCACAGACGACCGTCAGTGGCAAGCAATATGACCATCTCGTCTAATGGATCCATGGGTAGTCGGCGGGACAGAATGCACAAGAAACTTCAAGGTATTTTCGGTGAAGAGTTTCCCGGCGTCGATGATGCGAACAGTAGGCAAGGTTCGGAAACGAGTTCGTTGCAGGGAGGGGGTAGCCTGGCATCATTTCTCCCGAATGTGCTTGCACGAGGTCGAAACAATTCCATGAATGATGCATTGAGACGCAGTAGACCAGGGAGTCCTTCGCTTGTGTCGCGACCCCGAACTCCCGCCCCTGCACCCAGCAGCGAAGTGACGCCTTGGGAATTTCAGGATGCTACGGTGTGTGATCCCCTATGAGCATCCATCATCGCAACTTCAAAGTCAAATGTCGTTACTGACTGTTTGTAGGACGCGCCCGCTCTTCCTGGGACGTCCTTACCTCAGGATGCGAGCAATGGGCGAGCGAAAAGCTCGACTTCCCGATTGCACCTTCCTAGTCACCGTGCTAACCGCAGTGTTGACGAGAAGCATGGCGGGATCGGGTTCCCGCTTCGACCCACGACCAGCAGAGAAAATACGAGCGGTGTTGCACGGCGCGATAATGTCTCCGCCATGAGCTCTGCCATTAACTTACGTTCTCAACGATCAACCAGCCCAGCGCCGAGTGCTCAGAGCACTGTGAGCGCTCAGCAGAACGTACAGCGGTCACCGATTACGACCCAACCCAAAAGATCGCTATTGGATCGCCTCACCCATCGTCACAAGAACGATAAATCTGCGAGCGATGCTCTGCAATCGCCGTCCCTCACATCTCTCAACGCCCCGCCCGTTGGTCGGCGTGAGCATGGTCGATCGTTTTCGAAGCCTAACAAGAGCAAAGTCGACGGTCCTAACGATGCTAGCACGCCGAGAAAGGAAAGCCGGCTGCCTTTCAAAAACAAGCGTCATGAGGCTTTGCCCGAAGGTGCCAAAGGGTCGAAAAATCCCAACGAAGCAGACACGGACGATCAGAATGCGCCATTCTATCTCGACACTGATACCACGAATATGGAAGGCATCGTTGATGATCGGCGGCCTCTGATGACGCCACCACTTGGGGAAATTTACGGAGGTTGGCCTGCTGAACAGGATACGCCAGTCGAAGTTGTCAATGATGAGACTGGAACATGGGATGCTCCAGAAAGTTGGCTCACAAACCGGAACAAGCCCAGTGACGACACAGCACGGCGGCCTACTGAAAACGACGACGACCAGGAGCACGACCAAGAGGAGGACTCTGGCCCCATGTACTTCATGCGGATTTTGCGAGCTGACAGTACATTCGCTGTGATTAACGCCAGTCTCAATACCACCGTTGCAGAGCTGATTTCTATCATGGCCAAGAAAACTTTCTTCCACGATGATCTGGACAAATATCACATAGTCCTACGCAAACAGGACACGAGCCGGCAGCTTGGACCGAAAGAGAAGCCATTGCTTATCCAAAAACAATTGCTGATGATGGCAGGCTATCAGGAGAATGACGATCTCGACGACGTTGGGCGGGAAGACCATGGCTATCTTTGCCGCTTCACTTTCCTCCCATCCAAGATGAGCGGATATTCTAGCCTCGAGCGAGATCCCGATTTTGACCGCAACTACCGCTTCACTCACGTTGACTTGGCTGGCCGAAATCTTATCACCATTCCCATTGCCCTTTACGTGAAGGCTAGCGAAATCAACACGTTGAACTTGTCCCGGAATTTGACTCTCGACATTCCTAAAGACTTCATACAAAGTTGTTCACAGCTTCGCGAGATCAGATATACCAGTAACGAAGCGGAAAAGCTATCACCTAACCTGGCCTTTGCAACACGGCTCCAAAGTCTTGATGTCTCGAACAATCAGTTGGAGGAATTAGATCATGCCGAGCTTTACAAACTCCATAATCTACTAAGCTTGAGGCTCTCCAACAACAAGCTCAGAAGTGTACCCGCTTACTTTGGATCCTTCCGAGCACTTCGAAGTCTGAACCTTTCGTCAAACTCCCTTGACACCTTTCCGGAAACGTTGCGAGATCTAGCGACTTTGAAAGACCTGGACATAAGCTTCAACTCGATCTCCAACCTCGGCAACATAGGCACTCTCGTCAATCTCGAAAGACTCCTAGCTACGAACAACAAGTTGTCAGGTCCACTTGACGAGTCCTTGAGCAATCTCACAAGCCTCCGAGAGATCGACGCCCGTTTCAATGCTATAACCAATATAGATGTTGTCTCGCAACTTCCATGTCTGGAAACGCTTTTGCTAGGACACAACTCAATCTCACAATTCGAGGGGTTCTTTCATTGTCTGGAAGTCCTTTTCCTCAATCACAATCCGGTGACCAAGTTTGATTTGACCGCTCCCGTGCCGTCTTTGTCGATCCTGAACCTCGCATCGGCGAAATTATCACAATTGCCCGATGCGTTGTTTGCGAAGATGGCCGGACTCACGAAGTTGACCATCAACAAGAACCATTTCGTGTCTCTGTCACCGCAATTCGGAGCCCTCTCTAAACTGGAATACTTGAGTGTTTTCAAAAATGAGTTGAGCAGATTGCCGCCGGAGATTGGTAGACTAACCGAGCTGCGTTATCTCGATGTGCACGAGAATAATCTCAGCATTTTGCCGCCAGAGATTTGGCTTGCACGTAAATTGGAGACCTTGAACGTATCCTCCAACGTGCTTGCCGAGTTTCCAAAGCCTGGCGCCAACTTACCTGCTCTGCCAGAAACTGCATCAGTTGCACAAACCCCCAGCGTTGGTTCCGGGCCTGATTTCGAAGAACTGGGTAAACTCGAGGACTTCCAGCTACGGCGCCCCAGCCAAGCCTCTGGCATGATTAGCAATGCGAGCTCGCCAGGCACCGTATCTAGAAAAGGCTCTGTCGTCTCATACAGCTCGGCCAAGCCCGTTGGCATCAATCGCGCTGCGACGGCGAGTACAATCAACACTATGGTACCGGCTTCCCGAAAGGACTCCACCTTGTCCGGCAGGCTTGCAGCTACCTTCGCATCGTCTCTACGTAACCTCTATCTGGCCGAAAACCGCCTGGAAGACGATGTGTTTAATGAGCTGGTACTTCTGCCGGAGCTCCGCATCCTCAATTTGTCCTTCAATCAGCTCTACGACGTACCGCCTCGGACGATCCGTAGATGGACAAACCTCACGCAGCTGTATCTTTCCGGAAATGACCTGACTTCGATTCCTTCCGAAGATCTCGAGGAGACGTCAGTGTTGAGGGTTTTGCATATCAACAACAACAAATTCCAGAATCTACCTGCAGAACTTGGCAACCTACATCGCTTGGCCATTCTCGATGTCGGCAGTAACATGCTCAAATACAATGTCTCAAATTGGCCGTACGATTGGAACTGGAACTACAATCGCCAGCTACGATTTCTGAACTTCTCCGGGAACAAACGACTTGAAATCAAACCTGCTGTTTCGGCGATGGCTGGACGGGACAATCGTGACTTGACGGACTTTTCCTCTTTGTCAAATCTGCGTATTCTCGGTCTTATGGACGTAACTCTCACCATTCCTTCTGTGCCCGACCAAGCTCCTGATCGACGAGTCAGGCTGGCTGGCTCCGTTATCGGAAATTCAATGCCATATGGTATGGCTGACACTCTGGGTCGCAACGAACACCTATCGACCCTTGATATGGTCGTGCCAAGTTTCCGCGGTCGCGAGAATGAGGCTCTGATCGGTCTGTTTGATGGACAAGTTCTCACTTCAGGAGGCAACAGAGTCGCAAAGTTTCTACATGAAAAATTCAAGTACTACTTCAGCGAAGAATTGCAGAAGACAGAGCTAAATCCGTCAGAGACGCCATTGGATGCCCTTCGCCGGACGTATCTCGGCCTGAACAAGGAATTGGCCACGACAGCGACCCAAGCACTGGATGCCCGCAATCAAGCAAACGGGACCATTGTCCATCGCGGAAGCGTTTCAGGTATCGAGCTGACTGACAATGATCTCAATTCGGGAAGTGTGGCGACCGTAATCTACGTGCTAAACACAAAGCTCTATATATCGAACGTTGGTGACGCTCAGGCTCTGCTGATCCAGACCGAAGCAGGACACCGGGAGATCACTCGAAAGCACGACCCTGCCAGTGCAGACGAACGTCAACGTATTCGTGAAGCAGGCGGGTTCGTATCCAGACAGGGAAAGCTGAACGACCAACTGGATGTTTCGCGCGCTTTTGGCTACGCTCATCTTGCTCCATGCGTGATCGCCGCGCCGCATGTGACCATGCACGACATCACCGAGTCTGATGAGATGATTCTGATTGCGTCCAAAGAATTATGGGACTATCTGACTCCGGATTTCGCGGTTGATGTTGCCCGGCAGGAGCGGAACGATGCCATGCGAGCTGCGCAAAGATTACGAGATATCGCAATTGCTTTTGGTGCCCCCGGCAAGATCATGGTGATGGTCATCGGCATAAGTGATCTTCGCAAGCGCGAGAAGGCGCGCTACAGAACTTCTAGCATGAGTATTCTGGGTCCGTCCGTCTCAACTGACGACTATTTCGCCACTGTCCGGAAAGCAAAACGTGGCCGGGATGCCGTTGGCGACTCCAAGTTGGCCCGTCTCAAAGATGAAGTCGATGCGCCGACGGGAGACGTTGTACTCGTCTTCACAGATATCAAGAACAGTACGATCTTGTGGGAGACATACCAAGTTGCCATGCAATCCGCCATCAAGATGCACAACGAGCTTATGCGTCGGCAACTACGAGTCATCGGCGGTTACGAAGTGAAGACGGAAGGTGATGCCTTCATGGTCGCATTCCCAACTGTCACGAGTGCGCTTTTGTGGTGCTTCAAAATCCAGAGCGAGCTTCTGGAAGTAGAGTGGCCTCAAGAAATTCTATCAAGCGTGCACGGTGAGGAGATGATTGATGCTGAAGGCGGCAGGATCTTCCGCGGTCTGAGCGTTCGTATGGGTATCCACTGGGGACGACCTGTCTGCGAAATCGACCCTGTCACGAAACGCATGGACTATTTCGGTCCGATGGTGAATCGTGCAGCAAGAATCGAAAGCGTCGCTGATGGCGGCCAAATTTGTGTCTCGTCAGATTTCCTCACGGAAACCATGAAGACTCTTGAGAGCAACATTGAGTCCGATCGAAATGGATCCACGGGCTCGGAAGAAACTCTGAACGATGATATTGTCAGCCAAAGCATTCGTCGCGATCTGCAAGAGCTGAGCCGTATCGGATTTGAGGTCAAAGATCTCGGCTATCGGACACTTAAGGGCCTGGAAAATCCGGAACATGTCCACCTAATGTATCCGCATTCGTTGGCATCTCGTCTCATTGTGCAACAACAAAGAGCAGAGGCGCAATCGCGTGCCCAGCCTGGACCCGGACACGATGCCATGAAGAGTCCGAACAGTCAGCTGACAATCGACACGAATAACGTATGGGATCTTTGGAACGTTAGTCTGCGCCTGGAAATCCTCTGCAGCACCCTTGAAAATACCGGTGCCCGGACATTGAAAGCCCCAGACACGGCTCTCATCGAGCGCATGAAACATGGCGGCGGCGAGATCACAGATCGGTTTCTCATCAATCTGGTCGAGCACCAGATCAGCAGGATCGAGGTATGTGGATGAAGATGTGTATTCTCGCGTAGTGACCTACGGCTGACGCGATCAACAGACTTGTATCTCTACGCTTACGATGCGTAATATGATGCGACCTTTCAAGAACGGCATGCTAAATCAAGCATGCCCGATGGCGGAAATCTTTTCCGAACTTACGACGCAACTTAATGAACTGAAAACTTTGCAGGCCAAGAACAAAGACACGTCCTAACCGCATGGCCTGCAGTGTGTCTGGCAGCCGTGACGAATATCGCTGCGTCACCCATACTGATGATCGAGACCACTTGATTTAGAATCGAACGCCTCCCGGCGTATTTAGTTTGATGGAGTCGTAAAATTTGGTGACGGTTGATACGATCGGCTCATTGAGCCTGATTGACTAATGTACACACTACTGAGAACTGTTTGAAATATTGTCGCGATGACAAGACGAGCGGCGTTTTTGGCGTATCAGGGGAATTTGGCCCCACAGTTGGCAAGCCTCTGGGCAGTATCCGTAGTGCCATTTCTTCGCGGTATCAACAGCGTTCGTAGAGAAACACATGAAAATCTATTCTGCGCTTTGATCGGGCTATTCAAAGAACGACTTTGTAAGATACTCGTGCTGTAAACTTGCGATATTGGTCGCCCGGGCGTCTACCATAATCTATGAACTAGTGGGGCTCCCTTTCAATGTACAGCCCGCCAGATCTAAGTGGCATGTGAAATTCTCAGGGCCATGACGTCGTGATTGCGGTATGCAATTGTTTGGAGTCATCTTCGATGCCTTTCAAGACGAGTCTCTTCGCACTATCCAACACTCTCTCCCTCCTTCCGGCTCGATTTGGAGCGCATGCAAAGCCGACACTACAATGAAACAGCGATTCTCCTCCCTGGACGTTCGCGTCATCGCTCACGAGCTATCCAGCAGTCTCGTGACCCTGCGCCTGGCGAACATTTACGATCTCTCCTCACGCATCTTCCTCCTCAAATTCGCCAAACCTGACCACCGCGAACAATTCATTATAGACTCAGGTTTTAGATGTCACCTTACGGATTTTGGGCGTGCTACGGCTACGACACCGTCGCCGTTCGTTGCTCGACTCCGCAAGTTTCTCCGCACGAGACGAGTCACGGCTGTTGAACAGATTGGTACCGATCGTGTTCTCGAAATTCGATTCTCAGATGGCGCCTACAGACTGTTCCTAGAGTTCTACGCCGGAGGCAACATAGTTCTGACCGACAACGAGCTTACAATCTTGGCTTTGTTGCGAAGCGTGAATGAGGGAGAAGAGCACGAGCAATATCGACAAGGGCTCAAATACAACTTGTCGTTACGACAGAACTTCGATGGAATTCCAAAATTGACCAAGGATCGTTTACGGGACGGCTTGCAGAAAGCTGCAGAGAAGCAGGCGGTCGAAGCTCAGAAGACGGGCAAGAAGATTAAGAAGAAGCCGGGTGATGCGTTGAGGAAAGCTTTGGCAGTGACTACAACCGAATTTCCGCCTATTTTGATCGACCATGCACTGCATATATCCAAATTCGATCGCTCACTCCAGCCGGAAGATGTTATAGGGAACGAAGAAATTCTGGATCAACTCTTGCAGGCACTCGGCGAGGCACAGAATGTCATCTCGGATATAACGAGCAAGGAGACCACCCGAGGGTACATTTTGGCAAAATGCGCCCCAGGAGTCAAAGAAGGCGACACCTCAGAAGAGAAGGAGAACAAACAAAGCCTTCTGTATGATGACTTTCACCCATTTAAGCCAGCACAACTTGCCGAAGATTCGTCGATCGTTTTCCTCGAACATGAAGGCTTTAATAGCACCGTGGATGATTTCTTCTCGTCTATCGAAGGACAAAGAGTGAACTCTCGGCTCCAGGAACGTGAAGATCAAGCCAAACGGAAGATCGAGAGTGCCCGGAAGGAGCAATCGAAACGTCTTGATGGTCTTCAGCAGGTACAAGAGTTGAACGTGCGGAAAGCGCAGGCAATAGAGGCAAATGTTGAGCGAGTTGATGAGGCGGTCGCAGCAGTCAATGGTCTTATTGCGCAAGGAATGGACTGGGTCGATATCGGCAAATTAATCGAGAATGAACAAAAGCGGCATAACGCAGTGGCCGAGATGATCAAATTACCGCTCAAGCTCCACGAGAATACCATCACGTTACTATTGGCTGAGATCGAGAGTTTCGATGACGACGAGATGGCGAACGAGACAGACAGTGATTCGTCCGACGCTGAAAATGATAGCACTGCCAGGACATCGGGAACAGCTTCGAGACCGGAGGACAAGCGGCTTTCCATCGATATCGATCTGGCTGTTTCAGCATGGTCCAATGCTCGACAGTACTATGATCAAAAACGAACAGCAGCGGTCAAGCAAGAGAAAACTGCACAATCATCTCAGAAAGCATTGAAGAGCACTGAGCAGAAGGTCATGGCGGATCTCAAGAAGGGCTTGAAGCAAGAAAAGGAAGTTCTCCGTCCAGTTCGAAGGCAGTTCTGGTTTGAAAAGTTCATTTATTTCATCTCCTCAGATGGTTATCTCGTGATTGCTGGAAGAGACATACAGCAAAGTGAAATCCTTTACCGCAGATATTTGAAAAAAGGCGATGTTTACGTTCACGCAGATTTGTCCGGTGCGGCTAGTGTCATCATCAAGAACAAAGCTGGAACGCCGGAAGCACCGATCCCCCCTTCGACACTTTCGCAAGCTGGCAGTCTTTCTGTGTGTACCAGCAGCGCATGGGAAAGCAAGGCTATCATGTCCGCGTGGTGGGTCAATGCCGAGCAAGTTTCTAAAACAGCTGCTACAGGCGAATACTTGGCGGCGGGAGACTTCTCTATCCGAGGCCAAAAGAACTTCTTACCACCGGCCCAGCTTCTGCTCGGTTTCGCTGTGATTTTCCGTATCAGTGAAGCGAGCAAGCAGCGCCATGCCAAGCATCGTGTCCAAAGTCCGGATGATGCGCGACAGACACCGGTGTCTGCGAACGCAGAGTCGCTGGTTGTGAAAGACAACGGAGACGCCCGATCTGACGATGATGATGATTTCTCTGATGCTCAGGTGGCTACGACCACGGGGCAAGCAGATACTGAGGATGACGATGACGACGACTTTCCCGACGCCCCCAGAGATGCTAATATCACAGACGACGAATTTCCAGATGCGCGGTCTGCAACTCACGAGGATAACCATGAAGAAGACGACCACAAAGTCTACAAATCGGCCAATCCATTGCAATCTAATTATCAAGAATCAGCAGCCGGAAATCAGAAGGGAGATGGCGCTGAAAAGGAAGACGACGACGATGATGACGATGAAGGGGACGATGAAGTTGATGAGGAGAATGATGAAGAGCCAGCTGAGTCCCAGGGGGGCCTTCCTGATGGCGAGGAGACTGACTCGACCGTTCCTGAACCCGCCTCCAATGTTGAAGCGCCTACGTCTGGAGTAGAGGCTGGATCTGAGGCAACACAGCTATCAAACAAGGAGCGTAAAGCGCAAATCAGAGTCGAGCAGGGTAAACCCGTGGAGCAAGGTGCGAAACCTTCGAAGCAACATTTGAAAGGCAAGAAAGGCAAGGCACGCAAAGCTGCAGCCAAGTACGCAAAGTACGCCCTACAGGATGAAGAGGAGCGCGAAATAGCCATGCGGTTACTTGGCTCGAAGACGGCGAAAGATAAGCAAGAAGCAGGAGTGAAAGCTCAGGTTTCGAAGTCTGAATCGGCCGAGGAGGCTCGAGCACGCCGAAAGGCTCAACATGATAAGACGCAACGCGAAGGCCTCGAAGCGGAGGAGAAACGCCGAAAACAATTCCAGGCGGGAGAAGCTGCAGAAGATGTTGAAGATGAAGATGACGAGGAGTCTCATAACCTGGTTCAACTTGATGAGCTCGTCGGTACGCCCTTACCCGGCGACGAGATTCTCGAAGCGATTCCTGTTTGTGCGCCGTGGACGGCATTGAGTAAGTACAAGTACAAAGCCAAGATGCAGCCCGGTCAGCAGAAGAAGGGCAAGGCAACTCGAGAAATCGTCGGGAAATGGACCAAGGATGGCAGTGATCCCAAGAAAGTCGACCAGCAAAGCGATGATATTGAGCGGATCTGGCCTCGCGAGATAGAGCTTCTGAAGACTTGGAAGGAGGCCGAGATTGTCGGCATAATCCCTGTCAAGCAGGTTCGGGTCATGATGAGTGGAGGAGGTACAGAGAAGACTAAAGCTGGTCAGGGTGGAAAGTCAGGTCGAGGCGGGAAGGGCTCCAAGAGGAGATGATTGTGATACATTTAGCATCATCATTAGCAAACCATTTCAAAAAGTTCATTTTAGAGGTCGCCAATACTCAAGTTTTGTCCTCTCTATCTGAAACGTTGTGCTCCGCTTCCCTCACTGTTGCCCTGGTTTGATTGGCGATGACTAAGTGCATTCGGTGTGACCTCGAGCTCTTGAGCTCTCCATTATGCTACTTAACAAGGAGACTACCCACTCCTATTGTCTCAATCTGGCTTCAAATAACAACCCGCTATCATGGCATCCAAATTCTCCAAAAATGAGCTGTACGACGTTGAAGGTCTAGTAGTGGTGGTGACTGGAGGTAAATTACCTCCAAATTGACCTGCATAGACATCGTATGAATAATTGTTTCTAGGCGGCACTGGATTGGGTCTGATCATTGCGAAGACACTGGAAGTAAATGGAGCGAAAGTGTACATTACCGGCCGTCGACAGGACAGACTCGATGCGGCTGCAGCGCAGGCTGTAAGTATGCGTGAATGCGAATCCACGATCGCGGCTGATGTTGTGTAAGGCTCATGGAAACATCATTCCGATACAAGGCAGTGTCAACGACCTTGATGATGTGCAGAGGCTTGTAGACACAATCACTGCAGAGACAGGCTATATTGATCTCTTGGTCAACAACGCAGGCCAGACGACTAGTGACAGCGGTCCGAATCCGCGGGCGATGCCCAGCTCGGAGTCTTCGATCTCGGTATAGCTCGGACGAGAGCAATCTTTGTGCTCCAAAGACATCGCTGATGAGCATTTAGGAAATTCGCGACTACTTCTTCAACCACCGGCCCATGGAAGTGTGGACGAAGGCGTTGGAGACCAATGTCGCGTCCGTCTTCACGACGACCATGGCATTTCTCGAGCTTCTCGACGAGGGCAACAAGCGACGATCGCCAGAAAAGCCCAAGAGCCAAGTCATTGCCATCGGTTCGGTCGCAGGGTTGGCTCGCGGGCTGCCGTCGTTCATCTACGGTGCCAGCAAAGCCGGAGTGACACATTTGATGAAGTCTTTGGGTGGGTTCCTTGTGCCGCACGACATTCGCACAAACGTCGTTGCACCTGGATGTAAGCCACTAAACATTCAGCGAAGGACTCGATGTGCTAGCGATACTGATAGGCAATAGGGTTCCCATCGGAAATGACCACGGCTGTCACTGAGAAGTGGGAGGCGACCGGAGGAGTGATGCCGAAGTCCGTGGTCCCACAGCAGAGGATGGGCTTGGAAGAAGAGTTTGCTGGTACGATACTTTTCATGGCCTCCAAAGCTGGCGGGTATTGTAATGGTAATGTCATGGTGATTGATGGTGGTTACCTCCAAAATCATGCAGGTTCCTACTGAATGTGGCGCAGCCGTTTCAGTAGGAACACAATCATCCCTCGAGGGCAAGCAGTTTCGCAATGAAACATGACCTTAGCGACAGGGATGCGCGAAGAATGTCAGTCAAATTGTTATAATGATGCTGCAGTGCCAGAGAATTGAAAAACCAAACGTCGTGATCTATTTCTGTTAATTGTTCCATCTCCGCAAGCATGGCCAGGTCTGCAAAGGTTCTCACGCAGATGAACGCGGCAGCACTCGCCATAACATACGCATTAGACAGGCTCGAGGTCGATTATGGATTCTACGGAGCATACGTCCTCACCGTCCTGGGCGGTCTTCGAAGATTGACCGAGGACGACCGGATAACCTGTGCTGTCGGGTGCACCAAAGCATACCTGATGGCGCATCTCAAGAATTTCGCACGATTCGATCTCGACCATGAATCTGATGAGCGACCAGATATCGCGACATATGTCTTTGACAAGAGTCAGCTCCGAGTGGATTTCTATCCCAGTGAGTTCACGTTGTTTGACGAATAGAAGATGTCAGGGGCACTGACGCAGACCACTGTAGTATCCATGACCACAATCACAACTCAAAGGGTGTGCCTACAAGGTGGAGGGCCAGAGAAAAGAAGCATCCGAATCCTGTCGCCAGTGTTCTTGTTCAAAGCCCAGCTTGAACAAGTCTTCCATCACCTCCACAATGCAGACCTCGAAGATCTACGATTTCTGCAATCGCTGAATGCGTGGCATCTGCGGACGCAAAAGTCGCACTTCAACCGACTTTATATGGGAAAGATTGTGTTCAAGAAACCAGCGATGCAAGTCTTCTTCAAAGAACTAAACATCGATCCCGAGTCTTGTCGAATGAAATGGGAGGCACGGAAGCAAGGCGCCATTCAAAGAGCCGATGCTATCAACAGAGTGCAGAATGGGCTCTTATATAACACGCACGATAAATGATCGCGCAGGCGCGACATGCAAGCGAACGAATCGTCTGCTCGATCAATCATCCAATAACTTGTAATTCATTACAGTCTGTCATTGAATTTAGTCTTCATTGTGTTGTGTCCGTCATTCCTTATCCTCACTGGGCTTGGAGCCATTGATGGTCTGCCGCTGTGAAGCTTTCAGACCGCCGTTGCTGAAGACTGCGACGTGTGCAGATGGTAGACGAGATCTTGGGTGTCGCGGTCGCTAGCTTACACGTTCTTGAATCTAGAACGACCTTGGAATGGGCCCAGGTGAGTTCGCAACTGTGGCTTTTGTGGAGAAATGCAAGATCGTCCGGGCGTGCATGTCATTCGAGGGTCAATGCCCCAGGATTTTAGCTCCGACTTTTCGCAACAAGATCCCCGACCGAGGCGGTGTTATGTCCCGTATTACGTGCGTGGAGAAGGACAGTTGTCAACCATTGGCGGTGATGGAACATTTCGTTTTGAATGCCAATCACGCTGGCGCTGTCAATCATCACCACACGTTTGCCTTTCACCCTTCAGCTATCGATGCTCTGAAGGAACTCCGCCTCACCGTATCAATCGTTGTCGTAGGTTGGGTCGCAACTACTACTGTGCGAAGCCTATTTGCGTACCTTGCGCCTTTTGCATTGCACACCAACTTTTTCAACAGGACACGCCCGCGCAATTGATCGAGTTGTCTAACCTTCTCACCGGACACGAGCTAAGGAGTGGCAGTATCGGCGAGCCATATTCTTCGGGAAAATGCGACCCTCATTACTGTCGCAGCCATTGGCATACTTGCTCTTGGCCAAGCTTGCCGCAGCTGGCGACCTCATTGAAAACCTATCATTCGGCCACCATGGAATCAATAGAGAAATGCCTGGATGGCGTCCCACTGCGATAAACCACGAGTTACAATACTACAGCGATCGAATTATCCTGACACCACCATATCCCGGCGGAACGAGGGCTTCGCTTTGGTCCGACAACAAATCTTCTACTACCGCTTGGACTGCCGAGTTTCAATTTCGAGTGAATGGCCAAGAGTCGGGAGGAGGCAACTTGCAATTATGGTACACCAAAGAGAAGGAGATCATCGGGACGAACAGCGCCTTCACTGTCGGCCACTTCGATGGCTTGGTCCTAGTGATCGACCAGTATGGAGGGCAAGGGGGCTCAATTAGAGGATTTTTGAATGACGGCGAACACAGTTTCAAGTCGGAACATCAGTTGGAAAGTCTTGCATTTGGTCATTGCACATATCACTACCGCAATCTGGGTCGTCCTAGCAAGTTAAAGGTCAGCAATCACAATGGTCTCACGGTGACAGTCGACGACCAGATCTGCTTCTCGACCCCGGAGATCCAGATGCCATCAGGATACTACTTTGGTGTGACCGCTACCACAACCGACACCCCAGATTCGTTTGAGGTGTTCAAGCTCGAGGTTTCCACCGGCGGCGACACACCACCACCGCAGGAGCACCACCACCAGCAGAACCAGCAGAACCAGCAGGGGAAATACCATGTGGGAGACCACCACACAGGAGGGCATCACTCAGAAGATCACCATGCATCTGAATCCGCTCCCCACCACTTGGACGACTTCCCAGGCTCGCCCGAGGTCCTCCCGGACGTAGACGCCGACACGATCACCAAAGAAGGCGAGCAATTTGCAGATCTGCACAACCGACTTCAGGGCATGACCCACCTCGTCGCCAACATGTACGTCGACCTGCGCGCCCTGCGCGAGGGCCAGAAGGAGCACCACGAGGCGCAAATGGAGCACATGCAGAACATCCAGGGGAGCCGCGAGACCGGTCTCCCGGTGGAGACAGTCAACACCATCAACCGGTTGAGCGAGCGATTGGCCAACATCGAGCGAATGATGGAGACTGCGCAACGCGACCGGGAGAACGCGCGCAACGCCGTAGCCCGACTCCAGTCCGCAGTGGATCAGATGCACGGAGGTATCTCGGAACATCTCCCGGAGAAGATCGGTCATTGTAAGTCATCGCCCTTTTGAAAAGCTCACCTTTCGCTGCTGCAACTTTCGCTGCTGCAACTGTCGCGCACAAAGCTGACCGGTCAATTTCCCAGTGGTGAGGACATCCGCTCCGAAAATGACTCTCTTCCTCTTCATCATCCTCGGCGCCCAGGCCGTCCTCGTGGCTGCTTATGTTGTATACAAGAGGCGGAGGAACGGCATGCCGAAGAAATACTTGTAGATAAGACGGTCGTGCTCCTTGAGGTTTCCAGCGCAAAGTATAGACGAGATCACGAGCTCCGGGTCATGATGTACCATTGGCGCGGAAAAAAAAGAAACATGTTCATCATGAGGCGCTGTAGCAGCATTGTAACGATTTGAGACCAATGGCGACAACTGCTATGTACCTACAGTGCCAGCCACGTGCAGTAGGAAACAACGCGACAATGCCCAATCTCCTGAATTCATGAAACGACGATCACATCACTTCACGACAATTCCGCACGACAGGCGCCTCTCTCTCTCTCCTTCCCTCTCTCAATAATAGACCATTCGCGTCCAGGAGAACCCCATCCCTCCAACCTCGCGCGGAACAACACCGCGCGCGCACACACACAATCGCACGCGCGCGCGTCGCGGTCGCAGGACAACAGATCAACAAACCACGCCCCCGAATGTGTTGGCCGTAATGCAAGGGGCATCTGCACGGCGAAGACCTCCCGCCCCGAAGTGATCCGTGGGTCCGCAGGAGACGGAGTCCCTCCTGGCTCCTGGTATGCAGGAATAGCGTGCGCTGGAGCTGGAGAACTACAGTAGTTAAAAGGCGGAGCTGGCGGAGTCGCGGGTTTCGTGTGCCTTTGTGTTCACTCACGGGTGAGAAAGAATGATAATAATAATGTGCATGGCTGGCTGGCTGGTCGGCCGCCGCCGACGACGACGGGACGGCAGCGCGCGTCGTCGCGCTCGTTGCGATTAGTTTCCACCTCGAGGCCTTTTTGGCCCGCCTACCGACCCGCTGCGTTTCCCGCTCGCCAGCCATGGTGGTTTTTTTGGTTTTCGACGACGGTGCGATCTCGACCAATCCTCTCCATCCCTGTTGATCTCGCCTCCGTGTGATTTGCATGCGGGCGGTGTGCAAGAATCGCGCTCGTCCGTTCGCTCCGGCACGCAGGGTGAAAGGGGGACTAGTGTGATGAACGGGCATGTTTTACGACGGATGGATTGTCGATGAACATGTCACGCGAGCGAGGAAGGAACGGACGACCGACGGGCAGTTGGGAGAAGACCAGAGAATCTCTGGGTGAAGGGGACGTTTTGTTCGATTATGATTCGGTCCCTCGTGATAGACCGATTGATGATGAGTGCCAAACCGTATGGCGGTTGTCTCTCCTGCAAACCAGTAGGCTTTACCACCCATTGTGCTGTGAGTGTGTCATCAAAGACGGTACAAGCCGATCAAACGGACGGGTGCTGCTGTGCGTGGTTGTCATCATCAGGGTCGTCGGGACTTGGGGCAGGTGTTCACGACTGTTGGAAGGGAGGAAGAAGCTTGGCCAATGACCCCGTCTGGGGGGGCTGGGCCGCCAATTGCGAATCGACGCCGTTTACAGCTACCCAAAAGTTACAACGAGAAGAGACCTCATGTACAAAATTGTCGCACACAGCAGGAAAAGTCTTCGTGCGCGCACAATTTGAAATCGGATTGACACAAGCAATGTTTTCGTGCTCGTCCGTTGGCGGCCAGTCGTATGATTTCGTGCGAAACATAATTGTTGAATCTTCTTTCGAGGTGGCCCTCCTTGTGGGAGAAACGTCTTCCCTGGCCCGCTAGGTCAGACTTGGCGCCAGCAAGCAAGCACAATGTGTTCTGAGGCCACGACGCGGCACGGACGACTGTACAGTAGAAAGGCCATTGCACACGAAACGGTGTCGTGGTGACTGGGCAGGGCATTTAGGTCGCAGATGTTGGTGGATGGCAACATTTTGTCCCGTGCGCAACTCTCCTCACAACCTTCAAGTATGAACTGGCTACACATGCTGATCCTGTATGAGCTCTACATTGGACGACTCACATATGCGACGGGTAGTCAGCACGTGTAAGCGCTGCGCAATATCAGTCGTGTTTCGGTCGAGAGATGGTGACCTGGGGCCGAACAAGTGACCGAATGCGCCCCAATCGACCATTGTACGAAGTATCGGGCGCATTCGGGTCTCGGAAAGACGATTCTGGGACTCAAGAGAACAGTGATGGCCATGGGCAACCACGAAACAGGGTCATGTGGTCTCTGCGCGCGCGGCCGTTGATAACTGCTTCAACGGCCGCCAAAATAGTGGCCATCCACACACCGGCGCGTGCTTCGTCGTTGGAGGAGCTTGCGACCTCTAGTGATCTAGTCCAACGCAGAAGTGTGATGGACGGAAGAGAGAAAGAAAGAAAGGAAGTAGACGAAGACCAGACTATTGAATATGTGACCTTGTGATATCCACCTGAATATTGGAATCACCGATCCTCTGTCCACGGTGGATTCGATGCTGGAGTTTCTGTAATGAGTCAGTCGGAGGTGGTGGACAAGAGAGCATTGGAGTAGCGAATGAGAGAACCTTGTGACAGCTTAGCGCGATGCCGCCGAACGCGAACGACACGCGTCGCGAGACACGTCGAACTTCAGTTCAGGGCAATTCGGGAAAAACCAGAGAGATGGGGCATACCCACCCTCATGACCACTTCCGTCCCTCGCCGTACTCAAGTCCTTCTGAGGTTGTGTGCAAGTCAGCTTCTCTTCGGATGTGTCACAGAATAGGAGGTCATTGCGAATATGTATGCTGTATCCCATCAATGTAGTCAATCACCCGATGTTGTATGCAGTGAAGCCCTTGTCGAAGTCAGAAAAGCGTAGGGAACTACTGCAGTCTATGGACGCGCTGCCCGCAGACCACCGCACGAAGTGGAGACCCATTGTCCCCAGCTGGCGCTCTCCTGCGTCCCTCTGCCTCCATATGGGAAGGACCACGTCGAGCCCGCAGAGTGTAGACGACACGGATGAACACCGCATCATACGGCGCCCTGTCTGCCATTGGGAGATGTGGGCGTCGACGCTCAGGCCGCGACGCAGAATCTCTCCGGTAGTCTTCCTCACCACCGCATACAGGGCAGCCCACGATATGTGCCGTGTGCGTACATACATGCTCAAGCACGAGTACCCAACAGCCATCAACTCAAGCCCGACCAATGGGCTATCACTGGACGTTGGCTCTCTTGTCTGATAAGCAAGCATCGGAGTGAACTCGTGTCGGTTAACGAGATTATCTAGCCCGGGGACATTCGTGAATATGATGTGTGACGTGTGGGAGGAGAGGTGGGGCCTCCAAGAGCAGCCTCCTACTTTCGTGAAAGGTTCGGATTACACACATAATCTCGAAATGATCATGCCGTAGGTCACAGGATCGTGACCGGAGTTGGCGAAGATTTGAAGCTGTAATTTCAACTCTGGAACAAGCAAGGCACAACCATCCTGCGTGACGTCGGGCATTGCACAGGACAGGGAGTTGGATGAGACGATGAGATGAAACCGACACCGATTGCGACCGAAAACGCCGATGCTCACCAACGCAGGGTCGACATTAGGCGTGGGCGGAGGAGCTTGTGAGATGCTAAATTGGCGTCGGCGACGTCTATTCCTTCCCACACACTGGCTGATATCGGGATACTGGAGGCTTCCTATCACCACCTCAACCTAATTCTCGTGCGTGAATTACCAGCGAGGAACGTGTTGCCCTGGACACGAGACCAGGCTGCACGATTCATTGGTCCTCACCCCTACTTCATACGATCCAGCGACAGGTCGGAGATGGTGCACCGCAATGGAAATGATCATGTCAATTGGAACCAGGATTTCTCAATAATGATTGAGTCCCACCAAAGCAGAATGACGGGTCAAGCAGACGTGGATAGAGAGAGGGACAGCATTGAAGCGTGTCGCGGCAACATATGCCCGAGATCGTGGGGCCGTCAGGCATGCACAGTACAAGGACGCAGGTGTTCACCTCACCATTGTTCCATCGACACACCATCAATGTCCCTCTTGACGACAATCGAAGTCTGTAACGTATGTACATGGAGTTGCCATCACACGTACCCTCACACACTCACACACACACACACACAATTGAGCAGTCGATACAGTATTGGTAGAGAGCGAGATACAACCTTGGAAGAATATGCAGTGTGATATCCATCAATTGTACGTAGTAGCAAAGTACAGTACATTGAAGCTGGAGTGTAAGGGAAGCATAGACCACAAAGTCACGTTTTTAGCGCAAGGTTAAGATTGGGACATAATCAGCCTAGCGCCAGACAAAAGTATGTGTGTGTGTGCAAGAAAGAGAGAGAGAGAGAGAGAGAGCCCGAGAGAGAATAGAGGGAAGAGAGAGGAAAGACCCATGCGCCCATCCATCCATCCATTCATTCATCCACACCCATCACTCCCGCACCCACAGACTTCCCCATCCCGCCCGTCCGCACACCGTTGAGCGAACAACTCTCGATCGTGCCCACCCCGGCCGCTGGCTTCCCTTGTCTACTTCTTCATCGTTCATCGTCCTCGCGCACTCGCCCATCTTTGCCAGACTCGGACCTCTCCCACCGACATACCATTTCTCGACTTCCTCTCCTCCTCACGCGTCCATTCGTCTCACCCACCAGCCTCCAATCCGTCGCAACGCCCTACCAAACATCCTCGCCGCCTTCCAACGCATATTCCTACTCGCCCGGACATCTCGTCGATTCCCGACAAAGCGACGCGACGACATCGCCATGCCCTGCGCGACCTCGTAGACCACGACCCCGTGTGTGAGTGCAATCGGCGCTTGCAGCTGCCCACAGCAGCGCATTTGTCTGTCGCGCATCATATAACTGCGCTCCCTCGCGTCGCGACCGCTCGACTCGCACGCAAATCGATCTTGAAACCTGCAGCCTGAGAGACATCCTGCAGCACCTCACTCGACCAACGCGCACCCACCCGCGCCATGGCGCCGCAACGTCCACCGCTGTCAATCAGCCTCCCGGAGCCTGTCGACCTTCAATCAGGCTTCTTTGGCCAGCTTCCGAGGACGCCAGAGCAACAGATCGATGAGGCACCATCGCCAATTGGGCCGCCGCCTCCACCGCGCGCGCAGCCCTTCAAGGTTCGCCGCCGACGGACTACGATCCCACGGGAGGAATTGGACACTCTGCTTTCCGATACGGGAATTATCCCGACGATTGAGATGACTGAAGTGCCTGCGCAGTCAACAAGCCCGGCGATGCAGTCTCAGTCGCCTCGGTCAGCTCACCTGTTGTCGCCAATGGACATCAGGAGCCCATTCACTCGTGCTGTGACGCCGCCTAAGACGCCAGCGCCGCGTCATGCTCACCCTCACTTCAGCCAGCTCGAGAGTCCTATCCAGGAGTGGGACCTCATCAATGAAACCACCCGCCCATTCCATCGATCAAGCTCCATCTGCTCCTCCTTCTCCGATTCATCCTTGTCGTCCTGCGGTAGCTCTGCCTTTTCGCTACCTACTACTGGTGCATGTGACAGTCCTCGCAGCGAAACAACGGACCCGTTCCTCGACGATGACGCAAATAAAATTCAGAAAGCCACAGCAGGTCCTGCTACTGAATTAGACATCACTCCCCAGGCTAAACGCCTCAAGGTCCGACGGGTTGCGAACTGGACGACCCAAATGGACCAGCATCTTTGGATGACATTCATGGCCTATCTCTCAGATCCTACGCTTACACCCTTCAAACTGCTGCCTGGGAGCACACCACCAATGGGCGTGTGTGATCAGGTCGCCACCAAAGCAAAGCGCACATGGCGATCACGCAAGACCATGACGCTCATTTCCGAGTCGATCGAAAATGTCTTGGGCTCGACACCTGTACCTTATCGCGAAGGATCACCCGACACCATTCGACCCACTTCGCTGCAGAACACTCAGTCGAAATGGCCCAAAGTCGCGGCAACCCGCAAACGTCTACGGCAACTGTGTCAAAACCGGCCGTCCATTTCTGCACATTATCAACGCATGCTGCGCACCAGAAGTCCGTCTCCGTTCGAGACCTCGAGCCCACCAGTGCAGACGGACGGAATTCGACCTTCAACATTCTCCAGCCATGCAATGATTCAATCCTTGGTCACCTCCACGGCCCCGTCCATGCAGCCTGACGGTCCGTTGGCTCAGCTTGCTCGTGAGCTTCCGCCAGCCATGGGTTCGATCCGCTGTGAGCCGCCTCCAACGATGGGGCCGCTTCTTCGTGATAGTCCTCCTCCGATCTTGCGGGCACCTCGTGTAGCTCGCCCAGATGACTGGTACGCCTGTATCGGACGATCCCAAGCTCATCGCAAGAGTCAGTCTCTCCAGTCAGAGCTCAGGATCAACAGTGATTCTTTGCATGCGGCATCCTCTTCTGACGCGCTAGCGTCTCCATTCAACTTCGACTCAGCACCTTCCCGGTCCCACCTGCTCAGCAGCATGTCTGGTACCAAATCGCTTGGCCGCACCGAGATGAATGGCAGGTCGCTGGCATCTCCACTCGTGTTCAAGCCTGGTGCGCCCACTGAACGTCGCTCACGCAAGCGCCGTTTTAGATCAGATGAAGAGAAGCCGCGCCGACCGGCGCTAGAAGATGTCTTCGGTCCGCCGGATCACACTCCCGTCATGCGGAACCGTGGCTTCACCGTCGGTGCCGCTCGTGCCACGGACAATCTCTCCAGGCTCTTCACCCCCATCGTGGTCGTACCCCCAGTCGACGAGGACATGATCGATGCTCCAAATGTCCCATATGTTGGAAATGGTACACCGCTTGGTTGTCGCTCTGCCCCGCGACGGCTCGCGGAGCCGGTGCCGCGCTTGGGCTCACCGTTCCTCGAGAACCCTTTCCCAGGTCGTCAACGCAACACATTTCCACGCGGCGGCGTCAATCAATCTCAAGATCCCTTCAGAAGCTTCCACGATCGATTACTGGATGCTGCCAGCCAGCCACCGTTCCTTCGACGCATCCACGACCAAAATTTAATGTAAAATGCGGAGCTCGACGCCTGACCCCGCTTCTTTCTCCCGCGCTCCAACGCCCATATTTCCGAACTCGATTTCTGCATTTAGCAACACAACAACGCATCTATGGACGGCACCCAATTTGCATGACCAGGAATTCAACCCGGCAATTTTGTCAACTTTTGATGATGATAACGACCCAACCTATAAACGACCACGACCCGATTACCAGATATGCACACGGCATCGGAGTGGAATTATTTTGCATCTGCATTCAAAACTTCTGACCCTTTTGGCAGCATCGCAATTTCAACCTACCGCCGCTCCCGAATTTTCTTGGGAAGCGTGGCGGTCGCGATGCTCTTATCTCCTCCTCTTCTTCTTTTCCTTTTTTCCAATTCTCTGGTTATTCTTCGAGGCATACTCCGCGACCACATTTGCATTCACCATTTGCTGCAAGTTCGCCATTGGCAGACCGAGCGGATCCAGGCAAGGTCATGAAGACCTGACAACAAGTATTTCAACTGGAGACTTTGACCGCTGCGATGCTCAGCACAGGAGACCCATTTGGCTCTTGCGTGTTGATATCGTAGCCATTTCTGTTTTGTCTCGTTCTATTTCTATTTCTTCCTTTTCCTATCTTAATTTAAACAATTCCAAAATCTCACGGCGAACGTCTACACTCGGTGAATGTCCTGATGCTTCGTGATCTTTGGTGACTGTGTCTATGAGTTGAGCACGACAACATGACATGCAGACGACGTACCGTTTGCGGAAGCGAAGAACGTGGATTGCGCACACGCATGACCTCGTGGTGATGGCGTTGCGCCGTTTCAATAATATCACAGGTCGACGTCATCCACAAACGGCACGTTTCTTTGATGGCCAACGCTCTTTCTTGCCTGTGCCCGCTCTCCGCATCCGAAAAGGATCGTGGCTGGTTTAGAATTTGAGCGGCGCCATTCACGCACGACTTCACCTGTCGGCGGAGGGCAGGATCGCCGATGTATCGCGAAGATGTGCCATAGCCTGCATACACACGAAATCGATTGATGTTCAAAACAACCTTGATACAGTGCATCTGCGATCTACTGTGCTAAATTCGTCATAGTTATGGCCGACAATGCCGCCAATGTCGGCGTTGCTGATGAGCTGCCCAGCAGCCTCCGCGTCATTTCGCTGAACTGCTGGGGCCTCAAATACCTCTCCAAGCATCGCCATGCGCGCCTGGTCGAGATCGGCCGGCGTCTGGCCTCGGCCTCACCCGCCCCTCAAATCGTCGGTCTGCAAGAATGCTGGACGCAAGAAGACTTCCACGCGATCCGCGATCTGACCAAACACATCCTGCCGTACGGGAAATACTACTGGAGCGGCATCTTCGGCGGCGGCCTCGCCATCCTCTCCCGCTGGCCGATCGAGGAGTCGGGCATGTACCGCTACCCGCTCAACGGACGACCCGCCGCCTTCTACCGCGGCGACTGGTTCGTCGGTAAGGGCGTCGCCTCCGCGCGCATCCGCCTCGGGCCCGCACGCCGGGACGTCGTCGAGGTCTTCTGCACGCACCTGCACGCGCCGTACGAGAAGGAGCCGAACGACTCGTACCTCTGCCACCGCACGGCCCAGGCCTGGGAGATCGCCAAGATGATGCGCCACGCGGCCGAGCGCGGCCACCTCGTGCTCGGCCTGGGGGACTTCAACATGCTCCCGCGGAGCCTCGCCCACCAGCTGATCGAGGCGCACAGCCCCGTCCGTGACATCTGGCGGCTCGTGTTCCCGGACTCGGCGCTGGGCAGCGCGGAGAACGAGGCCGAGCGGGCGCGCGGGCGGCCGGTGCCCACGGCGCAGGAATGTCTCGCGGAGCACGGCGCGACGTGCGACAGCGCGTTCAACACCTGGCGGTGGAGCAAGCAGATGCAAAAGGACCTCGACCGGGGCCGAGACTCGTTCGTGGACCCCCACGCGCCCGATCGCACCGCCAAACGTCTCGACTACATCTTCTTCGCGGACAATGCGGCCGACACGGGACACCGGTGGGACGTGGCGAGCGTCGAGGTCGGCATGACCGAGCGCCACGCCGAATTGAAATGTTCGTTGAGCGACCACTTCTCCATCGAAACAACCCTGGTGCGCCGGACCCCGGCCGCCGCGACCCAACCACAGAACGGCCATCCCCAACACACAGAGCGACACGCCGAAACCCCCATGACGCACCTCCTCGACGTGGACACGTACCGCTCGATCCAGGACATGATCGGCCAATACATGCTTCGGGAGCGCAAGCAGCGGAGACTCCGCGAGCGCCACTTCTTCGCGCAGGTCGGGGTTTCGATCGCGTGTCTCATCGGAGTCTGGTGGTCGCCGAACTACGTCGCCTTCATCCTCATGCTGATCAGCACGTTGGGCCTGAGCGCGGGCGTCCTCGACGGCCTGATGGGCTTCCTGTTCGTCAAGGGCGAATTGCGGGCGTTGAAGGAGTTCCAGTGGGACATCGACACGGCGGCGGCACGGGCGGAGGGGAGGGATGCGCGGGGGACGACTGGGAGGGACGACGGCAAGGGTAGTATCTAGACCTGACGATGGCGGCCTTTTACCATCGGTGGAGGCATTGTTTCTTTCACGACTATGGTGGATTTGTCGAAAGACTTCCCGTCTGTGCGCTGCACGGCCTACCGACTGTGCCGGGCTTTCAGATTCTATTGTTTCATCTAATAGAGGCTCGACTACATGAAATGCTTTGACAAGAGACTCCGAAAATGCCAACATCGATGGTATGTGAAAAAGGAAGCAAGCATTGGGTATATCGTTTCATTTGTAAAGTCTCAAGAACTGTGTAAGGTTTTATAAGAATAGGGTATAGCGGAAAAAACAAATCGGCGCGCAGCTCTCGCCGAATCTAGGTCGTCTCCAGCGCCTTGCTGCGCGCAATGATCTCTCCGTCTTCGAGCGCCGCGATCCACAGGCAACGGCTGAGCGCCTCGGGGTGCGGGCGGAAATTGTACTTGGAGCTGGCCTCGATCATCCGCAGCAGGCTCTTGACGATGCTGGCCGCGGTCTGGTAGCGTTCGAAGTTGACCAGGTGCTCCCGGCCGGAAGTGACGGGGTCCAGGCGGGCGGGCTTCTGCGCGTTGAACATCAGGTCGTGCGTGTACAGGCCGATGAACGGGATGCAGCCGGTGTCCATGGTGGCGTTCTCCATCTCCACGCGGAGGTTGTTGAAGTTGCGCACGGGTTGGCAGAGGGCTTCGAGCTGGGACAGGGTCTGCTTCTCCCGGATCGGGACCAGTGCCCAGGTTTGGTGCAGCCTGATCAGGTCCGAGGAGAGCAGGGCGAGGATGATCTGGTAGAGCGAAGCGTAATTGCGGAGGCGATGGCAGTGGCTGGCGATGTGGATGAATTTGGTGATGGCGCGGGCGCGCTCGCTGGGCGCGCTGGTGAGGAGGATTTCGGAAACCACCCACTTCACGACGAGGTTGAACCGGGCGATGACGACGTCGATGCCGTTTGTGGCGCTGTCTTTGAGGTAGGAGACCCAGTTGCGGACGGATGCTGGGTTCTGCTGCCAATTCAGGCTGATGAGATCTTTCCAGTCCACCTCGTCCAATGCGTCCTTCTCGATGATGGTCAACTGTTCGGCGATCACTAGAGATTCAAACGCCAGGACGAAGGGCAGGTGTGTCGTCTGCTGTGGATATAACGGCAGTGTCTGGGTCCGTCGTAAAGCCGGGGCCGGTGGTGGTTGTGGCAAGGGTCTGTTTGGGGGAGGAGAGCGAAGCTTTGGCGCGCTGGCAGCTTCTTTAAGCTGATTGCTCCGCGACTGGTCCGGAGGACGAGAGATCTCTAGCTGCCGTAGATCGGACATTCGTTTTGCAGGTGCACGCTTCTGCAATACCTTCCGCTCATGCACTTTATCCGCCGAAGTCTTTGCAGACGGAATCGTCGTCGACGGAGGCGTCGGTGGTGCGTTCTTCTTGGCTTGGGCGCGGATCTGCTCTTGGTAACGGCGAACACGGTCTTCGGTGGTATCATCGAAATAAAAGCTATGCATTGCGCCCTCGGGCTCAGGTTGGTCGGCGATCTCGGTGGAGATGTCGCTCTGCGAGTCACTTTCGTCGTCTTCATCGTCATCGTCGTCATTGTCATCATCTTCGTCTTGATCTTGTAGCATTCGTCTATTCGCAGTCGCAGCACGAGGATCGCGATTGGCTCCAGTGGGGACGTAGCTGGCGGGTCCCGGGTTTGTATACATACGACTTCCATGCACAGCAATCATGGAAGGTGATGTCGATCCCTCAGCAGAGGGACCGTCACTGATAGCATCGCTGCCTCCCGATGCCATTCTTCGGGCTGACTCGGGGGATTTGGTCAAGCCTAGGTCAAGGGGAGGTGGAATCATCCTTGATACTGACCAATCCGTGCTTGAGCCACCGGCGCTCACAGCCTTGGGCGAGCGAGAGGCATCAGCGCGCACCTGCAGGAATTGACCATTCTTATTCTGTCGGCCTTGTGTGGGAGACACAGCTTCGTCCTCCTCGTCATTGCTGCTACTTAGTGATTCAACATTTGCTAGCTTCGAGCGCTGTGCTTGTGTCGGCGAGGTAACTGAGCCCTGTGAACCTTCGTCTACCTTAGCAGAGAAAGTGCTACGAGAAGGGCTAGGGATTTTGCCTTCCAATTTCAACAGTGCATCTGCAATACCACCATCAGAGTTCTCATCGGGAATATCTCGAAGTCGTAGAGCGTCGACTTCGAATGAAGGTCGCACATGCTTGTCAGCGGCATCCAGATCTAAGAGAGCTACAGAGCTATCCGCAGGTGGTTTTGAAGATGTACCCGCATTTCCGAGAGCTTGGCCTGAAAGGTGAGCTCGAGACTGCTCCCGAGTGAATAGAGCAGATGTGGCCGCCGATCGAGAGTTGGTTGAGAATGAGTTCACAGAGTGCGGTCGATAGGGGCCCAGTTTGAGCGGATCCTCGTTCGATTTGAGATTGCCGCCTGGTCGTCGTCGCAGCTGTTGGTTGATATCCGAAAAGTCCAAAGCCCCCGGGTGGATAAAGGACGATTTTCGGGCGGTGACATCACCAGAGTTGGCTTTGGAACTCAAACGCTGGCCAAAACTACCGCTGCCTGCGCTGAGAGTCCCTGGAACCCCAAGAAAATCATTCAGTTGAGCATAACTAGATGGCCAATTTCCACCGTGATTGCTGGTCAGCGTCGAAGGATACCTCAGTGACATCTTGGGGTCGTCCAAAAACATGGATTGTACGGCATCTTCGGGCATCGAAGCTGAGGCGATGACACTTGACAGTGGGCTGAGTGTAGGATATCCGGCAGGGATTGGATGTGATTCAGGGCTGCCAGTCGCGTCGAATATCAGTATAGAGCGACTGCTGGTGGTCATCCGACTTGGCTTTCGAGTGTGCTGCCCATTCGGAGAGCCTCCTGGGGCCTGCTCCATGTTCTCCGGCCGACCATGACCTAGGCGCGCGAACTCTCCTTCGAGTGAGTCTGCGTCCGACTCATCAATGTGCTCAAACGCTGTGTGATAAGCCGCTTCGACTCTGGCGGCCAACATGTCGAGTCTCGGGGGGCCAGGCGGCGGTAAGGGCGCTGGTGGAGGTATCGGCGGGGGCACCAGGGGCGAAATATTTTGTAGACGAGTCGGCGGTCTTCGATCCATGAGACCGCCGGATGTCGCTGAAGTCAGCAAATCCGAAAATGATTGCGTGGATCGATGAGTGCGTATCGACACTTCCCCGTGGTTGGCTCGACGCGTGCTCAAGGCCCGCCTCATGTCGCCCACAATTCTCTTCATTGAGCTATTCTGAGGCGGCTGCGGCGGTCGGTCCAACGACGGCATCGTTGGAGGGCTCGGCGCACGAGCCTCCGCTGCTTCTATTGTCGGACTTGCAGGCGCTGCCAGGTTGATTGTGGAGGGACATGGCTCTAACAGAATGCCGCGGACGAGTCCACCACTGACTGTAAATGAAGGCATGATCACGCTGTCGATGTGCGTGGACAACGGCGAGCGCTTGTCGCGCAGGGCGTCTGAAAAACTGCCGCTCCGATCATGACGATTCGTGGGTTTGTTGTCTCGATGTGAGGTTGGGAGGCGAACGTTGCGCAGATGTTGCAGGAAGGGGACCGAGCACGACAACACTTCGAGGCTCTGTTCGCTCATCGGAGATGTTGGAATGCTCATTCGCGTAAGGGTCGGCGAAGGAGGATCCCGAAAGTCGCGCGCGTTTGACCTCTTCCCTCGAGGACTTTGATCTATCGTTTTCTTAGTCTGATCGGGGACATGCATTTGAGCAACTTCGAACACAGAGGATCCCCCACGTGTCGCCGGCCGGATGGTCAGCGGAAGACTGAGCACAGAAGGTCCCAGATGATTTGACCTCTGCTCCCCACCAGGCTTGATATTCGCATCTGGAGTGATATCCGTGCTGTTTGGCTGCGGCCAGTACAGCTCACACGTCCGTTGCCAACACTTTTTCAGCTCCCCGATAATATTCATGTCGCTGCCTCCGCGGTCGGGTCGTCGCCGCAAAGCTCGGGTCAACGCGTTGATCTGCTTACAGAAACGCTCTCGGAACGGCATATCGAGTAGGAAGTCATCGGGGAAGTAATTCAGGATCCAATGCCGCAACGCCACAAAAGTCCTGACACGAACGATACGACCAGCGTCGGATCCATTTGCAAATGCCCACTGCATCCTCGCCAGAAGATATTCCAGAACATCGTGAGGTGACATGAAACAACGGAACGTTAGGAAGAAATCACTGAGGAGTTCGTAATTCAGGAATTGCGGAGAGGTGATCTGTGAAATGAGGCGCGCCGGTGTTGCTGCCAGGATGCGCCCAGTCAACGGGTGATGATGGACGACTGCTGGATCATTCGGGTTATACTCCAATCGATCGAATATCGATGGTGTGATCTCCTCCGCTATGGGCAGCTGCTCGATGTCGATTGGGAGAGCGGAGATTGATCGCATGTGCGTGATCATCGGATGTTGCAGATCCGACCTTGGTGAAGAATGCTGAACAAAGCTTTGGTTCTCTGGACTCGTCTCTGGCAGCTCTGGCTCGTTCTCGACCGGCAAATTTGACAGTCGGGGATCTTCGGATGCTATGGTATGTAAGGAGTTCCGTATATATGCTCCGCCTCTGTCGCTGAAGCGTGGACTGCCAAGCCGGTAATGAGGTATCTGCAAATCCAACAGGCCGGACTGGATGTCAGCGCTGCTCTTGGAGCGGCGATACATTTGCCGCGCATTAAACATTGTTTGAAAGTCGCCCGCGTCAAATGTCGGTTGGCGCGATCGGTCGTGCACGTCGGAGAATGAATGCGAACGGGTCCTGGTCAGACCTTGCATTGCGGACTCCATTGAATCCAGGCCATGGGCCGTCGCACTCCTTCCATGTTGTATTCCTCCAGCATAGCGATCGCCTCCGCCCAAGCCCAGCCTCATACCGTCGGTTTCGGACGTCGCTGGTGGAGTCTCTACAAGTTGAGAAATGTGTGGGAGAGCCAGACGACTCGGTTTGAGGTAGAGCTTGCCTCCCTTGCCGACACTGGTCACCGTCATCCTCGTCGCTATATTCAGCTCCTCTTCCGTTGTCCTCCCACTGCTTCTACCGCCCGCGCGGCTTGGAGCCCTGGCAGCATCGGTGCTACCACTCCCAACTCGGTTGACGCCATGGCGAGACGGCGGTGATATTGATTCATCATCGAGGGTCTGCGTATCGCTCACTTTTCGTTCCTGACGGCGGTCACGAGGAATGCGAAAGGGTGGTTTGGCAGGTTGCGCAGCCGCTTTCCGGCGTTGACGAGCTTGCGCTTGTCGGTCCATCATGGGCCATTGGCCCGCTGATCTCTCCAGTCGATATCGATGCTGACGTTATTGCCGGCACCGAGGCTGTTGCTGCTGGGATGTCAGTAGTAGATGGGGCTCATGGAGATTGTGAGAGGAGAAGCCATTTCCAACAGACACAGAGCACATGATCAGAAGAGTGATATCAGCAGCCAGAACGAGAGCGCGTCTCGATATAGTGGTGTCAGTGACTCTCTCTCTCTTTCTCTCCCGCCGCGGCGGCGGACTCACGCAGGCACACTCGCACACAGACGAACAGGCATGCACCGACTGCGCGCACAACAGAGCCAGATCGCACGCTTACAACGCTCGCGGACACGCACACGCTCGCTACGCACACACACACGCACACACAAACACCCACACGCACACGCATATCGAACGAGGAGAGGCACAATCGCGCTCGAGCTCACACCCAGCAGAGTAGGCTTTGCGCATGCGTGCCCACCACCGAAGACACCGGACAGGCGCTCAGTGAGAGAAATCGGCATGCGCGTGGGCTGGGAGCCGTTTAGCTATGACGGCAGATCCTTGTCCCACCAAGGCTTGCGAATCGGGCAAGGGCTCGCCGTAAGGGTCGGGGAAGAGCCTGGCGTGGTCGAAATGGGCAAAACTGGACCGAACTTTACCAGGGTCGACGCGGATTTGAAACCAATGAAAGCGCCCAGATGCGAAAAAAGTGAACAGGGTGTGCGCCAGAACCTTGTCGTTGGAATGAAGCAGAAGTTAGAACAGAGCGTCGGATGCGGTCACGCTGCCTTTTCACGACTGCCCTCCCCCCCCCTCGGGCGTCAGATGTGTGATTCTGTAGTGTCATCGCCCATCATTCTTGTCCATGGCGATGGACAGTCCGTGATAGGCTCATCACTTGGCTTTATTAGAGCAACAATGACAGGTGGATGGTTCGTATCCATTGTTCATCACTGTCATGTCTCCGTGCATGGAGATAGGTGGTCTCAGTTCGATGCACCCCATCTAAAGCTACGCGCAAGTGATGTTTCTTAGACGTTCAGTATGGCAATGGCGAGAAATGCTTCAGGTGATGGCCAGCTCGGCATTTGCAATTGAGGTCACTGCGTTGAACAATACATCTACGAGCTATGTGGATCTTGTCGCGGTACATTATTACTGTCCTGTACATGCACATGTCCCGATGTCCGTGGGCGCCGCGAGTCCTACATCCATGGCGGCTGGCCCAGCCTTGCGACATAAAACCGCTTCCTTCACGGAAATCGATAGCGACATCCGATTCCCAGCCAATGATGGGCGTGAACTGCCAAAAAGGCACGTGGGTAGGATCGCATCCGTCTGATAGCGGCCGTAAGCACCATTGCCGATAGACTGACCGGACGGCGCAGTCAAATCGAAGAAATGTTGAAATCTCACATTCCCCTTCGGACAGGCGTGAGCTTGGTCCTTCTCTCATCATTGTGCGCCCTGTGCGTGATGGAAGTGCCAAGCGACGTGGAATGGTGGTTGCAGCCGGTGGAGCTGGTTGAACTGTGCGAGAGGTGGCGGAGGCGGGCGGTGATGCTGAAGATAGGTGGGCGCATCATCATCATGCAAGGTCACTGTCCTGTCACGTCTGGCAAGGCAGTCCACCTCACAAACTTACTATGGACAGCCCAATCCAGGAGTACATCATCCTTAGCTGTGGTTGTGGTTGTGCTTGGATTCACTATGCTGCTGGTACTGCTGATACTGCTGCCGTATACGTGTCTTCGGCGTAAACCTCGCTCTAGATAGTGGAAGCGGCCATCACGAATGACTAGGATCCACAGCACCACGGTCATGTACTGTACTGTACAGTCAGTCGAACAACTCACAAGTATTGTAGTCTACTCCACTGTGCAGTGCCTGGAAATCCGCTAGCAAATTGTAGACCCACGATGAACGACGACGGTATGCAGCATTTTTGACAAGGCTCCGCTCCGCACCCAATGGAAGACGATCGTTCACTTTCTTTTGGTACAGTCCAGCGGCATGCAGGTGGCCCGGTGCATCATGCATACGGCGGCACACAGCAGTGGCACTCTCTTGGCCCTTTCGAGACTTTCGCATACACCTTGCCGTCCGCACCTGCACTCCCCGCACAGAACTAAGTAGGGCCGAGAGGCAGAGGGAGAGGGAGGGAGGACGGACAGAGCTCGTGTGGTGCTACGGGTGACAGCTGGCAATCATCATGGATGGCGCGGACCATTGCGTAGGCCATCAGGCGAAGTGAGCCCGACAGAAGAATCATGGTCTAATCGAGAGGAGATTGAGCACGCGTCGCAATTTACAGCTCAAACAGTACTGGCGGCGGTGGTACGATCAGAGGAAGAATCCTACCGCGCCGTCGGCAGGCAGTCTACCTGCTGTACCAAACAGCGATTCCACTTCTTCGGCAATTTTTTCGACGCAAGATCGTGCACCGGAGTGGCACGCACGGAACGAAGACAGTACGAGACGGAAGCCTCTCTCTCGTGTGTGTGTGTGTGTCTCCCGGTCAGGGCTGATGCGGCCCAGATGCGCGCCCACGTCTGCATGGCTTTTCCTTTTCGCGCGTCTCCTCCCATCATTCGTATCCTCGCTTTCGGTGCGACCACTGCGCGTGTTGATCATTGCACGATTGAGGGCGAAGTCGAGGATGACGACGACGTCGATGATGACGATGGTAACGCAGTGCCTCATGGGATCTATCAAGGGTCTCTTCCCGCAGAGATTACGACAGACACAAACGTGACAGCTCCGCGCAAGATCGTCGTCGCCGGTCAAAAGAGAGCACACGTATTACACTGTCCCGTGCCCTGTCATCGCAGCAGAATCTCCCACCGAAATGTCGTGCGCAGAAACGCGAACGATGCGCGACCGACGTTGTTCCACTGCGGAAATCTTCACCGATCATCTCACTAGAAGAAACTCTCGTAAAAGACCTTGTGCACTTGCGCCCGTTTGGAAAAAAAAAAAGCTGTTGATTCAAGCCCATCGAGTGGATTCAAGTCTGATAGGGCAGGGCCAAAAAGGTGATCCATGCGCCAATCACATGCGGTTTCGAAGCCGAACTCCCTCGATTTGCCTCGAAAATTCGCCGAGCTTGCGCCAATGAGCGATGTTTCGACCGAGGTGATCAGCGCCAGGATCCACCGGCGGAGCGAATCGTCGTGCGACTACGGCACAGATCTTCTCCGCCTCGTCCAATGGGATCTCTGGATGCAGCTAAATCCTGAGAAAATACTGAGGTACAATTATTATGCAGCTGATGTACCCGATTGGATTCGAAACATGCAACGACGGACTGTCAGACGTGTGGTTGCTTATCAATGTGAAACATCGTGGCCGATTGCACTCTAAATGACGATGCCAAACGTTCGCCATTGCCGCAGCGCTCCATATTGCTTGCCCAGTCAGTGACTAGGGAATCGTCTCGGGTTTGATGGGAATGAACGTTTAGATTTTAGAGTGCAGTAATATATTAGGATTTTAAGCAACCCACCACGTCCGATTGTTCAGCTGGATTGCAGCTGCAGGGGAGGACTTCGCAGACTTTCATCGGCGTCGTAATTGTGCCCTGCATGTTCCGCCTGGTGGTCCGAGTCGATGAAGGCTAGTTGCGTCAGGAACGATGAGCGTCCAGAAGAGGTGCCTCTCGCACGACTCGTGATACTGTCCGGCTCTGGTGGTGGAAGGACGCGATCGCGGACAGCGTCACGGCAGTTCAAAAGCCTCGAACGCGACCCTGCATGATCTTTGCAAGCCCAGGCAAGGACTTGCACTCTGATGCGTTCGACGTTCATGTCATCATCGGAGAACCAGCTCGGATCATCGTGCGGCATGCTAAGCTGAGGTGAAATGACAGATGCGAACGACTATGTGGGTATGATGGCATACAATACACATGACAGAACTGTAAATTTTCCGTGATGGCGTGACGTTGACGTGAAAAAAGACCGCCTAACCAACTCCTCATTACAAAACACCGAGCGAGATCATCATGCTTTGAAACGGCCTTCGAAACCTGGGCGTGCTTTCTTTTTGCCTTTGCCAGCCGAGGACGAAGGCTTCTTTTTGCCTTTGCTGCCTTTGCTGCCTTTGTCGTCTCGTCTCCTCTGGAGGTTAGACTCGCGTCTTTTCTGCTTGATCTCCTTGCCCTTCACAACGGCCTCGCCCCGTTCCTGCCACTCCTTTTCGGACTTGCTCTTCTGCTTTTCCTTTCGCTTCAGCGCCTTCTTCAGCAGACTTGTGTCGTCACGGACGCGTTCTCCATGTGCGTGTTTCTTTGCATTGAGCCACATGTCCTTCTCAGCGATGTCGGCCCGCTTCTCGGCATCAAGGCCAGCGAGACGGGACTGCTTTTTCTCTGCAGCTTGCAATGCTGTGCGGGGATCTTGCGGGCCCTTCCTCTTCTTGGGGTCGCTCAAGCCGCTGAGAGAAGCATCGGCGGCCGTGCCGTCATCAAACGCCACTCTGCTGAAGCTGAAGTTGTTATCTTGTGGCTTCGGTGAAGGTCTTGATCCAAACAACTCCAGAGACATTGGACTTCCGGACCCTCGAAGTTGTTCTTCACGTTTTTGCGCCTCTTCCTCTTTCGCCGCTCGCCTGAGCTCTTTCTTGTGTATCTTCCTCTGTTCCTCTTTCTTTCGACGCTGGTCGAGCAATTCCTGTCTACTGCGCGCAGGTCGGCCATCTGGACCGTCCGCCTTTCGCCGCGCGCGAAGTTCCTCGATTCGCTTTCGTAAACGTTCCTGTAGTTCAGCTTGATCAATGTCGGGTAGTCGCAGCTTTGGTGATTCTATCCCAGACACAGCGGTTGTTTGCGCTGGTGGTTTTGTACTCGCGCTCGATTTTGCGCTAAGTCTAGGCAAGGGCTTCTGATTTAGCTTGCGTGCAGTTTCGGCCTCAGGGACTGTGGGCGGGACGATAGAAGACGAAGAAGACGTTTCGGATTGGTTGGTTGCTGTGTCAAACGCAGCGCTCTCGTCTGCTGGTGTTGATGGTACCGAAGAATCGTTATCATTGGCCTGGTCGTGCGCTTCTTCCTCATCTTCCGAGTCTGCGAGCCCGCTCAGATCCATTTTCTCAATATCCTTGTGACCCTCGTTGATTGCTCCTGTACCTGGTGCATCGCCATCTTCCTCTTCCGATTCCTCTGCAGCCAGATCTTCTGGGTCTGCATTTTCGACAGTGGCGACGGCCTGCTTTCGAGCCTTCTTTGCGTCCATCTTTGCCTTCAGCTTCGCCTTCTTCTCATTCTTCTGTACACGAGCCTGTCTTCGCTTGGCTGCCTTGGCTGCTCGCTCTGCTTCTTGCGCCTCAGGATCCAGTACCTGCTTCTGCCGTTTGTTGGGTGGCACGTTTGTTGTTGTTTTTTTCTCAATCGGGTCGTCTTCGTTGTGCGCGACTTCGTCCTCGATACCAAGCTCCCGCTTTCTCTTGCTCTCACGCTCTTTCATCACATCTAGCGCACTCTTCTGATTTGACGGATCAAGCTTCGCTCGCTTCGCCGCCCGCTTTTGTTCTTTGGTCTGCTTTTTGCGATTCCATTGATCACTGGGGTCAAGGCCATCATCTATCTGACTTCCATAATATTCACGCGCGGGCGTCAGCGCAAGTAAGGAGTCGAATGCTTTTGCGTGATTAACGAGGCGTTCCTTTTATAATGTGTCAATTACTCGTCCCAGAGATGGTATCAATCTTTTCCTCACCTCAATGCCATCCAGCACGTCGTCTGATTGTGCCATCTTGGTGTTCAGGCGGTTGCAAACAGTATGATCGAGCGGGAGCAGATCTTTGGCTAGCGGTGTGAAAGATTCAGTCGTGATGAAGGCGGCTGTCGTGAACGAACGCCAAGTTTTCGCACGGGATGACCCGCCGCGGAGCACCAGTCAAGCGCAGAAGCATATTTTTTTGGAAAACTTCGTCGTTGCTAGCAAGTTGTTTCCGCTCTGCCGGCGAAGCCTAGGGCAAATCTGTGGTTATCGATAACCACTTGCAATGGATATATCCATCCATGGTACTACGTAGTAGGCAGGCATGATACATCAGCTCGTCCACGGCTCGAGTCGTTTCTTCCTCAGCTCTGCTATGAACGACCAAGGACCGTGGTGTCGGAGTGCACTGCATCGTTCCATGTTATGGTCGTGTCTATTTCAGGGAGTGGTTTGACAATGACCTAGTCTGATCGTTCCGAGCTTGACGCTGCTCAAAGTGACCCGCCTGGGCATGCACAACCGGAATGCATCAATCATACTCTACGAGAAGGAAGCCCGGTCATTCTGCGCCGCGAAAAGCGGTTTTAGTAGGGAAAAACCTTTCCATTGATCACGATAGCCATCGTCATTGCACAGATCAGTCGAGCACCCTACATGTGGCTATTGCCATCCATGGGTTGTAGTGCCGGTCTCAGCAAAGGCAATTGCCACTACCTAGGTATTCATTTATTTTCAAGTGCGGTCATCTTGCAAATTCTCCAATCCCAATTCCAGAGAAGTCGGTGACTACACCTTGTTTTCGTGCATGGATCATGAGCTATGTACGAATTTCTATATGAAGTGAGTAACCCTCGAGTCAGAGCTGAAGGGCAGTGAGGTTGACTCACTCAGCTCGTATTGACCACGAAATCCTCGGCTTGATCGATTCATCTCCTAACACTTCCGAAGCTCAAGTACGATTGAATTCCGAGGCAATTTCGAGCATACAAGATCATCATAATCTGGAGTTTAAGCTGGTGTGAAAGTCTCAAACATGTCGGCCGACGGCAGCGATCTACTAGCACCACCCAAGTCGGTGACCCTAATAAGTGCACGTCTCGTGCTCTCTACGCTCCAGATGTCCGATCTGCTGGACCTGATGCCTATTTTGACCAGCAGCGATGTGATGCAATGGACGTAAGCATGACCACACTGGAACAGACTCTGTATGCTTCTTTCAACTGACACTGCTTGTACTGTCAGCTCGTCGGGACCAATCGCAAACGAGCAGCAAGGCAGAACTTGGCTCAGTTCCCGGGCGCTAGGTACAGACGTTTTTAACTTCGCTATTCGAGAACGACATGAATACAACAGGGACGGGGAACGAGGCACGATTATTGGTATCTTGGGCAGTCCGGATTGGCCAGAAGTTGGGTATCTCATGCGACCTGGTAAGCTCTTTCCAGAACCTGTTCGCAAGACGTCGCTGATACACCTCACTCAAGGCTATGCTGGGAAGGGATTTGCGACTGAAGCTTTGAGCATCTTCATCCCTGCCTTCTTTGAGAGAGTCCCTTCGGCGCTTGTATCGACGGTCGATGGTGCAAGCGGAGGTGGAGCGCAAGGCGTCGGTTATGACTATCTTGAAGCTTTAGTGGACGTGGAGAATATTGGGAGCCAGCGCGTGCTCGAGAAATGCGGCTTCACGAAGGTGCTGGTGAGCGAAAATGATTTCGAAAACAGCATGGGCCTTCGCTCGACGGCGTTGTTCCGCATAGCTAGACCGGGGAGAACGCTGCCGGAACTCGGCCTCCTCGTGGGCGACGGTGTCGTTCCCTGGAGCGAGGAGGCTAAGCCACCGATCCAGTGACACGCTGGCGCGAACTGCGATAAATGCCTCGTCGGAGGATTATTACTGCGCAGCATCGTTTGACTACCAACGGCACTGGGCCAATATATCCCTCTCCACGTGCCCGAAAACAACATCGCAAGGTACAGTACATGTATTGACTGCAACCAAAATGGCAGTCGCGAGCGAGGAGTGCGGCCTCCGGACTTCCGCAAGGCTGATGTCCTTCCACGGCTTGTCGCCTCCCGCTTGCTAGACCGGATACGTCGAAGGACAAGCATTGGCGTGCATAACCCTACCAGTAGGCAAGCGATCTGCGGGAGAAGATGGTGCACCACATGATTGTTTATTGGCACTTGAATGAGCGTCATCGTCATCATTGTCCCCCACATGCATGCTGAGCACGCATACATAATGCTTGCCCAAGAGGCATCGCGAAATGATCGCCCCAGAGAGGCAGTGCTTTCTGATACGGAGAGATATCCCTCAGGAGGGGGGCGGCTGGAGCGGCATAGTTGAAGGGTCAGATAGATCTGATGTTTGATCACGAGTCGTCTCATCCTGCTGTGCCTCATTACTGCTTCTGGAAGGCTATCGCGATGACGCCCCAGTACAGAGGCGTCGACTGGGCGTGCACCTGCACCCACCTAGCTCGCCCATTGGTACAGTGCAATGCTTGGAGTGAGAGCATTGCGCATACGGCCCGTATCTTGTACCTGCCTGGAAAACCAGCACTATTTCGGTAGGCATGAAAGCCGGTGCGCAGTGATCGTCGATATATAGGTCCCGATGCTTCTCGCTTACTGATTGCGATTCGTTCCTCATCGCTTTTCTGTCCCACCTTCAAGCCAACTCTTCGCCAGCACCAACAATTACCCTCTTCGTCATTCAAACAGACCCCGTCACGTCGACACACATATAATGGCGACTCCCGATGGCGTCAACGGCAAGGCGCCGGCCACGAACGGTGCTGCAGCAGCGCCCATCATCAACGTGCAGCCTCCGCGACGTGAGGACCTGCAGCCTTCTTACGCCAAAGTCATTCAGCCAGATACGGAGGACGCCTCGCAACATGGCTGGTACGGAAGCATGATCAACGGTATCGGAGAGTGTATGGGTACTCTGGGAGCTATTCCATGCTGTAAGTTTACCCTCTTCTCAGCGGTCGCGCCCACGAGGATGCTAATTGCGACAGGTCTCTGCTGCCCCAACCCGTATCAACCTGTACGACAAGGAAACGTCGGGCTCGTGACGAAATTTGGGCGTTTTGCACGTGCTGTTGACCCAGGGCTCGTCAAAATCAACCCTCTCTCAGAGAAGCTCCTTCAAGTCGACGTGAAGATTCAGATTGTAGAGGTCCCGAAGCAGATTTGCATGACCAAGGACAATGTGAACCTCACCCTGACCTCAGTCGTTTACTACCACATTACTTCGCCCCACAAGGCCGCTTTCGGCATCGCCGACATCCGTACCGCGCTGGTCGAGCGCACGCAAACCACTCTCCGCCACGTCATAGGTGCACGCGTGCTCCAGGACGTGATCGAGCGCCGTGAAGAGATTGCACAGTCGATTCGAGAAATCATCGACGAGACAGCCGCAGGATGGGGTGCCAGCGTGGAGAGCATGTTGATCAAGGACCTGCTCTTCAGTCAAGAGCTACAGGACAGCTTGTCCATGGCCGCCCAGAGCAAGCGGGCAGGTGAAGCCAAGATCATCCAAGCCCGTGCTGAGGTCGAAAGTGCAAAGCTCATGCGTGAGGCAGCAGACATTCTGTCATCCGCTCCCGCCATGCAGATCCGCTACCTTGAGACTATGGCTCAAATGGCCAAGTCTGCCAACAGCAAGGTCATTTTCCTACCAGCGCAGAACCAGACGGTGCAAAGTCAGATGGCTATCGCTGAGCAAATGGGCGAGGGACCGTCGCGCTACCAGGACTATGGAACCGTGAAGTCGTCGCAAAATCAACACGATTTTAGCGGCAAAACCGATGGCTTCCAGGATGCCGTCAACGCACGAGTTGTGGAGAACATGTAAGGAGAAAGACGATGAGGGTGATGAGAGTGTCGTGTACTCGAGCGCATAATGTCTTGCTTGATTTTGGAGTCTTCAATACCCTAAGGTTGTTCGATATTGTTTTACATACTTCACGATGAAATGTGTCTTGTTGCGCCGCTTTTTCTGTGCAATGACTTGAAGCGAAGCCGTCCAAATCGTGTGTTTCAAGCACCGCAATCCCATCGAAACTCAATTTGGTCGAACGAAGTTCATCGAGGAGAGGATGGTTCATGGTATCGAAATGCATCGGCGTGTTAGCAACACGACACGTCAAACCCTGAACTGTTCTACGTAGTCCCATGGCCACGCGAGCGGGCGGCGCATCGGCCGGGCAGTTGACATTAGCAGGGTGCGGGCGGGCGAACTCTTGGCAAAAAAGTGTTGTTTGCTCTGTGGTGAACCAATGGTGCAAGTGGCTGTCTCCACCGTCAGCCCAGGGTACATTTTGTTACTGTCGTGCTGCCCACATTACAAGCATCGCCGTCCTGCGTTAAACCCGACGACCGATCCGCTAGGATTACTCACCCCCTCCTCGACCATTTCGCAATTCTTTTCAACTTTCATGGACCCATTGCGGTAAAGCAATTTATCGCCTACTCGCATCTGCTCCCGTGCGCAACGTTTCCGATCGCCATACAGCGCTGTCTGTCTTTCCTGAATCGTCGACATTATGGCCGACACCAAGACCGCGAAGGCCACTGTGGCCAAGGGTGACAGCGCCGCTACTCCTGCATCTGCTCCTGTCACCAAACCCGAACGTCCCAATGATGAAGAGTACAAGGCCAACTTGGCAAAGGCGGAGAAGGAGCTCAAGGCTGCTGAGGAAAAAATGGTCAGTGATATACAGCGGTCATGCCGCCGACTTGTGTTCCTTTGGGAAAACAAAGACAATATTCGTATTCCTACGGAGTCCCATGTTGTAACAACGGTGGGCGCATACTGAACAGTTGCTGACACGGAAGAATAGAAACAAATCAAGGCCAAGCTTGACATCGCTCGCCCGAACAACAAAGATTCGCCATCTGCAAAGCGTCAACAGGAACTGCGAGCTGAATTGGGCACCATTCGAACTCAGCAAGCGTCTGGCAAGACCAACCGTACCACTATCATGGACAAGATCAAGCGTCTTGATGAGCAGCTCAAGTCCCGCATTACCGAATCCAAAAATGCACGTGGCAAGATCAACTTCAAGTCTGCCGAAGATGTTCAGCACGAGATCGATCGTCTGCAAAAACAGGTAGATACTGGTACCATGAAGATCGTGGACGAGAAGAAAGCGCTTGGCGAGATCTCCCAGCTCAACCGTATCAAGAAGTCGTTTGCCGGATTTGACGAGTCTCAGAAAGGAATTGATGAGATCAAAGCGCAGATCGCGGAACAGAAGAAATTGCTTGACGATCCAGAATCTCGCGCTTTGAGTGACCGATACACTGCAATTACCACCGAGCTTGATAAGATCAAGGCTGAGCAGGACGAGGTTTTCAAGAGCTTGAACAGCCTTCGTGATGAGCGAACACGTCTTCACGAGGACCAACAGAAGAAGTACTCCGCGGTCAAGGACCTCAAGGATGCATACTACTCCCAGCGCCGCGAAGCCGTCAAGTATGAACAGGAGGCCCGACGAATCCGCGAGGAAAAGCGCAAAGCAGAGAACGATGCTTACCACCGTGGCAAGCGTCAGGAGGCCGCCAAGGCCAAGCTCGAGGATGCAAGTGCTTCCGCTTACCAGGATGAGATCCGCACGACGCAAAGCCTTCTTGCTTTCTTCGACCCCGCAGGCTCTGTCAAGCCGGTCGCTTCTGGCCCGGGTAAGTTTGCAGCGACCGACATCCGAACTGTTGATGCCACTGGGTTCAAGGGCACAAGGGTATCAAAGAAGGACGAGGAGGAGGAGAACTACTTCATTGGCACTGGTGGCAAGAAGAACAAGCGCAACCGCGGTCAGGCAGGTGCTGGTGTCACCTCGCCGCCAGCGACGGAGGGCAAGTTCAACTTGGATCTAGGCACTATCGGTTCTTTGGCGATCATCAATGTCGACCCGCCGATGTCTCAAGCCGAGGTTCCTGCTGTTGTGGAGAAGTTGAAGGAGAAGCTTGCATTCTGGAAGGGCGACCAGGAGCGCAAGACCAAGGAGGTAAGTGATGTTCCGTTCTCTGTCAAAATCGATACACGTACTATGGTGACCTTTACTAATCGTGAATGCCTGTAGAACATTGAGAAAGCGCAAGCAGAGATCGATCGTCTCGAAGCCGAGGCTGCTGCAGTTGACAGCAAGGACACAAAGGCCTCATACAGCAAGCAGGAGAATGGCAGCGCGACTGATGCCAGTGCTGGCATCACCGCGGACTTGAACAAGACCAAGATTGACGCTGAAGCTACTGAGGCTTAGACGTCACACCATTTCCCATCGGAACAGAGTTCCATGATCGCATGATCGCACCAACAAAAAGCAGTATTGGACAGATGATTGGGAAGGAGTCAATCGGAGGAAGCAGCATTTTGTCCATGCATATTTTCACATTTAGCGAAGTCGTCGTGCTTCGCGCAGACAGCGTACGATTCTACATAGCGCATTTTTACACATCATGACCACGTGAGCCATGTCTATTATTGTAGTCTCTTCCAGGGCTCCTTGAAAAGCCATTCGCCTCACAGACTGTATCTAGACTAATTCGCCCTTGGCCGACAATGTTCCAACACTGCTTGCGCGACCTGTGGTGTTCGCCTGTCAAGACTCTGATCAGAACAGGGCCCACCTCAACCCAAGCAGATGATGCATCTAGAGAGCTTCAATGGTCTTGAAGAAAGGATTCGCCCTTAGGCTGTCATTCGCCTTGACGAGATCCCTCATACGCTGGACTTGCTCCTCCTCATTCAGCCCTTCCTTCTCAACCTGTTCTTTCCATGTGACGAGAATTTCCTTGAGCATAGCCTTGCCAGCCTCGACATCGGCATCTGTCGCCGAAGAATCGCCACCTTGGGCGTCTCTCCCTCGACCACTGCTGTTATTGCCGGAGAAATCCTCCAGCTCATCTGCCTTGCGCTTTGCCATGGCGACCACCTTGGCCGGGAAGCGTACGATCTCGGCGACATGGATACCGAATGATTGGTCGCTGATGCCAGGGACGACTTTGTACAATAAAGTGACTTCGCGACGGCGTCCAGCGCTGCCTGCGCCCGGCCCACCCATCGCAGCATCCTCACCATCTGAGCCACCTATGTGCGCAACAACATGTAGATTCTGTACTTGAGGATACGTTTCCGAAAGCGCCGTAAGCTCGTGAAAATGGGTCGCAAACATAGAAGAGGCCCCGATCTCCTTGATGATGTGTTCGGAAATAGCCCAAGCCAGTCCGAACCCATCATAGGTACTTGTGCCGCGTCCCAACTCGTCGATGATGACGAGGCTTTCTCGGGTAGCGGTCTTGAGGATGTTGGCCGTCTCCAGCATCTCCGCCATGAATGTACTCACGCCCTTCAGCTGCGAATCGCTGGCACCCACGCGAGCCAAGATGCAGTCGTATAAGCTCAACTCGGCTTCGCTACAGGGCACGAAGCAGCCGATCTGCGCCATCAGAGCGATGACGCCGATTTGTCGGATATATGTCGATTTACCGCCCATATTTGGACCTGTGATGATCAGAAATTCGGACTCGCCTCGGACCAGACTAACGTCGTTGGTGATGAAGGAGATGTCGTCTTGCATCTCCATGCATGGATGCCGTGCTTCCTTAAGAATCGTGTTGCCCGTACCACGAGGATGCATTTTGGGACGAACGTAAGCTGTAGGTGCATGGAGCGAAACATGAGCGAATGAAACGATCACGTCAAGATGTGCGACCACACCAGCGAGCTTCTCGATGACGGGCGCGTAGGAGGATGCAACACCGATGACTTCGTTGGCGAGGCCAGTTTGAGTGCGGTTATAGCTCTCGGAGAGGGACTGGAATTCTCGATTCATCTCTGCGAGGTCGACGGTGGTGAAATATTGCCCGTTCTTTTGGATCGCAATATCCATGTACTTTTTCTTCCCACGAATGGCGTTTGCTTCGTTTCGGGTCAGACGCATACACCAGCCGTGCACTCGGTGGTTTTCGAGGATGAGTTTCTTCTCGATATCGAGGTTGAGGTCATCGCCAGCACGACGGTGTTCCTGTTCGATGTTGTAACGCAGCTTATCGAGTTTCTTTCGAATGATACGCAGACCATCGTCGTATTCTGATTTGATGATGTATTCGTGATTGTCAAGGGCGTCCAGATCGATGGTCGTCTCAACCATTTCGAGTAATCCGGAGAAGCTGTCGCAGTATGATCGCAGTTTGTCATTATATTCTATGTCGAGGATTCCTTTGTATGCCTCATCCATGACGCCTTCAAACGTGCCGACGAAGCCAGGTAGCCTAACGGCCACTTGATATGCGTTAACCACGTCCTGCAGAGTGGCCTTTTTCCGTTGAAACTTTTTCGCAAGGCGATATAAGTCCGGTATTGACCTGAGATGTTCTTCCTGGAGAGTTTGTCTTAGTTCTGTGTCGTTCACAAATGCTTCGACTAGCTGTTGTCTGCGTTCGATTTCCTCCAAGCTCATCAATGGTTGTTTGAGCCATTGCGCAAGTAACCGACTTCCTATGGGAGTTTTACAGTGGTTCAACAGTCCGTATAGATTCATTGTCTTTGACCCGTCTTTAGGGCCGGGCATCAGGTTGAGCGCTTTGAGTGCAGAAGAGTCCAGTTTCATGTATTGGCTGAGGTCGTGTTGGTAGAGTCGATATTCTCCGAAATTGGTGGGATCTGACATCACTCCAAGGTAGCGGATCAACGCTGCAGCTGAGCCCATCGCAAGCTTCAAATCTGATTGTGGCAGTGTTGCAATCGTTTTCTCGCCACGAAGTAGCCGGTTGAGGTCTTGGTCGATGTCGCGGTCTGAAAAGTCACCTCCTTGTCTCTCTGCGATGGCGCATCCACAATTATCGGCGATCGCTCGGATTTTTTGGATTTCGGGGTCTTTCCTGCTTGCGTCGGCCTGAATCAAACACTCTTTGACTCCCAGCTGAATGATCAAGGATTCGAAGTTCGAGTAAATGTCATTGTCGACAAACTCTGTGACGCCCAACTCTCGAACACTGGCATCGGCGAAACAGACCCCAACATTCCGAGCCTCATTGGCTCTTGCTGAAACTTTGACGGCGAGTATTATCGGGGCAGATTCTATGTGCCCGCCAAGGTCGTCTTCGATATCCTGCAGATTGCCTGGCGATGCACGCTTGACCACTTTCCATTGATTTCGACCCGACGACTCGAGGATCTCCACCCGTTTGTCTATGCTTTGTTAGTGTGAAGTTCTTTTTTGGTTGAAAAAGCCGCGACACTGGTGTTCATACTCAGACGAAATATTGCGTCGCGCAGAAATGTTCGAAAGACTGTCACTGTCATTGTGACATAAGGCATGCCCGGATTTCGACCCAACTGCTTTAATACCGATGTGGTCTTGTATTGTGCTTGGGCAATGAAGGTAGCATCGCCGCCGTATGCTGACAAGTAATCGCCATTGTCGAATATTCGAATGGTGTCTGCCGCTCTGCTCGAGTCAAGTTGGCGGATTGCCTTCAAGAGGCCGACTTCGTCGTCGACTTGCAGCTCGGGTCTTGAACCCATTTTTCCAATGGATTATGATGCTTGAGTAGAAATCTGGACTGTTCGCCTCGGTCGAGTGTGAAAGAAGCTTCTTGTCACGAACACACCGAGCGAGTGTAGTCCAATGGCTTTTGATATCGTGGGCGGAACTTTCGAAGGAAACCCTGACAACCGAAGACGCGTCGGGCGTCGTGTCGCGTAAAGTGCTTGCGGCAGTCCTGGAAAAAATGAACTTTGGCCTCAGGCTGAGATATCACTGCAGCTGTTCCAAAGACGTCACCTGCACCTTCACCCAGCGCTGTCTGTTCCGCATCGAGGGGGACATTTGCACAGTTCGTTAAGGAAGCGGCCTCAACCGATTGATTCTCACATGTACATATAATTTCACAAGTATGAGGTTGGCCTGGCTCGATCGTTCTCGAGTGCTTCTCTCCCGTACATAAATTCAAGTCAGGTTCGACTATAGCCATCATGGAGTTAGCTCCGCCTTCCTATGAAAGCGCAACACAAGTTGATATCTGGAATCTTGCTTCAACCTATGTAACCCACCCTCATGATCTATGCGCCGTATCATTGGTATGCCGCCGATGGCACAAAACCTTTTCCCCTCGTCTATGGGGCAGTCCGGCAGTGCATTTCCACAACCACCGGGATGGCGACGATCGTGTAATGACTAGATTTCTGCTCGCTTTGCCCTCGGCCCGTCTGGAGGTGCGTCGACTGACCCATACTCTTCGCTTTCCTTCTCGCAAGGACCTACATGATGGCCTCGGGACGGGTTGGCTGAGAGACGTTCTGCATTTGCTACCAAATCTCCAATCCTTGATCGTGTGGAGACTCCCCTCCTTTGATCATCAAACGCTCCAGAACTTGGTGGCAACCGCCAGACGACCCGGCCCAAATTTGCAGGTAACGTCTTTCAGTTTACGACTGATGGAGGCTTCGCGCTGTCAGAATCTCACATCGCAAAGTCTGGCCGATGCACTCCCCCTATTTGGCAATCTCTTGTATCTGGATCTTTCTTTCACACAATCTGCCCGCGATAGAGGCGTGTTGGACAGCCTGAAGAACCTGCAAGGCCTGCAGATCCTCAAACTCCGGGGCGTTGGGTTAGGAGACGACAACGTTGGGGTTCTCGCCCGAGCCATCAAGCTCCGTGTGCGCAGCTTAGACGTCCGGGATAACAGAATCACAGACCAAGGTGCAAGGACACTGCTTCAAGAATGCTTCCTGGCCAATGATGTGGACCGCGGCGACTCTGATCGAAGTCGTGAGCGGCCTCAAGTCGACATGCTGCATTTAAGTAGGAGCGAGGATTTCGAACCCTACCTTCTGTACACTTTCACGACCACGTTTGCCGACAGACTTTCGATTGAAGATACTGCTGCGCAGGGACTGACACATCTATATATCTCGGGCAATAGTTTGACAGCTGATATTGTTTGCGAGATGGCCAAGACCGCCCGGCTGCATGTGCTTGACGTCGGCAATCTGAAAAAAGAATATCCGGCTGAGCCAATGTACCGCTCGGAGCCCGTTCATCAAACGCCTGGTTTGGCGCTTTTGCCTTCAGTCTTGCTCACGTATGCAGCCACGACACTCACACTGCTCCGGATAGATTACAATATGGCCATGATGATATCACCGCAGCCAATCGCTGGCTCTGCCCATACATCGAAGTTTGCTTTGGCAAGTCTGAAGACGCTGATTCTCACCGACGTCCCGTATTCTTCTACGAATGAGGATATCGCCCATTCCATCATCAACTTCATCTGTCTTTGTGCTGCTGAATCGCAAAGCGCCTGGGCGCAGGCATTCAGCGACTATGCTCTGCCGCCTGGCCGACGAGGGAACATTGCTGCAGTGAGACAAGCTGCCAAGCAAAGGTTCGCTCTCACAAGGATCGTTCTGGAAGTTACAAGCAAGCTTGGCATTGGCGGCTCCACCGCGAAAGACTTTAATGCCGAAGATGGCGAGACGATGCTCTCGATGACAGAAGACCGTGATAGCGAGGCGTTCTGGGCCGCGTCAAACGCAGACTTTAGTTTCTTTGACAAAGATGATGGCTCGTTGTCGTGCGATGGTCCGGCGCGTTCATCAGTCTCAGGTGGCGGCACACGCATGGCGTCAGGATTCGATACCATCGCGCTCGTGGCAGCATTCCGCAAAGATAGGAAGATCGCGTTTGAACGCCAGCAAGCTGCTTCATTCGACAATCATTCGCCGTCAACGGCTGGCTACTGGGACGGAGTGGTCCAAGTTGTGCGAAATGCTGAAGTTCATCCAGACCGTATGAATGATTATTACAGCACTCGCTTTGTGCAGAAGGCTGGTTTCTGATAGCTCCTATAGCCTTGCATGATCTTGGGATCCACAAGCTTTGGTGCTCATTTATAGGAGCGATCCAATCTGAAAGCGTGCATGACTACCACATTGAAGTCAGGGTTTCAATCAGCTCGGACATGAGACTTTCAAGCCGCATCCTCAGGACGGCGGCGGCTGATAGGCCATCTGGCATTAGGACGCAAGCCGAAAACCACAAGAGGCTGCAAACATCTGCAATGAACGATGTGTTGAAAGCCGTGCGCTCTCGTGCGTGGGCTAAGGCCTCTATTCGGCTTGGCAGTGGATCATCTCTTCCATGTCTCCGAAGAGCATTTCAGGTGTGACGTCGATGGCAGCCATCCATGTATCCTCGCGGCCAAAGGCGAGCCATAGCACGTCGTCCATGTATCCATGATAGTCGAGTTCTTGGACTTTCCAGTTGATACTCGTGATGTAGAGCATCTCATGCTGATACGCAGCGTAGTCGATCATGCCGTGCACAGTCCTCATTTCCTCGGGCTTCATTGGCTCTCCGCCAGCACGTTGTCCGTGGATCCAGAACGGCTTGGCCGAGAGGCTGCGGATGGCGAAGGGTGGCGTGCTGTCAAAGATCATGACATAGGGCAGGTAGTAAGCATGGCCCGCATAGCTCAATTTCTTCTGGAAAATCGTGAAGATTTTCGTGTTCGCGGCCGTAGGCTTGCATGCGGGATCCGCACGATTGCACATGGTGACGGACAGGGAATTGGTTGCTTGGTGGGTACCGTTGGAGAACGCGGTCTCTTTCACGAAACGCTCCCAACAAGGATCGTCTGTCGCAGCGGCCTTGCGCGCCAGGTTTCCAGAGTGTTGGCCGGCGACGTCAATTTTGCTGAATGAACGGCGTGGCTCAAGGTCATAGTGCGCATACATTTCATCATCAGGGCCCCAGAAGATGAAGTAGTTCTTCTCCACTGGACGATGGGGTGGTGGGCGTCGGATGGAGACGGCATGTGCGAAAGGAATCGACTTGTCAATGAATGGACCCCATTCCACAAGGAGGCGTAAATCTTGCAGCCATTGGCCGAAGCACATATCGTCGTGGTCAGATTGGCTTCCGTACATGATGTAGGGAGAGCTCTTTGGGCCCATGAACACGCGAGCATCATGCGGACCAATGTTCATGTTGAGCATCGCCAGCATGCCATCTTTCTTGCCATCGCAGTTGTTGCTTGTCGAGAATGTCACCGGGAGGATACTCGTGGACTCGTTGCACCGCAGCGTCTTCCCATTCCAGATCGCCTCGCACCACATCTCAGCAAAAAACGGCGAAAATGTCCTCTCATCTTTATCCCGCTGCGCCACCATCATGAAGTGATTCTTGATGTACGGGTGTGGTATGATGCTTGGGTTCAACCCCGTGTGACCCAGAAAGTCCAAGGTGACGTATTTGCCATCCTCGCCGGATATGCTCTTGACCAAGTAGTGTGTGTCGGAGACATTGCCAATTTTGATCTCGTGGAGGTCATAATCAATGGTGTAGGGCACTGGTTTCGCGACACCTTTCTCGTAATCTAGCTCTTCCTGCGCAAATGAAGCGCCACTGCCTGGGATCGCTTTCCCGAAGTGATCTGAGGTTGTCTGAGTGAAGCTTGGATTGATGTAGATTGTGGTGATGATTGCCAACACGAGAACGGCTGTTAGGATTGTCATCAATCGCCGGCGCACGCTGAGGAGTATGCGAGACATGTTTATCAAGGCGAATCGCAAAAAGCTTGGAAGCTTTCCTTGTAGTGGGCTTCAAGCGTCGTATCCGAGGGTGCGGTCCCTTGATCAGAGGTTGTTGACGATAACTTTATCCTGATTTCGAACATTGGCTGAATGTCTTCAGAGCGACTGTGACTTAGCGATTGGCAATCGTGAAAGAAGGGAAGTATATGCGAGTAGCTCGAAATTGTGCACAAATTTACAGGGGCCTTGTACCTTCCGAGGCTCATCTCGCTCGAGGAAGTTTGTGCTGGTAGCGCAACGAACATTGAGCACCAGCCCAAACACATGGTTACGTGACCGGAGCCACCAGCTTTACAATTGTACAGGTCTTTCGGATGGGTCTGTCGCTACCTAGGTATTCATGTTCCAACACTGTTCCTGGTATACGACCTATGGCTAAAAGTGCAACCTTGCAAAGGACAATTCACCAACAACGTCAAATGATAACCAGATCTTCCCACGACGTCGCATTGCGCACAAATACAGGATGATTGATAAAGTTGTACTGATGACAGTAGTGAAGAAAGCATAGCTGTCGAACCATGAACGACCCGAAGAAAATTATTCCAACATACACGCTTCGAATATTTGAACATCCACACATCAATCTTGCCCTCGTCTTCTGCAGCCGTTGCGGGTTGGTCAAAAACAGCCTTGCCCCACCAGGCACCGCCGTTCGGGCTGTTCACATACGCTGTCGCATTGTCATGGTGAAGAGGTAGTCGTGATGGCTCGCCGGAATCATGTCGTGCACCTCGACAATCGTCCGGCTCGGCTGTCAGAAGCGTGCTATGATGAAGAGATGCTGCAGATAGCATACCACATGACTGTGCGATACAGACACACTGGACAATCGAGCAAAACATGCCTCCAAAAGCGCAAGCCGATTGGTAATTTTGTGGGCTTTCTCTTTTCACCCGCCTTTGCAAGGGCGAGTCCCGAACTTTTCTTTTCTAAGACTGGGTCTTGGAAATGGCTGGGTTGACCTGCTGTTCTCGCTGTCGCTCCTCGGGCGTTGCTGGCTGCAGACGGCGGTACAGCTTGGCTGCAAATTCGAGACACGGGTCGTCGATGTAAATCGTCGCGATGTAGGCGATCCAGAGAGTTAACGGGCAAATGATGAGCTGAGCTGCAAGGAATGAAAGCTCAAAGCCGTGGAAACCCCATTTGGGAAGCTCAAATATGTTGATCCAGGCCGGAGCGGTCAGGCCGTGACCATATTTGGTCCAGCCAACAGCGGCGTAAATGTGATCTCCGAAAGTCCACAGAATGGGACCGTGGAAGAGGTACAGCATGTAGCTGACGCGTCCAAGGAACTGGCAGAAGCGAGTTTCGAAGAAGGCCTTGAGCCAAGGAATGCGCGGCGTGACGATGACCAGCATGCCGGCAGCGAAGAAAAGGTAGAACCACTTCGTGTCGAAAACGGCTTGAGGCTTGAGGAAAGAAATCCAGTAGTAAGTAGGCGAGTCACGGAGGACCTGAACTTCGATCGAATAGCCAGGAACACCACCGAGCCAGATGGCGATGGCCAGCATAGTGTAGCAAACCCGGTTCTTGTATTTCCCAATGTCGGTGATCCAGGTCGGAAGGTTACCCTCCTCGTAGAGCATCTCCATGTCACAGATGAGCATGCCTCCCGTGAACATTGCGAAGTAAGCACCGTCAGCGATCCACATGTAGTACCAAATGAGTACGCCGAAGACAATCAGACGGTTGCGGCGCGTCAAGCGCGAGACAGCCATGAGTGTGGTGTAGATACCGATAGAGCCACGCATCTCAATCGGGATAGACCAAGAGTGGGGATTGTAGAGGAAATTGTATCCATCACCAGTGGTGAAGATGAAGGTGAAGTTCTTGATGTCCAAGTACCATTGCCAAATCTCATCCCAAAGCGTCTTTTCGCGGTGAAACGGGACCTTGAAGTCGAGCACGTGGCAGACGACCATGGAAATGAAGGTGGTGATAAAGATGGGCATCATGAGACGCAGCCATCGACGGAAGAGAGCAGACGAGATGTTCTCGCCCAGAGTGACATACTGGCCAGCGTGGATGAGCGAAAGCGGCTTGAGTGAAAGAACGTAGCCGGAGAGGAAGAAGAAAATGGCGACAGCAAAGTGACCACCCGTGACGAAAGTACGGATACCGTGAAACGTGGCAAACGAGTAGTTGCCCTTGTAACCCCAGACGCTCTCGAGTTTGTGATCGAAGAAGGAGGATTCATGCGCCCACATCTCGTTGTGCAAGATGTACACCAGGAACGCCGCCCAACCTCTCAGACCATCCATCCATGCCGTCTTGCGAAGCTTTTTCGGGCCTGCAGGCGCCTGTGCAGCTTGCGAGTTGGTGCGCGGAAGTGTCGGTGAATTGGGTTTGCCATTGAAACCTGATTGAGCACCATTGAGCAATTGTTGAGCAAGAGACCATGCCTGGGAGCCGGCGCCTTCTTCATTGCTACCGGATGGTCCAGATGATTGTCGAGCCTCGCCCTTTTCAATATCAGCGACATTGTCTCGCAGGTTATCGTCCTTTTTCTCCTCCCGTTGCGTCGACATCGTGACGATGGCGCCCGCGGCGATTGAAGGGATGAGCAAGGAGAGATGGTATGTGTTCGAAAAAGTGTGTGGAGAATGGTGTAGGAACGATGCCTGGCAGGAGTCTCTCGGGGGCTACGGTGGACGACGCTGCTCCTGTGGCCGCCAGAACAAATGAATTGGAGGTCCACGCGCTAACGCCTCGAAGGGGATGCCGGTGCCAAGGCTACTCCAGATCAAGCCGCAAATGGGGGACCACGCTGCAGGGCCATTTGATGGGTGCAGGTGGAGTACATTGGAGAAAAGGGCGAGCTCGGGACCGGCCGCTTAACGAACCGTCGGCGGGGATGCGACAGCCACTCCACAGCACCTGCAGCCGTCCAAAGATCAACGAGGTGATCATGATGGTTTCGTCCGCAAGTTGTGCCTGTTCTACAACAGCCATGCAAGGCATGAGGGCCATTCACTGCACGTGAATCGATCTTCAAGCAGCAAGATTACAGTGGGTGAGCCAATTGTTTCTGCCCGATGTTAGGATATGGCCTTCCGAGGACCGTAATAGCAGACCATGCTGAAAATCCGTGTGAATGCCAGTGAGAATGCTTGCAAATGTCACTGTTCCAAGGTTCGTTTCATTCCGTACTGTATGTAGCAAGTGCAACGCCAGGTAAGACATCCACGAATTCGGCGGAATCAGGGCTCTCGCAAAAGCTACGACTGGCTATCACCCATCAGGAGTCATCATCATGGGACATACTGAGGTCGATATCTAAATGACCTGACATGCCTGCCGAACGTGTCACACCAAGGGACTGTCAGACGTCCAGAACGCGCATGTACACTCGGTCTTTCTCCCGTGTTCTCTCAGGTTATAATCAATTGTTATCTGTACGATACGATGTCACTGAAGCCAACGATGGGATGTGACATTTTCACATCTGAAGACCTCATGCACAGTAACAAGTCTCGTTCGCTGTTGCTTGACTTCTACTTCGATTACTTCGAAATGATTGTGATTGTGATTGTGAGGAAGGCTCGCAATGAGCACGGGTGCGCCACGTCTCGCTTGAGCTGTGCTGACTATGACTGTTGCGCGCAGAATGAAACAGATCCTTAATAAGTCCATCATGGCATCGAATCGAATAAGTGCCCTCGATGACCAAGGTGGTGATCAGTCGGCAATCTTGAATCTGGGGGTCCCGTAGTCTGACAGACGCGAATACAGCGTCGTTAAACCTCCAAGGCGCTTACTCGGATAGTCGTTGCTCGTGAGAACAGACTCCAAAACGAAGCACGAACACATCATCGAAACGTACCGAGCCAAGCAGTTCGATCTGGACCTTGGAAGTCGTCAATGTTGGAAGGCGAGTACAGTACCGCGTCAAGTCGTGGATGTGCTCCTCACGCAGCGGGACCAGCCGTTCGGTTGCAGCATTGGACAGTAGCTGATCGACGGGTGGGAGCCGCCGTTGAGCACAGCCAAAGTCAGTGCCGAGGTTCGGTTGGCGGCACTAGGTGGATTTTTGTGGACAGATAACGATTGTATGATCCGGAATCTACGTATTCGCCTCGCTAAACGTGCTTGAATGGATTCAACACCTGCAGACCTGGAACATAAAGTTGCCATCGCACATGTAGCGCGTGCGGGGCAGATGGAGTTGATTGCGCGTCCAGGCGCCGATACGTTCTGATGGCGAGAGTCTATCGCACCTTCGGACGCATATCATGGACCATGGATCTCATCTTGGGGCAAGGCCTCGCGTGGAAAAGGGATGAAGGTGTTCACACTGGATTCACCACAGACCCCGGGCGGATCTATGGCCGCTCAGGCCGTGAAAGATGCAACAGTCATTTCAAGAGCGGAAATTGGGTGTGTATTGCACGGAGGACAAATTCTGTGTGAACCCCTGAAAAAATATTGTGGTGGAGCAATCAGCAATCCTACATATTTCCGAAATGTGGGTGATGGTGGTGGTGTGGCCAGCATTAGCGCAACGTCAAGTTAGACGGTTTTTGATTTCCCCGCTGATGAGATCGGCCCGTGGAGAGCCAGGGAGGCGAGAAATGGCGAACATTTGGGTACAGCCTCCCTTGTGGAGTTCTTGCGATAAAGATTGGAGGCCTGGTTGAGGTCCATCCTAATAAGGAGGTGTGGGCGAACGAACTGTTCAGCAATTTGAAGCAGATCTGCGTTCGATAAGCTCGGCATGCACTGTGGCCACGGGCTCGGCATTACAAGATAAAAGTGATTTGGCGGCCACACCACAATTATTCGGTGTTCTCTATTGAGTGCATTTCAGGGGCGGTAATGTACCGTGTCTGGCCCTCGTGCGCTCTCCTGAGCAGTTGAGATTCGCACATATGCAGTGTAATCAATTATGCATGCGCAGAACAATCGTGCCTGTCATCAGAGCCTGTCTATCGGTAGCGATGCCATTGAGAATCGTCGTCGCGCTGCCTACCCGTTTCGTCGAGAAAGACTCCTAGGGTCCACAAAGCGAACGTTTGGTAAATCAAAGGCCGGACGGGCACCAGAACGATGCGATTTCAGGCCGTTAGCTCGTGGATGTGTTGGGAATTTCACATCCCTATATCGACATCGTTCGTGAGATATCCAACGTGTCATCGTTATATCGAGTGTAAGACTCGAAATACTGACTTGACCCCTTGCCGTGATCCGTGGGCCGATATGATCGGCCTGCATGGAATCATTTACCCATCAAAAATTCAACGTTCAATACGAATTCGCTGTCGAGGATATTTCGCGGCGGCTGCCAGTGTTGCGCGCAACATGGCGTGTGTGTTGTATGGGACTGGAGCAGCTTGTCTGAAATGTGCTCACTCGAAACTTGTCGCTTTCGAGGCTGTCTCGTCTATAGAGATTCCCCATCGGGTGACGGCGATGCAAGGCCTTTGAGGTCATCTAATTGAAAATGGGTGGATCTCATTGAACGGGCAATGGAGACCCGCCACGCCGAGGACCAGCATTTGCATAACACTCAATTCCTCTCTGGAATATGTCTCCAGGCCTTTTGGCCGCGCATTACTGGGTTGAAGCCTCTCAGTGACATGAATTATTTCATGCAGCCCACGGGTCGCCGTCCTGGTATACGGGCTGAGTGATGGGGCACAGCTGACACGGCGCGCGGCACAAATCTAGGAATAGAACACACGCGTGTGTACAACTGCAAACGACGTTGGCATATTGCTTCGCCCGCGTCTTTCGCGTAAAGCGGTTTTACGGTGAATGGGCGGTTTTGCCAGGAGTGCTGTCAATTATTATCGTTGGCCAATGGTGGACCAACTTGACGCGTGTGCGTTCATAGGTACCCGGACAAGGCAGTGAGCACCAGGGAGCGCGACGAGCGATGAGACGGACGTGAACGAGACACGTTGACGCCGTCGATCCACGCCCGGAGATTCATGATCATTGCAGTCAGCTCGGTGACGATATCCAGTGATCATTAAGATCACCACATCATGTACGGTGTCAGGGATCATAGGGGGTAGACACCAGACGATGAGGAGAAAGCGCAGGTCGCTACGCAGGATGAACCGAATTGTGCCAAGTATCGTCGATGAGCCTATCATGGCGATCCGTTCCTGGCTGCTGTCCAGTCTACAGCGGGCCATCCACCACACAGTCCAGTTAGTATTAGGAGCACCACCGTACGAGATTCCCGCGGCTTTTTTTTTTTGCGCGCGCGCGCTCGGTGCCCATCACTCCTTATAACGGCCCTCTCATAATTATCGAACGGCGCTACTGGAAATTCGTGGTCCTCCAGAAAATTCCCCCAATTCTAGTTCTCGCAGCGTGCACATGCAGTTGTTAACGCTAACCTGAGCCCCCAGCTTTGCCTCTCAGCTCTGCGTTCGCGTAGGTACAGTACACTGTCTCTCCCCTTGTCGATCAAACACCGTCCAGTCTTCTCCATCGACCACATCACCAGACTGTCGCCAACACTACCATCACGGCCGCACCATCACCATTCTTATCATCGCCCTCACATCTCTCTCGTTGCTGCGGTCATCACCGTGAGCTCGTCGTCAGGGCATCTCCACAACCTTCGCCGCGCGTGTTCACTGGCGCCATCTCCCACCCTGCCATTGGGACACCTGTAACACACCAGCATGGGCAATCCCTCCGCTCAATCATACGACGTCAAAATGAATCTTCCGAACGGCAAGTCGCACGGTGGCTTCTTCAGAGCAGCACCAGGTCAGCTGGGAATGCGGCGATATGTTCAGCGTTTGCTACCAGTCGCGGTTGCGGCGCTGTTGGTGCTCGCCTTCATGGCTGGCTCCACGAGCAACAGCATGAGCGCCTACCGGAAAACGCGGCATAACCTGTTCCCTAGGAAGATCTGGCAGACGTGGAAGGTTGACCCGCTGAAGTTCGAGGAGCGCGACCACGATGTCGCAGCGACTTGGATCGCCAAAAACCCCGACTACCGCTACGAAGTGCTCACGGACCAGAACGATCTGGCCTACGTCGAGACACATTTCGGTGTCGATGGCCTCAACCGCCCTGACATCGTCTTCATGTACCGCGAGTTGACCGCTCGTATCATCAAGGCTGATTTGCTGCGATACATGATCATGTACGTGGAAGGCGGCGTCTACACGGACATTGACGTCGAGGCCATCCGCCCCGTACGTTACTTCATCCCCGACCGATGGAACGAGCGGGACATCGACATGGTCGTCGGTGTGGAGATTGATGAGCCTGAATTCTCATGGCACCCTGTCCTCGGCCCCAAGTGCATGTCTTTCTGTCAATGGACTTTCATGTGCAAACCGCGCTTGCCAGTGATGCTGACCCTCATCGAGACCATCATGAACTGGCTCCGTGGCGTCGCATTGGAGCAGAAGGTTCCTATTGGAGAAATCCACTTGGACTTCGACCAGGTCATCTCGGGTACTGGCCCCTCGGCTTTCACAAATGCCATCCTCAACGACATCTCAGGTCGTCTGGGTCACCGTGTCACCTGGGATACTTTCCACGGTATGGACGAGAGCAAGCTTGTCGGCGGTGTCCTCGTCCTCAACGTTGAGGCTTTCGCTGCCGGGCAGGGCCACTCTGACAGTGGAAGTCACGAGACCAAACACGCCATGATTCGTCACCACTACCACGCTTCGCGTTGGCCCACCACCCACCCTCGCTTGAACCACCCCGTGTTCGGCGAAGTCGAACAGTGCAATTGGGACATGCACTGTGTCGAGACCTACGACCACGACGTTGAGCATTTCAAGACACTTTCGCCTGAGGAGAAGATGATCCAGATCACCATCAAGGAAGAGCAAGATCGTCTCGGCTTCGAAGTCGAGGCTCGTGATGACATCGCGGAGAAGGAGAAAGAGCGTGAAGAGGAGGAGCGGAAACGGGAGGAGGAGGAAGATCAACAAGAGTAGGGGGGACAATTTCATCAACGACTCATCTTCTTTTCTTGCTTGTCATCTTTTAAACTTTACTTTTTGTTACGCGAACTCCACGCTTGTGTTCAATTACGCCATTCCTCAAACTTCATGCTGTTTTCTTGCTCGAGAGTCTTTGCCGGGCGACTCGATCACGATCTACGCTCTACCTGAGAAGAGCTAGGCTTTTTCCCCTCTCTGCCAACATAAATCTGCACATACGGCGTTGGTCTTGCGTCATCTGGCAATCACCAGAAGAACTGTTTCATCGCGGACGACCACTTACGCCTGCATCATGGGCTCTGGTCACGATTTGGGATTTTCAAGCATTGGCCGGCGACTGGCTTCGCTCCGATGCAGAGCCTACGGGTCTGGGTCTGGTCCTGTCATGCATCAGCGAAAGTACACCTACAGCAGTCGAGGATCTCAAGCTCCTGGAGCCCACTAGTCCACGATATCGAGACTTCTCCGCTGTCTGGCGTACACATTCAGATCGCTTGAATTCATTTACCGGCATGGGCACTTTGGTTGGTCAAGCACAGACGCGCAATCTAATGTCTCAAACGTCGGCTTCCCAGACTTTGAGGCTCTCTATATGGGATCCTGACTGCTATGCATGCTCCAAGAGTGCAACCGAAATGGGATTTCTTGGAAACTAGATGTGGACGCCAAAAGCCGCCAACGTCAGCGCAGAAACTTCGGGCCGCTCTGCGTTTCATGGGCATCATGGATTGAATGGAGGTCAATGAACCATTCCCTGAGCATTCTCTCGACCAACGCATGGTCGGTACCGAGGCCAGCCGCCAACACGTGACGTATAGGTCTGATCCGCGGCGAATACACAACACTCGGAAAGAAAAGAGTTAGAGACCGACACGATGAAAGACAACGCGGAGGTCAGCGACGTATCCAACTTCCGGGCCTAGAGGGGCAAAAGACACTTAATCATGACGAAGTAGAAGAAGACAAGATTTTGTTGTGTCCATGCGTGGTCTGCTAATCGCTTGGTGGGCATTTGGGTCGGCGTGCAGGCGTCACTATTTCTCATATTTTCTAGAGTTTCCTTTTCCTTGTTTTTCCTTTTAATTTTCGTCTTCGCACAACTGTATCTAGAAGATTCCTACAGCTCAGAAGAGGGGACGGCGACATGATGGATCGAGGTCGATTCATTTTTGTATCTGCGCTCTAGGCCAACTCAATTATTTTCTTCAAAATCGCTGTATGAGCGCTCCTCGTCCGATTGCTGAGACTTGAGTATACTACATACCGAAAAATGTTGTGTGCACACAAATGCCCTTTCTAGTACATCACACGCATGTCAGCCTCGTACTGCCTGCAATCAAATAATTGATGGTCTTCGACTGGGATCCAGAGTAGTATCTCGTTGGCACTTTCGGTGAGCACGGGAAGTTTTCTGAGCTGGTCCCTTCCCTCCCTGTATCCCTTATCACCACTCACATAAATATTGCCAGAAGAATGAAATATCTCGATATCAATTACGATCATACTTCGTCACAGTAGCAATACGCAAACGAACAAGGGTATAACCTGTGTTACGCATCACTGACCCACATACTATATGGGAAATATCAACACCGCCTAGATACTTTCCCTGGACATGCAGGGGACTACTCGGAGAAGCCAGCACGTGACGCGTTTAGGTGGCTTTCGAAATTCCCCAGGGCCGCCTCCCATTTGAGATGCACCTAACGTACCTCATAAGCCTGTGCGTCATTATAAGCCTATGCGGCAGTCCCTCAACACCATCACGTATTCTTTCATTCAGCACGCGATAATTGTCCACACCACGCGATGCCGACGCCTATACAACGTGAATCTGAGGCTGTTACCATTGCTGCATTTAGGAATGGTGAATTTTCATCAATCCGTCAGACAGCAAGCGCGTACGGTCTTGCTCCAGACACTCTAAGGCGCCGCCTCCGAGGTCAACCTTCAAGGCAGCAACGAATAGTCAACAGCAGGAATTTCAGTATCGCTGAAGAGGAGGTCATTATTGAAAGGATATTAGACATGGATACGAGAGGCTGGCCACCAACGTATTCTCATGTAGACGAAATCGCTAATGTCCTTGCAGCGCAGAAGGGTCAACTGCCGGTTGGCAAACAATGGAGCCGCAACTTCGTACAGAGGACGCCACAGCTGAAGACTAGCTTCTCTCGAAGGCTGGATTGTCAGCGAGCGAAGAACGAGGATCCAGATGCTTATATGGATTGGTTTAAGCTAGTAAAGAATACGGTTGATTTTCATGGCATTCTAGAAGACGATATTTACAACTTTGATGAAACTGGCTTCCGCCTTGGACAAGCTGGTAACGTCTATCCCTGCAACCCGAGACGCACTGTGACACGAGACAGATTTCCCGAATTGCTCTTTATTTTCGCAATGCAAGGTCATCTCGTGCAAGCAATACCTCGGCATCAGAGAAGAACTTGACGCTGTGATCATATCCAGAATTGGAGTTATCTCCATTATCCAGTGACCTGTCGTTGTCGTCCTAGCTGCTGTGGCTGAATGCGGCGTGAGGTTTGCCCATTCCTGTACTGCCGTGTCCTGCAAATTATATCATTATTAAACCTGCTCGCATAAGCGCTTTGATCAGAGAACAAGACGCTCCGTGAAAACTTGAATCCAAGTGTGCGTTGTAGTTGTAGAATGTTTGAGATGCCAGACATTGGAAGATATTTGACACGACACGCGCGATGTGTGGCTTGTCATTGCGGCACAGTGTGTGAGATTCTAGAAGCATCGATGGCGGCCTGCTATCTATTACTACTGCTTTATCTGACCACTGCTGGGTGTCGTAAACGTGTCAAAAGCTACACTCATCTATCGTCGAGTCGTGTTGCGACGATGGATCCAGCGAGCTTGGTACTCGCACAGCAAAGACCTGTAGGCGTGCCGAATTCATACCGCGCCCTCGCCGATCACGCCGGCGTCCCATGCTCTACCCTCCACCACCGCGCTCGGGGCCGACAATCGCTGCGTGCGAAAGCGGAACGTCAGCAATACCTCACGCCCCCAGAAGAGCAAGCCGTAGTCGAGTTCCTGTTGCACATGTCCAAGTTAGGACAACCAGTCCGGATGAAGCATGTTCCCTCGATAGCATTCAGCGCGACGCGACAGCGTTGCGCCAACAACGGACCATCGAAGCCGCCAGGTAAAAATTGGGCCAAGGCCCTGGAAAACCGACACCCAGAGCTGAGAGCAAAGCGGGTTGGAGCATTAGATTGGAATCGACATGAGAAGAACATATATGGAAAGATTGTACACTGGTTTGCTGTCATTGAAAATGTCCTGAAGAATCCCACGGTCGCGGCGGAGAACGTGTATAACATGGACGAGACCGGAGTCATGCTCTCTATACTAGGATCTGTGAAGGTGCTCGTAGGCCGTGATGACACGAGAGCCTACAGAGGCGCGCAAGTCAAGCGCACGACCGTGACTGCTATCGAGTGCATTAGTGCAGACGAGAGATGCTTGTCGCCGATGATCATCTGGCCAGCTGCCACCCATCGGAGTAATTGGACCACGTTTCCGACTCCCGGTTGGCACTACGCTTACTCGGAATCCGGATATACTGACTCTCAGATAAGCTTCGAATGGCTTCGCCAGGTGTTCGATCCGCAGACGAGGGATCGCGCTAACGGTCAGCCTCGTGTATTGATCTGCGATGGCTTCGGCACGCATGAGACCCTTGATATCCTAGAGTTCTGCTTTGCGCACAATATCATCCTCTGTCGCCTGCCGTCCCACACGTCACACAAATTGCAGCCTTGCGACGTTGCCGTTTTTGCCCCACTCAAAGCCGCTTACCGTGACAACGTCGAGTGCATCGAACGAGGCGGCGTAAATGCGATCGGGAAGCAGCATTTTACGTATCTGTATGGACCCGCTCGTGAAAGGGCATTCACGAAGCGTAACATCTCCGCTGGGTGGAGCAAAACAGGACTGTTCCCGTTCAATCCCGATAGGGTCCTGAGAGATCTGCCTCAGCCTGTCTGTGAAGCCGACCACCCGACTATGGTACCTGTCGTAGAGACGTCCTTACCTCCCATACCCGTGACACCCGTGACGCCGGTCTCTGCAGAATCTGTCGTCGCCTTGCAGAATCTCATCATCGGTCAAGACGCTCAAAGTCTTAACGCTACGAGCAAAGAGAGCCTCGAACGACACGTCGCAAAGTTAGCTCGAGCGACACAGAAGTCCTTAGCACACAGCTCGATGCAGCGTCATCGGATCGATCTGCTGCTGAAGACAAACGATGAAGCTAAGCCTCGCCGGGCAGGCAGGTCGGTCGTCCTTGGGAAGGCTCGAGTCATGAGCTATGATGACCTGGTGGAAGCACGCAAAAAGCGAGCTGAGAAGGACGCACTAAAAGAGCATAAGAGGGGTGGCAGACGTAACAAGCGACAGGACGGCGACACGGTGAGTGCGGCAATAGTCGCGCCAACAATCAACCTGTCATTGCGCGATGACCGCGCTGTGATGGAACCGGGCTGGGACGGAGAACGCGAGGATTCAGCATGGTGTGCGCCGATCGCTTATATGTATTGATGAAGAGCTTGATATTGCAATTGCCTGTTTGCGTCAAATTCCGCACGCACGGCAACACCCGTGTCGCCCCAGGCCTGGATTTCACATCTGAAACGCGGACTCGTCGACGACATTGATCGAGACCCATCTCTACGCATAGACCTGGTCATGCTCCATCGTCGAATCATTTCTTTCGGGTGCGATTTCATATCAGATTGTGCTTGCCAGTCGACTCGTCCCCCGGTGTAGTTGTGAGGAAAGTGCGACATGGTGCAGCCTTCGAGGTGGCAGTGCAGCATGCAGCTGTGTCAAAGCCACAATGATGGAGGCCCCACAGCCTTGCCGTCGTGATTCTCCGGTCGCCAGCTCGCTCATCACTTCTTGCTCTGCATTTCATCACTGAGTCGTATCGATCGTGTTCACGAGTCATCATGCGTCTTCTCGATGTAAAGACTCTCAAATTCACCGAGTTCCTAGACGAGAAACCCCTGCCGAAGTACGCGATCGCGTCGCATCGATGGGGATGTAAGGAAGCCACCTTCGAAGATGTGCAAGAGGAGCGCAATAAGAGCAGTGCCGGGTATCGGAAAGTGGAAGCATTTGCACAGTATGTGCAAAAGCATGTGGCATCGGTAGACTGGCTATGGATCGATACTTGTTGCATAAACAAGAAGGACCCCGCCGAACTCTCGTACTCTATCAACTCAATGTTCAGGTGGTATCGCAATGCAGAGATCTGTATTGCGTACTTGGCAGCTGCAACGCAGCAGAGCGACATCGGGCAGGACGAATGGTTTCACAGAGGCTGGACACTGCAAGAGTTGCTGGCGCCGCACTTGGTTGTCTTTCTGACGAAGGACTGGCAAGTCATCGGCAACAAAGGATCAACGTTCCACCCACGTGACAACATCGGGCCTGACCTTGGAGCACAGATCGCCAACATAACAGGCATACCTGAGCGCATATTGCACGACTGGGGGGCGAGTGTGAACATGCGAGTCGAGGACAAGATGCGCTGGATGGACAATAGGAAAACGACTCGAGCAGAAGACATGTCATATGCTTTGTTTGGCATAGTAGGAGTGACTCCGGGCGCAAACTACGGAGAAGGTGCGGATAATGCTAGAAATCGAGTCCTTGCTGCAATCCGGCAGCGCGACGAGGTGGAAGGTCAACGGAAAGCGCGATATCAAGAAATCACTAAATGGCTCAAGCCTTCTGACCCATGGACGAACCATGAGTCTGCGCGGAAATTGCACGAGGAGCGGACCGGAGAATGGCTGCTACAAACGAAGGAGTATCGATCGTGGAAATCTGGAGAAGACCAATGTCTGTGGCTATATGGCGGCGCTGGCTGTGGGAAGACTGTGCTTTGTTCTACTGTGATCGAGGATATGAAGGCATACTGTGAAAGTAATGGCAATATTGGTCATACTATCTTCTACTTCTCGTTCTCGGACGAGCGCAAACAATCGTACGAAGATCTTCTGACTTCTCTTGTCGCACAGCTTGGACACCGGGAGCCGGCCTTCTCGATTCTCCAGCAAATGTACGACAAAATCGACTGCAAACTACCAGGGGAAGGGGAGCTTGAAAAGATTCTGCACATAGCGCTAGCATCGTACGAACGGGTTTTCTGCCATCTAGATGCATTGGACGAATGCCCCGAAGAAAGAGGAGCTCGACAGCGCCTGCTAGAAAACATAGAGAGGCTACTACGACAAGCACCGAACATGCATTTGATTACAACCAGCAGAGACGAGCTAGGAATTCGCGATGCTATAGAGCAGCTCGGCGTCAAGTCTGTTTGTTTGACTGGCAAGAAAATAGATTTTGACATCCAGCGATATGTGTCAAAGCAACTGGCTCGCATACCGAAGCTTGCGCGGCTTGATGCTGCTACTAAGGAACTGGTTGAGACGACTTTGACAGAAAAAGCAGATGGGATGTAAGTCAAGTGAATTTTTGCAGCTGTTACTAGGCTAATCAATGAGCGTCACGATGCAGGTTCCGGTGGGTCTTCTGCCAACTCCAAGAATTATCAAAGTCGAAGCGCACTACGCCTACGCTAGTGAAAGCTGCGCTGCTTGCGCTCCCTGCGACCTTGGACGAGACATATGAGCGGATGCTGCAGAACATTGCTGCTGAAGACCAAGCATATGCGCTGACACTTCTTCGATGGCTTGCATACTCGCAGGCCCCCTTAAGACTAGATGAAGTAGCCGAAATCAGCACCATCGTTCCGGGCGAGGATCCTGCTGCCCACGATGTTGTGGACATTTACAATCGAGGCGGATTGACAGATGTTTTGGACATACTTGCCGGACTCGTTGTCATGGTTGAAGCTAAAGCTGGGACTGGAAATGCAGCTACTAAGAATTCGTTGCTTGACGATATCAGCAAAGTAGACGACGATGTTAATGGCTTTTCCAGGCGACTGATCGAGAAGGACACAAAAATCAGATTGGCACATTTCTCTGTAAAGGAATACCTCGAATCAACGCGCACAAGAGGAAGTGTCGCACAAAGCTTTCGACTAGACCCAACCCGAGAACATCGGTTGATCAAAGAAAGCTGTCTCGTGTATCTGATGCACTACAGCAACTCCGAGCAAAAGGCTTCTTCTAAGCAAGATCTTGTCGTGTTTCCTCTGTTGGATTATGCTGCTGCAATGTGGTATCGCCATGCCTTGCTTCAACAGGCCGAAGATTATCGCTGCGAAATACAGCTGCTTGAGTCTAAGACTCATCAAGCCGACTGGCTCAAGATACACAAGCCCGATATGTCTTGGAGTAGACCTTTCGACAACGATGATTACGATGATAAGGCGAGCTCATTGTACTATGCAAGCTTCATTGGGCGAGTCGGTGTAGTGCAGCTGCTGCTGGAGGCCAAGGCCGACGTCAACGCGCAAGGCGGACGGTACGGCACCGCGCTCCAGGCCGCATCTTTACGGGGCTACGACAAGGTGGTGCGGCTGCTGCTGGAGGCCGAGGCCGATGTCAACGCGCAAGGCGGAGACTACGGCAACGCGCTCCAGGCCGCATCTTTACGGGGCTACGACAAGGTGGTGCGGCTGCTGCTAGAGGCCGAGGCCGATGTCAACGCGCAAGGCGGAGACTACGGCACCGCGCTCTATGCCGCATCTTCCGGCGGCCACGACAAGGTGGTGCGGCTGCTGCTGGAGGCCGAGGCCGACGTCAACGCGCAAGGCGGAGCCAACGGCA